GGCACATTGGAACGTGTGGCAACCCGATGAAATCGACGCGTGATGGAAAGGGATGGAGTGGAAGGAGAGATCAAGAATGAACGAGAGGGGATAGAACAGCTGTACGATGTCGCGACTCGATGAAAGCAAGACCGGGTGACGCGACAGCCAGACGAAAATGAATCAGAAAAGGCATCTACTGACCTGCAGACCAGCCTTTGCGCTGTGGGACTTCTGAGTCTTCCCCGCAGAGTCCTTGGAGCCGGCCTTTCCACCGATCGACTTTCCCTTTCCGCCAGGCATCGTGAATAGCGTGGAGATTTAGAATCGCAGGGGTAAAAATGTCGCGTCGATATGGGTATGGAGGCGATAAAACGCGATGGTGGGTGATGAGGCGAACGGATAGACCGGAGACACGCGTGTTGTTGATGGATGAAGGAGTCAGAAATGTCAAAGCCATCCTGGTCGCTAAAGACGGCGTTGAACGTGGAACGGCGCTAGTCCCGATCGGGAAGCCGGGAACACCTCAACCACGGCGAAGCTTCGAGGTCGAGAGAGAGGCGTCGATTCCCATGGAGACCGAGTCGAGCTGGTGTTTTTCCCTCGGAGGAAAGGACGGCTATCCGTTTCCAAGACGGTGCATTCAAAAAACAAAGTGAGTACCAAGCTCTCGTCAGGGTATTTTGAGTAGTCTCGGCCTCATAGCTGAACAGAGTTCCCCAGCAATGCTGCGGAGAGAGGCCATATTTAAATGCAGAGAGTATATGCTCACTGATTTGTCTTCCCTGAGAGGATAACCTGAGGGTATTGAATACTGTAGCACGTATATACGTGCGTCGATGTCGTATTCACCAGCACCCTTGACTGCTGGAGAGGTGTGCAGTAGAGTCAGAGCTAAAGCGTCATGATTCCATGGGCCGCATTACATAAGCGACAGTCAAGCAGGTGACATGCATGCCTCAGGCATTACTGGAGTTCTCTTATCAATCCGCATTATCAAGTCCGTGCCAAGGCTCCCACAGAAAGGTTTTCCTCACGTGACGCCACCACTATCAGGACAGATGTCCGACTTCCCCAGGACTCCAGTTCCGCAGTTGGAGGAAGTTTCTGTGTGTGCGCGCGTGCTCTTCTTGACTCTTTCTTCGCTCTTATTTTCCCTCGGTCGATCGTCTTTCTTTTCCTGCAAGGGCCAACCTACACTTATATCCATCAATATGGTGTCCCCTCAAGTGTACGTCAATCCACTCATCCGGAGAAAAGCGCCCCCCCAAACAAACATCACAGAATGTGATTGAAAGACGAAATGTGGACCACCACTGACTCCTATCTTCGCCTACAGAACCAATCTGGCCATCATCGTGGTGATGATGCAGCTGGCCAAGAAGGTTCCCTTCGACGACCCGGATGTGCTCTTCCTTGTGCGCTGCCTGTACGTCGCATCCAACGTGATCATCCTGAGTCTGTATCTCTACACTCAGTCCAAGATCAACAGCAAGAAGGGTACGTTTCACCTCTATACCTACACATGCCTCGAAACCTCCACTAACCCACCGTGTTCTAGATTTGGCGACTCTCAAGTACGTCGAGCCTGCTCCCATGGGAAGCGGCGAGGAGCCCCGTCCGGTGACGACCACCAACATGGACTACGACAAGGGTCAGCTGCGCCAGCTGATCAAGGGCCAGCTGATGGGCGTTGGAATGATGGGTGTGATGCACCTGTACTTCAAGTACACCAACCCTCTTCTGATCCAGTCGATCATCCCGCTCAAGAGCGCCTTCGAGTCGAACCTCGTCAAGATCCACGTCTTCGGCAAGCCCGCTACCGGTGATCTCCAGCGCCCCTTCAAGGCCGCCAACAGCTTCTTGAACCAGGGCCAGGTCAAGAGCGACAAAGCCTCGATCGAGAATGCCGAGAAGAACTGGCGCGGTGGTGTCAAGGAGGAGTAAATATGGCCTACGAACGAATTGCGCACGACGCCATGTGCAGGGGATTTGTTTGCTGTATTATCATGACCGCGGTGTTAAGTGGGTTGGTCGGCCATGCTTCTACGTCTTGATTTTTGGTCACCATGATCTTTGGATGGGTTTGATTACGGCCTCTTGCTAGGAGAATTAGACTCGATTCTGCCTTCTATATTGTCAATATTACTGATAATGCTTTCATAATCTGTTCTTGCATGAATAATGAGTGGCGAGATGCACGACAAGGGTTTCGGGAGAGTTGGCCGATAATCCAGGCCGTTGCCACTGCATAGCCACCGATGATGGCGACAGTGCGCCACGCCGTAGCTATGTAGAATGACGGGAGCAGGTCCACATGAGCTTAGGCGGGAGCTACGGACGAGATATTGACGACATCATTGCATTGGAAGATACGTTATGTTGATGCAGATCCATAACGAGGATCTTAGAGATTAGAATGGCTAATACCCTGATCATATAACCAACATTGCCTGTGGAACAGTCAAAACATGGCGAATGAGATCAAAGGAAAGTAGAACGAGATATCAGTAGAAAGTTAAACCCTGCATATATCATCGAAGTGACTCATGTCTGGAGCCGCCGTCATGCAACCATGGTCTGACTGCAGGGGTCTACCGAAGGAACTTATAACATTTTATGCTATCCTTATGACAGCGCTATTCCGGTACCAGCATGGAGAGAGCGATCTCCGCAGATACCATTAATGAAGACCACGTGGGGAAAGCCAATAATGTTGTGGCTCTGTCTGGGTAGATACGTATGTAGTAGGATGGTCTCTTCATAATGGGTGTAGCACCTAGTCCATTGATAGGTCTGTCTTTTCTGCCCTCTTTCTAATCCGACTATTCTCCGTCTCACACCTGGAGGGGATGTAGTCATATGTCCCTTGCAGGAAGCTGGGAGGTCTTAAGTCATACGAGATCCATGTGTGGTGTGCATGGCTGCAGTGACGTTGGCCTGATGGATGTGGAATGGTACAGAGATGGCCATAATGGAGATGGTATCCACTGCGAAAGAAAAAAAAAATGTTGCGAAAAATATAGATTGAAGAAGATTACAAATAGACAGATCTTTAATTACCTACTACTGGGTCAGATAAAAAATAAACCCAGCGCGTGATCGAAGAGCATGGCGACAGGCTGTCCGGTGAAGGTTTCTGGAGTCCGGAGAAGACCCTCCATGCATGGAAAGGGAGTTCCAGCCCTTTGAGGAGGCCGGACTCATGTTGTTCCATCCCGACGTACGGGCCGAAAGCGGCATGGCCGGAAATGCCCCTCCTTGTAGGGTGATGGATGGTGGGATGTTGATGGCGTTACACTCTGGGAGGATCCAGGTACTTCCATTCTTACTAGGAGGTATTTCGGCCTAAATTAATACAACGAAAGAAACTGTTCGATTCTACGGGAAAAGTACTCCAATTCCATTACATCATCGCATTCTCCCTCTCGTAAGGTACCTACCACAAACCCCCACTATCGTTCATCCGTCCCCGGTTACAACGGGAAGAAAAAGCCCGGAGAGAGGGGGAAGAAGAGAATCCCAAGGGAGCGGGAATAGCCGTGCGGAAGAGAAGACGATTAGCCTAGGTAGAAGCCTCATGGCCGACCATTTGATTCCGAAAAGCTGGCAAAACATTCACGAGATAGACATAGTGAGGACCCGGACGATGTCCCAAGCGGCGCGCTGATTGGCCAGGCCGGGCAGTGCCGAAGCAGCAAATATCGTGAGTCTCCTGCTTTGCCCGGTGTATGAAACCGGAAAGGGTTGCTGGGGAGCTGGTCAGCGGCGCAAGCCGGGAGGGCGACTGAGCTCTGTAGCTTTTGCCCCGTCTGTCCGTCCGGTGTAGAGTGGCAGACCACCGCCTGCTGCGCCTCCCATTGGGTCTTCCCCAACGTGACTGGGTCGTTGCGTCAGTCCATGTCGCTGCCTTTTTCTTCCTCCCCCTCCCCCGCTGTCCTTCTTCTTCTTCTTCTCTCTCTCTTTCTTTCTCCCATCATCCTCTCATCCTCTGCCTTTCCCATCAAACTCACTTCTTCTACCAACAACTCATCGTAAGTCTTTCCCACCAGCCCATCACCTTTTGATCCCCCCTCCGCTATAGTACAGCTCGACTAACAGCTACCCCGCTATCACAGAACCATCACAATGGCTCCCAAGGTATGGGCTACGAATCCAGCACACTGAGCTCCTGCTCCAATTCCACAATGCATATACTCACTACGTGACCCAGGTCGGTATCAACGGTTTCGGTCGTATTGGCCGCATTGTAAGTCTCCATGATCTCATCCGTGGGATTGCTTCACGACTAACATCATCCAGGTCTTCCGTAACGCGTAAGTCATCCAGCTCCGGCTCCAATTTCCACCCCAGATTGGAATTTGGAGACGTCTTCACCCTGGACACTCCTCTAACATTATTCCAGCGTCGCCCGTGACGACGTTGAGGTTGTTGCTGTCAACGACCCCTTCATCGAGACCCACTATGCTGTACGTCTACCAGCTTCCCGCAATTCGCATTTTCAATCAAGACCACTCAAACTGACTTTCCACGTCCTCAGGCCTACATGCTCAAGTATGACAGCACCCACGGTCAGTTCAAGGGCACCGTCGAGACCTATGACCAGGGTCTCATTGTCAACGGCAAGAAGGTCCGCTTCTACGCTGAGCGTGACCCCGCTGCCATCCCCTGGTCCGAGAACGGTGCCGAGTACATCGTCGAGTCCACCGGTGTCTTCACCACCACCGAGAAGGCCTCTGCTCACCTGAAGGGCGGTGCCAAGAAGGTTATCATCTCCGCTCCTTCCGCTGACGCCCCCATGTTCGTCATGGGTGTCAACAACACCTCCTACAAGAAGGACATCAACGTTCTCTCCAACGCCTCTTGCACCACCAACTGCCTGGCTCCCCTTGCCAAGGTCATCAACGACAACTTCGGTATCATTGAGGGTCTGATGACCACCGTCCACTCCTACACCGCTACCCAGAAGACCGTCGACGCTCCCTCCAACAAGGACTGGCGTGGTGGCCGTACCGCGGCCCAGAACATCATCCCCAGCTCCACTGGTGCCGCCAAGGCCGTCGGCAAGGTCATCCCCTCCCTCAACGGCAAGCTCACTGGTATGTCCATGCGTGTGCCTACCTCCAACGTCTCCGTGGTCGACCTTACTTGCCGCCTCGAGAAGGCCGTCACCTACGACCAGATCAAGCAGGTCATTAAGGCCGCTTCCGAGGGTGAGCTTAAGGGCATTCTCGGCTACACCGAGGACGAGGTTGTCTCCACTGACCTGAACGGCGATGACCGCTCCTCTATCTTCGATGCCAAGGCTGGTATCGCCCTTAACGAGCACTTCGTCAAGCTCGTCTCCTGGTACGACAACGAGTGGGGTTACTCCCGCCGTGTTGTTGACCTGATCTGTAAGTTCCAATCCCGACCGACCTGTTGTTGTTGTTGTTGTTGTTGTTGTTGTTGTCGCCGTCGAGTGCATGCTAACCTGTTTCCAGCCTACATCTCCAAGGTTGATGCCCAGTAGGAATCAGGACGGAATGTGGAAACCAGGAGTCTTTTGTAAACCGCGTGACTCCCCTGGCTGTTCGCCTCGTGCTTGGAATCCGGAAGTGCTAGATCACTGAGAACGGACGGCGTGTGGAACACCACATGCCCTGTTGACAGGGACATGGGGGAGGTTCCGCGTTTTAGCATAAAAGCATGATAACGTACTATTATCTTAATGAAATGATACAATGATGTTGATATGCAGTGTGTCTTGAACGCTTTCGAGGCTTTCGTAAGAAGGACTGGTGACGTCCACAATTGACTGACAGTAAGTTAGTTATGTCGTGATGTATGACTCAGCTATTTATGCGCGTGCACTACATGTCGAATACACACGGCCAAATCTCGGAGTTCCTACGGCACTATTCATCTTCACAGTATCCAACGTTCGCGCCAGAAGGAACTGGATTATTTCTCTGGCAGTCCTACTCTTGTTCCCGGTCGTTGCTGATCCAACCTTCCTACGCAAACTCGACTCCTGTCCTGCCACTGTATGGGCCGTGTCGACTGCATGGCAAGTCACGTGGGTGGAAGCTAGGTGAACCACTCGTTTAAGAGCTCCAGCATCCAAAGACTCTCCTCGTCCAGTTTGTCCCTGTTGTTCTGCGCGTGGTCTACCAACAGCCTTCCAGTAGTGGTGCTGCACTGGAGTTCATTGTTATCTTTCATCTCCTGATTTATCTCTTCATACGCTCCAACCTCCTGTTGGTGGTCAGGTTGTGTTCCTGCGGACACACGGTCCTTTGACCTCACTAGTAGTAGGGCCTTATCATCTACTACACGCTCTTTCTCTCGACCCACGTCTCTCCTACTGCTCACCACAATTCAAATCACTGGTTTGATCACGGTTGGCTGCTGTGAATCTCACTTTATCTCTGTCTTCTTTTTCTTTACCACTTGATTTCTTCATCTGTTTTCATCTCCTCCATCTGTCAGTCCATATTTCTTCCCAGCCATTCTCCTTTACCACATTTTCCCTACTCAATTACCAAGCGCCTTGAGAGCTACCATTTCGGTCATGAGTGGCTAGTTCTGGAAAATCTCCAAACTACTGTACTATCACGCTCTCCGTTTGACATATCCAATGGCTAGGGGAGAGGATGAAGACACCGTTATGGGAGAAGCGGGCTCCCACGCTCTCCCTTCGATCTACCATCCTAGTCAGCCAGGACATCATTTGAATGGCAGATCTGACCCTTGGCTCGCACCCCCTCTGCTCGGACAATCAGTGAGCCTGCCTGTCCAGTCAGGTGGCTCGCACGCTCCAGCGGACGGCGCAGAACAAACAGCCGCTCCTAGTGAGCCATCGCCTCCAAAGAGCTTGCCAAAATCCACCGACTCTGGCGATGGTACTGCAGAGGACGAAAAGCAGGACAGTCTCGTCGAAGAGAACTCTGACTGGTCTGACGAGGACTATACCGCACGCACAGGCCTTCCGCTTGCTTCTCTGCCTTCGGGGTTGTGCTATGATGTCCAAATGCGCTACCACTGCGAAGTGAGGCCTACGTCAGAAGTACATCCTGAGGACCCCAGACGTATCTATTACATCTACAAAGAGCTGTGCCGCGCTGGGCTTGTTGATGATCCAGAGTCATCTCGACCTCTTGTGTCGCGGCCGTTGAAACGAATTAACGCCCGTAATGCCACGGAGGAGGAGATCTCCCTAGTCCACACGCCTGATCACTACGCGTTCGTCGAGAGCACTAAAGGTGAACACCCTGGCAGCCAGGCGAAGTTCTCTATGCTAATTCTGCAGCAGACATGACGGATGAAGAACTCATTGCTTTGGAACATACACGCGACTCAATTTACTTCAACAAGCTGACATTTGCATCTTCGCTACTGTCTGTTGGAGGGGCCATTGAAACCTGTCTCGCTGTGGCGACTCGCAAAGTGAAGAATGCCATTGCGGTCATCCGCCCTCCGGGTCACCATGCTGAACATGATAAAACCATGGGGTTTTGCCTGTTCAACAACGTATCAGTCGCGGCACGTGTCTGTCAGAATCAGCTAGGAGAGAGTTGCCGGAAGATAATGATCCTTGACTGGTAAGTCCAAAACTTCATGGAGTGATACATGTACTAACAGATGCAGGGATGTTCACCATGGTAAGCAGACAAGACATCATGTCCTGTCCCTATAGCTGATGGCTTGCAGGAAATGGGATTCAAAAAGCATTCTACGACGACCCGAATGTCTTGTACATCTCGCTCCACGTGTACCAGGAGGGGAGGTTCTACCCTGGCGGTGACGAAGGTGATTGGGACCATTGTGGAACAGGTGCTGGAGTTGGAAGGTATGGTCTTGTATATCCTAGATTGGACTGTTACTGACGCACGACTAGGAATGTCAACATCCCGTGGAAGACACAAGGCATGGGCGATGGCGACTATATGTATGCGTTCCAACAGGTTGTCATGCCTATTGCGCAGGAATTCAACCCAGACTTGGTTATCAGTATGCAGATGCGCAATCCCGTTCGGATACCCAAAAACTGATATATGACAGTCGCGTCTGGCTTCGATGCAGCCGTGGGCGATGAACTTGGGGGATGTTTTGTGACACCCGCTTGCTATGCCCACATGACGCACATGCTTATGACTTTGGCGAATGGCAAAGTCGCTGTTTGTCTTGAGGTCAGCTCCCTTGTCATTTATCTGGTCTTATCGGCGCTGACTGGTGTGATAGGGTGGCTACAATTTTCGATCTATCTCAAAATCATCCCTTGCAGTCACCAAGACTCTCATGGGCGATCCTCCCGACCGGCTCTATTCGACAACCCCATCCGAAGATGCAACATCGGTTGTGAGACAAGTGATGATGATCCAGTCCAAGTATTGGAGTTGCATGTATCCCAAGGGCCCACAGGAAGGAGGGGTCTGGACTGAGAGGCTTCATGGTTAGTATATCACTTGCGGAGATGGTATTAGGCCTAACAGTTGTCACAGACTACATCCGCGGCTGCCAGGCTAAGCAGCTCTATGACAACTATAAGCTCACGTCTTTGTACATATACCGGACACGCATTTCGAAATCCTTCGAGAACCAAGTTCTGGCAAGGTAAACAGAGCGTTGAGGCAGAGAGTTGAGCTTGGCTGACAGTCCTCACAGCCCGAACTATTACCAGGCTGTTCCTCTTCTCGTGATTTTCCACGATCCGTTAGTATCCCCTGCATCAGCGTATGGCCTCCCTAACAGCAACTAGGCCAGAAATAATGGGATTGCCTCATCCAGTCACGAACAAACTTGAGGCGCACAATGTTTGGCTGGTTTGTGATCCCAGTGCATCTGATTCTGCGGTACGGGCTAACAGGATCAAGGCTGATGTCATGAAGGATTATATTGGGTGGGCCATTGGAAAAGGCTATGCGGTCATCGATGTGAATATTCCGAAGCATGTGACTATCGAACCGGTGAGTGCTGACTGCGGTTGAATTGGAGTAAGCAACCTACTGACTTTGGGCTAGGTAACCAACAAATACGAAGACGAAGATGAAGACCGTCCTACCGAGACGGAGGAACTGGCTGGATACCTCTGGGACAACTATATCGAGTATGTGAACCCAGCATGGGACTAGCTGCACGAGGCTAATATCGAGGTAGACCAAATGAGGCCACGGAGATCATCTTTATCGGGGTTGGAAACGCCTTTTACGGAGTTGCCAATCTTCTGATCAACAGGGGTAAGCCGGAAGCCATGCGTCACGGGAGACATTTCTAACAGGAACTAGACACTCTGTACAAACGGATCAATGGGGTGATTTCGTTTGTTGCCAATAACTCTGTGCGGGCGATCGCCTCGCCAACTCAAACATGGCTGTCCAAATGGTACAAGGATGTAGGTCTCATGCTCTCTGAATATACGGAACGTGGACTGACATGCGTTGATAGAACTCGCTGGTGTTTGTTTCTCGCGCCCATGGCGTTTGGAACCCGGAGACCAACCGCCACAAGAAGCCTTCCAAACGCTACGGCAATCTGATCCAGTCGCCCAAGGAGGGACTCAGTGAGATCCTGATGCACCACAAGAGTGAGGTGTATGAGTGGATATCCGAGCGGGTTGATGTCCACGACAGCGATGAGACCGAGGAAGAGAGACCGACGAGCCGCTCTCCCAAGAAGGAGCAGGCGAGGAACCAGCTGGGTAGCTAGGTAAGGGCAAGGTTGTTGCATAGGATTTGGTTCTTGATTGATTGATTGGATGGATCAGCGCTGGAGTGTTCCGAGACATTAATAGATGCTGGGTTAATAATACATGCATTGATGGTTATTGCTCGTTCCGCCGTCATCAGATCGGGCTTTGTTTCTGCAGGCGTAGACACATTATCGTATGATTAATCTTGTAGCCAGATACAGGACGTTCTTCAATGGCAAATGTTTCAAAGATCACCGAATACGAATAGCATATGTACACGTCTGTCAAACAATGCCCTCACCGTTGTGTTGTCATCACGCTTGGCCGAGACATGGCTCGACTGGGTCGTATTCGAGCATCAGATGATACACCGACCAGAGGATCAGATACCTGACTCCCGAGTGAGATCATATACTATCAATAGAGGGGTGGGAATACGAGGCGTTTTCCCCGCGGGGACAAGTTCCGTGGCTGCTGACCCGGATGGGTCGATCCGTTGGAGTTCTACATGAGACTGAGACCTCACCAACGGGACAAGGGCAAGTCAGGCTATTCAAGACACAGGCACATTCCTGGCAGGCTCAGTGCCCTGTTTGTGAGGACGGCGGAGCTGCAGGGTCATGCTAGTGCTTTGCAGCCGCAGGGATAATGTAACTGTCTCACATTTAGTCCTGCGAATGCACCGTCGCCTCGGCTGTCACTGGATGTACGGAGTATACGGAAGCGACTCGAGTCCTCACCGACTTATGGGCCGTTGCGATCTGGCTCCTCTTTACCACGGTTGCAGGGAGTCTCACGATACGACTGAAAATAGATCCGGCGAGTTTCTGCCATGTCGCCGGGATCAATGCCCGGGGAGAGCTATATAAGCCGCCTCTCTCCCAGGCAAATCTCTACAACACCATCACTCGAACATTCAAACACTCAAAGAACATTCGTTTACAGTGACTTCCTTTAAATATGCACTTCTCCACCCTCAGCCTCCTCTCCCTCGCGGCCCTGAGCCCCCTCGCTCAGGCTGTCGGCAACGCTGTCGTCAAGAACAACTGCAACTACCCCGTCTACCTCTGGTCTGTCGGCGGCTCCGTCGGGGCCAAGCAGACCATCCAGCCGGGAGCCAGCTACTCGGAGCCCTTCCGGCGTGATGCGCAGTCGGGCGGCATCTCGCTCAAAATCACCCGGGTCGACGACTCGTCGCCCAGCAATCACCCGCAGGTGAACTATGCCTACACCCTTGACGGATCCAACGTGTGGTACGACATGTCCGATGTCTTTGGCGATCCCTTCAAGGGAACGGCGCTGGTCGTGAAGCCCAGTGACACCGGTTGCCAGTCGATTTGCTGGCCGAATGGCATTCCTGTGGCGGGTAGCCAGGTCAAGGTTTGCCAGGCCAATTCGAATGAAGTCTTGACGTTGTGCGCTCCAGGGTGCTGAGTATGAGGTATGAATTGGTTGTGCCTGAGGTTCATATCAGATGTGACGTTTTGGAATAATATGCCTAGTAATGGAATAGCTTAGTTTGGACCTATAGTCAACATAATCAGTTGTATTGACATGCATCTTACCTCGTAGCATTACCCATGAACCGACTGCTAGACTACCCCAGACATACTAAACCCACTGAAAGACGTCGCATCGCCTTCTTCGACCATGAACGTCGCTGTGCCAGCATAGAACGCCTGTCCCTCGACGCGCACCACGACCGCCTGCATCGGCTCGCCATGCACACCCTTAATAGTCACCTCCTCGACGATCTCCGCCGTGAACGCGCCCGCGCCAAAATGGTTCGACACAAGAGAGTTGTACGCCCACCGCTGGCCCACCGGACGCACCCCGTTCGCATGCGCAAGCGCCATGCGCGCCGTCACACACGACCCCGTCGGCGACCGGTCGATCTGATTATCGGCAAAGTAGCAAAGCCCCGTCTCCGCGCCACTGACATTGTCCGGGCGGAATCCCACATCCCCATCCACAATCATCACGGAGTACAGGAACGACAGCCGCGGGTCGTCCGGGTGCTGCACGGCGGCAACGACCTCCGGTCTGCGCATCAGGTACGGCTTCAGCCGCTGGACGCACCGTGTCACAGCGTCCAGATCAACCCCCTTCAAGCTCCCAAATCCCAGTTCGCGCACATCCACCAGCGCATAGAACGCCCCGCCGTAGCTCACATCCAGCACAAGCGACTCGCGCCCACCAAGCTCCGGCCAACGCACCTCCGCCGGTACAGGCACCTCCAGCCCTCGCTGCGCCGCAAACGCCGGCGTCGACAGAAACGAGACCGGCCGCGCGGGGTCGGATTTCCGCCCGTCCGCCGTCACCGGCACGCAAACCCGGACCAGCCCGCACGGCGCATGGACGTTCAGCGCGACGGTCTGCGTCTCCGCATCGAAGACGAGCGACTCGCGCCGCGGGAATACGCGCGTGTCATGCGTGTCGATCAGGAACCGCCCCAGCGCCAGCGTCGCGTGCCCGCACATCGTCGAGTACCCTTCATTGTGGATGAAGAGTACCCCGATGTCTGCGGTGCCGGTGGCGACGAGCTCTGTCTCCGGCCGCAGGATCGCCCCGTACATCCCGTCGTGGCCGCGCGGCTCCTCCATGAGCCGTCGCCGAATGTGGTCGTGGTTTTGCTTTGCGTCGTCCCGCTGCGCGAGGAGTGTGTCGCCCCGGAGGGCCGGGTACCCCGCGTAGATGATCCGGGTGGGTTCCCCTGTTGTGTGCATGTCGATGCATTGGATTGGGTGGAGGGAGGGGGTGGTTTGGAGGGCTTGTGCGAGGTCCATTGGGGAGAGTGGTGGGTTGGTTGGTTGGTGGATGTTGGTGGTTAGGTGAGGAGCATGGCGGTTATGTACTAAGCTCGGGGGAGGATGCCGAAGGTCGGTTGAGGATCCGATGCGGGGATGTCGGGATGCATACCTGCAGTGTACCTATGCAGGTGATATCCAAGGCAAGTGTTTCTGTGGTTGTTCTTGTTTAAGAAGTTGTACTGTCTCTGTCTTGGAGATGGTGAGGCTCATGGCGACGGCGTCTTCTGACAGCCCCTATACGAAGTCCATCTGGAATCCTGAGGATCATCTTTGACAAATGCATACTCTAGGTTTGCACAGACAACCGTCATCCCTGGCAACGTAAAGGCGATATTTCCAATAGAACCAGCGCTTGTCGTATCCTTTGTTTGCCGGCACTCCAATCAGCACGACGGGGCGTCGGATGGCTGGGGTGGACGTCCAGGGCGAAAATACCCGGGCGTCTAGCGGTGGTAAGCTGACGCTGTCGAGTGACGCCTGACTGTTAGAATAGGAGATAACGTGGAGGATTTGGAGGACTACTGGAGATCTGTTATACTCCCTACTCTGGAGTCTACAATAGAGTTAGGGCACGCCGACCCAAGCTTAGTCATGCGGTGATAAACTATCGTCAAAGTCGCCTGTGATGATCCCATTCTGCAGTCGCCATTCGCCAATTACTTCCCTTTCCAACCATTCTCTCTTCCAGGTTTTCTCCGGGTGGTCGTCTTCAAAGGGACAAAGCAGGCGCATTGACCCGATTGATCCCTTCATTCACGAGCTGGTTGCTGACTTCGCCTCGGGAGCTTGGACTACTCCGTACTACTCCCTAGCACTAGCTAACACCCATACTTAAAGCCGGCGTCTGTCTCGTGGCCTCCCCCCGCCCTGTCTATCGCTGAATTCCGCCTCATCCCCTTCTTCTCTTGCCTCCTCTCAGATCCCTCGCGGTGGTGGTGATCATCTTGACCGTCTCTTCTCCCCGGGTCCACCCTGCCTATGCCCTCAAGGTACTCTGCCGCCTTCCATCACCTGTGGAACCGAGCACGATTGAGCGTCCTTGCAGCCTCCCCACCGCCCTCGCCGCCACGACTATCGGCACGGCTCCTGTGTTCTTCGTCTCGTCGGCCTGCCTCCCCTGGTTTCCCTCCTCCCCCCTCTTCTCGTCTCCCTCGTCTTCCATTTTCCACCTACACCGCGAAAATGGGGTCCATTGAACGCATCACCGAGCGCCTGGAGAAGCCAGAGCTCGATGACCGCTCGTATCGTGTCGTCCGTCTCGCCAACAAACTAGAGGCGCTTTTGGTGCATGACCCAGATACGGATAAGGCCAGCGCCGCGGTGAACGTCAATGTGGGGAATTTCTCGGATGCCGACGACATGCCCGGCATGGCCCATGCCGTCGAGCATCTGCTCTTCATGGGGACAGAGAAGGTACGTCGCTTCAGCCGAGGTCCAGTCGCTCATCTCACTAACGCGCATCCCGCTGCTCGTACCTAGTATCCGAAAGAAAACGCCTATAACCAGTACCTTGCCGCTCACTCCGGCTCGTCGAATGCGTACACCGCCGCGACGGAAACCAACTACTTCTTCGAAGTGTCCGCTACGTCGGACTCAACCGATCAACCCAATGGACAGTCTACCCCCAACGGGTCTGTGAATGGAACGGCGGCGACTTCGGAATCGGGCAGTACAGAATCGTCTGGTAACGGTTCGCCCTCGCCTCTTTATGGCGCCCTGGATCGCTTCGCGCAGTTCTTCGTGGCGCCCTTGTTTTTGGAGTCGACGTTGGATCGCGAATTGAGAGCGGTGGATTCGGAGAACAAGAAGAACCTCCAGAGTGACCTGTGGCGTCTGATGCAGCTCAACAAATCCCTCTCCAACCCCGCACACCCCTACCATCATTTCTCGACCGGAAATCTGCAGACGCTGAAGGAGGAGCCGATGAAACGGGGGTTGGAGGTGCGCAGTGAGTTCATTAAGTTCTACGAGAAGCATTACTCGTCGAACCGCATGAAGCTGGTCGTGCTCGGCCGGGAATCGCTGGATGAGATGGAGCAGTGGGTGACTGAGCTCTTCTCCGGAGTCAAGAACAAGGATCTGCCGCAGAACCGCTGGGATGATGTCCAGCCCTGGTTGGCCGACGACATGTGCAAACAGATCTTCGCCAAGCCCGTCATGGATACCCGGTCCATGGACATCTACTTCCCGTTCCTCGACGAGGAGCATCTGTACGAGTCCCAGCCCAGTCGCTATATCAGTCACCTCATCGGTCACGAAGGCCCGGGCAGTATTCTCGCGTACATCAAGGCCAAAGGCTGGGCCAATGGTCTGTCCGCGGGCGTGATGCCAGTCTGTCCCGGATCCGCCTTTTTCACCGTGTCGGTGCGGCTGACGCAGGAGGGTCTCCGCCAGTACCGCGAGGTCGCCAAGGTGGTGTTTGAGTACATTGCCATGATCAAGGAGCGCGAACCAGAGCAGTGGATCTTTGACGAAATGAAGAACCTGGCCGAGGTGGAGTTCCGCTTCAAGCAAAAGTCTCCCGCCAGCCGCTTCACGAGCCGTCTGAGCAGCGTCATGCAGAAGCCGTTGCCTCGCGAGTGGCTCCTGAGCGGGTCCTTGCTGCGTACCTTTAACCCGGACCTGATTAAAAAGGCGTTGTCTTATTTCCGCCCCGACAATTTTAGAATGATCATCGTGTCGCAGGACTACCCGGGCGATTGGGACTCCAAAGAGAAGTGGTACGGAACAGAGTACAAGATTGAAAACATCCCGCAAGACTTCATGGCCGATATTCAGAAGGCATTGGAAACCACACCGGACTCGAGGCTCCCTGATCTGCACATGCCCCATAAGAACGAATTCGTTCCCACAAGGCTGTCCGTGGAAAAGAAGGAGACCCCCGAACCGCAGAAGGTTCCCAAGCTGATTCGTCATGACGACCATGTCCGACTGTGGTTCAAAAAGGATGATCGGTTCTGGGTGCCCAAGGCAACTGTGTATGTCACACTGCGGAACCCGCTGGTGTGGGCCACCCCGGCCAATCTGGTGAAGTCCCGGTTCTACTGCGAGCTTGTCAGAGACGCTCTCGTGGAGTACTCGTATGACGCGGAGCTCGCGGGGCTGGACTACCATCTGTCTGCTAGCATCTTCGGACTGGATGTGTCCGTGGGCGGATACAATGACAAGATGTCTGTTCTTCTGGAGAAGGTGCTCACCAGCATGCGCGACCTGACCGTCAACCCGGATCGCTTCCATATCATCAAAGAACGCCTCGCTCGTGGGTACAAGAATGCCGAATACCAGCAGCCTTTCTACCAGGTCGGCGATTACACGCGTTATTTGACCGCTGAGAAGAACTGGTTGAATGAACAATATGCTGCGGAGCTGGAACATATCGAGCCTGAAGACATTTCCTGCTTCTTCCCGCAGCTACTCCGCCAGAACCACATCGAGGTTCTGGCCCACGGCAATCTGTACAAGGAGGATGCCCTCCGCATGACCGATTCGGTGGAAAACATCCTCAAGAGCCGTCCCTTGCCTCAGTCTCAGTGGCACGTAAGACGCAACATCATCATTCCTCCGGGATCCAACTACATCTACGAGCGTGCTCTGAAGGATCCTGCCAATGTCAACCATTGCATTGAATATTACCTCTTCCTGGGCAGCATGACTGATGATAAGCTCCGGTCGAAGCTGTTGCTTTTCGCCCAGATGACGGACGAACCTGCGTTTGACCAGCTTCGCAGCAAGGAGCAGCTTGGATATGTCGTTTGGAGTGGTGCGCGCTACTCTGCCACGACCATCGGGTACCGGGTGATCATCCAGAGTGAGCGCACCGCGGAATACCTGGAGTCTCGCATCGATGCGTTCCTGAGCAGTTTCCGGACCAGCTTGCAGGATATGACGGAGGAAGAATTTGAGGGACACAAGCGCAGCGTCATCAACAAGCGACTGGAGAAGTTGAAAAACCTGAGCTCTGAGACGTCGCGGTTCTGGACCCATATCGGCTCGGAGTACTTTGATTTCCTGCAGAGCGAAAGTGACGCCGCCAACGTGCGGTTGTGGACTAAGGATGATATGATCGAATTCTACAACCAGTATATCGACCCTGCCTCGCCCACGCGGGGCAAGCTCTCTGTGCATCTTAATGCGCAAAGCGGCGCGCATGTGGCCCCTACGGATCCCAAGGAGCAAAAAACACGCCTGGTCTCGTTGCTGGGTAAGCAGCTGGAGACAGGCGGCTTTGCCGTGGATGAGGCTCGCCTTAGCACGGCCTTTGAGAAACTGGACATCTCGACCGACGGCGTGAGCAAGATCCTCGACGTGTTCGCAACTTTCCTGGGTGCGGAGATGAGTCTCTCCGAACAACAGACGAAGCCTATCCTCGAACAGGCACAGCAGAACCTTGGACTGCATCTGAAGCAGCTCGGTCTGGAGTCCAAGTCGGCCCCCGCTGCCAACGGCGTTGATGCGTCTAAGCACCCGGTTTACATCACCAACGTTCCGGAGTTCAAAGCACGCCTCGCCGTCAGCGCGGGTCCCAGCCCCATTACGGATCTCAGCGAGTTTGAAGACTTTGATGCTAAGCTCTAGATTCATAGATCTGGACATACGTTTTGGATAACTATAAATGCGGTCTCATGGATTGCCTTTGATTAATATCATACGAAACTGGGTGTGGGTATGGGTTGGATGGTTGGGGTGGTGCGTTTTCAACAAGGATTGTAGATCTGTTACGAAGTCAGCTAGAACTATACGGAATCAACGTATTCATTTACGAGCTAGAACAGACTGATCGATGTATGGTGCATGGTAGAAACCGAGTAGTATACTCTGTATGGAGTAGACGATCTGGTAGGCGGTGTTCGGGGCGGTCGAATGTTTTCGCGGCAGGTCTCCGAGCGAGGTTCATCTCCCAACAGCTGGCTGAGCTATCGACCATCAACACTCTTCCACTACGCTCTCTACACGACACCACTCAGGAGCGACGCCAATTCCTCCGTCTCTAATCACAGTCAGTCCTTCCGTTCCTCATCGCTCACTCCCTGGTGGATTCTCCTCACGATGTCGACCGCCACAGCGACGACGATGCAGAGCTCCCGGCCGTAGGTTTCACCCTGCCGCAACTACCATGGCTATCGAGGAGTGATCAATGACTGACTACGCATGACGACAAACCTACAGACCCATCATGCCGAAAGACTTCTCCGCGCACCAACCCAAGACAATCCGTCTATACCCCCTCTCGAACTACACATTCGGCACCAAGGAAACACAACCGGAGGAAGATCCCTCGGTGCTGGCGCGTCTAAAGCGTCTAGAAGAGCACTACGAGCAGCATGGCATGCGCCGTACCTGCGAGGGTGTCCTCGTCTGCCACGAGCACAACCACCCGCATGTGTTGATGCTGCAGATCGCGAACGCCTTTTTCAAGCTGTACGACCCTCCTCCGGCGCAAAACCCCGAATCGAGGACCGAGCGTAGCTAATACGATCAGGCCCGGTGACTACCTCCACTTCGAGGACGAAGAAATCGACGGTTTCAAGAAGCGCCTCAACGAGCGTCTGGCGCCGGTGGGATCGCAGTTCTCCGGCGAAGGCGTCAACGAGGACTGGGAGATTGGCGATACGATCGCGCAGTGGTGGCGGCCCAATTTCGAGACGTTCATGTACCCGTTCCTGCCGGGACATGTGACCCGGCCCAAGGAGTGCAAGAAGCTGTATTTCATTCAGCTGCCTAAGAAGAGTGGGTGTCTCTCCACGCACGGTGTCGGGGGGTGTGTGTTACTGATGATGATGTGCAGAGGTCCTCTCCGTCCCAAAGAATATGAAGCTCCTGGCGGTCCCGCTGTTCGAACTCTACGATAACACCGCCCGGTATGGCCCGCAGCTCTCGGCAATCCCGCACCTGCTCTCGCGGTATAACTTTGAGTTTGTGGATGAGAATGATAATGTTGTTGCGGCGACTCCGGGGACGCCGTTACCGGATGGCCTGGCCCTCAAGACGAAGGTGCTTGCGGGCGACGACGGACAGGATCAGACGATGGCGGATCAGGCTGAAGGGGAGAACGCGGGAAGCGGGATGTGAGGCGAGACTGGGTATGTATTTACGGTTGATGTGCCTGGCATTCGCATATGTATATCATGGGTTATTAATGAGCGGTGTCTACAGGATCTAGTGCCGTTAGGACGAGACGGCGATGTTCGGACGGCGTTTATGGAGCGAGATTTGCTTATTATTTTTCTTTTTGATAGTGACTGGTCAATCAAAGGAATAAACTGCGAATGGCATTCTGTAGTACTGCAGGATAGACTTGTCCCTGGCAGCGTGTCCAGCTGACAGCAATAGAAACAAACGTTACATCTCCGCAGCCTGGCAATTACTCCGTCAGTCCATTCAAACCCAGCGCCTTCGACATACCCCGCGGACTCCGATGATCGACACGGACTCTCCGGCTGTGAACAAAATGCACAGTGCAGCTTCACCGCATGGATTGGTTCCCTCGGCCTTGGCGGGGGCTAGGCGGCGCGCCCATTCGAGGGGTGTCCGGCGTGATCATCGTGAAGAATGTCGAGTCATGAGCGGCGCTCCTCCGCATTCTCTGCAGTTCGTCGGGGTTCACCTGCCGGACTTGTCTTCATCCCTGCAAGCCGTCTCGGACCTGGGAGCGGATTGGTGGGATGACCCGATGCAGGCGTAGCGTCGGATGTCCTCCGTAGGGCTATACTTCCATGGGAGGATGCTCCGTCGATTCTTCAATTCGGTTCGTCAGTCAGCTGGTGATTGATTGATGCATATTTTACTTTTTATAGGTTTGTTTGCTCCCCTCGGGGTATTATCTTGCCCCGCTCGCGGGACTCGACCATGTGGTTGTAGTTGTGGCCTCGGTAGTATATGAGAAGGTTCTCCCTGGGTACCAGAGGGAGGGTCAGATCCCCTTGTTTCACTCGTGTGTGTATATCACGGGCCCTGGGGTCGGCTTCTCTGTCATACATGCCTCTTATGATGTTCAGTATTCGTTATACATGTCTGGTGCTGGTCACCACCCTCGTAGCCCTAGGTGTGGCTGCACCAATGAGACATGTTGCCAGAGGTATGCATCGCAGTTGACATTGTGCAATCAGGTCAACTATCATACTAAATCCTGAGCCCAGACGTCTCGACGGCGGCCCTGACGCAGCTGGACCTGTTCGCCGAGTACTCCGCCGCCGCATACTGCACCGGTAACCTCAACACCACCGGCACAAAGGTCGTCTGTCCCGCCGGCAACTGTCCGCAGGTGGAGGCGGCGGACACAACCTCCCTGAAGGAGTTTCTCGCGTAAGTCCACCAACACGCACATGTACCTGCGTAAGAACGGAGCAGTTGACGCTCCCAACAGCGACGGCCAATACGGCGAGCTGGCCGGGTACCTCGCCGCCGACTCCACGAACAAGCTGATCGTCCTGAGTTTTCGCGGGAGCCGCTCGCCCGCGAACTGGATCGCCAACCTCGACTTCATCTTTGACGATGCGGACGAGCTCTGCGCCGACTGCAAGGTGCACGGCGGGTTCTGGAAAGCCTGGCACACGGTCTCCGACGCGCTGAAGGCGGAGATCCAGAAGGCGCGCACCGCGCACCCGGACTATAAACTGGTGTTTACGGGGCATAGTCTGGGCGCTGCGATTGCGACGCTGGGCGCGGCCGAGCTGCGCACCACGGAGAAGTGGGCTATTGATGTGGTATGTGCCCAGATGCACGGTGTCTTTCTGTATGGCTGTGCTGACTAGATGGTATGTGTAGTATTCGTATGGCTCGCCGCGCGTTGGAAACCTTGAGCTGGCCGAGTACATCACCTCCCTCGGGGCGATCTACCGCGCCACTCATACCAACGATATTGTGCCCCGACTGCCCCCGGAGGCTGTCGGGTACCGCCATCCCAGCCCAGAGTACTGGATTACCAGTGCGAATGGCGTAGAGCCCACGACGGCGGATGTCAAGGTGATTGAGGGGGTGGGATCGAGAAAGGGGAATGCGGGCGAGGCGTCGCCGGATGCGTCAGCGCATTCGTGGTACTTTGGGGATATTTCTGAGTGTCAGTGATAGTCATAAGAAACGATACTATATACTTGTCTAGATACTGTTCGGTGAAGCGTAGTACTAATCGGGTTAGCGCAGGCGGCAAGGCCAGCTGTCGCCTGGTTGGCTGGAGGACATGCGCAACTGGCATTATTACATCGGCCTGACTGCATCTGCCTTTCTTCCTCCTTTCTTCCTTTCGCACTTGTCTGGCGCATGGTGCTGGTCATTCACGCGCCATGATTGCTGCGTCGAGAACGTGATCTGACTTACTCCGCCTTACCTCCTCTCGGCATCTCTTGCCCGAGTCCGCTATCCGCTGTCCCTGTCCGCAACCACTTCAACTCGTTATGCTCTTCTTCCGCAGCGGGCCTAACAGCCCGCGTCGTCGCAATCGGGAGAAGGCGATCCTCTCGACTATCCTCATCGTCTACGCGATCTATTTCCTCTTTTTCGCCAACTCCGGCCCCCGACAGTCGGCCGAGTCGCTGCATGATGAAGTCTCCAGGGGAGGACCGCTTCGCGACTCGCGGTCAGGACAGGCGACGCCCTCCCGACGACCGCCGACGCAGCCAATCTCCAAAGACATGGTGGTCGCCAGCATGAAGAAAGACAATGTGTCGTGGCTGTTTGAGTACTTCCCCGACTGGCATAAGAGCGTGTATGTGGTGGACGACAAGAAGGCGCCGTTGACGGTGAAACTGAACAAGGGGCGGGAGTCGATGGTATACTTGACGTGAGTTGCACCGACCAACCCCTTAATGTGCCTTTCTAATCGAAGGTCTAGGTACATCATCGACAACTACGACAACCTGCCCGATAATATCCTCTTCATCCACTCACAACGCTACCAATGGCACAACGACGACCCGTACTACGACGGCGTCCCCATGCTCCAGCACTTCCAGATCCCCTATCTACAGAAACAAGGCTACGTCAACCTCCGTTGCGCGTGGGTCCTCGGGTGTCCGGCCGAAATCCACCCGCTCAGCGACTTGCATCGACAGGACGTGCATGCCGGCGAGTACTTCAAGGACGGGTTCAAGGAACTCTTCCCGGGGGAGGAGGTCCCGGCGGCCGTCGGCGCGTCGTGCTGCGCCCAGTTCGGCGTCACAAGGTGGCAGATTCGTAAGCGCCCGAAGAAAGACTACGAGCGGTTCCGGACGTGGTTGGCGGAGACGCCGCTGCCAGACGACGTGAGTGGTCGGATTATGGAATACTCCTGGCACAGTACGTATATCTCCAAAGCATATGGGATATGACGCTAACGACGATGATAGTGATCTTTGGCAAGGATCCCGTGTATTGTCCTTCCGCGGAGGAATGCTATTGCAAGGTCTTTGGGCTGTGCGACCTCTCCTGTCCCAGCGAGGGCGAGTGTGTCGGCCGCTATGTGCTCCCGCCGTATTCGAGTCTTCCGAAGGGGTGGCCGTTTATCGGCTGGAAAGGACAGCCGCAAGACCCGACCACCGGATTGCCGGAGTCGTGAGCCAGGATTGGCCTATAAGAAGTGCAATTGTCCCGGTAAGGGAGTACCTCATCGCCGAATCCTTCCGGATCCATACCAGGTCGTTGCCGGCATATGCGAGCTAGCGTGCCCCGTGCTGCAGCTTAGAGGCACTGGACCGGGCATGCAGCGTTAGCGTCTGCAACTGTCCATCCGAGCACTGCGGTTGAGCAGTCAATGGACAAACGGGCCTTTAAAGTAGCACCGCCATGGCAAAATCTGAAAGTCAAGCGTCTGCGGGCTAGAACCGTGAATGTCGTGGCTATTTGTATCATAGTTACATATAAATTATTGAATGAAGGACGTCGATTATGATGATATTTGTAGGCGTGAGACTCGTAGATGTTTATTGTCAGTACGTCCAGTGCAACGGGTCATCCACGGTCTGGACCTCGGTTCTCCCGCCGCCGGAATCGAGCTCTCCCCGCATCTCCGATTCCTCCATCTCCTTTCCTCTCCCACCGACATCCTTCTAAGAAGGGATCCAACCAGAGGTATTTCATATGACCTACTCGTGATAGTCAACCTACTAACCTTGCTCCAGGTCTTCATCGCATTGCATCTTAAACACTGTCCATCGAACCAGACCAGCAACTCAACCAGCAAAAAGAACCCAACATGCTCATCATCGGCCTAACCGGCTCCATAGCCACCGGCAAATCCACCGTCTCGTCCATCCTCTCCTCGCCGCCGTACTCGCTCCCCATCATTGACACGGACATTCTCGCCCGCAAGGTCGTCGAGCCCGGCACTCCAGGCTACAAAGCCATCGTCAGCTACTTCGGGCCCAGCACGCCGGACCTGCTGCTGCCCGCGGCGCCCGACGACCCCAGCGGCGCGCGGCGCGCGCTGAACCGTCCGGCGCTCGGCCGCCGCGTGTTTGGCACCTCCGAGGAGCGCAAACGCGACCGCATGATCCTCAACAAGATCGTGCACCCGGCCGTGCGCTGGGAGGTCTATAAGGCGCTGCTGTACTACTTCCTCCGCGGACACTGGGCCGTCGTGCTGGACGTGCCGCTGCTCTTCGAGAGCGGCATGGACGTCATCTGCGGCACCGTCGTGGTGGTCGGCGTGTCGGATCCGAAGGTGCAGATGGCGCGGCTGCGCGCGCGCGACCCGCATCTGTCGGCGGAGGATGCGGAGAACCGCGTCAGCAGCCAGGGCGATGTCAAGGGGAAGGTGGAGAAGGCGGAGTTCCGCGGGACGGCGCGCGCGCGCGGCGTCATCGTGTGGAATGATGGCGATAAGGAGGAGCTCGAGAGGGAGGTGCAGCGGGCGGTGCGGGCGATCGGCGCGACGAGTCCGCGCTGGTGGGCGTGGTTGTTGCTGTTGGCGCCGCCGTTGGGGATCGGCGTCGCGGCGTGGAATCTGGTGCTGAATTATCTGACGCAGCGGCGGTGGGAGAGGAAGGAGCGCGAGGAGAGGGCTAGGCTGTAGGTGTTGTGGGAGTGTCTGCCTTATTCTAGACTGATCTATATGTTCTACGGATTCGTTTGTGGCGTTGCGGTGCTGCCGTTTGGCTTGTATAGATTGCGTTATACCATCGGGGATCGATTTGACTGTGGCGGCCAAGCCCCTATTATTGAAAGTGCATTGAACTCTGAGCCCGAGCCTGAGCCTGATTGGGAGGCGTTCTGCAGGCGTACCCCGTAGTTACAGTACTATGGACGATGTGCGGGTGACATGCATTAGACCTCTCACAATCTTATACATCATCTGGCCCACTCCAAACGGGGCTCGTCAAGAGATCAAGAAGCTCCAACATCCTCGGACCTGAACTACGTACACTTCCCTACCGCACTCCCCTCCTCTCTGCCATCCACACCGACAGGATGTTGTTCTGCCCCTGCAACGACCGCTCGCGCAATGCCACCGTCGAACGGCTGGAAACGGAGAAACCGCGCCTGGTACAGGTGCGGACATCGACAGGAGAATGTCATCCTGGGAAGCGCGTGTCGCTGCCCGAGAGAGTGCAGTCGCAGATGTCGATGAGGGAGTCTTTTGGAAACTATAAACGGACGTCCGTTGGTAGGTCGTTGGTCTCGCTATATGAAATGGGATTGTATCAGACTGACGGGGTCTTAGAATCTTCTAGGTTCCGAGAGGTACGTGACATATATCTACCAGGCAGCTGGTGGCTCATGCACGGTGGATCGAGAATGACCCTGGTAGATTACGGAGTCGTATAAGAGCTCCCTGCGCTCCAAGACCGCGCGGTGCCCCATCAAAGGGATCATGAGATCGCCAACACGAAAATCTCTTTCCGAGAACACGACCTCTCCAATCCGGTGGGCCGATCGAAGACCGTCACACATCCGGGCGAGTCCCAGTGATGCTCGCTTGGCGGCGAAGCTGAGGAGAGATATTGATCTCGACAATGACCCGGCCATCGTTATTGAAGAGGTTGATATTGATAAAGGAGACGTCATTGTTGTTGGGCGCTCTGCCAACTCATCCGAAAGCGACACCGATTGATCGTCGTGGTTCGTTGGCGACCATTGACAGGCTGTCTGAAGCTGGACTGCCATACTGCCAACCAGTGGCAGATTTCATAACAAAGCCTTCCGGCCGGATTATTTGTGCTTTCGTTTCTTCTGCGATTTACCACCCCCGACTGACCCGTGCCGCCCGCCCGATATACTCGAGAGTTGCGACAATTTAACCCTCCTGGGCTGGGGCTTGCTCTTTTCCTTCTTGCTGGATGTCTTTGTCTTTGCTTTGTTGATCATGGACTCGACGTCGTCCTCATCTTCTTCTGAACCTTCTTCATCCGAATCGGATTCCTCATTCGCTCTCTGTGGCGTCTATATTTCATTAGTACACAGTCTCTTGATATGAATCATTAGGACCAACCTCAGTTGTCTTCTTCTTCCGCTTAAAATTCCCGTAGGCCTGTCGACCACCGAGCACCATGTCTTCATCGTCGGCATCGAGCGAATCCGCCGCGACCACCATCGGCTGCACAGAAACCTGCGCTCCGGCATCGTAGTCGAGCACCCATTCCGTCTCCCCGGCCTCTGCGGCCTGACGCGAAAGTGCTTCTCTCCTTTTATCCTCCTCGGCCGCGAGGGCAGCGGAGATGGCCTCCAGATCTGACGATGGACCGGCGGGGCTCTGGGTCGGCGTGAGCCTCTGGCGCTTGGGGGTGGGCGTGCTCGATTCGGTCGGAGTCTGCGGGGATTCTTTGGCGGCAGCTGTCGCAGCAGCTCGTTGCATGAACTGTTGATGTGAGTAGACGAAACTGGAGCTCGATTGAATGGACGCACCTTCATGGTCAGAAGCCGCGAAGACATTGTCTTCTCTCCCTTAGAACTGGACATGGTGGTAGGAGTCCTCTGTTTTAATCCAGAATCAATCGAGATAAATTAGATATTAGGGTGGTCGTAGACGTGATACCATCGATGAGAAAAAAACAGGCGGTAGAAGTCGCAGCGGCAGAACAAGCGCAGGAGCGCAGCCGATTGGCCGCTCAAGCGGCTGGCGGCCTCCCGCAAACCTCACCCTTGAATCGACTTCCTCTCTCGCTCCGCCCTCTCCCGTCCGTCCACCACCACCTCCTCCCACAGCTTGTCCACCACACCAGGCATTCCAATTGCCGACCGACACCATGCTGCCCATCGCCCGGACCCGTCTGGCGACTTTCTCCGCCGCGCGTTTCGTCGCCCGCGCCAGCTACTCCTCCACCGTGCCTCGCTTCTCGGAGAACCGCATGCAGCCCAACGACCCCAACCCGCCCACCGCCACGCCCAACGTCTCCGCCACCAATGCCACCCCCGTCGACTCGATGGGCTCGTGGGATCACGCCCTCCAGGAGGAGCCCGAGGTCGGCGAGCGCACCCGTCACCTGCAGGCGCCGAACCGCGCCCGCACCTGGGCGGCCAGCCAGCAGCCGCGAGAGCAGGCCATGACTGGGCCTCGTTTTGAGCAGACGATAATGGAGCTGCAGGTGCGTTTGACTTAGCCCCTGTCATGACTTAATCGATCGTGGATCTGGAAAGAACGGAGGGGATAATGCAACGAGTGCTGACCTGACCTTAGCCCCAACCCATGGCTGCCATCGAGCTCATCCACAAGCAGCCCGTCCGCTGGACGAAGAAGCGCGTCGTCAGCTGCGACGGCGGCGGCGGTCCCCTCGGCCACCCCAAGATCTTCATCAACACCGACAAGCCCGAGATTGCTACCTGCGGCTACTGCGGTTTGCCTTTTGTAAGTCCTATTGATGTTGCTGTGCATGTACGGTGGGAATAAAGCTGACGGTTGCAGGCCCACGAACAGCACCGCGCATACCTCGAGTCCCTCCCTGCCACCAGCTACCCGCTCAAGCCCGTCGGCGATGCCGCCGAGGTGAACGAGACCCAGCGCGTCACCGAGGGTGGACTGGAGCAGCGGTAGAGAGAGCGAGAGCATTGTTTTTTGGCGTTGATGACTTGTCTTGTTTTATATCTCCCCATGTGCCTGGGGTTTGTACAGAGTGTACCAGAACCATGAGCTGCTAGAATAAAAGGTTACTATTATCATGTCTTTCCATGTTTGAGACGAGACTATATGCGGTATTCGCTATCTTCTAAACCCTATAGACTCCCGGCGAGTCAGGCCTTCTCGCCCTGGATGGTAGCCACCACCTTTCTCGCGTGCCGACTCGTCCGGAACTCGAGGTACCAGATTCCCTGCCAGGTGCCGGTAGCCAGACGACCATTGGAGATGGGGATGTTGACGGAGGCGCCGATGAGGGCCGATTTAATATGGGCCTGATCTGTCAGCATTCATTCTGTCGACAGCCAGAAACAATGCTAGGTAAATGGGAGCGCACCGGCATGTCGTCCTCTCCCTCGGCGGAGTGGCGGTAGAGGTTTCCCTTGCGGTCGTACGGGGCGATCCGGTCCAGCGCATCGCTCATGTCGGCGCGCACGTCGTCGTCCCAGTTCTCGTTCAGCGACAGCGCGCAGCTGGTGTGCTGCACGAACAGGTTCAGCATGCCCACCTTGTAGTCGCGGATCTCGGGCACTTCCGACAGCACATGGTCGGTGATTAGGTAGGAGCCGCGGGAGCGAGGGGGGAGGGTGAAGTTTTTCTGGAACCAGGACATGGTGCTGTGCTGGTGACTAGAGTGGTGGGATGGGTGGTCTGCGGTGGTTAGTTGGTGGTTTGGTGGGGTTGAAGGAGAGAGAGGAGTAGCGCGAGGTGATTGCATTGAGGGGCAAGCTGGGACTTACTTTGCTGAGAGGTATGCTGTCAGTCGGTAGGTATAATCTGATGGTATTGTGTAAGAAGGTGCAGTGTCTAGATGCTCAAGAGGGGGGAAGAGGAAATTGTGTTGATGGTGGGGAATCGCGCCGACGTCATTTTGCGCCCGACTCTCCACGCCTTTTGATAGGAGGGACGGACGCTCGTTACAAATCCTCGCAGCACCAGAGGTCAAGAATATATACTAGGGTAGATTTCTACCTATATAGGTTCACTACGCTACGGCGCAGAACACACCTTCTCCTGCACAGATGGCGGATTACTCGTCGCAGACCCCCAGTCGATGCGTCCCAAGGCCTGTCCGGCCGGAGTGGAATTGTCCGATCGAATCTACTCCGTCAGTATAGATCACTGCCGAGTCGAGAAGCACGCTCACATAGTTCGTCTGCTCCACGTAATGCCACCAGTCGTCGCTGCGGAAGGCATTGTCTGTTGACTGCGCAATCGGTCCAATCCAGAGGGTGTTGGTCGTGTCAAAGTGGGCATGTTTCGACCACGCGACATACACCATCGGATGGTCTTTGTCCTTGCCTCCTGTCGGGGGCTTATCGGCACTGCGGACCTCGTCCGTCGAGAGCGTACTGTGGATATCGCCCCAGGCGAGATTATGATAGCCGCTGTGCGCAGACAGCAACGCCCTCGATGGTGCCCACATGTTGTCCGCATCGCGCGAATGCACGACAATCACGCGTTCCCAGTCACTGCCCATCGTTCAGCCAGACCCTCTCTCACCCAGACACAGAAGAACGTACTAATCATGCCCGGTGTCAATGATATCCAACACCTCCGCCCCATCCTTCTCATAGAACAGATTATATACCACGCGCACATCCGTATCGTTGCATTTCCGATACGTGTAGTAGATGGGAAACGCCGGGCCTGGGTGACCGCGGTCCACGCCTGGATTCCGACAGCGACACCCGACATCTGGGTAATCGCACTGCGGCGCGGGAGGCGTCTTGTGCGCGTCGTCGTATACATCCGGCATCGAGGGTGAGCCGCCAAACGCCCACGTCGGATAGCACGGGTGGTGGTTGTCCCATTCGCCGAAGAACCACATCGGGGCATATCGATCGGCCAGATCGGCGCCGCCGTTGTCCAGCAGGGAAGTCATTTCCTCGTCGGTGATGCGCGTGGCTGCGTGTGCGGGCTGGCTGGCTGCCAGCATGGCGATGACGAGGGGCTGGGGTTTGAAGCGCATGTTGTTGGGGAGTAGCTGCAATAGAATAGTCGTGGTTCATAGATATGTAGACCGTGTTTACGGGTGATGCGCCCTTTATGCCATCGCTGGACGACGTAAGGCATGGCACATGCGGATTCCATGGCTTGTCGGCAGTCGACCCGGAGTCACAGGGCTGTCTGCGCATTCCTGACTCGTTCCAGGGAGAGGGAGGGGAGGGGTGTGGTGACATCGCGCCCGCCCTGGCGATCACAAGATGGGGTTTGATCTGAAGAGGTAGTCTTTCCGTGTCTGTCTAGGCGGGATTCGGATCGATAGCTCACGTTGATCGGGGACTGGGCCAATGATGGGTTCGTGCGATGGGGTGGCTTGTCGGGATGACCCTAATATCGGACTGTAGTGCACTCCGATAGTCGACTGAAGCTGATGTCGATCGCCTTGTATTCACCAAATCGATGGAGCATGTTCTTGGATTTTATCCGCGATTGGTGGGTGTTTGTGTACCTTACGGAGGGAAGTATTTGCAGGTGGTGTCCCATAAACCGATCTATAAAACAAAATCTATTGCACATCAATACTTATACATTTTATCCACTCCGTCTGTCACGACTCATCTAACCGCTCACTGCTCCCATCTAATCCAGCCCATTTGGGTTTTCCATCGGGAATGTCGACGACCCGGCTGCTGTAGAAGATGTGGCAACTGGGTTGTCAGTGGTCAGCACAGTAGATGTATAAGAGAGGAGAACATACTCTACTTCAAACGTCTCCTTCCATCGCTTTTTCTCTTGGGGAAATAAGCCCCTGTCCACAGATGGCGGGAACAAAAGACAGACATTGCGCCCTTCGTCCATGATGGGCGTGCGACAAAACGCACAGGACACTTTGGTCGGGTTGGTGTATTCGGTGGTCTTCTCCGACGAGGAGTAGAATGACAGACCCTTTGAGCCGCGACAGAAGGAGATGTCCGATTTCTGGAAGATGGCCGCCCATTGAAAAGGGGCTCCTACAATCGGTCAGGTGAGTTCAGTGGATTGAGTGGTCGGGAGTCCAACACGTACCGTGTAACAACTGACAGCCTTGACAGTGGCAGAACTTGGTCGCCAAGGGCCGTTCACGCTTGATCTTGAACGACACCCGACCGCATTGACAGTGGCCCTTCCATTTCGTCGGGCCGAATTCCTCGTCCGACTGGATTTTATATGGCGGTCGGTGTCGCCAGGGCTCTTCCGAGAGGAGCTGGGGCTGAGGGAGGGGGAAGTCCTCGGTGGGAACGTCTTCAGCCATAGTACGCAGGCACCTATGTATGTAGTCTTTGTGGATGAAGAGGAATCATATGGGTACGACTCTGAAGTTGTTATATAGAAAGCGGTAGACATGATGTCATGCGATGATGTCAATGCCGTAGCAAGATTCAAGATTTCACCGCGATAGTTCGAGGTGGAACATACTACATCGATCTCCTTCAGTCTAGGTATGTCATGGACCCTGCTCAGGTGGAGATGGATTTTGATATACCAGACTCCAGCAGACTCCAGTTCATTAATCTTGTCTGATGCTCTTCTGGACACTAGAGCTGCATTGTTCATCCATCCGATGCAACTACCAGTGGTCATCCATATACGTACGGCCTCGATCAATTGACCATCAAAGGTACCACGCAATGACCAGCAAACCGCTTGAACATCCAACATCCAACAGAGAACGCCCGGGGTCTAAGGGCGCCTGTAACCGCTGGGATGAAACGCCCGCATCTTGGCATCGAGCCTGGAGTGGGGACTGATAGGCCGATAAAAATACCCCGACCACCACGGCGTCACAAGCGGACAGCGCTGGGAGTCGATCATGACCGGGGAGGCCTGTCGGGATGGACATATAAGAGGAGGAGGGGGAAGTGTTGGAATTGGAACTGAACTGAACTGAAGGGAGGTGAAGTAAAGGATTGCCTAAACAGGCAGCGGTTGCGGGTAGACGCAGACAACAAGCATCCTCCTGCTGCTCCTCCTCCTAATAATACTAATAAGAACTCATCATCCCCTCCCCACTCCATCCTCTTCTTTCTTCTCCCTTTCTCTCTCCTCTTCCCCCCTCTCCTCTCCTCAATCCATGCCTCGATCATGGGTTTTCTAAGCCGACTGCGCAAGCGCTCCAAAAGCCAGAGTCGCGTGAGGAGAAACCCCTCCTGGGACCTGCGCTTCGAATCCCACGACCCTCTGCCTCCGTTACCCCCGTCGGGCCCCGATTACACCCAGAAGCTCCCACGCCCCGTGCTCCGTCGGATTTTCGCCTCGGTCTGCCCGCATACCGTGGATAACAGTTATGATACCTCGGAGGAGTCGATGACCGATGATGGCTGCATGCTGTGTGATATGCGCGATCTCGCCCACTGTGCGCTCACCTGCAAGCGCTGGTTCACCGATGCACGCGAATTGCTGTAAGAGATCCTTTGTCTGGCGGGAGGGGACCCGGACTAATCACCGTGTTCCATGCAGTTACACCCACGTCCGCATCGACCCCGTCCATTATTGCGAACTCGAGGTCGAATTGGCCGCCAAACGGAAACGTCGCTCCTTCTTCGACCGCAATGGCGACCCCATTGACGCCCCATTGGTGCGCCTGAACCTCTTTATGCGATCGGTCCGACAGTCTCAGGGTCTGGGAAATATGGTGTTATCCTTGCGCATGCCTTATATGACCCGGGAGGCCAGCAAGGCGGACATCGCCCGCACCGTCTCGGTTCTACCCAATCTGCGCTACGTGGACCTCCCGGCCGGCATCTACAGTGACGACCAGTCCTGTTTGGCCTTGAAGCAAGAGCTCATGGCCCGCTGTCCGGATATCCGCCGGATGAGTTACCGTCACGGTGCCGAAGGGAGCTTCTCCCAAATCCCCTCCTCGCACTTGTGGGTGAACCTGGAAGTCCTAGAGCTATCCAGTCTACACATCGAGCCCAACATCCTGCGGTTCGGTCTGGGGTCGTTCCCTCGGCTGCGGGATCTGACCTTGAGCGACCTTCCCTGGTTGGACGACCCCGCCTTTGCTCCCTCCCAGTCTCTCCCCCCATTTCCACCCGTACAACGGCTCACACTTCGAGATACCCCTAATGTCACGGCAAGCGGGCTTGCCGGTTACTTCGCTCATTCTTCGAACCGCAATGCGCTGGTGTCTCTCACACTGTCCACGACGGGAGTCCATCCGGCGACTTTGCATCAAATCGTCGCTGCTACGCCCCGTCTACGTGCCTTGTCGGTGGTCCAAGAGGTTGCGCGGTCGTTCCCCGCGGACAAGGTGCCACCACTGGCGTCGAGGTCGCTTGAATTGTTCCACTACGAGATTACCTCTGCTTCGGGATCCTATGGCCTTCCTCCCGTAGCCCCATCGTACTATAACTACTTGGTGTCTTCCTTGGTGTCCAACACGCTTCCTGCCCTGCGCGACCTCTATGTCCGGGACTCCAACTTCCCCGAGACGCTGCTACTTGCGCCGCCGCCTCGACTGTTTGGCGGCGGCGAAAACGGACCCCAGTTTGCTGGCGTCCTGGCCCAGCCACTCAATGTGTACAGCAAGGGGCTGGATGAACTGGAATGGAACTTTACGCCGTACGAGCCCCCGGCCACGCGAGGGCGCCGAGACAGCACCACGCGGCCTGTGAGTTTTCACGACGCGCAGCTCGGTCGGTCCTGGGGCGGAGACGCCCGGAAAAGCGTGTTGGTTGGAAACGGATTCGGCGGATTCCTGGCAGTACCCGTGGACAATGAACGGCCTCGCAGTAGTGGTGGTTGGCGACGGGAGAGTCGACAGGATCTATGGCGGTAGGAGTAGCATGATGGTGTAATGTCATGATATATATACCCTTGAGTTGGCATACGTGTAACATGAGCTATGCAGATTGAATGTGAATACCTAGGCAATGGGACGGCCAGAATCCATGTCTCTAACAGCTCTTCCCCTCTCCACTGCCTTTAACTTCCGCATCCGACACAGACTGAAACACAACACGGACATCCACCTCCACCGGAGTCTGTAACAGTGAAATCTGCCGGGGATTAGGTATGATCGACAGCGCCAGCCCCGATGAATTCACCCGAGGTTTTTGGCAAAGCTTGAATCCCCGCACGGCTTATACTTATATAAGTGCCACCGGAGGTTTCACCTGTTTATACTGCATCGTACCGAAGCAATTGAATCGCAATGGCGAGGTACTTGGTTCTCGCAACATCGTTGTCTTTGCTCCCCCAGGCGCATGCTCTTGTGCGACCCGATGGCGTGGTACGGTCCACAGCTTCTTTGGTGTCTACATGCTAATAGCACGACAGGGTCGCCTCCCAGCCCTAGGCTGGAACTCCTGGAACGCATTCAACTGCGACATCAACGCGACCAAGATCCTTACTGCGGCCGAACAGGTCGTGAATCTGGGCCTGAAGGATCTAGGCTACGAATACATCAACAGTGAGCTTGTCCTACGTGCAGAAAGGCCGTAGACTAACCCCAGCAGTCGACGACTGCTGGTCCGTCAAAGACCACCGCGACCCCAACACGCAGCGCATCATCCCCGACCCGACCAAGTTCCCCAATGGAATCTCAGGCCTTGCGTCGCAGATCCACGGCATGGGCCTGAAAGTGGGAATCTACAGCAGTACGTCTCCACGCACCCACACTCTAATCCCTCATCACCCTATCTAACACATCCATTACAGGCGCCGGCGACACCACCTGCGCAGGCTACCCAGCCAGCCTGGGCCACGAGGCCATCGACGCGCAGTCCTTTGCCGAATGGGGCATTGACTGTACCTCCCCTCCCCCCTTACCCCCGTCATCCCGTACCCGACTGATAGACGACAGACCTGAAATACGACAACTGCGGCGTCCCACAGAACTGGACAGACCAATACAGCTTCTGCGTCCCTGACAGCTACGACGACACCGTCTTCCCCAACGGCACCTGTCCGGACCTCTCCAACCCTGCCCCCGCCGACTACAACTGGAGCACCTCGCGCACCGCCCAGCGCTATACCGCCATGCGCGACGCCCTCCTCGCCGTCAACCGGACGATCTTGTACTCGCTGTGCGACTGGGGGCCAGGCGGACGTGAATGCCTGGGGCAACGAGACGGGGAGTTCGTGGCGCATGTCGGGGGATATCAGCCGTACTTCTCTCCCCTGTCCCTATATATGGACTAATGTGAGTGCTAATTGATGGGGACAGCGGAATGGTCGCGCATCGCGGAAATCGCCAACGAGAATAGCTTCCTCATGAACTACGTCGGGTTCTGGGGCCATCCGGACCCGGACATGCTGGAGGTCGGGAACGGGAATCTGACGCTGGCGGAGAACAGGGCGCATTTTGCGCTGTGGGCGGCGATGAAGTCGCCTCTGATTATCGGGACGCCGGTATGTTTCACCTCCCTTCCCTCTCCCCCTTCTCGTTTCTGTCATCGGCTAGAGAGAGTATGGCAAGCTAAGGGTTGATTTGATTCGTAGCTGGACCAAATCGACGACGCGCACCTAGCCATCCTAAAGAACAAATACCTCCTCGCGTTCAACCAGGACGCCGTCGTGGGCCGGCCGGCGTACCCCTATAAATGGGGGTATAACCCGGACTGGACGTTTGATGCGGCGCACCCGGCGGAGTACTGGTCCGGGGCGTCGGTGGCGCTGAACGGGACGCTGGTGGTGATGCTTAATTCGGAGGACGGGACGAGCACGCGCACGGCGGTGTGGAGTGAGATCCCGGAGTTGAAGGCGCTGAATGGCACTCGGGGGATGGGGAGGGCACGGGGACGGGCACTGGGACGGCGGGCTGCGGGCGGGTTCAAGGTGACGGATGTGTGGACGGGGGAGGATTTGGGGTGCGTGGGGGAGAAGTATAGTGTGGAGTTGGAGAGTCATGATGCGGCTGTGTTGGTTGTTGGGGAGGGTTGTTAGTACTACGTAGTACTCTGTATTTTGGTTACTGGGTAGGTGTCTGTTAATTGGAATTGTGTGGAGTTGGAAGATAAACTATTTTCTAGGAGTAGACTATGGATGAAGCGTGCAACAAGGCATTGTATAGGATAGTAGCGCTGGAATCTTCATACGAGTACTAGATAAGATAATCAGCCATATGCATAAGCATAATTCACGATCAATTTCTCCGCCACTCCGATAGTGTTGGGCTCCAATCTAGATTCCGTTGACCGCGAACTCATCAATACAGTATTAGACCGACACCCGAGCGGAGTCATGCAGATCTGAATGTGATCCATCAACCTTCGTAGTCGGTGAGCCAGTCGCAGTGGCAACGATGGGCCAGACGGGATCGGCGTGCCGGGCTAGTCCATAGTCTGCCGACTATTGAGTCACTAACCAGTAGCCCAAGCGGAGATGGATATCTACCAAGAGAATTCGATACATGAAGCAAGTAGATGGTAATAATAATAATATATTGTATATAGCGGTATATAGTAGTATCCTCCGTATCATCGTAATCATGCCAATCCTCATACCCAAACCAATGCAAAGTGGAGAAGAGAAGAGCCATGCCCAACGCTAGGCACCATGAATGCGACGATCTAAAACCACGCTAGTCGCGAACAAAGCAAGCCAATTTTGAAATCCAAACGCCACCGCTGGAGAAGCCGAAGAGTCGAGAAAGGGGGTATCATAATGGCACATCGAACGTCAAACGCAATCAATCAGTAGGCGGGAATGGCTCCAATGATTTGACCTTGCGTCTCAGGATAGTACCCTTTCTCGATTTCAGCGTCGGACAGCGAGATCGTCGTGGACTGCGGCTGCTTTTCGAATGCATCCAGCATGGGCTGCGGCGGCGACGGCGGCATGGAATCGTCCTCGGAGTCATCGTCCGAGTCTGAGGCCAGCTCAGGAGGGGACTGTCGGGACGGGGACCGCGTCAGGGCCAACTCTTCCGTGTCGTCCAGGTCGTCGTATTCAAAGTCGGAATCCGAGTCCGAGTCGTAGTCTTCTTCCACTTCGCGCTCGTGGACGACGGCGACGGGCGATGGCGCCCGTCGGCGGATGGGAGCGTATGTGGTGGGTTCGTAGTCGTCTTCTTCCAGGTCGGAGTCATCGCTGACATCCGAGTCCGCGTCGGAAATTTCCTCCGCATCCCAGTCGTCCTCCGGGTCCTCAATGATGGTCTCGGCCCACTGGATGTGACGATCGGACGACTGGGACGCCTTGGTGACGCCGCTGACGGTCTGGTTGAACCAGCGCTCTTGCTCCTGCTCAGCGTCGGCGAGGTCGAGCATCAGCGAGTCGAGGAGGTTGGCGTGGCCAACCAGCAGACGGAGATCATGGTCCGCGCGAGAAGCCTCTCGAGTAAGCTTCTTGCGGGCCGTGTGGGCGAGATAGTATGTTTGCGTGATGCTCATTTTCTTCTGAGAGCGACGACGGGCGAGGGAGGAGAAGAATTCGGAAGGAGAGAGATCTGGGGAGGAGGAGGAAGAAGATGAGGGAGAAGAAGTAGAAGTTGTGGGGGGAGGCAGAGGCAGCCATGGCGCAAGATCCGGCCCGGCCGTGTTGATGTGCTTATGAGCTCAGGAAAGTCAGTGTGACTCAGGACAATCCGTTGTTGGGCGGTGTCGGGAGGCCCAATCAGGCGGGGCAGCGAAGGAGGCGGTGAGGTTGATATGTAGCAGGTTCTTATCAATCCAGGCAGGGATCCGTAGGTGTGGCTAATGATGACGGAAATGGATAGATAGAGTGTTGAGATCAGGTCGGGGGGAGATTATGTATCTGTTGTAGGACAACGAACACGTCGAGGAATATCAGAAGAAAAAAAAAAGACCAGGATGATCATCCGGGAGAGAGGGACTTGATATATCCACTACGAATTCTACTACTGCTTGGTGATGGACCCTCTTCTTAGGCAGAGAAGAAAAAAATAACGAAAAACCCACTTAAGTCCGTCGCACCGATCGGATCCCGGCCCAGCGAGAGAAAATCATCCGTGGGTCGGCGACACCGGATCAGGCCCACAAGGCTCTCTGCCCTCACCGCTCACTTACACTCCAATTGTATTTCCGTCTGGTGAGTCACCGGATGACCAATCTTTCCGCCCGTTACCTCCGGTCGCTGTCAGGTTCTTCCCTTTTCTTCCGGATCTTCGAACGTTCCAGGGTTCTGTTCGTCTTTCGCTCTTAAGGACGGCGTCCCCCTCTCCGGCTCGGGTTCTGGCCGCTAGTAGCATTAGTGAGCATATCTCTGCTTGCTCATCGTCCTGATTGGAAATCACTCGGGTTTTGCATCTTCCTCCGCTTTCTTCTTCCGCTTATTTCCAATCCCCATGATCGATCTGCAATCTTGCTAATGACCATGACCATGGCTCATGGCTTATGGCTCATGGCTTATGGCTCATGGCTTATGGCTCATGGCTTATGGCTTATTAACAAGCACTGGAATGTTCCGTCATCCCCATGAGGGTCCCCAATCTCCCCATCAGGCAACTCGTATATCGTACTCCCGATCAGGCAACTGGGGTTTACTCTCAGCCCAACACCCTGACGCCTAGACCACTGCCTAGTAAATTGTTGGTCTACTCCGTAATCTCGTCAGCCTCCTCTTGATCCCCTCTAATCTCCCGCCAGACAAATCATATCAAAGAACCCGCCCACGTAATAAATGCCAGCTCAGCATTCCTCCGCACAGCTCTGAGACATCTGCGGCTCTTCCCTGGGCTCGGGTCTGTCCTGACCGCCCTCCATCTAGATTGCACAGCTTGGCATATTGTCCAGCCACGCCAAGAAGACGATCCCCCTGGGCTGTGTTGCGAGTGCTCCATACCCAAGCCCCAGGCCTCCAGATTTCCTGCTACATTATTGCATGCCCGATGCGAATACGACGGGATGTATGATATGCAAAGCCACGCGTAACATTTCCCCAGGCTACCCAGGTTGCCATGGTATCACGCGTTATCGCACCATGTCTGCCCCGCATCACAGGCAGCGTCCAGCACATCCGGGGGACCGGACCATCCTCCCACCATCACGACTATCACGATGAATAATGATGACTAGTTAGAGACTAATAATACCTCCAAAACCAAAGACCGACCCATCCCATGATAGTGGTAAGCTCGCTGTCATGGTCGAACCATAGCCCCATATCACCCGAGATACCATCTGAACCGCAGAGTCTAGACTGATGATGTGCTGGCGATAGTATCCTCACGAAGAACTCCCCAATCCGTTCGTTGTCACCAGATAAGATGCGCAGGTGACGTCATGACAGTTCCGCTCGCAAATAAGCAGCTGCCAGGTGAATAATAAGATTGTCCCGTTGTAATGGAAGACATTGTCAAGGGAGTTTCGGCCGGAGACATCGATCCAGAACTTCTTAGGCCTAAGGTAGGGAATACGAAGTACTCTAGAACGTTGAACGTTATGATATCCATCTGTCCGATCGGGCGCTGAAGAAATCAATCCACCCGAGAATCTGGATCGCAGTGGAGATAACACGGAAATGACCGAGTAGCACACATGGCACAATTACATAACGTTATGCTGAGTTATGCTGTGAATCGGCGATCTTGGCGTCGGTCTCGGGGTTGGGCTGTCCGACTCGCCGAGGTGGTTCCGGGTTCCGTGGACGGGGTTGAGCCGAGGTCAGCTGGTTCTATCGCGAACTATTATCAATCGGATCAAATTTTACTGCCGGTTTCCGGCTTTTTGGTGAGCCATGTGAACATGCCCGGATCGTTGGTTCCGACAATTGTACTTGAATTATGCATTTCTGTCCATTGTTTGAGTGGAATTGAGCCGTGTTTTAGTATGTAGATCAACAGTCAGCGGACTAAATGTGCCTATGCCGATTGTGTTGAATTATTCCGTAGTTTTACGGAGTATATGCTTTGTTGAAACACTGTATATACTACCCAACCCTTTAAGACCCCTATTGCAGGGAAATTTTCGGAGTATATCAACCAGACTCCGAGGAGTCCTAAAGTGTGTCCGCCAGCCCTAGACGAAGGTTTTTTTTTTTTTTTTTGGCAGATGCCCCAGTGCCTGTTGATAAGAAACTATCTCCAGCGCAGCAATAGCCCAGTTATTCCCTTAACTCTGCCACTGTTTGCCTCTTTGGACTCGATGCTCCTCTTGAAGAGCCGCCTGCAAAACCCTACGGCATTAAAGGGTTAATAGGGTTAAGGTTCCAACAGCCGAAACATGAGGCCCAAGCCCCACGACAAGCTACGGAGTATTGATATCTCCGTTTGAAGGTGACGCCCCACTACGAGTCTTTGTCAATCTATATTTGGATGAAAGCTCATCTATTTGACAAATGGTTCGATCGGATCGGAAGGGTCTGAGACAAGTGTCCATACAAAGGGGAGAACCCGGATTATGTCATTGTCAGGGTCTTATCTGACCAGGGAATGGAAGCATTGACTGATGTTTATATTGACTGCTAGTATGATAGGCAATCACTTAATGAACGAGGCACAGCATTAAGACTAGACCCCTTGAGACAGTTTTGTTCTTCCGGATTATAACCGAGATGGGCGAAGGTAATTCAGGCGTCATTCTACTATGACGCATCCGTGGACTAGTACATCTCCTGCAGTCATCTGCCAGAGTGTAAACAGAGGGAACGAAAGATGCACTTCTACAGGTGCCTTGTGGGAGATATTGATCATCGCTAAAATAAGATTGTGGAATCATCATCTGCAGGAATGCTGACCTAACTGAATGACAATAAAACAGACCAGAGTACCAAATGCAGAACGTAGTACGCCACAAGTACCAACCCTAGTAAGTGGAAAGCCATGCTTCACCCGATTACCATGCTGAATGCATCCCTCTGGCAACTTCATCTTCTCCCTCTTCTCTCTATCGTCACTTATCTAGGCAACCATCCTGCAACATACCTCCAACATGCTCCCCAACAAGATCCCCAGCCTCATGATCCTATTCATGACAGCTCTTTCCGTCTGGACCCTCCCTCACTCCAGCCCCAACGACCGCCTCAACGCCGTAGTCAACGATCTTGCTCAGGTAGCCACCGATTACACCATCCTCCACAAGTCAATCAAGGACTTCACAGGCCAGAAAACCGCCTTCAACACAATCAACCTCCATGAACGAATGGTCGAAGCCCATCTACGCAATACCATCAACGACGCAGTCGCGTGTTCGCCCCTGAACGAGACCGGAAGCCAAAGAATCATGGACGGACTGGCGAAGCCGTATCCGGCGTTCATGCAGGACCTCCTGGAGGGTATCACAAACAAAGTACGTGCAGGCAGACTCCTTCCATCTATCTACGTGGCGCTAATAGAGGGTAGAAACCGCAGTTCGAGCACGTTAAGAAGCAGGCGGAGGTTCTACAGTGGTTGGAGAGCTTGTATGACCTTTCTAATCGGTTGCCACTGGCGCTGGAGGAGAAGGTGGTTAGCAAGGATGCGGAGGAGATTGAGCGGGGAAGGGGTTGGTGTAATGGGTTGTTTGAGCGGCATATCTCTATCTGGAGGGTGTGATTGCCGCCGGGGATGTGATGACTGCGCATAGGCTTACATTGCCCAGGCCCGGTGTTGGGTCTTGATTTGCTCTTTACCAGTGGACTCCTCCCTACCTAGGTAAGACATCACTGTTCTTGCATGGGAAGGACAGTTGTCGCCAATCGAATCTTCCCTCGTATGTTGTGCCAGGCTAATTTCAAAGACAGGTAGACAAAGACAGTGACAGTGGCTTTAGAAAATTACATCTAAAGAAGTCTCTCCAGTTCATCCGCCTCATGCGAGAACAGATGACTGATCGACGTCCGTCTCTTCAACCACCGCTTCCACCACCACTCGCCCTGCGCATCTTCCTGCTGCTCGCAGGGAAGCAGAATCGCATGGTCCAGCGCGTGTGGCAGGCCACGGTGTCGACCACGCACCTCCATCGCAATAATGATCAACTTCGACACCCAGCTGAACTGCGCGCAGAGACTCGTGTCCGTCCCCGGGTATCCCAGCGAGAGCCCGACAGTGCCGTATCCAGAGACCATCTCAAACAGAATTGGAAACAGTGAAAATGCCCGGTCATTGGGATGCTCCTGTAGCCGCTTGCCCTCGGCAACAGCAATGAGAAAGAAGCCCAGCATTACGTACCACAGATCGAACCCCAGTTGGCGCTGGATATGCGACATCAGCCCCTGTTGCGCGTGCGGCATCGGCGTGTCGTCGTAGTAGATCCCCAGGCTCTTTTCCTCGTACACGTTCGTCTTGCGCATAACGATGGCGATAGGAAAGGCCGAGATGTACATCATCACCAGGAAGGAGACTTGTATCGCTGGATGGAGCCTGCTCAGCCAGGTGATGGTGAAGCCCGCAGTGCGGGTCGAGGCGATTTGGAACAGGCCGTTGACGAATTTCGCGCCCGCGGACATGCCGGGATCTAACCGTGCGGCCTACATGTTCGGATAATGTTAGTCGGGGTTTGCACTCGCGCCGTCCGGTGAGCGTGCTTACCTCTTGGAGTGCGTAGAAGATAACGAGGTCAATCGCGTTCAGCAGGAGGAGAACAGCCGCCAGTCGCCATGTGTCGGCGCGTGGGAAGAGTAGCGTGAAGCAGCGTCGAGGATGTTCCAGGAGGTAGTGGAGTTCCTCGTCCAACGGCGTCCCGTAGGACGTCATTTTGGACAGTGCCCAGATGATCAATCGCAGCATACAGGGGAATCCGGTGTTGCCCATGACGATCAAAAAGGCCATGGTCAGGAGCGGGAAGGACGCGTACCGGAACGAGGCCATCGAATCGGGCGACAAAGTGTATCCCAGGTCGTTGAACGCCGACCCCGATGTAAAGGTCGCCCACCAGAACTTGTTCACCTTGATCTCGGCGAGGGTCGAGTCATACTGCGGGCTCAGCGAGATCCAGAGCATGAACACCAGCATGCCCACGATATGAAAAACCAGGAAATATGACACCAGAATGACCATCAGTGTTTTGAGAGCCCGGTACTCAATCCCACCGAGCTCCTCCTTCTGCGCCTCGTTCCACTGCGAATAGCTGGCAATGGACGACTGCCACATGAGCGGCGGCAGATTCGGCATCGTGCTGCCGTAAATGTCATGCGAGTTTCTCGTCCGCGTGCTGGAAATCGACGCGCGGCGATTGCCGTTAACGGGATAGGACGAGTACGTATGTCTTCTGTTCTTCTTCAATTCGTAGTCGCGGTCCGTGTCGTCGAAGGTGATGTGCGGGCCGGAGGAGCCGTTCGCGGGCTTAGATTCCGGACTGCTCGTTAGGAGGTGTCTCTCCTGATCTTCAGGTTCGCTGAGTACCGCACTCTCCTGGCTAGTCCTGGGCTCAGGCTCCGGAACGGTTCTCGTCAGCCCGACCAGCGTCGGAGACTCCGAATCCAACAGATGTTGATTCCAGCGACCACGCTCCGCATGGCACAGGGCTTTGGCGTCGCGGATGGCGCGTCGGAACCTCCGTCGAAACCAGTACAGCCGGATCAGGACCAAAAGCGAATGCATGAACACCACGTTTGTCGCCATCGGAACGATCCATAGTGTGATCTGCTGCAGTAGATGCAGCCGGTTGAGGTCGACGGGGTTGAGCCCGCTCTGCGTGGCGGCGCCGGACGCGAGGAGCAGTGCATCGATGTAGGAGAGGCCGCCGGGCAGGTAGAGGAGTAGCGACGCAAGCAGAATCCAGAAGATAATGTAGAAATAGTGGTGGCGAAGCCGCAGGGGAGAGGTCTCTACCTGTGGCTCACGGTTGGGGGGCATATGTGAGGGACCGACCTCTTTCTGGTCAGATTCTCAGCCTGGACACTTCAGCGTGTGAGGATGGGAGGAGGAGAACCGGAGGGACATGATGGTCGTTGAAATAGTTCGGTGGGAGGAAATGATCGCGTCAACGGGATTGGCTGGGAGTGAGGAACAAATGCCTCGCTCATGACATCGTGATGCCTTCGACAATGGCTTCAGACAAGAATACCTAGTCGCAGTTAGAAACTAACCAATACTGTAGTATAATCTCGAGCTGATTCTAGATACTTATTGTTATCATCGGCTTCTGTTGCCATGGTTATGAATTGAACTCCTGATGTGCTCAGTTGACCGAACAGTCCTTAGATAGTGAGAGTGATGAGGCAAGAACCGAAGGAACGACTGGCCCGGATTATTCGCTCAGGAACCGCTGTTGAAGACGCCACCAGATCAGTCCGATCAACTTAATTCAGTGAACAGTCAAGTGGATGGTCCAATATCCAGACTAGGTAGAATATGCATTGTGAGCAAAGAAAAGAGATTTGTACGGAGGAAGTTTCCCCAAACTATATGTCTGTGGGGAATGACTGAGTTAGGTAGTCCTCCGTATACAAAGCAAGCACCCAGGTCTATAAGATGTTCGGATGAAAGGACATCGCGGCACCTGAAAGTGAGCTCCCAAACTACTAGCTTACGAATCAATGCAGAAGGCATCAACGATTTTGTTGAGTTACAGGAGGTGGATAGAAAGACTGATGCAATCCCACGTACGAGTCCACATTTGATAATAACATTATAAATCGAAACTGCATTGTTATAACACTCAGTTCTATACCAACATCCTCAGACCCATTCATAGAATCGACTTGCTGCCAAGGGCAAAAAGCTCGTTGTGGCCACTTCCAAGCCCGTAAGGCTAACAAACCCTAACATCTTAGAGGCCACAAAATGCCTCACAGTAGGGAACAAAGGCGATGTCCATCTTGATCCACTGCCATTCCTAGCATTCAATCAAAGCCAATCGCTCGCTTGCCCAAACCCATCAAGTGAGATGCTCCTTTCACAAACCCCGAGTTGTTCCGAAGAGCCCCTAGGACACGTCCTAGTTAAGCCTTCCGCTCTGTCTGGACAAGCGTCGTCCAAGACTTGAGCCCCTCCCAAGACCACCTTGCCAAGCCGCGCCACCGGAGTTTTTATCGCTCCCGCTACAAGACAGCGGGATTCGTGCCGATGTAATTTCCCCGACGTCTCAGCGGAGGAAGCTTGTCAGCTCAAGCCGAGATACGAAGTCGGACATTCTCCTATGTCTAGGTTGCGGCCTTTGACCGAGTGACCCGATATAGGCCTAGACATAACTGGGTCAGAGTCCGAATTCTTCCTTCTCGGCATTAGTCTTAGGCCCTTAGGCTGGTTGAGAACAAGGCCAGCAGTTACATCGGATCATGCGATCCCCGAGCTTTCAAATTTCGAACCTGCCGCTATCTATTTGCCTTACTATACGGCTAGTGATCCCGTTCATGGCCAGATAATGGCGATGGATGGCATGCAATATATTCTTCAGACACAAGACAAGATGTAGGCAGGGCCCATGCTACGCAGCACACTGATAACTCCCTCCATCGCCTCCACTGGCTTTGCGCTCACCCCTGTCTCCCTGCGTGCTCATCGCTTGAACTTCCCTTCTCGTAGGATCGCCCCCACGGTCTAGGACGAAACCGGGCTTTGTGGCGTGTCTGGGCATCAGCTTGACCAGAAATATAGCCCTGGAGCGGGAAGACTCCGCGTTGGGCTTGTCAGCGTGGGTGACGCATGGACAACCACACCATACCCTAGGCGCTTGGCGGGATCTTGGCTCCACGAGATTGGAAGCTTTTCGCGGAGAATCACGGCTTGTAACCTGGGGTGCGTGTGGACCTGGATCTCGACACATGGGGTGGGGTTGACGTCGTATCCCCGTGGGGAAGTGACAGCGCGTGAGCTGTAGCGGACGGATGGAGGTAACTCCTACCTATATAAGACGGAAGCGTGACGTACAACCCGTCCTGTTGCATCCCAGACAGCTCATCTTCTCCTTGTTCTCTCCCAACCGCTCTTGCATTTATCAAGTCGCCCATAATGAGCACCCCAAACGAGCCCGCTGACCCCATACCAGACGGTATCTTTGCAACCGCAAAGCAGGCCTGGGGTGACCTGTTCAAGTGGAAGCAGCGCGTGGAGGTCACCAATGAATTCGGTGAAACCCATGCGGAATGGCAAGACCCCGAGCCTATCCAGAACCCAATCAGTCTCTTTCTTCAGTTGAGTGCCCGGGACTGGCTGTTCTTTATCGTCGGTCTGGTGGCCTGGACGGCGGACGCGTTTGATTTCCATGCCCTCTCTATCCAGACAGTGAAGCTGTCGAAGTACTATGACCGTTCCAAGACCGACATCTCCACGGCGATCACACTGACTCTCCTCCTGAGGAGTGTGGGTGCCGCCTTTTTCGGTCTGGCAGGTGACAAGTTTGGTCGCAAGTGGCCCATGGTTGTGAACATGCTCGTTCTGGGTGTGTTGCAGATCGCGACTATTTACAGCCGGACCTTTCAGCAGTTTCTGGCGGTACGGAGTCTGTTCGGCTTGTTCATGGGCGGAGTGTACGGCAATGCCATCGCCATGGCTCTGGAACATTGTCCGTAAGTTACCCCATCCTCCTCACACACCGGCCAAGCCGTTTGCTGATATCGGACAGAGTGAACGCGCGTGGCCTAATGTCCGGTATCCTCCAACAAGGCTATTCCATGGGATATGTCTTTGCGGCGTGTGCGAACCTCGGTGTTGGCGGCAGTACCGAGAGCTGGAAGACTGTCTTCTGGATTGCAGGTTTGTAGACCTTCCTCAGGAAACGTTCTCCACTGACATTCTATCAGCCGGCATTTCGATTGGCGTTGGTCTTATTCGCATTTGTTTCCCCGAGTCCAAACAATTCCTCGAAGCGAAAAAGGCGGGCAAGGCATCGTCCGATCCCAAAGCCTTCTGGAGGGACACAAAGCAGATGTTGGCCAAGGAGTGGAAGATGTGCATATACGCTATTATCCTGATGACTTGGGTGAGTCTGGATCCTCTCCGAAAGTGAGCGACCTACTGACGGTTCTAGTTCAACTACTACTCGCATACCTCCCAAGATTCCTACACCACGTTCATGTTGACACAGAAGGATCTGGACAACGCCTCTGCTTCGCGCGCGTCAATTCTCATGAAAACTGGTGCTTGTGTTGGTGGTACGATTATCGGATACCTCTCCCAGTTCTTTGGACGTCGTCGCGCGATCATCGTCTCGGCCTTGGTGTCGGGTATCCTAATTCCGGCATGGATCCTCCCAAATGGGGAGCGAGCACTGAGCGCCACTGGCTTTTTCATCCAGTTCTTCATCCAGGGTGCATGGGGAGTCATTCCGATTCATTTGAACGAGCTCTCTCCACCCGCATTCCGTTCTTCCTTCCCAGGTACGTCCTGAGCTCTGCGGTTGTTGAATGGCTGGTGAATGAATACTAATGTCAATCTCAAGGTATCACATACCAACTCGGAAACATGATCTCGTCCCCTTCAGCTCAGATTGTAAACGCTATTGCAGAATCAACCTTCGTGAAGGGTGTCTCTGGTGAGCCAGCACCTGCCTACGGACCAACCATGGGCGTTGCCACGGCCATCATTGCAGTGGGTATCATGGTCACGACTGCCTTTGGGCCTGAGAAACGTGGCCGCAAGTTCGAGACTGCTGTTGCGGGTTTGGATGAACAGAACCCCAAAGAAGCCGATCTCGAGAAGGGCCACGAACTGGAAAAAAAGGCCACTGGGGAGAGTGTTCAGAGAATAGAGAAGATCTAGGGAATGAGGATCTAGGCGATGATGATGACTCATGATAATGGCTCAAATAATCGATGTGATGCAGAAGATGGTTGAAATGGTGGGTTGCTATGGGTTTATGCTCTGACAGTTGATTTCTCTTACTACATGCTTTCTTAAGTGTTGTTAATGTAATGGAATGTCTCGTACGAGGATCAAATGCAGTCCTGTCCGAATTACCAAGAAAGGGCGACCGCAGATCTAATTTGAGACGCCCCTATTTGCGGAGGGTCTAGGATATAAGCACGTGTCACGGGTGCTATCTAGGTAGCATCGATAATGTTAGGTGATAGACGGTTGCACATACTATCCAGCCTAGTTCATAGAAATAGGCTCTCGATTGAGTCTATCAAACTGATAAACCTCACGTATCACTGGTCGTGGTGGGACAGAATCATCTCCGCGCATAGACACTTAACATATCCGTACCCCTCCCCATATCATATGTCCGCTCTGGTCGGATATATAACTTCCGTACAAACGACCCCTGTGAATCATCTTGACTTTGATCTCCCTTATCTGTGACGATTCCATCACCGCCCCGAGCCAAAAGATCCCAGTGAACCCCATTCAGCCCCCATGGCGGCCCTGGGAGACTGGGATCCTTGTACATCGGAAACTCTAGACATACAAGCAGTCCACCGGTTCGAAGCAACGAGGCCATCCGTGTCGACCAGTCTCGACGCATGCTGGGATGAAGAGCGCATAGGAACTGATGGTGATATTAGCTCGACCAGCAGGAGATACCCCAGGTATTTGATTCTGGCCATACCGTGTAATCATATATCATATCGAACTCGACACCTGTGCACCAATCCGATTGAAAGAAATCACCTTCGAGAAAGGTCACTGCTCCCCGCGTCGAGTTCTCCGCACCCTGGTAACCCTCTCCAAAATTGTACGCCTGGGGACTCTTCATCTCCGATATGGCATAGTGTTGGGCTTCTTTGACCGCCGTGGCTGAGATTTCCAGCCCATACGCATCGAAACCATGGAGTGCCAGCATAACCACGTCATATCCCCTTCCGCAACCCTATCCTGGTCAGAAAGACAATAGTGTATTTTTATTGGAACATATACTGACAGGAACAAGTGCCTTCTTCCGTGCTCCGTTCGCATGGAATGGGCAGAAAAAGTCGTCTGGGCCCCGCTGATGCGCTTCAATGGCATCGATCAATGCTGGTGAAGGTTTGCCCCGATCCCATAGATCACTGTTCCCCGTGTCCCATAGACTGGACCAACCTGCGCCGTGATCATCAACAGAGCTAAACTGGGGTGTTAGTGACCATGATAACCTATGAAAAGTGGCTCGAGCTCAGACCCGAACGGAGCTTACCAGCCTTCGAAGTGGCTGATCAACTTCCCTTTTGGCGGAGTTGGTCCTGACATTGTTCGCGATCGCTGATTCTCCCAGTCTCTGATGTTGGATGTCGGTCCGTACAGATGAGAGAACGGACGATGCGGGAGATGACTGGAGCTGCACGCATCAGGATATCACGTGACACTATTGATCTATATCATACCCTTCAGGATTCGCGTTGACTTTTACTACACAACATGCCTCAGAAAGCCTGATTACTTAGTATACAGGTTACTAAAAGTGACCGAGTGTCACATACTGTGTGCATTTGCAATTTGCTCACCCCAAGCTCCCTCACCATCAAAGTGTCTCATACCTACCACTACTCACCTCATTTGTAGCCTGAGATACCTCTTTGGGTGGACTTCGAGACTTGAGAATGTAAACTAAGCTTAGAGCCTTTATTATTCAGTCACTAAGTTGAGAATCAGGGCACAAAGATATGCCGTGGCTGTTTGAGATCTGTGACGTGACCTACTTACCTGGAGTGAGAGAACAGGAAAATGCTTAGGTACATTGACGGGTGGGCGAGCTCTCACTTAACTGGGTTGTTTTGAATACTTTTCCCTCGACACTTAACCTTCTCATCTCTCACTTCACTCTTTTCTCTTTTCTTCTCTTCTCCCCTCACCATCTCGTATCTTCCCCTTCTCATCTCTCTCGTCTCTTGCCACATCTCAATCCATCACTTCTCACTTTCTATCCCTATCCATCCCCTTCTCCCTACATACTGTCCTCTGAGCCCTGCCACTTTTCAAGTTATCACTGAATGAAAACCCCTGCGGTCACAACATGGAAGGCAAAGAGTAGGTCCGCCTCATTCGCCCAGGTTTCCTACGGCTAACAGAAGCAGACCCTGTCCCTTTGCCAAGCTTGGAATTTGCAGGCTTGGTTCACGTTGCAAATACCTTCATCCCACCGACTCATTGTCTCTGGCCCAGCCCCCTGGAAGGCTGCAGTCTGCCGGAAGACATGGAACGGTTCAGCCTCAAAGGCCATCACTCCAGCAAAGGGCTGCGCCCCCTCGAAGACCTGAGCTCCCTGAAGCACCGAGCGGAAACAGACGACCTCAAGGATTTGGAACATCCAGCGTGTCAGAACAAGAGTTCAAAACTTGGAGGAGATCTATCCCACTCGAGACCCAAAACATAAGGCCACTGCTTATGCGGATGTCTGCGTTCATTCAAGACGCTCGTCGCCTAATCGAAACAAATGCTAGTAATCTTCAAAGTGTGGTCAAATCCCTCGCCAGCGAGGGTGGCTTGTCTCGCATTCAGGAACTTGTCCAGCAGGACTTCTCTACCATGCTAACAGCTATGAAGCTAGAGAGGTTCCAAAGTCAGATCCTCCCCTTCCTGGAGATCGTGTCACACCCCTGATGTTCTGTCATCATTGATCCTAGAGCAGGCCGTGGGCACTATCTATAACATTCTGTATGGCCGAGGAGGATCAAGGGCTGTTGGTCTCTTCACATATATTGGTGATGTGCTGGAGGCTTCTAGGGACGACATAGACTTCGCTGAAAAACTAGAAGTCTCATGCCATGTCTTCTCCCTCGTTGTGGAGCTCAACTCTGAAGCCCAGGTGCAGAACGACCTCAAAACCCAGGCAAAGAGAATGCATGACCTGTTTGTCGCGACCCAAGGGACAGATCGGAATCATGGCAACCGCTATCTCGACCGCCTCGTCCGTCGTCTCGAAATGGGATCATCGCTGCCCACTGCTTCAAAGCCAAAAGTGAAGCCCAAAAAGACAGATCTGTCCTTTGTCGTTGCCCATGAACCACCGGGAGGGCGCCACAACAACGATCATGCCAACATCTGCAACATTAGGATCATGCCTACCTACCAGGAGATCATTTGCAGGCGAGCGGAGTATCTCCCAGCCACCGATCCTACGCAATGGCACATCGACGGAATCTAGGGACTCGTGGACCGAAACTTCCGTCTGCTACGAGAAGACACCATAGGACAGCTTCGAGATGCAATTCACGTTGAGCTCCAACCCTCGCCTTCTGGACATAGAACTCAGCAGCGCACCCTCACTTACCATGATGCTCGCATAGCACATCTTAACCTTGATCCGGTTCTGGGTTTCTATTTCAAGGTCCAGTTTCCACGACCATGGAGACTGAGAACCTTCACTGCTCGCGAGCGTCAGATCTGGTGGCAAGTGTCGAAAAGACTGCAGCCAGGTGCGCTAGTATGTTTAATCGTGCGAGGAAAATCGGTCATCTTCTGTACGGTCACGGAGCTCCGACCAAGACAGAAGACAGCGAGAAAAAAAAAGAAGCGACGGACCAACTTCTGTGGAATGACAACGAAAAGACCTCAGTGTTGCTTCATCTCGTCGAGCAGCGGTCTAATATCATACAATCAATCCTCCATCAATACAGTCGAAAGGCTCTACCAATGTCGTTGGTCAGATTCCCTGGTGTGCTTCTTCCTGGATTTGAGCCAACCCTTCGCGCGCTGCAGAGCATCAGTGAATCTCAGAACTTGCCCTTCCCAGACCTGCTTCTTCCCGCGGACAGTTCCACAGGCGGCAAAAGATCAATTCCTCCACCAGCATATGCCCTGAAGCGTGGGTTCGTATTCAATTTACGTTGCCTGATGAACAATAGGAAAGATTTTCATATCCGCGCTGGCCAACCCGTTGACGTAGAATATCTGCACGAAAATTCTTCCCTAGACGGAGCACAAGCGGAAGCCTTGGTCCATAGCCTTCAGCACACGATCGGTATCATTCAAGGCCCCCCGGGCACTGGCAAGAGCTATACGGGCGTGGCCCTCATAAAAGCCTTGCTGGCAAATAGGGTGCAGGGAAAGACACGTCTGGGGCCTATCATATGTGTCACATACACAAACCATGCACTGGACCAGTTGTTGGAAGCGCTTATTGACAAAGGGGTCACGTCGCAGATCGTCCGCATTGGATCACGTTCCAAGTCAGAACGCCTACAGCAGTTCAACATCCGGAAAGTCGCTCAGAACATCGATAGAACGAGATTGGAGAAGTCTAGTCAGTGGTCTCTGTACGGTGAACTCAAGAAGTACACGAAAGATTTCGATGCCCTTGGGCTGAGAGAAACCACCACCGCCACTCGACTGCGGGCCTATCTCCGCGAAAATTATTCTCAACACTATTCGGCATTGTTCGGCGAGGATGACGATGGATACCAGATTGTCACCAATCAGGATCCTCAGGTAGAGATCAACAAATGGCTCCAAGACGGCGCATACGACAGTCCGGTGGTTCGCTCGGTAGACCACCTCCAGATGGTCAACCCATTACAGATGTGTCGCCAGGAACGCCAGGTGTTATACGAACATTGGATCCAAGAGATGACGGCTGATATGCACGATGAGGTTATATAGCTCACTGCGTCACATGCCGAAACAAAATCCGAATTTGACGATATTCGAGACGAAGTGAATCTGCGATGTCTCAACGAAGCACACATCATTGGATTGACCACTAGTGGACTTGCTCGGAACCTAAGCATGTTGCGCAATCTCCAATCGAAAATCGTTCTCTGTGAGGAGGCTGGAGAAGTTCTTGAGGCACACCTTCTAACCGCATTGTTGCCTTCGGTGGAACATACAATTCTAATCGGGGACCATCTGCAACTTCGACCTCAGATACACAATCATGAGTTATCTCGAGAGAATCCTCTGGGCGGCGAAAAATACTCACTGGATGTTTCTTTGTTTGAGCGTCTGGTGGATTCTGAGAGTGCCATGGGCTCAAACCTCCCTTTCTATACTTTGGAGACTCAGCGACGCATGCACTCATCAATCGTCCAGCTCGTGCGAGATACACTTTACCCCCGATTGTCAGATGATCCCTCGGTGGCAGACTACCCCGACGTTGTTGGAATGCGGAGAAGGCTCTTTTGGCTTGACCACAGAGTCCCTGAAGGTGGTTCCGGTATTCATGATGCTATGGCGACTACACACTGGAATCAACATGAGATCGATATGACCATCGGATTGGTGAGCCATCTCGTGCGCCAAGGCAAATACCACAGCAATGAAATCGCGGTTTTGACCCCATACCTCGGCCAACTACACAGACTGCGACAAATACTTGGTCGATCATTTGCAATTTCCCTTGGAGAACAAGGTCAAGAAGATCTAGATAACGCGGGAGTTGAGGATGAAACAGCCGCTGGTCCGAAAATTAGAACAACCTTGCTGCGAACACTTCGAGTTGCCACTATAGACAACTTTCAGGGCGAAGAGGCCAAGGTGGTGATCATCTCGTTGGTACGGAGCAATCCACAGAATTGTTGTGGTTTCTTGCGCACGCCGATTCGAATCAACGTTGCTTCTCTCTCGAGCTCAGCATGGCATGTATATTATTGGAAACTCCGCCACTTCCGAGCATGTGCCCATGTGGGCAAATGTCCTGGAGATCCTGCGTCGGAACGAGAATATCGGCCCTGCGCTGGAATTGCAATGTCCCCGACACCCGGATACACCGATCTACGTTTCCGAGCCAGACGACTTTACTCGAGTTTCCCCGGAAGGAGGCTGTGACTTGCGCTGTGTACATCGTCTTGCATGTGGCCACGCCTGCAAGCAAAAATGTCATTCTAACATCCTCCACAACGCCGTGTACTGCATAGAGCGCTGTCAGCGTCCACTCAAGGGATGCAGTCACGAGTGTCCGAAGAGGTGCGGTGATGCCTGCCCGTCCAAGTGCACTGTCGACGTATTCCAGGCAGACCGGACGCTGGAGTGTGGCCATGTGGTGCAGAACCTCCCCTGTTGGCAAAGCCAGAACCTCAAAGCCGTGAAATGTACGGTGATGATCGAGAAGCAGGTGCCCAGTTGCCACCATACCGTCAGCGTCGCTTGCCATATCGATGTCACATCGCATTCGTTCCAGTGTGGAACATTATGCGGACAGCCTCGACCTGCAACAGACATCGCAACAACTGCATCCGGAACCACTGAGTGAGAGTGTCTTGACTACATGGTCCATCAGTGAGTGAGGTGCAAGTAACCTGTTCTGATTCTATGGTCCACCACTTGTGTCTAGCCCTATGTTCATGTCCATAAGCATTCTGACATAAATATTTCTGTTGTTTCACTTAAACCATGACAACCCAAGACCTAGTCGATAGGATTATCCTAGATTGAGAATTTGGTCCGCTCCAAGAAAGCATCCCAGGTAGTGACTTTGAACCCCGGCTTTGCGATGAGATCATGGCTCTCCTTCGGGCTTGGGCCCTTGTAGTAGCCAGGGCTTTCAATGGAAAGTTGATTTTCCAGTATTTTGTCGGCCATCGGCCAAGGTACGAAGCTCTTGTAAGTTCAGAGTCTATCTGGACAAACCGAGTTTTCTTCCGCGTCACCTCCTCGTACTCAGCAAGTAATCCGAGTTAGTAGAGTTCAGGTATCTGGTAGAAACTCTTGGCATTAAGGGACACTCGGCATTGCCACTGAACCCTATTGCTGGCAGAATCAGAGCGGTAAGCCCATCCTATCTACCATTAGCCTTTTACGTTCCCGATGCGCACTTGCCAACTGCTTTGTTGCTCGATTCCGTATCTACACAATGACTTGCTCTCATAGTGATGAAGCTGATGCGGAGATCCCGTCTATATCATCAAGGTCCAGAGAAGTTGTTGATTTGCGGTCGTCGTTACCCACGAGAGTCAGACGCGCGTGTGAGAGATGCCGGCAACATAAGTCTCGGGTAGGGCCACCCCGTGCCGACTTACTCCAGACTACCAAAGCTTTACTGTGCGCGGTCAACATCACCTGTGTGCTAAACAATGCGACTTTTTATAGTGTGATCCGTTTCGGCCCTGCTCGTTATGTGTCCGCGCCAACGTCCCTTGTCGACCGCTTTCGACAAGCCAACCAGGACAGGTATCTGCCCGGACGTAAGCTGTAACCTGGAAGAATAAGAACAAGAACTCGTCATGCTGATATCGTGGTACCAGGCGCATGAAATCCAAACAAGTTTCGAGAGGTCGTCGAAAACAAACCGGTTTTCCATTAGAGAATTCCGACGAACAGTCGCAGGATGCAGCTCGTAGCTCTGGCAGGAATGCACCCACTCCAGCCCGGACTCAATCACCAGAAATACCTTCAACGAGAGACCAATTTGAAGAGTCCTCGAGAACAGATGGTATGACACCATCTCTCGCCTGCGGCGAAGCCGAATCTGCAATTGGAATAGCTAGAAGGCTCTGCGAACTTGGCAGTCACCACATCGATGAGCAGACCACCTTTGCCATTCCCGGTTGTCAGACTACTGGCCCTAGTGGGAATCTCTTCAACTCGGCACCAACCGGTCAGCGAGTATCCATAACCGTGATTTTGGGCCAAACGTTTCCACCCATGGGTCTCGTGTACAACCTAGTAGAGGAATATTTCCATTCCGTCCATTGGTTCTCACTCGCCATATTTGAGCCGAAGTTCCGCAGCAAACTCCATTCCATCAAAGATGGATGTGCATATCCCTCACAAAGACCCTTTCTCTTGCTGTTAGCCGTGATGCTCGGAATGGCGGCGTGGTATCGTTCTCGAAGGAGTGACACTGACCTGACAGACGATGAAGAAGACTGGGAGAGATGGAGTGCGGACATGATGAAACTCGTGGAGTCAAATGTGGTGGAATTGATGGATCAACCTTCAGTTACGGCGACCCAGACATGTATCCTTCTGGGATCCCATCACGTCTATCATGGTCGTCCAAACCTTTCCTTTTCTTTACTGGGAGCAACAATCAAAATGGCCCAGTCTATAGGATTACAACGACAATGCCTGCGAGGGAATCCTGAAGACATCGAGGAGCGGAAAAGAGTCTGGTGGACCATATATACATGGGACAGGTTCGCTTCCATCACCTACGGCCGGCCATTGGGCATCAACGACAAGGACTGCAATCTTCAGATGCCATCGGATGTTTTGGAGAACCCGAGCTTTGCTAGCTCTGGCTTCCCCCAGGATGAGGCAATATGCTATTCCACCTATCAACGCGAATTGAACCGTCTATACTGGATTGCCTCGCCAGCCCTCGAGGCTATTTTCGGTTCTCGCACGTTCGGGACTTCGGAACAGCTGGCTGGCGACTCATACTTCGCATTGGTCAAACATGCCACTAAGAAACTGGAGCAATGGCGATCTTGCCTACCCAGTCACTTGAGTTTAGATCTCGAGAAAGACGTGTTGCCTGATGGGCCAGCAAGCTCGAGAGCATATGCATTACAATCTCTGTCGTTGCAACTAACATATGACAATATCTTGATTGTCCTGCATCGACCCTTGCTAGCGCGACAGGTGCATAATTTATCTAATATGGGCAAGCGGTCTCCAGATCAGTCAGTTCATTCAGCGACAGCCACCCATTCCGCCCATCACTCTGGCTCAAATTTTGATCCGGCATTTTCCGAGACGAGAGTGACTAGTCCGGAACTTTGGGTGGATGCAGCGGTGAGGACGTCAAAAATAACAGAGCTGCCGGTACTTGTTCGACTCGCCACGGAAAGTCATTTGGTCGCCTTTCTCGCTATCAATCTATTTCATGCGGCAATCGTGCTTGCTGTGCTCGCCCTTTCACAGCCTCTTTCAGACACGGCGCAAGATGTTAAACGCACAATCACCCGCATATTCCGTGTTCAAGACCTGATCGGGAAGCGGTCTGCATTATCGAAACAGAGCACTCTCATCCTCAAAAACGTTGTCGCTTTGCTCCTTCGGCGAGAGTCAGAAGCCATGCTTGCACCCTTCACTGGAACGACCGAATCAACAAGCCACCAGGCTCTCCGCAACGGACCTGATTCATTTCCGTTCTCTGTAGAAGATGCGCTCCGGTTACCGGCTGATGCGACGCTGAACTCGCGTCAATCTCTTGCCATGAACGATGAATTATATGATGTTAACCCGCTGCACCGCTTGAACGAGAGTTTAGCATCGGTTCAACATGGTGAGGCCCTTCTTGCATTTTGGTGAGAAAACATATGTGCGCTAATATGTCGTGATTTCTCTTGATGTAGCATTGGGTCCGGGAGATGATCGGTTTTTTGGAACCCCTCCGAGCGGAAACATTCTCCCTGGCCACGAATCTATCGAGCAAAGCGGACACTCAAACGGCGTATGGCAGCCACCTGCACAAGGCTGGGATGCGCCTGAAAGCATCCAGAGTGCTAGTCTAGGCAATTCATACGACGGAAATATGGAAGGCGGAATATACTGGTTATGGGATATGACTTGGAATGCAGCCGACAGATGATCCTACTTTTCTATTTGTATACATGCACGATTACGCGAACCAGGCAAGTCACGACTTATGATTTCCACACTGCAACCAGACTTGGGCAGGTCATGTTTGACTTATTGATATCATTCACTGTACGAAGTTGATGGTTGGTATCTAAGAGACACCCTCTATTCATATAGTTATATCTTTCGGTCAGAGATCTCTGGCCGTTTCCATATCGAAACCTGGGCCATAAATCACAGTCTTGATGCCAGACCGGCCAGCCACGTTCTTGAATCCGTCTTCAGCCGCGAAGAAAGAAAACTCATGGGTGACCAGTCCATCCAACTTGACGCGGCGTGAGTTGAGTAGGCCGATCGCTAGTTGGAAGTCTCCTGGGCCATACCGGAAACTCCCCTTGAAAGATATCTCCTTGTCACAAATTTGGCCCACTGGAATAGAGAGGTTGGGCTTTCCCAACCCGACTTGAACAAATGATCCGCCCTGCGTGAGGGCGTAAATCCCACAATTTACGCAGGGCTCAGCCCCGGTCGCATCAAGGACAATGTCGAAACCTGCCTGTACACCAGCGGTATCCAACAAGGCCGCAGCGTTCTCCTCTGGTGATTTAGAGTTCATCTGATAGGTGTGGGTGGCACCATGCTCCAGGGCAAAAGCCAGCCGACTAGGGACGATGTCCACGACGGCTACTGTCGCGGCACCAAGGGCTCGAGCGACTGCACTGCAAAGTAGCCCGACCGGCCCTGCGCCAAATACAGCCACGGATCTCTCCTGCATGCTGCCCGCCTGCAGAGCACTGTGTATGGCGACACTCAGCGGCTCAATCAGTGTGCCGTCACGCAGCGAGACATGCGACGGCAGCTTATAACAGCACTCCTGGGGCACACGGTAGTAAGTAGCAAGTGTACCGTCGTACGGGGGTGTTGCGGCGAATCGAACGGCCTGACAGAGGTTATATCGGCCGGAACGACAGTGACGGCAGGTATTGCAAGTGCTGCCCGGTTCCAAGACCACACGGTCGCCTACGGCGAAGCCCTCAACACGATCGCCGCATTCGACCACTATTCCGGAGGACTCATGTCCGAGAATGATCGGTTTCTCGACGACATACCGTCCTATCGCGCCATGCTGCCAATAATGTATCTATGTGCGGAAAAGCCTTGTTAGCATCGGCCAAGTGCATGCAAGCAACCAGAAGGATCGGACTGTGATCTTACATCTGAGCCGCAGAGACCCGTTGCGACAATTCGGACTATGATATCGCGGTCCGACTGGAGAGTAGGTATGCTGCGTTCTTCAAATGTAAAGGAGCCGCCGGGATGAAGGACAAAGGCTTGGTTGCTATCCTGCACAAACTCCTGGTGAGCCGACACGGTTGGAGAAATGAGTGCGCTGGATGAAAGTGTGACAGGAACGCACCTTGCCAATGGTTTTGACTGTCATCTTGTCTGTTGCCAGTCTTGTAGTGAGGTCGATCGCGAGGATTGACGGACATTTATAAACATTGAGACGAACAAGTGGTCGCAATTTGAACGGGATAGCGTCCCGTTAACACAGCCATTGATCCGATTCGGGTCCGGAACTGAAGCTATGTATGTGTGGAGGACTCCACTGAGCTGTCTAGTGGCTCTAAGATCACTTTCGCTCTGACCACCGCTTCTCGGTGTCCCACTGTCGCACGCATCACGCGAACCCTGGAGAACAACAGGTACAAAGCATACGTAGAGCTCATAGGGTTTGTATCTAGGCTCTTACTGGACTACTCCATGCTGTATGTCCAGGATCATAGCGGAATCTCCGCAAATTCCGGCAGAAGGATGATTACATCTGTGCTGGGCGTCAATATCTTGGGGCCCATCGGCTCATCTCCTGAAGGCCAAATAGCGCCCGGAACCGTGATATTTGCCACCGGAACCGAACGCACAACCAATCTCCACACCTATTCGGAACCGTGAGGTCCCGCCGGAATACACTCCACACAATAGCTGTCCCTGAATGGTTGAACAGTAAGTATACCATGCGCCATCTGGGCCGGATTTTTAGATCACAAGGAACCCGACTACGATGCCGACCTATTTCCGTGGATCCCACTTTTCCGGACCGAGCTGATGAGGTTTTGCCCTATTCCGCTTGGCCTTGGCCGGTATGGGATGGATCTTAGTGTCTGGGGCCGCAGAATATGCTTCTGCTGGTCCAATATCCAGGGGATTCTCTTACCAACACTGTGGAGAAACATCACCACCATTGTGGAGAAACAGACATGAGACTTTTTCCCCGTGGGAATGTGGTCTGGGGTAAACATAAAAGCCCTTCTGCCCCCCACCAATATGGTGATTATGGTACACATCGAGAAATCTCCTCAACATAGTGCGATAACTGAAGTCCATCTTTCTGATATCACTTCGGCCTCATGAGTTCTGGCGTGAATTCAGCGCTGCGGGAGCGCAATGCAGCCACCAAAGACCGATCTCAAGCTGCTGTCATGCCCCAGGCTGCACAAAGTACCTGGCTGGAGAAGAAGATCAAGCCTACCAAAATCAGCGCTCGATACCCTGTGAAAGGCTCGCCCCTGCTCTACGCGACCTGCGCCTTTGGTAGCTTGGGAGATGCCCTTTTTGGTTACAATTCCGGTATGCCGTCCCCAGCGAGACGGTCCCTCAAAGGCAGGCTCTGACGTGGATAGGTATCATGTCCGGCTTGCTTGTCAATCCAGTGTTCGTGTCTCGCTTCTTCAAGGATTTTGGGGGAGCTGATGGCTCGACTTCCTCGGTGGACCCTTCTATCACAGGAATATCGGTCGCTTGTCTCCAGGCGTCGGCGGCGGTGGGTGCACTCGTTGCAGGTCGACTCGGTGATATGGTGGGACGCAAGAAATGTGTTCGCATTGGCGCCTTTATCTACTTCTTCAGTGCGTTCATCCAGATGTTCGCCCCGGGATTTGCAACCTTCGTCGCAGGTCGTACTGTTCAAGGACTGGGTGTTGGATTTCTCTCTATGACAGTGCCAATCATCCAGACCGAGATTGCCGCGCCTCATCGCCGTGGATTGATGGTGGGGATCGAGTACACATTCTTGATTGCCGGGTACATGCTGTCTTGCTGGGTTGACTACGGATTCAACTTCTTGCTCCCCAGTGACATGTCATGGCAAGGCCCATTCATCATCCAAATCATCCTGTCCTTCATCCTGTTGACCATGTCCTTCTTCCTCCCGGAGACGCCTCGATGGCTGGCAATGAATGGCTTCCTGGATGAAAGCCTGCAAACTATCGCAGACCTCCATTCAGATGGCAATACCGAAGATGAAGAGGTCCAGAAAGTTTTCCTGGAGATCCAGGAAGCCGTCATTTACGAAAGCAACCTTGGCAAGTCCACGTGGAAGGTATGACCCCTCCTCTTTTGTCGAGACCTCCCCGTAAAAGCAACTGACATGGGACTTGCAGGAAATGTTCACTCGATACCGCAAGCGAACGATTGTAGGCATCACCGTGCAGATGTACGCACAGATCAATGGAATCAACATCATCTCTTTCTACCTCCCAAGCACTCTTGCAAGCGCTGGATTCGACAATCGAAAATCGCTCCTGTTCACTGCAGCAAACGCCCTGCCGTATACCGCAGCCACAATTGTCACCTGGTGGCTCGCGGACAGATGGGGCCGGAAGCCTCTACTCATACTCGGCGGTTAGCGATCCTTTGCCGCACCAGTCAGACAGCTTTGAAACTAACAAATGGAACCAAACAGGTCTTGCGATGGCTATACTCCTAGGCATTGTCTGCGCCTTTACTGAGGCGGGCTTGGACGTCCAAATCAAAGCAAATGGCCAGTACGCATTTGTCATGCTCTATAACATCGTCTACGGCTTCACCTGGGGCCCCATGCCATGGTTACTGCCGGCAGAGATCTTCCCGCTCCGCGGTCGCAGTAAAGGCATGGCCTTAGCCACCACCAGCAACTGGATCTTCAACTTTGTCATCGGGATGGTCTCGCCAGATGCCTTTGCCGGCATTCATGGGTACTTCTATCTTGTGATTGCGGGCTTCTGCCTTTCTTCGGCCGCACTCGTATACTTCTACTATGTTGAAACTGCAAATCACACCCTCGAGGAGATCGCAATTGCGTTCGGCGATAAGGCATTTGCGGACCATGACGTAGAGGTTATGGAGATCGCTGACGGGAAGATCGAGACGGTGGAATCCCAAGTGTGACAAAAGACAACTGAGTCTTGAAATCGCTCTTTTTCTTCGCTAATGGGAGGATAGATGTAGACAGCCGTTATGAAGCTAATCTGATGGAGAGTAGGTCATGTTCCTTCTTTTGAATGATATCCTGTTTGTTCCCGGCCTGACTTGTACAATACCTTTTTTACTTTCCAAAATAGGAATGGCAGAAAGCAATTCTCTGTCTATTTTAAGGTAAAGTATCCAGGAGAAGATGGACCATCGGCTTCATTTCTGGAATCGTTACTGCCAAGCCAGCGCGATCTTCTTATTACGCCGTGGGAAATCTTGCTCGAGGAGATGAAGATTGCATGCAAAATATGCATAGAGGTGTCAAACTATATACATGACATGACCGATCTGCTATCCTCCTCACCCAGATGATATCCCCGTTCGAGAAGCCCAACAACAAGACACCACTCAAAAGGTGATGCCCAGATGATAATAATCGACCGCTCGAAGAATGACGCTTGTAAACTGACTCTCGCGGAAGCCGATTCTCAAAGTAAAGGAACGGAAACGAGCGGGCAGAGAGGGGTCGCGTACTGGCGTATGGGTCCTGGTCGTCCCCAGCAGCTCTATCCTCGCGATTCCATAACAGGGAAATCAACCCCCGGAACCACTCCAGAAAGGCTGGGGGGCTGTGGAATTCTCTGGGTCTGTATTCGTTGTTAGTCTTTGACTAACACAAAGGAGAACAGGGAGGACTTTACGGTTTTTTCCGGATCCAAAAAACTACCCAATCGGTCAATGCCCATGCTATACGCATGGCCATTACGGCGAGACCCAACAGCATGAGACGGACCGCGTCGCTCCCAACGGACTCACCGTTCTCCTGATTGAAAGGACAGTCGGTGTTAACAGGTGGCATATTGATATTGAGTAATGTCAACGATATGCAGGACTCTGGACGCTATACTAAAAGACCAAGGTCGTTTTAGGTACGGAAGCCCGACATAATGCAGGTGTCCTGGTCGGGATGTCATTTCAGGGAGGCATTATTGGCCGCGACAGCGATGAGGTTTATGGAGATAAAGAGGATGAGGATGAGGGAGAAAGTAAAGAAGAAGTTGAAGAGGATGAAGAAGGTGAAGAAATTGCAGGTCATTGAGGCGATGACTCCTATTCACTCTATGAAAACCAGGGCAAGCAGGCAGTGGGAGTGAAGAGACGTTCTGAGAGAAGAGAAGAAAGGGAAAACTGGCTTGATTATATCTGCCTACTTGTAAAGAGCTAAAACTCGGACTGAGGAAGTCGCGGATGAGGGTGGTAACGACCGTGTACCCGTATACAGCAGGGACATTCTTCAGTGCAATGACCGTAGACCCCGACCTCCTTCCTCTCTTCCATATCGTTCTCCGAAGTCCGGATGTATGAGAAGAGCGCTTTCTCACAACATCCACAATCACGCCCACAGCATCCTCCATTATCAGCACAGTCATTGCGGCCCACCGACCACATCCAAGGTCGACCGTGTTTGTCCGTCCAGACTCTCGCACGTTTCAACGTGGCCAGAAACGGGTTAGACAGATCCCATCGCTCTATCTTCGAGGTAATAATTCCATTCGAGTCCCAGTAAAGCTCAGTTAGGTGGAGAATTTCGGCCTGTAGCTTTCTGCTTTGATCTTCGGAGAGGCTGTTAAAGTAGCTCGGTGGTTTTCCATCGGCATCACTTTCTGGAGGAGTCTGAAGTTCAAGAAGCCGCCGCCGCCGCTGCAGAATGGCGTGTCCTCGTACTTGCTCAGCTTTGTAAGACCTGGCATTATCATTGGCAGCCTCCGCCGAGGTTTTCATGAATTTGTCGACCTGAGCCTGTCGCATGTTCATTGGCACTAAGCTTTGGAGTTCATAATCACACCGAGCCTTGAATTCTAAAAACGTATCGATTGTTGCCTTCTTTCGAGGAAAAAAGCACATCTTTGGTTGATAGAGACAGAGTTGTATCAGGAGTCGTGGGTATGGATGGATGAGTCTTAGGTAATATCAGAAAGTGTCTGAAGGTGAATCGCTGCTGAGTACAGGAAAAAGTGCAAAGGACAAAAAGAAGAAGGCTACTGGCAGGGTTTTATAGCACCTCAAGTGCCGAAGTCTTGACCACGAATTATGCTAAGTTGACGTAGTTATAAACTTCCGAAACGCTAGGCGTCCGGACAATATCCTCACCACTATGTAATCGGGTGGCTGATAAAACTCAGTCTGCGGGTGTTACGGCCAGTTGACCAAGGAACGCTCATGGAGGACGGAAATACTCCTACAGGGACAGACAGTAGACGCCAGTTCAAGCACTTCGACGATGCGAACAAGCCCCACCCTGCCTCGCCTACTCCCAGTGCTCCCTGGATAATGTTGCCTCCAGCTACATGTAGTCTCTGAACGTTTGGGCCGATGTAATATCCCTATGCGATACGACACACCTCAAGGAAAAGGGCATAGTTTGCATCACTCTTTTCCATGAAGGCAGTGTCTGGTCACGTGACAGCCTCAACCCTATGTACGCCCAATGCACTGCGTGAACATGGGACATAGAGCTGTCTGCTGATTCCCCGCACAGGAGGACCACAGCTTATCGCATCTGATAAGCCGCCCCTTTTGTGGAATCCCAGTCGAGAGGCCGTTAACCAAGTGCGCGTCAAATACTTCGATGGCTCCGCCACTGAAGTCGCGACATTTGGACAACCTGAACCAACATGCACCATCGAGCTGTCGCAAAATGAAAATGAGCTGTGTGGTTACTAAAGTGATTTTGTTATCGGAAAGTGCCCTACAATCCCAGCGATCCCTTCTATGAGGTCGATGGTATTGTTTGAGTGAGCTGTCAAACCACATCCACAGTCATATATTACGCCTTATGCACCGCTGGGTACCTTTGTATGTTTTGTTGGTGTAATGGTCATTTTGATTGCCAGGTTACATGGGTGCTCTTGTCAGAACTATTCCAGCAATTTTATTCATCTTGATCTGAAGCATTCGACCCCTAGTACAATGGCCTGATATCAATCCCATATGTTATCATTGTAGAGAAGCTGCGAAGATGCCTTAACCTAAAGCAAACCAGTGTACTCCGTAAGCGAGATCCATGCTCGCCACCTCATCACTGCATCAGCCGTCTCAAATTGCTTGTTCCTAAGAGATGTCGACAACCAACCGAAAACGCCATGGTCGATCTAATAATAAAGGATGCGGAAAATACCTCTTATCACATTGCGCTTACTGCATAGGCAGCCAACATGCAAACCTACGTGGCAAATGGCGTTCATGCGCACGTTTGCTTGCGGGGTGTGACAAACAGGCTATCCTCGCATGTACCCCAGACACGAGAGGTGATAAATATTTGGTCAGGCCCTACTGAGTCTCAAGGTCCTGAATTGACAACCCAGGCACGGCGAAGCTCGTCAGAATAATATGGTCAAGGGCAAGCACAAGAAGAAGAAGAGTTTTCTTCAAACGGCGCGAGACGCTGCAGAAGAAAACACCATGGATACGCCTCCGCCACCAGAGCCTTACAGCGATCCAGAGATCGAAGAATACACCCAACGCGAGACAAGGTACGGCATTCTTTAGTCGGGGTGATGAAGCGCTCTAGGCTGATCGTTGATTGATTGAACAGCCCCTACAGCACAGAAACTATATTCCTCTACATTGGCTCTTCCGAATATAGCGTGCCGGAATACTATCTCAGACAATATTCGCAGTTGAGTTCCCGCTCAGGCAGCGCCCAAATTTTGGAAAGTGTTGACCCGGACATTGGGCACACCCTCGTACACTATCTCTACACCGGGACCTACGAAACACTCAGATGCTCGAGTTCAGAAGGACCTCGAAGGGCAATTGAGTTCCGACGAAGTGTCCACGTGTACCATGCCGCACGGATGTATGAGATAGATGGCTTAGTGCAGTATGCGAAGGAATACATGCGTCGTTTTGACGATGCAGCCACCTTATTTGACATTCTGGACGTTGGGAGAGAAGTCTTTTCGAAGCTTCCTGAGGATGAAACCTGGTTCCAGGAGTACATTGAGGAGAAAATGAATTCTGCGTTGGAGGCCGATCAGGAGAGTTTCAAAGACAATCTCCTTCGATACGGGATAGGACGGGATATTCGTTTTGATCCATTGATTTTACGGATCCTTTTGGACACGTTTATCCAGGGACATGAGGCGTCTCCCAAAGCCGCTGTCGACGATGGATCTATGGTCTCCCGCTGTGAGTCTCCGCAGGTGGAACATGAAGACCATTTGGAGCCTCCGGAACAACCGATTGAGGAGGTTCCGGTTGAGATGGACTACGTTCCGGAGCCCGTCGATGAGCCTGATCCTGAAGTGGCAGACGAGACGTCTCCTATCGATGCTTCTCCTCCTCCCGAAGAAGTAGTCGAAGAGCATCGCGAGAATGGGAAATTTTATCCGCGATATCAGGTATTCTATGGGCGCCGATCTTACAATTAGCATTGTTCATGCAGAAGCGTGCCACAAGAAGGCATTTGTTCTATTCGCATTTATCACTATCCTATATACACGCACTACCTGCCTTTCACTGAATATGATTCACAAATCTCGCTAGCATAAAGATTGAAAGTCTCGGGATTGAATGCCTGACCAGTTAACCTCCATCACATGTCAAGTGCTGGCCAAAGATGATGACCCCTATCAGATTTGCTTTGTATATGTATGTCCACCCCAGAACGTAGCGATTAATGCATCTCAGAACTCCACTCAAGTAAGCTATGATAAACAGTTAATGTAGCTAGCCGTCGTCTCCAGAGGTTATACCCCAGATATTTTGGTTGACGTCAGATTATTCACCTGCTTTATCTTTTCATACAGGTACAACCGGCAGATCTCTGATCATACCCTGCAATGCTACTTTCATACTCCTCATACAGGGAACTGGAAGCAAATCTTATCGAATTCTGGCAAAAGTAGAAAAGGACCCTGGCTATACTATTAGTACGTAAGTGGCGTCGTTTTGGACGTTGTAGTAGTGGTGGCTGTCGTGGTAGACTTCGACGTGGTGACGGTTGTACTCGTCGTGCTAGTCGGACCGGTGACGGTGCCAACCACGCAGTAGCTCTGGCCCGCCGTGAGGTTGGGGCAGGAGACACCGGGATTTAAAGCCTTGAAATTGTCCACGGTCTTGCCTTAGGCGGACATAAAGGAGGCGCAGGTATCTCCGGTGGAAGCGGCCGCGGAGAAGTTGCAGTTCAAGCTAGCATATAGTAGTTGAGGGAGCAATCCTAGGATTACGGCAGTTTTGTAACCCATCTCTGCTGGGATAGAGGAGAAGTCTAGAGAACAATATTGTGCGAAGAAAATAGATGGGAAAAGGAAGGGGTGATGTTGATCATGGTTCGCATCAGGCGGTTTCTGGCGGCCATTTATCCAGTTGCCAAGATCAAATTCCCGGGGGCAAGTCCAGGCCGCCGACATAGGACCATTACTTGGAGTAGCACACTATTGAAAGAGTTCTAGAGAACTCACGTACCACATAGACTAGCTCCGAAGGTGGAGGGGGACATGTCTCACAAAGATGGTCGTACAACAGATCAGGCGAGGCTGTACGCGAGCAAGACACAAACCGCCATGATCCATACCCTGCTGACCGGAAATTGCCGCACCGAGGCTGAATTCTCTGAGGTTGCAGTTGGGCAGATTACCCCTGTGCGAAGCACGTTACTGCAGGCAGCAGATGTCAAAGAAGCAGAGATACTGGCAGCCGCGGAGGAGTCCATCTTAACGTTGCATGGACTGGAAGTCAGCGCAAGATCCGGGTTAACAGCACAGGACGATAGATAATCCGTTCTCTGCCCTGCCCGGTGTGGACCATATGGAACCAAATTTCGGCAACGTCACCGCGGAGGAGATTATCATCGGAGTAGTTCGTACGTACTTAGCCAATAGCGAGACGAACGGCGGCAGAGCACCCGACCCGACAGACCAGAAGACCATAGACGATATTTACAACACCAATATTACCACACTAGGGCTGGTCCGCCTGCCTATCTGTAGCGCTGAAACAGCCTACCGGGCCTAGGACTACGGCGAGAGCCCGGATACCGACGCCCCGAACTACCCCTACGTTATCTATCCGGCGCCAGATCTCTGTGGTACTTCTACATTCGTGGACTAAATAAGTAATGCGTCGCCGACAGTGTCGGACTGTATGGGAATTGTCAAGAATATCGCTAATACAAATAGGTAATGGGGGGTGGAAAATACGTCTGGTTCGCAGCATTAGCTCGTCCAATTTGGTTCGTGCGCATTTAGTGTCCAGGGAAAGGTTAAGAACGGAAATATCGACTACCATGTTGGTGCCCAGGATATTGTAGATATCATCAGCGATTCGGTGCGACAGTTTGGCAGTTCTGGGAAGGTAGGTGCTAAGGGAGAGATGTCCTGCAAGGGAACTGTCAAGGGCCAGACGGTTGAGTGGGGGTTATGAACTTGAGGGGATACAGAGGAAGATGAGCGTAGGGGCAGAAATATGGCCATGACAGGCATGATTCTCCAAGTCTGTTTTGGCTTTCGATCAACTAACTAGGCATCTGTGTCCAATTTCCCCAGTCTCGTCCTCCTCAATGGACCCAACTCTGCGTTTGCCAACATCATTTCCTTGACAGAACGAATGTTGAGTTCCTGACGGACCTCATCCGACAGGCCGAAAACCCCCCCAAAAGAAAAGGCGCTCCATGCGAGACGGAAGCAACAGCAGAGGCTGAACGCGCCTGGACGAAGTTCAGCAGACGGTCTGCACAGGGAACACTGTTTACCAAGGTTCCACCGCGGATTGTTGGGAAGGACATACCGGGCAAGCCAGAGGTCAATCCACTACTTCTTGGAGGACTTGCGAATTTCAGGTCTGCGATAGCAGATGCAGAGGCCAGAGGATTTGAGGGCTTTAGACCTCCTTTGGGCAGCTCAAGGGCAGATGCTCATCGCTGATGCATTTCTCCGCGCTTCTTTATGAAAATGAAGTTCATCGCTGCAACAAGAATTGAAGCATTCCTGTGATAAGGTGATATAAAGTTCAAAAATGCACACAGAATGGATTGATGGTGCTTTGTCTGCATATAGTCTCTACCACAACAGATTCTTCCATCAACGACATCATCTTCTCTATCCCCTCCAACGACTAATCATCACGACTAAGCAGAAAATCAGTCCACGTAAAACCTCAATTCTTTCAACGTGTGTTCCCCTCGCCCCTCTCCCATCTTCTACTACCTTCTACCTCGTCTCCCTCTCCTTTCATCTCGACCACGGAACAAGAAGACAAAGAGCCCATCCTGACCATGCCCATCCCCGACAGTCGTGTCCTCCCTGTCCCGTATGCTATCAGTCTCATGGCTGGCCTCCGTCACTGGAAGCCTTTGAGTATCCCCGGCGATGTAAGTCTAAACAAACGGCCCCGTCTCCAAGCTGAAAGTCCTAACCGATGTTCTGGTATGTAGCTCAAGCCGGCTGGGAAACAAACCGCCAGACCGGTCACTTTTCAGGTGAAAATCTTGATATTAATTATCGAGATGCTTGACATGGCCAGTCAGATTGCGTTTGCTCTGACCTGCAAGCAATTCTTGAAAGTAGCCTTGATGGCGAAACTCAAGCTTTCCGAAATGGAGGGCGTGCAGATCTACTATGGAAACTTGGCGGACAGATACATTCTTCTCACCCGTGTCTTACCTCGCTGCCCTCGCACCCTCCAGTTCTCCCGAGAGTGGAACGTCTGTCACAGTTGTGCATACATACGTCCCACTCGTGAGCTGTACTGGCTTCTCAAAAAGCCCAGTATCGTGAGCCTGGAGGAGTGGTCGCGCTTCGTGTACGACTGGAAGTACAAGCGCATCATCAAATGTCCTTCCTGCCAGGCTCGCGGTTTCCACGGCCCACTCATTGCCTGCTACACCCCCAGTGGTGCCGACCCCACCACCTTCACCGACGCCCGCATCGTGGAGGTCACTGATGATGAGTGGGAAGGCTACAGCGAGGGGTTTGCCAGCCAGGAGGGCGTTGATAGCAACGGGGCGGTTCGCGACGACCATGCGGAAGCGGAGAATGACGGATAGTCGCTCGCGTTGTCTGCAGATTTCAGATATGACGGAGAAGTGAGGAGGATTTGATCTAGCTTTTGTCTCATGTCTAAGTGAGAAGTGAGTGGTTGGGAGCTGTTGGGGTTGTCATCGTTGTGCTGGATAACTGCACTCTGCTTGTGGAAACATGTACTTACTTCACTTGGGCTCAAGATCCCCCTCTGGTATTGTCCCAACGAAACAAAAGTCCTCTTCTGGAGGTTTCTCGGCTGAATTCCGGATATTTGATATTCTCCGGATGTGATGGAGGCGTGCCTGAAACACGCTCTGAATGATCGGCAGACAAGAACCCCTCCCCAAGCCAATTCGTCACGGAGACGACCGCCTCTTTCATCATCCTAATTAACTGAAGCCTTTCGTGCGACGCCTTTGCGTTTTGGCTGCGTCTAGATCTGCAAGTTTCCTCCGGCATATCCTTGCAAATGCGGAGACATTCCTGGTCGATTCGCTTCACAGTGAGACCACCAAAATTACTCCATCCATCCGAAACTGTACCGCGTCGGCAGATGGTCTGATTTCGCCAAAATAAAAAGTCAGTGAACCGGTGATTTAGCCGTCAACAGGGGTTATGCTGGTTTAAAACGGCGCTGATAACTCGCCTTGTCCTGAGAGATTGATCCAACGTCCTTCTATCCAGCCCAAACCCAGACATCATGGCGCCGTTCTCGTTCATCTTGACAGTCCTTCTCTATGCTCTTACCTGCAGTGCGCGGGCTCTCGGCCATGCGCATGCGTTGCTCCCCCGCGCTGGCAGCCTCGAGCAGGTCACCGACTTTGGTGACAATCCCACCAACGTGGGCATGTATATCTACGTGCCCAACAATCTGGCATCAAGCCCGGGAATTGTCGTTGCCATTCACTACTGTAAGGCCCTTCTTTTCGATCTATCTATCATACGGAAAACTAACCAGCACCTGAAGGCACGGGAACCGCGGAGGCCTACTATACCGGCTCTCCCTATGCCCAGCTGGCGGAACAGTACGGCTTCATCGTGATCTATCCCCAGAGCCCCTACGAGGGAACATGCTGGGACGTCAGCTCCCAGGAGACTTTGACCCACAACGGTGGTGGAAACAGCAACTCTATCGCAAACATGGTGACCTGGGCTATCTCCAAGTATAACGCGGACTCCAGCAAGGTGTTCGTGACCGGATCCAGCTCTGGTGCTATGATGACGGTATGCTTCGGACTCCTTTGAGCTAGTACTCAGCGATGACTAACAGCATCAGAACGTCATGGCAGCCACATACCCCGAGCTCTTCGCCGCCGCAACTGTATACTCGGGTGTCCCAGCTGGATGTTTCTACTCCAGCTCCAACCAACAAGACGGATGGAACAGCACCTGCGCCCAAGGCCAGGTCATCACCACACCCGAGAACTGGGCCAACGTCGCCAAGGGAATGTACCCCGGCTACAACGGTACCCGCCCAAAGATGCAAATCTACCACGGCAGTGTGGATACGACCCTTCTGCCTCAGAACTACTACGAGACCTGCAAGCAATGGGCTGGTGTCTTTGGCTATAACTATGATTCGCCGCAGCAAGTGCAGGACAATACCCCCCAGTCGAACTACGCCACCACGACTTGGGGAGATGATCTGCAAGGCATCTTCGCAACTGGTGTGGGACATACTGTTCCCATCCGCGGAGACGATGATATGGCATGGTTTGGATTCGCTTAGGGACATAGTACTGAATGAAGGGGTGTTTGTTTTATGTATATTTGCGCCCAATATATCTGCTAGGTTGTATAGTGTCTTCACAATATCACTGTCAGTTACACACACCCATGTTCAACGCTGAATCAATATCTTCGGGAACTACTCCCGCTGCAACCGCATCTGTCGTTGTCAGTAAGGCCTTGCAAGGAGCGAAAGCGCATACCTTTATAAGACCACCGATAGCCCCCCAGCTGTGTCTTCCACGTCCAAAAGACCCATCCACGCTGTTTCTCATACGCCGTTATCTGCGCAGCAAACCACTTCTTGTAGAAGTCCTTGTTGGTATCCATATCCCAGTCTGGAGTACTCGCCACGTCGTCGGGGACGCTCAGGCTCCATTCGCCTACGATGGTGGGAGTATTGCTATCCAACTCATCGCTGCACGACGTGCTGATATAGTTCTCCTTAGAAACATTGACCTTGGGATCCCACTTCAAATAGCGATGGTCGTCGTACGCGACGTAGTATTTATCGGTGAGATATTCCTCGGGATCGCCAGATCCCCACAGCTTGTCCATCATCTGAATATGGAGATAGCCGCTCTTGGAAACATTGAGCTTCTGCTCTGCCGCACGAATCCGCTTAAACGCGTCTGGATAGTAGGTCGAGCGCATCGAGCCCACCTTCTGTGCATTTTGCAGAGGCTCGTTGACAATCTCGAGCATTCCCACGTTGCGAAAACTATCGCTCTGGTGGACTTTTGTCGTTATCCACTCCAGGAACTCCAACGCCCGGCCAAACTGATAGTCATTGTAGAATCCCGCGGTAGACGCATACTGTCCCGTGAACGGGTTATGCGGAGTCTGCGCGCCCGGTGCACCGTGTAGATCCAGAATGATGTACAGCCCGGCGTCGCTGGCCCATCCGCACAGCTTTTCAAGGTACGCAAAGCCGCCCTGGGGGAAATGCTCGCTGGTCTTGTTGACAAGGTCTTCCTTCATCCAGTAGCCTATGGGAACGCGGATGGTGTTGAGCGTGTAACTCTGGATCTCCGTGATATCGTCCTGGGTGATCCACGAGCCCCAGTGCTGGGCAAACGCTTTGTTAGCCGCGTCCTGGCCTAATGATACGACGCAGTCAAACTCGGATTTTTGTCCTTTGCAGCCCATGGATGACCAGGCCTTTTCGGCGATCCAGGGCTCAAACACGAACTGCGAGCCCATGTTTACTCCTCGGATCTTGCCTTTTGAGCTCGCGAAGAGGTTGGTTCCATTGCGAGAGGTGATTGTCTTGTCGGTTTCGGGGAGCCATGCGGTCACCAGGGTGGATATAGCCAGAGGAATCAAGAAGAGAGTCTGGTAGGTGGTCATTTTGTTGATTCTCGAGGGTGAGTCGTGGGAAACGCGTGTATCTTATATCTTATCGCAGCTTACGATGCCTTCCGCCACGATGAGGAATGTCAGTCGCCAGATCGCCAGACCAAATCCCGGTATCTTGGTTGCTTGGAATGGAGGTAGCACAGTTGATTATCAGGGGAATTTTCACAGGATAAAGGGGTGAGACGATGTCGCATCAGACTCATCAGATAGTGGTGGGGTGGTTGGATTTCAGATCTTACGAAGATCACTGTGGCTGAGACATTGTCAGCTCTGTACATAATCATCTCACGATCCAGGCATTGTACGTATGTATATATTGAGCATTGCTCCCGAGAAACCCAGGTACTAACTCATCGTTATGTACAATCATTGATCTATCTATCTATCTCTATGACAACTTGGGCTTGATACTCCGGAACATGGCGTCCTGAACAGTCGAGGCAACCAATTCCCCAGAAGGATCCCAAATCCGACTTTCGATGATCGCGCGCCCCTCTGCGCCGCGGCTACTGGACATCTCCTGAATGAACCACCCCTTCTCGTCCAGTTTCAGCTTCTCGGGGTCGATGTGGAAGACCATCTTATGGTTTAGGCTTCCAGACACCCCGAGCGTCTTCGCCTCAAACGTATGCAGCAACACACTCAGTCCCGCACGATCCGACACAAATGCATGCGCTGCAGCAATCATGTTGGGATCCACGATCAGCGGAGCGACTCCACGGTAGATATGCATTCTGCGGTGCTCCGTGCCCCGGTTCTTCTCGTTATACGCGGTCAAATCGGGCGTGCGAACCTCGATTCCAGGAAAATCCGCCAATTTGATCGTCCCTGCTCGGTTGGGGCCTCGCACATACTCGCTTGCGGGATGCATCGTGGGATCTTTCTGGAGCAGATCGCTGTACTTCTCCCGGTTGAGCTTGATCCAGTACCCAGGGCCTTCTTCCGGCGCCTTGAACGAACACGTCAAGGCGAAGGCCACCGGACCCAGCGACTTAGATGCATCAGACAGAGGAAACGGGCAGACATCCGATGGTGTGGTCGGCTGGCGGGCCGTCACTTGTCGCAGGACGAACGATCGGGTCTGGGAGAGGGTCTTGATCTCGAAGACGAACGGGCGGTTGGCGTGGCCGGCCTGCGTCCAGTATCCGTTCGCTTCGTGGACTCGCAGCCCCGTGTCGCGGATTGTCTGGCTCGCAGCCCATATCGCCTGCGCGTAAACATGTCCGCCGTACGATCTCTGCACGCTCAGCGGTTTCCCGGGGGCATAGTCATACGACAGTGCGGGATACCGGCTTAGATAGATTTCGTCCTCTGATGGGACCCGTTCCAATTCCATCGCCTGAGCGAAGGTCAAGGGCTCGGATGGGGCGATGGCTGGCATCTTGGCTGCGGCGTGTTTATCGCTTCCCTGTTCGATGGTTAGCGCGGCTCTTCTGAGGGTGTTTGAGTTTGATGCCTCCTACAGACTTACGTGGAATGTCCACCGAGAGAGTCAGAGTGTGGGCAGTTGTAGGACTGCGTTAGCTCTTGACTCCCCCTAGATATGAGCTGTGCGGAGGAAATGACACTATCTTGGCATTCCGAGGCTTCTGGGGAGCCGAGGTCTGAGATTCCGCCAGACTAATCGCTCCGTAAGCTATCATCGCTAAGACGGCTGGCTGTTGATAGATGTACTCCTGGACTGTCAGATTACTATTCAACAATAATATTCAGTCACTTCTCGCATTCAAAATAGGACTGGGTCCGTATTGAGATAGATAAGTTACTCAGTGACCCCTAACCCTCACATCAGAGCATTCAAGGATGCACCACATTGATACGAGAAGTCGGGCCAAACTCACCGTAAAACAGAATCATAGCCTGCTTCGCGCTGACAGGACCATGACCACACTCCTCAAAAGCCCGGTAGCCGTCAACATAGCGCGAGGGCACGGCCTCCGGGTGGAGAGCGAACGGAACAATCATCACTCATCAAAGACACCCGGCCGAGTGCCAGCGTATCGACCTAGCTTACCAACTACAATGCTACGGGTTTGGGGGTCCAAGCATCGGAGTACAGAGCACTGGAGTGGTTTAGGGCAACGATGTTGTGAGTGACATGAGTACGGTAACACTATAAGGACCTCCGCTGTTGTTGGCACAAAAGAAAACGCAGGCTAGTATCTGGTTTCACTCATTCTCGCCTATTTCCCTCCAACATTTGCATTGAGCAAACCACCAGAAAACATGGTCCTGCAACATCAAGTCTTCTTCAGTAAGCGAGACAGGGCGACTCGCACCGGCCCATCCGGCTCCGATCACCTGCGATGGGTTCCCATGCGCTCTACTCTTATGCATAGTGAGAGGGATGCCATCCTGGTCGATACCCAGTTGACCTCAGGCCGCCCAATAATTGACTGACTGGGTGATTGCCAGCGGGAAGAACCTCGTCAGCATCTATTTCACCCATTCGTACGACGACCATCACTTCGGAAGCTCGACCCTTCTCAAAACACTTTCCTCGAGCCAAAATCCGGGCCACAGGCCGGGCCACAGGAGAGGCCGCTTCCAGGATGGAGAACGGGCACTGCCCCGAGAGACTGCAGGGTCTGTGGGAAAAGCTCTTCCCCGGAGAAATCCCGGATGCGTTTGCATCGGCCGAAGCCCTGCCACAGGACGAATTCGACCTGGAGAGGGAAAAGTTGATAGTCGTGAGACTGGGCCATACCGACTGTGATGAGACTACGGCCTTGTGGGTTCCTTCGGCCGGTCTGCTGGTCGCGGTCTACGGTAGCACACACCCGTATATGGGGGAATCTGGGACCCTGGAGGCTCGACTCACATGGATCACAGCGTTGGACAAGCTCGCCGCTTTGAAGCCCATGGTTGTGGTTGGCGGACACACCAATCCGAACAGTCCCTTGGGGCCGGACGCCATCAGCCAGACCAGGACGTACGTGGAGGATTTCAACCGAACGGTGGAGTCCCAGGCGGCCGAAGAGATCTACGCACGCATGATGGACTGTTACCCATCATGCCTGAACCCCGGTTCACTCTGGGCCGGGGCTGCGCTTTCTAAACCAAAGTGACGTGCGAGTGCTACGCTTGGGTGTAGTGTATCATCAAGCCGAGGGCAAGAGAATATGAAGATATTGTCTACCTGGTATCTAATGTAGCGTCTTGTATCATGAGCATTGGGCCATACGTCCTTGAACGTGCAAACAGTGATAAGCAATCAAGGACTAAACCCCATCTGAAAGGGGTCGAACGTGCTGGACTTCACTCGTGCTGCACTTTGCATTAGACCTTGGTATTCATGGACATATACTCATGGAAACTATCATCTATACTGTAAGAGTATCGGGCAACAGCTCTTCTTGAAACATTTCAACCGTGAGTCAAATGAAATCATAGCCAGCCATAAAAGACTATTGATGTTTCAAGCACATTGAGCTCAAGATCTGGACGACTGCAACAATGGCAATCTGTTCCATGAGGTTAACGAACTTGTCAGTCTTCAGCGTCGGCCGTAACAGACAGAGCCTGACGCGAGACACGGTGCGCGAGCTTTTCCCGAGGGGGAAGCACTCTGAACAGACTCAGTCGGATCCGGTGATTGAAAGATTTGACCATCGTCTCGGAGTTCAGATCATATCTCCGAAGGTGTTGGGCTTAGGAGGTCGGGGTTTGCGACGGGCGAAGCGAGCGGGATTAGAGTGCGTTAGTAACTACGATTCATGAGCTGATGGCATGATGGCATGATGTTGGAGTGACTTCCGTATTACCTAGTCATTGTAGTCCATGGTAGTTAGCTATTCGCTGATGTCAGCTCAAGACATCTCAATTCCCGCAAACCTACCAGACCATCGGACTTCCAACAACCGTTCCATGGATGGGCGTCTACTTTATTCGGGACTATCTCGTCATGGTGGTTGACATCTCCGTGTAGAACAGGTACGGGTTGTCATGATGAGAATATATTGCACGACCGTTGGGTACTTTTGAATGAGTATCCGTATTTGATCGTGTCTAGAGGCTTCAGGGAAGAACCTCCCACTTCTCAGGGGTATCAGAGACCAGCTAGAAACCCTTCTGCTGTCTAGACACAAGGATGGACCGTCCATGAATAGATCATGCCACCAACAAGCTCATCTGACCTGGAGCCCTTCACTTTAGCCAAATCCCGAATTACAGCAGCTCAAAACCCGAACCTGTCATGGTCCTGGCCGGGCCATGACTCTCACGTCCGACGTACCACACCCATCATAGTTTCTTTAATGGAAGGTTTCGGGACAGCCCCCCAGATTGAACTCCACAGAGCCTCGGCCGGGAGCCCCTGTCAATGTGGTATGATCTTCCTGAGCCACGGCGCTTATCGTGGGACGAGCTGCAGTGAGCTAGTCAGAATTGAATGACCAGCCCAGCAGGAAATGCCGTAAACAGGATCCAGCCAAGCCACAAGATACCAGACCGCCCCTTGGGGCATGAGCCGCCAAGGTAGGAAGCGCGTGGCCGCATATCGGGTTCCAGAATAGGACATCCTGTCGGTCTCATACATCCCTCGATCTCGGATCCGAGATGGAAGCCCCCACAAACGGTCCGCAATCTAGTTTTAGCTCCGCCGACGGCCGTGTCTCATCATCTCATGCATCGGTCATTTCAGTCTCGGAGCCGAAACGTCGCATCATGGTGCGTCCACAAGATCCGGCCAACGATGAAACCTGCCCCGCGTATTGCAGCTGCGTTGCAGTCGAGCGTCGTTCTTCTAGAATGGCTCCATCCTCCAGAGTCTTTATCCCCCAGCGGGGTCTCCCGGGTAGGACGGACGGCGGTGGACTTCGGCACAGTCGGAAATTCGCATCATGCTAGGGCCTAAAACAAATTCATGATCAGCACGGTGAGAGATGAGAAACTCGGGGGGGAGAGGAGTGATACATCCCCATCACTGCGCTTACCAGTCGCCGGCTTCGATGCCGGTGCATGACGAAGATCACTGACAATAGACGCAGACACTCACATCCAACATCCAACGGCAGGCACAACGAGATCATCAGGAACCAAAATTCCTGTCGGCGAACCTTGGTTGTTGCAGCAGTTCAACTTGCATCCTTGTTCGGCCGAAACGGGAATTCTTCGGCTCGCGCACAAAAGAGCATTTGCCTAATGCGATCACGTATCACCAGGACAATCGGCAAGAACGGGGGTTCGTCCTGAATCAGTGACCCAGTCCTTCCGCAGGTACAGATCATAACCCCCGGCAGTTCCACCGATCTTTTCTCATTACAACTGCCACCACGCTCCCCGGCTCTCTCTTCACTGCACCCCCTGAGGCGCAACACTCCAGGGTCGAATCGTCGTCGGCGCCTAACCGGGTCCAGCTACAAGCAAAAAGGGGGTCGTTGACCAGCATGAGACGCTCGGCAGACAGGAAGAAGTCCACGGCCAAGGTCCAGGAGAATCAACAGCATACTACGGACAACACATACAGGGAGGGCTACGACATATGAAGAGCCTCTTAAGCGGAGGAGGGGTAACGGAGGACACAGGCAACATATGCAGGGTGAGTATGCTCATAACTTCATAATCCACTGAGGGCTCGATTAGGTACAAACGTCCGAACGATCGGCATCGGCTCACGCATTCCCCGTGTTCATGCTGGGAAACAACATCACATCCGAGACTCGGTTGAGGATATTTCCGATGCGTCCGTCTTCGGAAGACATACCATGCCCGGCTACATACGGTGACGATGAAGGAATATTCAACGATGCGGGGGAAGTGGACATAGTGGGAGGGGAGATGGTTTGCGACATGTTGGTCGATACTGGGGCGGACGATCTCTTTGTCCGTGAGCGGAACGCGGCACTGACTTCACGAAGAGCGCGAAGTGACGACGTCAAGTGCTTTGCCGAATCCGTGCGGCTATTACTGGGCTCTGCGCCACCATTAACGTGGTCAGCAAGCACCACCTCTAGCCGTTGGATCAGATCCCACGTTTGGGAATGGATCTCGTCATGGTTGTTTGCAACCAGGAGGAACGCCGATGCGATCGTCCGCTGCAGGCTTATCCAGCTCCGTGAACAATGAGGGTTAATGGAATGCAGCTCCACAAAAGCCTCAATCGTGTTGATCAGATTGAGCAAACAATCGTCGCGAACGATGGCCCGCCGGTGTGGATCAAGTGGTGCATGGGGATCCAACGATACACGGCACATTACTGATATATAGTAAGAGGAGTGCAGCCGCAGCTCCGTCCTTTCGATGTGGTCTTGCAGGCTAGTGCAGCAGTCCCTAAAGCGCAGATGCGGCGCCGCCTCCGTCAATATTCGCTCAATCCGCTGCTTATAGTCGCGGATTTCATGATATCGAAGGTGAGAATGACGGTGCATCAGCAAACCCCGCAGCATTTCAAGCACTACGGATATAATGCGACAAAGCGTTTCGAAGTATGAGCGATGGCCGGGCATCGATTTGGGGTCGTACGGGATTTCCGGTTGGTTGATCATCGTGATGGACGGCCGGTCGTAAGCCAAGGAGAAGTGGCTGTTTTGAAAAGCCATAGCCCACCATACACGTTGACGAGCTGCCTGGACGGGTCGCGGGAAGCCAGGTGTCTCTACATGAAGACCGAGCACCATGCACATTCGTTCCGTCATGCCTTCAACGCGTCCCCCGTTAGCAATGCCCTGATCTGTTGCTTGTGGGGCGGCTCACCCAATAGTGTATATGATGCACCAGCGTTCATATTATACGACAAAACATTGCTGATTATCAATAGGACTTGGATGATCTCCATCGTTGGTTGGGATACGTAATTCAGCATCCGCAGACACTGGTATGAGCACGAGACTAGACCGCAAGTGAGCCCAGAGGCTTTTCAAGCACCGCATGAAGGACCACAAACCATATACCCAGGAAGTCAGCTCCCGTTCGCTTTCCGGCCGGTCGGATAACTGGCATCCGGATGCTAGGACAGCGAACAACAGACTCAGGAAAGGAAGGCCCATCCCGAAGGGTTTCATAAGACCATTCGCATCCGGTCGATAGACACCGCCCGCGGCAAGACGGCCTTGCAGCAGACGATTCGTGTCTCGTTCTAATTTATCCAGATCGGGAAGCACAGGATACAGTACAGCGCCAACCTCTTTGTAACATGCCAAAAGTCTGCAGGCCACGGTCAGTCACAGGCTCGCATGGGGATCAGAACGTCTATCCAACTTACTTGAGACATTGCTCGTCGTCGGGAAGGACGCCACATACGCCAGCAATGTTGAAAGTGTATGGGTCGGACGACCATAAATCAACAAACGGATAGGCTGCGGACTGATTCCCCAACGCCAACTCAGTTAAGAGATCATCCTTTGGCAGCGCCTCCGCAGTCTCCACCGCTCCTTTCGATTTGTCCATGATATCAACTAACGCCGATCTTGAACCGATGTGTATTTTGCTCGTTTTCAAAGCATCCACCTCATAAACACCCCGCGACGATGGCGACGGGTCCTCCTCTTCGGGCACTGATGTTTCCCGCTCAGCTCCCGAGGGTTTTCGCCCAGAACGATTCTGAAACAGGGAGTCCAGACTTGACAGGATTTGCTCCATCGCCTGCATCTTGGGAATTAAGCTCATCCCACTCATCTTGCGAGAGCGACACGGTCTCCGACAAATCCTCCGGACTTCGATCCGCATTGTAGGACGCCTCTCGTGTCGATGTTATGTACGAGGAGGACTGGTTCTGTGGCGTAACAGTTGTAGAAGGGGGTCGATAGAGCTCCGAGAACACAGGCGGTTTCGGTTGCGACGGGGGTGGACGACCGTAGGAACAGGTAAAGTTGCGCTTAACACAGTTGCCGCACGGGACGTTGCGGTCGCAGCGAACCTTACTGGCACGACATGGGAGACATGTTTTGCACTCGCGAGGTCTGCGCCGGATAGGATATGTAGGCATGGCCGGTCTTGTTGGGCTGTTCAGCACCCTTTTATCACCCCCGCTATTGAGGGAACGGTGCAACAGGGGCGATGAGCGCGACAGGTGAGGAAAAGCCCCGAGGGGTGGGTATTGTCTGTACGACGACAAGGCCACGCGCAGCTATCATCAAAATCGGGAGGCCACGGGCAATAGTGAGGGATAATGGAGATGGAAAAGAGGAGACTCAGAAGGCGACCGCCTAGCCGACCATGCGAAGGCGCGGCAGAGGGAGGCTTTGGACCGGCGACCGGGACGTAACGATACGGGGAAGGGCCTAGACAACCTTGGGACATGGCTAGTCAGTGAAAACGGGACTTTTTGCACGGATCAAGGGCCGGGGTTGGTGGCTGCATGGCAGATACCTAATAATAATAATAATAATAGGCTATTATTCTTGGGATCGAAGGCTGAAGGGTGAAGGGTCAAGAAGGCCGATCGTTACCCCGGGGAAGAGAAGAAAGTGGTAGGTAGAACAAGCAGCCGAATAATAGACCAGTCGATTGGGTATTATTATTACTGGAGTTGCAGCGTCATATTATTGGGGGATAGAATCATCCCCAACACCGAAAAGGTCGTTAGTGGGAACGGGGCTGGATCAACGACCCCCGAGATGGCGTGGTGCAGATCCACGGATTCGACAGCTGAGTTATCGGAGTATCAACTGAAGGACCCGTCGCATATCCTCCTTGTTCGAGACGCGCGTGTGAAAGTGCTCGCTTGGGATGGCGATGATGAAGTCATCGATGGAGCTCAGGCTGTTGACCTTTGCCAATGGCCGTGGGTGGACGGATTCGGAAGGTTTCCGGTCCTGACTGAACCGCAGCATGCATGAACAGATCTCTCGGTAGCGAGCGGAGCCTCCAACGCCAGTGGATCCCTGGACGCTAGAGGGGAAGCGAAAAGATGGTGAATTTTTGATGAATGGGGGGTGTGCGTAGAGGAGATGTCTGATCGAACAAATGCTCAAATCGAGTTGAAGCAGCTGAAGCTTGGTTGCTGGAAAATGAGTTGGTCACGTGGTCTAGCCTCCATAGTATCATCCACAGTAACCGATGGAGTAGATAGTCTATCGCACAGGTAAAGAAAAAGGAAAGGAAGAAAAGAATTAATCTACTAGCCTATTCTATTGGACAGCCCGCATTATTCTTTCTAGCGAGTTATGTGGCTTCGTTATGTATGAGATCTGTCAAGCCAGTCTGCCTCGTGCAGAGATGCACATGGCTTAGGTAGCTATCGCTTGATGTAGTCGTGAAGGTCGTAGCTCAATATACCTTCATCAGCTTGTTCATATGCCTTCACGGTTCTTCTGAGTATGTGCACGTTCAGATCAATGCACCTGGTGAGATCTCGTACCTCACATTATGGCTAGAGAGGCCTCCGCGCATTATACCGATAGAAACCGGGTTCTTCAATTCACCCCAGTTATGCCCGAATTGCGCCCTGGTTCAGGTCCCTCGACCGGCTGCTTGAGGCAATATAACAACACTGTTCATGATTTTGGATCCGTCGGCGCCGGCGAAACTTGGGGTACCGCCCACCAATCGTGCCACCGAGAGTTGGACCCTGGTTCGGGAATAGTCACTTTCAGCTTCAATGCTTGTCCGTTGAGGTCACAGTCGGCGAGGTTGGTTTCCTTTGCATCTTTCGACCCCTTCTGCGCACCCAAAGCCTTCTTCACGGTCTCAACAGCAATGCTAGCGCCGATGCAAGCCCGCATTGTATCCTTGACGCCTCGGTTCCAGTCTTCCTCAAGCGCGGGCGCTCGAGTAATTGGGTTCTCGGATTCCTTAACAAATGCTCCATTGCTAAGAGTCGCCTCCCACGCTTTGCGTGCTTCTGAAACGGCCTTTGCCGCACGTTCCAGCACAATCTCATCGCTGTCACCCTCTAGCATAGCCTCGCGTCGGTATTCTTCGTATGGAACAAGCTCGGGTAGAGTGATGGGGATGAACGGTTTCATCCGCAGTTCATACCGCAAACGTTCACTCGAATATGCTTCGCCTGACGAGGACACGGGTAAGACATTGTGTCGCGCAAGAAGCACATACAAGGCATGCAAAGCGATCGCAAACGCGTCGACGGCAACAATTTGAGTAGTGAGTCGCTCAAGGAGCCGAAGGGACTTCTGAAACGCAACATGACGCTCGACCGCTTCGCGCTTCTTTCCAGCCAAGGACGTGAGGTTCCGCTTTGCCATGGAGACGGTGAATGTGCGGATGCGATCAATGTGTCCCAGATGTGTCGAACAGATATGGGACAGATACCAGTACATCCCCGGCAGTTCCTCGGGAGAGTATATCGACAGTTCAAATCCGAGCTGAATGATAAGTCGGAACTGGTTCAGTTTCTGGTGATAGGTCCAGCTACTGAGGGGGTACGAATAGGTGGTGTCACCATTCTGGAGCACCAAGGGTGGTTCGTTATTTAAGGTCCGAAGCTGTTCGTCCAAATCTTCGGCCTGTGATGCGGGTCAGACAGCCATCAATACCATCAGTTCACACATACGTACCTCCATTTGTAAGTTGTCCCAATCCACGATAGTATGGCAGACAGTCCGGCGAATACGGCAGCGATTCAGACAAGAACTTCGGAATGTGTCCACAAATGGCTACATATAATGAGCATAGATCTGTGATAATGTAAAAGTAGAAAGAACGTTGCTTACTTGCGCAAATCGTTTGACGAATGCATCCATGTGTCTCGCAATCTGAAAGCGAGGGTCGGAGGGCATCTCAGTTTCGTCAGTGTTCGCCTGAAGGAGGGAGCTCGACGGAAGAACAAGCTCCGCAAGCTCATCATAGAGGAACTGCTTGACAGGTACGGTCCCCAGGACAGTCATGTTATTCACGATGATGGTTTGCACCAGTGACCGGATGTAAACAGATGGCTGTGGTTTACGGGAAAGGAGGGTCCAAATCGCAACCTGTAGATTCAGAACACGCCATCATGATTGGAGCGGTTGCGGGAAACATCTTACCTTCAAGTTATAGGGTCCTTGATACTCAAGAATCTCCAGTATGTCCACAGCATCCCGACACAATCGTGTCAGATGTGCGAGCGCTTCCTCGGGGCTTATTTTGACCATCGGTCGAGGAGGCACTGTGCTTGCTAGCTTCCGCTGGATTTTCCAACTGAATGACTCGGGGACAGGCTTCCCCAATGAGACAGATTGTGATAGCGAGGCCAGTTGAGATGCGCAGGAAGTAAAGTGAGAGGTGTCTCGACTCTCTATGATATCGATGTCTTGCTCCAGCCCAAGAAGAAAGTCGCGTCGAAATATCAGCCGACATCTGATAGCTGCCCTAACCTTTTCATCCATCTTGTTTTCCGGGTCATCAATCCAGGATAGTGCCCGATCTACAAGTTTGGTGAAATACTGGGTGTCGAACTGCGATAGCAAAGAGCGATGATATAGCTGAGTGACAAAGTCCTCCTCCTAGAGCCTGTCAGTTTTATACGAAGGACCCGAGGTTGGCGTTTCCCTCACCTCATAGTAGTATTCTGTCGATACTCGCGCGTGAACGAAGTCGCAACACTTCACTAGCGCGAGGCAATATGCGCGCAAAACGAGATGGACCAGCTCAGGAGTGTCTTCATTGACAGGGAGATGCGGGCGACCGAAATGGGCTTCTTCGATAGTTTTTGGGACGGGCCATAACAATTTATCGAGGTATAGGGACGTAAAGAGGGTTTGGGAGAGCGGGTGGCCCATATGCCATGCCATCTACCAGCGCGCAATCTCCGTCAGCGATATAGCCGAGTAGTCTGGTGTCCAGGCCGCTCACCTCATGGCATAAAAGTTCGTCCATGACTCCTATTACCTCTTCCGGAGCCAGCTCCCGCATGGTATTGTAGTCGTCCTCCAAGGCGTGGGCGTTGTTCTCTCCAGGGCCAAGATAACCGCTGTCCATTTTGGAGTCCATGATCTGTAGTCCTCATCGCCGATCAGTTTTCAACGACCGGTTGTGTATTCGCATGGAGAATTTAAAGCCGAGGGGAACCCACCTCGAGAGCGCCAACGGCCTCGAATAGTGTGAAATACTCATCTTTGACGAGCTGACCGGTACGCAATTCTAGAAAGGGAGTGAAGATACATTAGTCCATATGCACATGCGCAAGAGAAAAACAAGCGAATAAGCCACTGTAGAGGTGTATTCATGATAGAGGTTTTCTCACTGGAGGCAGCTTCTCTGAACTCATCGGTGATGTCGCGCGGGACGACAGCCTGCGAGACCACTCGCATTGTGGGGGGCTGGACCTCGTTCGTTGGCAGCATGGGGATATAGAATCATCTGCAGCCAGCTGTCAGATTTTCTAAAACGGACCCTAGAATTAAAAGTTCGCGACGAGAGAATGGGAACGGGGCTGTCATAGAGAGTGTGAGAAGAGCGGACGAGGGGGAGCGGGGAGTCCACTCGGGCGGCGGACAGGACAAACCCTGCGGAAGCGCATATGCCCGCAGTAGAGCACAGGATGGATTCTACCACGCAGAACCAGAAAGACACAACTACATTTGCCCGCGTAAGGGGGAGACTACTGCGACACTTCACGACAAGGAAGGAGACAGCCCTTTCTTTCTATTTATACTCGATCAAGCGGTCCGTATGTTACAGAGATCCAGTGTTCGTTCCCCTTCCACTTGAACCGTCCATCTCCTCCCGGCGCATCACCTTTCGATCGTGGTATCGACGTCTTCGAGGAATCTTTTACTTCGACTCGGCCTGAGCGGAGATGGCCTCGGCGTTGGCCTTGGCGAGAGACTGGGGTTCACCCTGCTTGCCGTTCTGCATGAATTGTCCCGTTAGCTATTGTCCTCCTTGAACGACTGGCATAGAGTCGAGTAACCACTGACCTGCCACTTAGCGAAACGCAAATCCATCTGGCCACGGCGCTCAGCAGCGACACGGGGGCCTTCCTTGAGGGAGCGGCGGACCGCGCGAGCAGCGACGGCCAGGTAACGGTTGTAGCTGGAAAGGAGACGAGTCAGTTGAAGGGTCCAAGGCGACGAAAAACTGCAAAAGGGTGAGGTCATACGTCAGACCAGCGGCTTTCCAGGCGAATGCCATTTTGTCGGGTGGAGGAGTGAGTATGGATGGGAGAGGAATTCAATAAGAGCAAGGAGAATCCACGAACGACGCTGTGCAATGTCGACTCTCGGAGCATCGGGAAGTCTCGTCATGTGACCACATATCGGGTTATCACGTGATATAGAGTATCAACTATGCCCAATGAGGAAATATTTTCTACTGCGGAGTATAAAACATCAATTTGATCATCGCTCGAGCGTGCTGCGTGGGATCCATACACTCTGGGTATAGGATGGATATTCCTACAAGGGAATTGTAAAACACCGCTTCTCATCCATTGATCGGGAAGCTATGTAGAAAACTTTTAGCAGTAAGACGGTCTGGTAAACTGTCAGAGACACGGCCATCAACACGTACACAAGACCTCTCCAAAACGCGGTCTCTTCGCGGCGGTCAATTCCTCCCCTACTCACCATATTTATCATATCAGATTATACCAACATTCCAACTTTCGCTCATTTCCTGTCTCCTCTGCAGAACCAATACCATCGACCACCAGCGGGTCCTTACGAAGAGAATCGCTGTACGTATAATAGAAAAATATATCTGAATTCACTCCCATCTCACTTACCTGTCAGTCACTATGAGCTCTCCGAAGAAGCCCCTCAATCGACCTAAGAAGCGCACATTGGTTCGCTGGGACGGTATGTCGTTCTCTTCTCGTTCCACGCTACACGCACATCTCGCTAACATGCTAATCATCCTAGACAATCTCGATGAGCTCCTTCTGTTGACCATCCAATCAGTATGCAACAAAAACTCCGTCAAGATCCCGTGGGCCGAGGTGGCGAAGACTATGGGACATAATGTGACCGAGGGGGCTATCGTGCAACATCTCGCCAAACTTCGCAGTCGTCGGGTTCAATCTGATAAAGCTGTACCTCCTCCTCTCCGGCGCGGCGGTGTTGGGTCGTCCTCAGCCAGACCATCTGAGACTAAACGCAAGCGCCATAAAACGCCGCCGTTGGAGCCTGACGAAGAGAATCCAGACATCATTCCCGTGATTGACCATTCATCCGACGAAGATTACGGGGTCAAGAGTGACGCGAAAGCACGCAGGAAGCGGAAGCAGAGGGCCAACGTTCAGCCATTGAAGGATGTCCCAATTAAAGCAGAACCAGAGACTGAAGATGAAACAGAGAGCGATGGAGAGGATTCAGGAGAGTATTTGGTACCTGGTGCTCCCTTCCTGGACTTCCCCAACGACAGGCAGGCCGTCGAATCTCCTCCTGTCCCTGAGAGCAAGATAGTCGTTCTGAAGTACAGGGCCAGAAACAACCATGGCTCTCCAGGTGTTCAGGACTTGCGACAGACTCCGGCCAACTTGTATATGGACCAAACGCTTGACTCTGACCTTTATCAGCATTCTCTCAGCCCTCTCCAAAACCGGCCTGCGTTTGCGAATCACCATGCTGTGAACCAACATTATGTGGCAGCATCTCGGCCAACCGAGGCAGTCTCATATGAGACAGCTTACGCGCCCGCCACTCTCCATAACTTTGGTGCTTACGATGAAGTTAACGGCCTTCCTAGCACTGTCGCACCGTGGGAATGGCACCAAACCACCTCTACTCATCACGATCCTTCCGATATGATCGGTTATAATACTGAGGAATTTTTCGACGATCAATACCAGTATCATTTTTAGTGCCTATGGGCGCAAGGATGGCACTGAAACTATGTCCCGAGCGCGTCGATAAACCGGCATCTATCGCTACATCTTACCATTGTTATCAGATGACAGCTCTTCGGGTTTGCGTGTTTCTCTTTGGTAACTGACAATTCATGCCTTGGGTGTTCGCCTGCGATGTCTCTGGCTTTCCTTGTCGCTCACATGCCTTCTACCTACGTCAATGTTCGTTCTGCATTCATTTCATGTTCATTGGAGAAGCGCGGAGTCCCCATAGATCTCGGGAGAACGGATGAAGTCAATGCTTATGGTGCTTGCTCGGGTGATGCTATTGTTTTATAGATGATTACAAATGCCAGACTCGTTCAAGTACAACAAGCCGAAGAAGAAGAATCCCCATAAAGAGTACCTGATGTAGCTGCCGGGTGGGTTGGAGTAGTCGTTCCGACCACCCGAGAAATTCCCTCGGGAAGGGGCCTCCACGTGACCTTCTAGGAGCTTCTGCCGCCAAGACAATCTGGGGAATCCAGAAACGCCTGGAAAATTTTCGAGACTTTGGCTTCATCTCCCTCTCTCTCTCCATCTCTTCTTCCCTCTTCACCCCCCTCTCCTACCATCTTTCTCTTCCTCTTCACCCGTTCGTGCTCTGGAAGTTGTGTTCGGGATCGAACCATTGTCCTTCTCATCAGCCGTACGCCTTCTTAGTCTCCTAGAATCCTTCATCCTCCCTTGTTCAACATGCAGCGTGCTCTCTCTTCTCGGACTTCGGTCCTCTCTGCCGCTTCCAAGCGCGCTCCTTTCTACAGATCTACCGGTCTCAACCTCCAGCAGCAGCGTTTCGCTCACAAGGTATGTGAATTGTCCGCGTATAGCCGACAACACCGGCAATCCCGAGTTCACTCCGCGCTTCCGTGACTCCCGAGGGTCCATCTTTCACATTGTTGCTAATTCCCTACAGGAGCTCAAGTTCGGTGTTGAAGCTCGTGCCCAGCTCCTCAAGGGTGTTGACACTCTTGCGAAGGCGGTGACTTCGACGCTTGGTCCCAAGGGTCGTAACGTCCTCATCGAGTCTCCTTATGGCTCTCCCAAGATCACCAAGGGTACGTCCCCCTTTTTGCATCAATATTGGCATAGACTGTCATTAAACACCCCATGATACTGACCTCCACAGACGGTGTGACCGTGGCCAAGGCTATCCAGCTTCAGGACAAGTTCGAGAACCTCGGTGCTCGCCTCCTCCAGGATGTCGCTTCCAAGACCAACGAACTCGCCGGTGACGGTACCACCACTGCTACCGTTCTCGCTCGTGCTATCTTCTCCGAGACCGTGAAGAACGTTGCTGCCGGCTGCAACCCCATGGACCTCCGTCGCGGTATCCAGGCCGCTGTCGATGCCGTTGTCGACTACCTCCAGCAGAACAAGCGCGACATCACCACCGGTGAGGAGATCGCCCAGGTCGCTACTATCTCCGCCAACGGTGACACTCACGTCGGTAAGCTCATCTCCACTGCCATGGAGAGAGTCGGCAAGGAGGGTGTCATCACCGTGAAGGAGGGCAAGACCCTCGAGGATGAGCTCGAGGTCACTGAGGGTATGCGTTTCGACCGTGGATACACCTCTCCTTACTTCATCACCGACCCCAAGGCCCAGAAGGTCGAGTTCGAGAAGCCCCTGATCCTCCTCTCTGAGAAGAAGATCTCCGCCGTCCAGGACATCATCCCCGCCCTCGAGGCCTCCACCACTCTCCGTCGCCCTCTCGTGATCATCGCTGAGGACATTGAGGGTGAGGCCCTTGCTGTCTGTATCCTGAACAAGCTCCGTGGTCAGCTCCAGGTCGCCGCCGTCAAGGCCCCTGGCTTCGGTGACAACCGCAAGAGCATCCTTGGTGACCTGGCTGTCCTGACCAACGGTACCGTCTTCACCGACGAGCTTGACATCAAGCTCGAGAAGCTGACCCCCGACATGCTCGGTTCCACCGGTGCCATCACCATCACCAAGGAGGACACCATCATCCTCAACGGTGAGGGCAGCAAGGACTCCATCGCTCAGCGCTGCGAGCAGATCCGTGGTGTCATGGCCGACCCCACCACCTCCGAGTACGAGAAGGAGAAGCTCCAGGAGCGTCTGGCCAAGCTTTCCGGTGGTGTTGCCGTCATCAAGGTCGGTGGCGCCTCCGAGGTTGAGGTCGGTGAGAAGAAGGACCGCGTTGTTGACGCCCTGAACGCCACCCGTGCTGCCGTCGAGGAGGGTATCCTCCCTGGTGGTGGTACCGCCCTCCTCAAGGCCTCCGCCAACGGCCTGAGCGACGTCAAGTCCGCCAACTTCGACCAGCAGCTCGGTGTCAGCATCATTAAGAACGCCATCACCCGCCCTGCTCGTACCATTGTCGAGAACGCCGGTCTCGAGGGCAGCGTCATCGTTGGCAAGCTGACCGACGAGTTCTCCAAGGACTTCAACCGTGGCTACGACAGCTCCAAGAGCGAGTACGTCGACATGATCGCCACCGGTATTGTCGATCCCCTCAAGGTTGTCCGCACCGCCCTGGTTGACGCCAGCGGCGTTGCCTCCCTCCTCGGTACCACCGAGGTTGCCATTGTCGAGGCCCCTGAGGAGAAGGGCCCTGCCGCTCCTGCTGGCGGCATGGGTGGCATGGGCGGTATGGGCGGCATGGGCGGTGGTATGTTCTAAACTGCCTCGCACCTACGCTAGCCTAGCCCATCTTCCTTGTTTCTAAAGGTTTCTCTTCGAGCGTGTCTTTGCATCATATCGGCATATTTTTTTCGATAAATTTCTGTGATTTTAATCATCTCCTTTGTTTCTGTAATGTGTTACATGTCTTTTCTTACACCCAATTCCTCATATCCGTACCCTACCCTCTTCATCTCTCCCGCTACTTGTTGATTGGGTTCTGCTTCATCTCCACTCCACTATTTTGGGCATAAAAAGTCTCAGGGAGTCCTGTGTATCATATCATGTACTTTACAACTCTACGACTGATGCTGTAGTCGCGGAATTGAGATCATATTAATGTTCAAGGTGTCTATGAATCGTAGTTGATCGTAGCTCAGTAGCTTCCTATCTAACTAATGCATTGAATGAAGTATGTCCAGAGTAAATGCCCTTCCATCACTCCTCTCCACACTCCACACTATCTCACTTTCTCGGTGTACGCATCTTCAATCTCCGACACTGGGACGGGGGGAAGAGGCGAAATGACACGGTCTTCGTGTCTTTTCCAGATGTCGTTCTCCAGCTGCTTCTGATACCGTCGGTATCTGCTGAACCGGTCCCTCCTGTGGGTGCTTTGTGTCGACACGGATGGGGCCTTTTTGGTCTTCTTCTCTCGATGGAACATTCGTTTGAGCGGATAGAAGAGAACATCAGCCATGATACCGGCCAGAATCCTGTTCGACTCGACGACAGCCTCGCGGAGCCTGTCGCTAAAGGCCATCAGGAGAGCAAAGACAATGACTACGACTGATGTGGGACCTTTGGGGTGTTATTGAGACTCGACCCTGCGTATGGCAGATTGTATATTTTTGGTAGGACGCTTACCTGCTATGGAAAGCATTTGTGACATGGTCAAATTTGTCGGTTCGCCGCTCCATTCTCGGACATTGATGCCGAATAAGGAGGTGAAAAAGGACAGTGGTAGGAATCTATAAAACCTTTGTGAGAAATATTACACATGCGTGGATGGTCTGGGTACTTACATCACAGTGAAGATAGTGAAGACCATCACAGACTGCGATTGATTCTGGGTTACTTCTGCCTCCCAGCGAGCCAAACGCGACTCGTCGACATTTGCTTGTTTTTGCTTGAGATCGAGCAGTGTTTCCACCTTTGAGTGTAATTAGTTGAAGCCATGGTCACAACACGACAATGCTTACCGCTCTCTGCGCAGCATATGCGTTTTCTTTCATGTCCGACACCTGTGTGCGGTATTGATCTAGACGGCTGAGTGCTGACTCGATAAACGACCTTCCATAGCCTTTGTCCTCGAAGTATTCCGCCATGATCTTGACAGTTGCGGTCTGCTCTTCCAACAGCTTCATGATCGTCCCAAGTTCGTCCACAATATCACGGAGTTCGAGCAGTGCAGATAGATCCTCGCGATTCTGGCTCGCTACCCGGTGGTCTCTTTCATCCTTCTCGGCTGCGGTCATTGTCTTCCCATCGAGTGTCTTGTTGTAATCGTCGGGTCTGGTGATGAACCCGCGATTCCGGAAGCGTTTGAACGACTTGGTCATCGATTCGGTCTATAGATGTCAGTGAGTTGTTTGGTGTGTAAGAAAACACACAATCCCACCAGTATGCTTATGGATTCCTCGAATATGCGAAGGACTTGCAGGTCGTGGTGCAGCGTTCTGTCGAGAAGGATAGTAACGGCGTGCAGGACGATCAGCGCAGCAAGATCCCCTGCAGTCTCAAAACGTCTTGCAAGATCGCCATTCAACTCATTGTAGATGCTGTTATACAGGTTTGCTTGCTCGTAGAGCTTTCCCTCGGCGGTTGTGGCCTCCTGTCTAGGGAAGAAGGTGACAACGGTTTTCTGGTCCACGATCCAGAGCCAGAGTTGATCCACCATAAGCACCTTTCCGTCTATGAAGATGTTGGATGACTCAGATGGGTCCTTGTCCAGAATGGAGTTCCGAAGCTCGTCGCTTAGATTGATAGTCTTCTTTGTTCGCTTCCAGAGCATTTGGTCGTCGTCTCTTGCCACGGTTGATCGTAGATTCGGGTACCCATACTGATCTAGCGTCCTTCTGATATGGATTGGCGGCTCGGAGCCCAAGAACTTCCAGATCAATTTCGATTCCAGGGTCGATTCAGCGACGTGGTCTGGTGCAGGGCGGGATCGTCCTTGTCTTAGTCGCTCTTCGACGACTTTTCGTCGTTGGAGAAGATTCCAGTAAGTGTCCCAATGGAGCTGGTTCATGTAAGCTTTTGACGCATTATCATTCCATTATCGCTACTCACATATGGTATCTGTTTGTGGTTGTGAAGCGTAAGTATATATTCGACATGGGATACCGAGACTACTCACATAAATGGCCAACCGCGGGTCCTTAGGGCCCTCTACTGGGGTGTTTGGGGAAGGATTGTCCATTCGCGAATGTATGCAGGTCGAACGGACATAGCGAGCATGAGGCTCTAAATGGCGCGCTCGAATCAAATTTGAGGACCAGCTATCTTCGCTCATGAATTTCCTAAAGCTAACGCAGGAGAAACTTCGTTAGCTGTGCATATAACAGACCCTGCATGTCACTCACAATTCGGACCTCTCTTGATCCTCGCAGCACTTGGCCAAGACTTCAGGGACCCATCCCGTGTGCGTGTAAGGAACATGGACCCAGAGGAGTTTCTCACTACCTGGCTCCGGTCGATCGAACCGCGGAGCTTTGCGAGGGGCTTCGTTGCGGAATTCAGTCAGCCGCTCTCTTATCGAGCTGGGGACCGGAAGGAGGTTTTTGTATTTCGGCGATACGCTTCCCCTACTACAATATCTCGTTAATGCTCTCACTCTGGAAACTTTCATTGTTGTCTGAACTTACAACGCATTAGTCTGGGTCAAAGCATCAGCGCCCACGGAATCGTTCCTTGGTCTGTCTTCGCCATCTTCGGGTAGACTGCCATGGTCTTCGTTAGATGCTCTTGGACTTGGGACGGACGTTTGATCCTCGTCATTTGGTATCTCAAAATAGCCTTCGGCGGCTGGCTCTGTGACATGTATCCGGGGCGATGGCGGGGATGTCGGGGCCATGAAACTTCGACTGTGTTTCAGCGCTGGCCTAGTAGCTGCAGAGTCTGATTTCCGGTGTTCAATTTCTCGTCGGGGAAATTGATTCTCCAGCTCGAACGGCAATTCTTCGTTCGCAGCTGAAGACCGCGGGCTACTGAAACTACTCACAGATGATTCGTCCAGAGACCCTGGGGGAATCGCTCCTGTTCGTTTCAACCGCTCGCTAAGACACAACGAAGGCCCGTGTTTCAGATACTCTCGCAACGGCGTCTTTGTTGACCAGAGCTTCAGCGGGGTCTCATCACTGACGCCTCGGGCTGTGTCTTCAAAGAACCCATTGACCTGAACCATCGTCTCGCGACCAACATGCAACGGTGAGGCCGTTATGGTTGAGAGCTGCACGGCCATCGCAACTGAGGATTGGAGCTCTTTGATGAAACTCAATCTTGTTGTCTGTTCCTGGCCTTTGAACGTTGCTGTACCGACGTGGTCGGTGGCTAATGGGACCTCCTTCTCGTGCTCGAGGTCTAGGAGCCCCGATCGAATGGACGTGATGGGGACGTGCATTTCGACGGTGGTGTTGGTGACCGAATCCGTCACCGTCAAGGTGGAGTCGACCGTCTCTAAGAACGTCCATAGTTTCATATCTTCTGATATAGCCTTGAACTGATGGGAAAGATGAAGCAGGATTGGATGACGCGGTCTGAACAGTTCTCGTAATCGATGCGGGATGTGGTATTTCGGGTGCATCAAGCGACGGATGCTCTTCGCATATTCCTGAGCCGACAGGTAGCTTGACCCTTGATGGGGTGTTGCCAGGAAGGCGATGCCATAACAGCTTGTCAGGATCGATTCTAGATTGGACTCTGAGTGTCCCGCAAGGACAAGGGCTGCTTTTGCGACAAGACCGCCAGTACTGTGACAAATAAAAAAGATGGGCCGTCTACTACTCTGTTGACCGGTTAGTTCGTAATCCATCTCGATCAGGTAGGACTACATACTGTCAACTGCCTCTCTTGATGGATCTGGTGCAGCAAATGCTCTGCTAAGGAATCCAGGCTTTCGTGGGAGTCGAATGGGCCAGGGTCTATGAGAAGGACGCGCGCATTGGGGATATGTCGTCGCAGTTCTGAAGTAACCCATGGCTCTCGGGATGCCTCATCCCACCACGTCCTGGTAGGGTCTGCTCCTATAGCTGGTACGGCAACGATACTGGAAACATCGTCAACAACGGCGTCCTGCTGTCGCGGGGGCCTAGCGATCTTAGCACTTACTCCACTTCCGTCCCGACTTGAGACAAGAGCCCGCTACTAGCGTCACTGGGTGTTGTCGCCATGGCTGGAGTATCACTCTAAGCGCGATCCTCTTGGTCAATCCATGCTTTCGGCTGATGGGGGAGGCCGTTGGGATAAATGTGTAGCAGTGAGTGAGTGACAATCGTCATCTGACTGGGACGGGTGCCGCAGCTGACTAGTTAGCAGCTAAGGGGCTCAACAGCCCTAGTGCAGTCAGCCTTATGATCGTCGTAGTGAGGGGATGAAGTTCATCTGCTCGTGTTCTCGTGACTCACTAACATACATAATTTCCCACTAGAGATGTCCTTAGGCATCCATCGTCTATCATGCTCGTGGAGAGAAGATTTGCGCTCTACTTAAATCTAAGTCATATATATACACGCCAGGATACAATGTTTTTCGAAGAAGGACAGCCACCCTCCGTTTTCCACCACCATGCTAAAATCAATATGCAGAGAGAATGCTCTATGACGTGGACTCAAATCGGTATCATCAGCAATAATGCTCGAGAAGACAGGAAGAAGAAAGACCATAACCAAGGATATGTGGTGCGCTAGACCCATAATCAAAACACGGATGATTACAACTTCAGAGTAGAGAGAGGTGAAACGCAAAATTGTACAGAGATGTTCAGGAGTGGCATCTGCAGGCCGCACTTACGCGGCTGCAGTCCCAGAAGGACATGAGAGGAAAGCATGCACGAATACTCATACAGAATCACTCGTGGATTCATCATCGCTGTGGCGTCTCTCATTGACCTCTCGAGCCATCTTCTTCCCGAACTCGTAAGTAGAAATCATGATGGCACACGCCGGGGCGACTTTCAGGCACCGTGCAACCCAGCCGCGGAAGAGTCCGGCCGTCCCTTCTTCACGGAATATATGCAACAGGAACTTCGGTAGAGGAAGTTGTTCGGGGCGAACGGAGCCAGGGGCCGCCACAGCTCTTGGGGTGCTCGGGTGCTCATCGCCCATGTGTCGAAATACTTGTTGGCGTGTTTTTCCAACGTCAAACGGAGTAGTGACAAATGCTGCAAGGGATCCAGACGTAGCACCGGCGACAAAGCTCTCAAAGAATGTGGGTGTTTCAATGTCGTGGGGTTGTTGCTGACTCGTTATTGAGCCATGTGGGAGGATATGATGTGCTTGGGCCTTCTTGCGGCCTTCCATGAGGAACTTCTTGACCTCCTCGTAGCCCCACCAGTACAGACCAGAGAAGGGAACGTCGCGCCACATTGTCAGGGTCAATCCACGCCAGAGAGACCTGTACCCATGTATCTGAGTCATGTTGTAGAGTCCATCCAGAGTGGCCTTGAAATGTCCGGCACCAGTGCCAGGCGTGGCCTGTAAACGAGTCCGGAACATCTCGATTGGACTGATTGCAGACGCGGCTGCGATTCTCGCGGCCGCTCCTGCGACAAACGCAACGTAGTTTTCGGGGAGGTACTGCTTTATCGGACTTCGGTGGTCGAATCGGAGCCAGTCGTAACCAGAGAAATAAATGACATTCGCTGGAATGCCCATCATGAGGGTCGGGCTGAGACCACGCCATAGCGTCAGCACGCCTTCATTCCGGGCGATCTTGCGCAAACCATCCAAGGTGGAAGTAAACGTCTTCCGCTGGGTCTCTTCCACGGCACACTCTGTCACGGCAGGAAGAGCTCCCGCACCCGGTCCCACCATGCAAACCTGCGCATTCTGTCCAATCCAAAATACTTCTCGACAGCAGGCAGTAACTCCCAGATTGGGGGGTACGTTCTTCAGCGTCTGTGTTGTGTAGGAGTTGAACGGGGATGTGTTCTTGATGGGAGACTGAGATTGGAGGCGAATTCGGACGACATCAAGGGGGTTGACTAGGCAAATCCATCAGCATGGGCTGGGTTCTCGAGATATGACCGAAGGCACTGCCTGCAATCAAGATCAAATCGTTCACATACCTAATAAACATGTCAGGATGTTCCCGCAGGTGGCGGACAGCATCCTCTGTGATAGCGATACGTCATTGTTCCATTGTCCATTAACAGCGCCTGGGGCTGGGACATCTTCTGACCCAGCAGTAGCCGTCATTGTGGTCTCTTCAATCCAGTTCCATGACTCTGCAGGGAGTCTCCGGTCTCCAACAACAGCGTTCGAGTCGCTCGAGCGATATCGGTCCGAAGGCGCAGGATCAGACCTGACGCCGGACATTCATTCAGTGAAAGCGGTCTCACAACGAATATTCGCAGTCGCCAGGTGGAGATCGGTGAGACCTAGACGGAGGAGGATAGCCACGAGGACGAACAAGGTTTCGATGGCGGGGAGAGAGAAGATGAAGCACGATCACTCATAATGCGTCAGAGAAAAAGAACGGCCCCGGTCGGTTGAAGGCGGTGGCGCTTGGACCAAAGGAGCTTAGGCCCGGAGATAAGGGCGGGAAATCATCTTCCTCTTCTCTTCCTACTCTTCCGCAACAATTATCATCACTCGGAATTTCTCGAACATCCGCTATTCTCGTAGGTGGTCGATAATCACCAGGTTTTAAACAGGACAATGGCTTAACAAGTGTCTCAATCTATCTTGTTGCATATTCTGATTGCATCATCCCTCCTTCCGGGTCTCCTGTCCCGCACTAAATCGGACGCTACCGAGCTTATCAATCAAGGATTCTGGCCACCACCGGCCACTGTTTCTGGTCAGCACAACATGGAGGACAACGCGGAGCTCGAGTCGTTTCGACGTCAGTGGCGAGAAGAAGTTGCGCGTCGTACAAAACAAAATAAACCTAGCCCATCGCAATCCAAACCGTCCGCATCTACGACCACTCGGCCTCCGACGACACAACAATTCCCACCCACTCACCATGAAGCTTCACAGCGCAAAGGAGAAGACGACGGAGACGGGGCAGCAGCAACTCTGGATCAGGGTGAAATCATCCAAGGAGTAAGCCAGCTGAGCTTACACCCCCCCGACGACGATGCCTTCAACAATCAAGTACCCCGCAAAGAGCCCAAATCCGCACTGGAACACTTCGAGCGCGCGGTAGAGAAGGAAGCAGAAGGAAATTTGGGCGATAGTCTGCAGCTATACCGCAAGGCTTATCGAGTATGCCGGAGACCTCGCAGTATGAAGATCATGGAGACTAATAGTGTCGTTTCTGTAGCTCGATGCGGCCGTCGATAAGACGTACCGGAATAAGCATTTCGCTTGGGCATGGAAAAAGTCAGCTCAAGCGGCGGCCTCTTCAGCCAGTGCTCCCTCAGCAGCGCAAAAACCACAAGATGAATCTGAGACTCTACCAACGCCCGAACTAATTGCTTCGTTCGCCAACCTCCCTATCCCGCAGGCTGAACCGGAGATCGAGAATACTCCTCCTCCGCCATGCCCCATCGCAAACGTACCCTCGGAGGTAATCGTTGAAATCCTACGACACATCGCTTTGATGGACCCAGCGGCTTTCTGCCGCATGGCGCTGGTCTGTAAGCGCCTTGCATATCACTTTGCGCACGAGCAACACATTTGGAAACGACTATGCCAAGGTTCTGAATTTGGGTTCAAGGCCATGCATTACTCGTTTGCGTGCGATATCTACGGTCGTCCTGAACATACATTGGCTCCGCGGTTCACACCCTTTCCTACCTCCATCCCCGCACAAATCCCTCAACCGCTGTCTTCATGGAGTGAGGTCTTTCAAATCTTCCCACGCATTCGATTCACCGGGATATACATCAGCACTGTCAATTACACCCGTCCGGGTGCTGCTTCCTCATATCAAAACATATCTTGGGGTAGTCCGATCCATATAGTTACCTACTACCGGTATATACGGTTCTATAGGGACGGAACCGTCATTTACTTGCTGACTACGGAGGAACCTCTGAATGTGGTGCCACACATTAGTAAAGAGAATGTGAAGGCCGCGCGAGCAACATCGCACAAGCAACATCAGCGCCAGCTCTCTGATGCGGGTACTACAGTGACGGGGGCTCCTGATCCTGTACCCCCAGTGGCTATGGCCGCACTGAAGTATGCTCAGTTTGGTCGCTGGCGCCTCTCCAAGCCCTTGGCTGCGTCCGATCCGGAGGAACCACAAACCGACCAGGCCTCCGGACTACCATCGCTTCCGGGCAAGACGTCCTCCGACGGCCCTGATCCTAGGGACGTCATCGTTGAGACGGAGGTTCTGAACCCGAAGAAGTACATTTGTGTTCTTCATCTCTCGCTCCGGTCTACATCCGCGTCATCGCGGCCCAACTCCACCGTCGCTCCGCCTAACACATCCAAGAATACTAAGTTGGTGTGGAAAGGCTATTGGAGCTACAACAAGATGACGGACGATTGGACGGATTTCTCCCTTCGGAATGAGCGAGCGTTCGTCTTCCGGCGCGTTCGCGGATGGGATATGAGTTCATGATGACAATCTGTGGTTTCCTGTGGTGAATATATATAGAATATGCACCATTGCACATATACATAAAAGTGCGCATCAGGCGTTGTCTTACATGTGCCAAAACATCTAGGCACATTGCGAATGGGATTTATTCATTTGGCTATGAGAATACGTGATATGAAATAGAAGCACAAGGCAATCAAGGAGAATTCATCAATACCATCGGCAAACAACGAGATACTGGATCCTACAGACACGTAGATGGCGAGGCATGGACTTGATCCATCGCTTTGCAAGTAATGTATTGAGGTTGGTGTACTGAGCTAATCGACTTATTCCAGGTGAAGAATGCGTGCTACCATGCTGGACAGCGGACCCAGCCCAATTGCCAGATAGACGTCCACTTGGAGCATCAGACATCATTAACACACTACAAAAAGGCAAAAAATGAGGCTGGCCCGATTCGAACGGACAACTTCTCGATCTGGAGTCGAACACGCTACCGTTGCGTCACAGCCCCATTTGCTTGATTGGCCCTGGCTTATTGCCATTGAGTACCAGAACAATTTATTCGACTGGAATAGAAGACTTGCATGCTCTCAAGCCACTTCCGTAGAGCAATTGTCGTCTATTAGATCGGCTTGTATGGAAGTGCAAAGCAATACTGTACTCTCGTCGCAAAGGCGCCCTTCTCGGCTACCAGTCATTCCAAATTCCAGCTGATCGCTCCCTCTGTACACATTTACTGCAATTCACGTGATCATGGAGGAATAAGATGGGCAAAATTCCTCCAGACACTCATTGCTAAATAAGAAAAATTTCATCCGACAGTGGGGCTGTGACGCAACGGTAGCGTGTTCGACTCCAGATCGAGAAGTTGTCCGTTCGAATCGGGCCAGCCTCATCTTTTTTTGCACTCTCACAGAGAGGTGACTGGTCTTTTTTTCCACACATCATTGGGAGCTACGGTAATATGTAATTCAGCTACACCGACATTCTTCGGTTGATGCAAGGGACCTGCAGTGAGAAGAAGGTAGCCGTAGGTTGGGGAGATCTACTGTATGTAATGAGGGGCCTGGTCCCTTTCTAAAGAAGGCTAGGTTGTTTTCGTTTTGTTGGTTGAACTCGAAGCCACCTATCAAAATTGATGTACGAGGTCCTTGTTGGGCGTTTTGGCATGCTTCAGGTCTACCATGGGTGTGTCGTGCAACAACAAGGAAATGTTGTTGTTGACTCCTAGTAATACTGCGATACTGCGGCACGATGTTGTAGGGAGGTAGATCATGCATGCGACCGCGAAGGAAGGCCCCCTACAGGATTCGGGTGTACCCCCGTTCCTCCTACGGTGGAGTGCATGGGACTGATCATTCGTTGCCCGGTGGAGGGATACGGAGTTTCACCATTTTCAGTGGAGGAGTCATGATGACATGTCAACTAAACCTGACGAGTGCACCGGGAGACATCTTAGGCTGGAGAATTCATTTTGATTTCGTAAACAAATCTACTCCGTACAGACAGGCATGTATCTGTTGGGATGAGTTGGCAGATGTGCTTATCGGGAGGCGGTCGATCATCCGTGGATATATATTCCCCTGTACTTTTGCCTGTTCTTGCGTGGCGGTGGAGAGAGAGAAAGTTTACCAGAAACAATAATAGAAGACACTAGTTGAATCACCATGATGGCCTCCTCCATTAGTAGTGAATATTGTTGATGGTAGTATGATTGATGAGGGTGTCGGAAAGATAAGGTCACGCCGGTCTGGTGACTTCCGTCCGTTGCATCATCATCACCTCTCATCATATTGTCCTCATCTTCACCATCTCTTTCTCTCCTTCCCCCCTCCTTCTCGTCCTCAACACGAATACCCTCCGATTGAATATTTCCCTTCGTCCTCTTCTTCCTGGATACACTCCCCCCTCTCGACTCCTCCTCCCCCCCTGCGTCTCTTTGTCTCTCCTCCGCTCCTGGTTGGGTCGCGTCCGATCACCGCAACGAAACCGGAGGATGTTGGCCTGATCTCCCTGATCTGACCACTCCGACATCTTTTCTTTTTTTCGAGTCTCGCCTGGCCCTGACTTGATCTATTCCATCATATTTCCCTCTCCTCTACTCCTTTCGTCACATCCATCCCATTATTCCTCTCCCTTCTCGTCGCTCCACGCGGGGAAGATCCACCGATCGATAAGTACCACCGCCTACGCTTATCTGCTCCGTATCTCCCAACACCACCAAGACTGCCTTGTCCAAACCATCATGGCTTTTCGCCTTCCACCCCAAGTCCCAACCCGTCAGCGCTCCATTTCCGCCTCCCAACCTCAGCCTACCGTCGAGGTCCCTCCGGCTCTCTCCCAAGTTCCTGAGACCGAGTCCACCGAATGGGTTCTATTCTCTCCGTCTCAAGCCTCCACTACTGCCCGGACGCACACGACCTCCACCGAACGCACCCCACGCACAGCTGGAGCTTCCCGCATTAGTGACTTTGGCTCCTTTGGCACCCCAACGCGTTCCGCATGGGGCCAGGAAACTGATGCCAATGATACCCTGGACGAGTCATTAGATGAGGATGGGACGGAATTGGATAGCCTGGATGACGGGTTGCATGCCTTTCGGGCACCGTCGCCTCATCATGAATCGTCTTCCCGATGGGATCAAGGGACTCCCGCTGTGCTGCCGGCGCACGACGGTCTAGGAAGTTTCCACGCCTCCAGTCAACCGGTACAGGAACAACTATGGCAGCACGAGCAGTACAATCCTCGTCGGAGGCCAGAGCTGCGTCATCGGCGATCCTCCAGTATCCAACAACAGCTGGACTCGATCCCAAACGAGGAGCCCCCAAATATGGAGAGGGACCGCTGGCAGCGGATCGAGAAATGGAGAATGGATCAAAGCCGTGTCCTTTTGCAGGAAATTGAGCGGGAAACCCGGAGAAGGCGCAATAGTCGCATCAGTAGATTGAGCGATCGACCCGTTTCTCATCCGGATATTTCTGATGTGTCGCCCGACGTCCTAGAGACCACTATCGAAACTGTCTCGCCCCCATCACCTGCCCAAGACGGACAAGATGAGCCGTTCTGGCAACGGATCACGCGCAAGGTCATTCGCGATTTGATCGGGATCGATGACTCCTTGCTGTCAGTCATCTTTGGCGAGTCATTGCCGGCGTTGGATGACGATGCAAAGCGATCGTCCACTGGCTCAGATCATGATCTGAACATGGACGAGGCGATCAAACAGGAGCTGGACTCCTTCTCAGATGACAACACCCTCTGGCAGAGCAAGCTCATCCAGCGCATTGCACACGAGCTAGGTGTCCTGGTCCACCAGTTATGCGAACACCCAGGCGCGTTTACGACCTACCTTAACATGACGAACGAGATCCCAAATCAGTACGCGGGTATGCCTCTGGGTCGCTTGCCGGAAGAGGTCGAGCCCCAGCAACAGCCAACCTCTGTTGTACCCACGACCTCTGCCGAAGCCCCAAGCAATGATGATTCGATGCCTTCCCTGCAGTTCTCACCCACGCTGCGCGACCCCAACGGGCGGGAGCATGCGGCGCAATGGGGAATCGAAGATGAAGATCTACCTAGCCGTCCGGGTTACCCTACGGAGCAACTATCCGAATCCGCGCGCCTGCAGCGCGAGAAAGAGTACTGGGAACGTGAGCTCGACGTCATGATGGTCTTCCGGTATCTTCGGAACCGTTTCAGTCGCCGCAACAATGGCGCTGAGGCTCAGTACTCTCCTTCGCGTCGATCGTCTCAAGATGCGTCCCGTCGCGCGGCGATCATCCGCCAGCACCACCCATTGGTAGCGCGAGCCCACTCCCGCTCGCAGGCACAGGTGAGACGTCAGTCCCAGTATTCTGCGACACACTCGGGTCCCACGGGGCTCTCGTCGCCGTTGCTGCGTCAGCATTTCCGCCGCTCGAGTTCGAGTTGTGCAAGCCAGAGCGCCAAGTTGTCGGCGATCTCTAGCCGTCGGACTCTCACCGGTTCCAGCCGAAACTACTGGGATATCGGGGGGAGTGTTGATAGCGGAAGTGCCGTGGCGCCTGTGGGGGCTGGTCTGGGGACCTGGGGTGATGTCTAGACGCACCCTTAGAGGACTTGATGTTGTATATATATTGCATGCTGTGCATCAACCTGATACTAATACAGGCGGTCATTGCGGCAAGGAGTTCTGGGTAGTCTACAGTGGGGATGGACCTACACAGGTTTTGATGATTTCTGGATTTCAAGCCTAGAGTTATATCGCTTTATTGATTTCTTTCATATATATTAACCTTCTACACTGTTTGTATTGTATTATCCATGTGAAACTAGAAGTCGGGCGCCATTGCTGTATGCGTGCGGGCAGATGTGGAGGCATAGATGGATTGGAATCACAACATATACCCGGTGTCAAAGAGTTATAGGTCGAATCTGGTGTCTTGTTGCGAGATATCTACACTTCACTACAGTCGTAGGCCCATTACACGCGGAGTCGGGTTGCGCATATTGACCCGGAACAGGGATTACTGGGCATCCCAACCAAGTTGATAGCAAAACAAATGAAGGCGAATCATGAACAGTTCCCGTTTTTGCTTTCTCATTTTGGACAAAATGATCCTAACGCTAAATTAAAAACATCAATTGTCCCCCCAAGACACCGAGCGACGGACGGACGGAATTTACGCCTCAGTCTCGTAAGCATCAGGGAAACGCTTCATGTTCTCCTCGACCAGACCGTGGCCACGCAGGAACTGGACGTAGGCACCGTCCTGCTTGAGCTTGCCCTCCTGGCGGAGCTTGACGTACTCCTCGCGGCGGACGGGGGTGAAGCCCCAGTTCTTGGAGACGATGATCTTCTGGCGACCGGGGAACTTGTACATGGCACGGCGGAGGGCCTCGATGGCGGCGGCGCGGTTGGAGTCACGAGTGCGGACGGACAGAATGATCTGGCCGATGTTCACACGGGCAACGGTACCCTGGGGCTTACCGAAGGCACCACGCATACCGGTCTGGAGACGATCGGCTCCGGCGCACGAAAGCATCTTGTTGATACGGATGACGTGGAAGGGGTGCACGCGCACGCGCAGGTGGAAACCTTCCTTACCGGTGATCTTCACGAGGTACCTTTTTGCCTGTTAGTATTCTTGTTTCTTCGTCTGATCCCGCTGGCAGGGACGGGATGGGATGGCTCGAGGTGGGTGGATGGTCGACATACTTGTTGGCGCAAATACGGGCGGCTTCGAGAGCCTCGGAGGACAGCTGCTCGTACTCGTTGGAGACCATGTGCACGCACAGAGGGAAGTCATCGACGTTGGCCTTCTTACGTCCCAGATCGAAGATACGGATCTTGGGGTCGGGAACACCACGGTTGAACCGGGACTTAGGGTAAGGCTGGACGAGATGTTAGTCACTCGTTCATGATGCCGAAACCGTTCCCCCATCGAAAGCAAAATATTCCATCCATCATCGCTTCGCTCGGAGAAAGACCTCGTTGCGTTGTTGCGATGTCGTCGTCTCCATAAGCGAGCCGATCGCCCAATCCACAAAACTCCGGATCACGAAAAAAACCGAACGCAACGCACCTTGTTCTTGCAGTAGCGGTAACATCTCGCGGGACGGCGGGCCATTTTGACGGATGGAAATGAGTCGTAGCTGCACTTCCTGCGAACGTTGGGGTGGGTTGTCGAAAGGGTGGTGGTGTCGAGAATCAGAAGGGGAAGATTCGGGGGGGTCACGCAGTTTCGACGTTGATTTCCAAGCACCGCCGGCCCGCTAACGAGTGGCAAAGCCCTAAGCCCTAGGGCTGCACCAATCAGGACGGCGCATCCTCCGGTCGATTTGTCATCTCTTACATGCCTTTCCTTACGTTGTATGTATGATGTAGACACCATATTGACTCATTCATGGCTGAATAATAGGTTGTATCGTTGATTATCCGTATCGGAGACTTTCTATTCCACTCTATTTATATTTGTAAGCCGCAGAGGGGAAACTTTACCACCTTCCGTGCAGTGTCTCGGAAATCACCCTTGTAAGCCCCTGCTATAATCCCCTTCTTAGCCTACTCTAACATCCAATGGCAAGGTGGCCGAGTGGTTATGGCGTGCGGTTCAGGTTAAAACTGAACATTCAGTGTCCGCATGGTGCAAACCGCGTGGGTTCGAATCCCACCCTTGTCAATATCTTTTTCTTTTTTGTTTTTTTGGTTCTCCTATAGTTACCCCAAGCAACATACCTACGAGTTGAGGTATCACATCTCCTGTGGTCTCTTCCACCCGGTACCACGCCCTCTACCACCACCTTTCACTGCCTTCAACGCAATGCCCTCCATCCCAGAAGTGCGCATTGCACGAACTCTGTGCCTCCTATGCAGGCAGCTTCCAACTGCTGGATCGTATGTCTTTGGTGCGTTCCTCGTCTCAATATCCAGTTACACCTTCCATTGCTCAACCCGTTGGCAGATTTAGGACAAAACCTCCTCTCAGTGCTTGATTGTCAGAGACTTTGTGGTGGCTGCTCTTACAACCCCATATATCTCGGCGTGGTGACATCCAGCATGCTATATTGTCCTAACCGATAGCTACAACGAATCGGAAGAACCCACTGTTGATAATTTTGAGCGATTTGCGGTTGCGATTCAGCCCGTTTATACGCCTCGCAACAATACACGCCAAGGGATTGCGTCGACTCTAGAAGGGCTTCTCAGTGATCAAACAAAGCACATCATCCGTGAAGACTTCAGGCAAGAGTTACTTGCAAAATTGCCGGCTGAAGTCGCAACTATGGTTGCTGGATGCATTGCCCCATGTTGGTATCTGACCGTGCTTGGAGAGACACGTCGACTGTTCGAATGCATACCGACAAACCATGACACCAGAGTCCGCAGGTCAGCTTGGCACGAGAGCTGTGGATATCCGAAATCAACTATCAGGGCACCTCTTATGTGGCAAGACTCAACCACAAGCCACTGCAACAAACAGGCGCCTCATATCATATGAGACTACCAAGTAATATTAGAAGGGTGATCCTATCGGTCGACGGCATTGGCCTGCGAAGAATACAGTTCATAGATCATGATTCCGACCCAGTACCTGATGGGTCGCCATGGTACGAGGTTCTTGAAGTCGACTGTCCTGATTTGAAAGCTTGTGTGAACTGTGATGTAAAATTCTCCATGGCTAACAAGTATGCCAAGTCTAATTCAGCCAGGGCCTTTTTGTCCGCGACATTCGGCTTGTGGATGGGCCATCCTCTTCGCGTGGAATCTGGAGCACACCTTTCTTTCCCACCTAAATTCCACCTGTGGAAATTCTTCCACCTTAATGCCAAACCCCGGCTAGACTACGTATACTTGGATATGCACATTCGAGGCCTACTTATTTGTTCTTGCAATTCTATGATAATTGGCATCCATGGTTTCTCAAAATACTGGGAGACCATTCAAGAAGTTTGTCAAGTTAATGCGCCAACGTGCAAGAACGGGGTATCTGCATTGGATTTACGTCCCGTTAAATAAAAACGAGTGCATTGAAGCCGCTTGGATTCGGAAGCTCCAGGATTGTAGCACAATAGCCTTTGGCCCTGTCTTAATTGTAAGTTACCCTTTCCTCTTCTGTACCCCTTTGATGCTCACCACAGACAAGCTACGAACTTCACTCCGGAGGACTCTTACATTTGGACCCCAACTTCCGGCGCGCATTATCGATTTTTATGGATACCTCCCCTTGGTTAAAGATGGTGACGGTACTATCTCGGGGCTCTTTCATGATGGCTTAGATTCAGTTTCCAGATATGTATCTGCATTTGGGGTCGCCTGTAATGCTCAAAGCCAAGCTGGTACGCTGCCATTGCTGCCCATGGATACTCACTATGAACCGCCCAAAGTTCCTCCGGGTAAAGGCTCCATAGCGTGTACATGGTTCATGACAAAGGCTTCACTCAAGAACCTTGTCAAGGTACGAGTCTGTAGGGATCAGAGTCAACCGCATCGCCCATGCCTTGGTCTTCTCTTATCTTCTAGTGACAAACACATGGAATCGCTTGGGCAGGTCTGCTGGGACCTCGACCTCACCCAAGAAGTCTTCGACCCTGTATACATTGAAAAGGGTACGGTCGATGGACGGGATTACATTAAGAACATTCGAGGTGACACATTTGACTCACGGGTGTCTACCTAGGCACCAGCGAAGTGCAGAAGCTCCCACGAGAACGGACCATCATTTGGTGGTCTGGCCACGTGGGCGACAAAATAACCACATATGATGAATGACTGGGATACTGCTGACTTGAGCCTAGACAGGCACAAACCTCTGTTTTTTTCTTTTTTAAGGTCTAGCTAGAACCAGCGTCTCGTTGTAGTGTATATAGTGCATCTATTCTAGTCAACCGAAGACCGAAGCCCAACTCAAAAACAGCAGGAGTATCAGTGCAGAAGCTGCGTCTGCTTTCGGGGCCTAAAGCACAACTGGGTATATAGTCTAACATCGTACGAAGGCAGCGAGCCTTTTGCCCGTAACACAACCAAAGGACTGGATCACGGTCCGGCCAATGCCTCTCCTACCCAATCCATCTGTACTGCACTCACGCCCCGCGCGTAGCTGCGGTTGGTGAATACATATTCATTGTACATAATCGCCTCGACCTTTTTACCGAACAGCACGCTAGATGGGTGTATAGCCACGGTCTGGTTGCCGACCACAGTCCTATAGCTCCCGTCGGGCACTAGGCGCGCCGTATTGGTAGCAAATCCAGTGAGGAAGCTCTTAAGAATCAAAACGGGAGACGGTTCACGAGTCACCGAAGACTGGCCTCGAGTGTCGTTGGGATGCGGCAGGAGCTTTGCTTGACGGCACTGTGTTGTCAATTGTTTGCGAACGTCCTATCAACACATGTAAGTAAGATTCCCTTTATCCGTAAAAACCTAGACCACTCACCATGACAGATTGCATGGCCCGGTGGGACACCATATGTCTCTCTGCCCATGCCTTTCGATCGGTGTTCTCTGCGGCGTACGCCTGGACTGTGGCGAGCATGGTGAGGTGATCACCTTCTCTGCGGTAGAGATCTCGTCGCGCTTTCTCTGCTTCCTCTTTTTTCTCTTCCGACGTCGTGTTCAAGAAAATATTCTCAACGCTGAGACATGAAATGATATCGATAACGTCGGACAGACAGTCGGGGCCGTTTTCTGACGCCGCCAGTAAGACGCGTCCAAGAGTCGGAGTGAGAGGCAGCTTGGCGATATGTAAACCGACAGGACTGATTTGACCATCCTCCCCGAGCGCATTGATGCTCAACAGTTGAAGAAGAGCTTTCTCCAAGGCTTCTCGAGGAGGCCGTGTCAAGAAGGGGAATGCCATGACGTTGTCCACCCCGCGAGCCTTCATATTGAGCAAGGACTGGCTCAGGTCACAGCGGAGAATTTCGGGTGTATTCACCTCATCCAGCGCCAAGTAGTCCTTCTCAGTGTACAATCGATAGCATTGACCGGGGGCTTCTCGACCAGCTCGACCCTTTCGCTGGATTGCCGCCGACTTGGATATAGGCTTGACGAGCAACGAATCAAGCCCGAGGCGTGTGCGGAACTGCTTGATTTTCGCTTTCCCGCAATCGACCACATACCGAACACCAGACACCGTCACCGAGGTTTCGGCGATGTTGGTTGCCAGAATCACTTTCCTGGTTCGCGGGGGGGCCGGAAGGAACACTCGCTGCTGAGCGACTTGGGGAAGAGCAGCGAATAGTGGCAGAACTTGGATCTTGGGGAGAGCGGGATCCATCCCTGTAGCATACTCGTTCACCAGGTGCTCGAGAGCTTCTACTGTTTCTTGTCCTGTCAAGAAAACGAGGATGTCTCCGGGCATCGGCTCTTTGTAATGGATTTGGAAGATGACCTTGAGAGCCGCATCAACGAAATCATGCACCGGTTCTGGGGAGTAGATAGTTTTGACTGGAAATTGGCGGCCCTTGATATGGCAGATGGCGATGTCTCGATCAGTTTTCTTCTCCGGTGCTTGTTCTTGCGCAGCATCGCCGTCGTTTGCACCATTAGTATCGGGTTTGTCAGTGAGCTGAGCAGACCCTGGAACAGCGTAACCCTCTTTGAAAAAATCAGTGAGGCTCTCCATGTCAGCTGTAGCACTCATAACCACGACCTTCAGCGGGACTCCACCACGTCCTTCTCGTTTGCCCGCAACCATGTTCCTCAAGAAACCCAGGACTAGATCAACGTTGACACCACGCTCGTGTACTTCATCCACAACGATAGCGCTGTACTTTGTCAACCAAGGATCGTGTAGCATTTCTTGCAGAAGCATTCCCTCCGTCAAGAACTTCACCCGCGTACTGGGTGAGGTGGACGTGTCGAAACGAACCGAGTAGCCGACTTTGCTTGCCGGAGAAGAAGACCCCAGAGGAGTGCCCATCTCTTCCGCAACACGCCTGGCTAGAGAGATCGCCGCCACTCGCCGAGGTTGCGTGATCGCAATGCAACCGCCAACCTCGATTTCCTTCTGCGAACCATCGTCCTTAGGAACCTTTGCCTTCGTTGGCCGACACCACTGCTCGTTGACTAGGAACTGCGGGATTTGCGTACTCTTTCCGCTACCCGTCTCACCGACCAGAAGCATCACATCGTTCTTGCGCAGGTATCCTCGAATCTCGTCGCCATGCGGGAAAATAGGAAGGTTTTTGCGGAGCTGATACAGCGTCTTGGCCTTTTCCCGGAGCGACTGGAACTTCTGCGTTTCATCCTTGTGCGGTTTGCCTTTGAGGTTCTTTTTCTTTGATCTGTCGAGACTGCTTTTATCGTCGCCGGGTTTGGTGTCTCGGAGGGGCCCATCACCGTTTGTCGCATTCGATGGGGAAGTCCGATTGAGGGTATTTGAGGGGTCCTCGTGCTTCTGCTTCTTGTTCTTCTTGGTAGGGTCTTCTTTGTTGTGTTTCCTCTTCTTCAGTGATGCTGGTTCCTCTGTTGTTTTGTCTTTGGGGACGCTTTCTTTGATCGTATTAGGTTCGTTGTCGGAGTCGTCAAAGACGACTCGCACCCTTTCGGGCATTGTTAGGATATCGGGGGAGGCGTATGTGGAGCGTCGACTGTTCCGAAGTGTTAATAAAGGGGATATAGCATATTGGTGTCTTGTCACCGCATAGGACTTTTCTTTGCTGTTCGGCGAGGTGGATGGAATTTCGGAGTTGTTGAGTTCCCCGAAAATTTCAGGCGGCTTATCGATAAGAGCTTGGCGACACAAAGGCCCCTTCTCTATCACCGCCAACGACCCCCATGGATTGCTTAACTGATTTCTGAATTGGAGACTCAATACGTACATTATGTATAGCAAAAACAAGGGGGAAAGATAATGAGTTAGTCGATAGAGCACAACCTCGGAAGATTCAGCACCTGCACTACACAGATATACTTGACCAGTCCAAAATCCGATAGAGATACATATTCAGGGCCAACAACGGGCACCATGTGCGCATGGAAATACTCACTGCATAACTGGCCTACTGAATAGACGGATAATGAGTGTTCAGATGGCTATAAGCCTTACATTTTTCATACAGTGTTTGGTTGTGAGTATGAGGGGGGCCATCTACTTAAGATGGTACACTGGCCATTGACTATCTGGTGTAAACGACATCTACACCATAGCCAATACTACAACAAGACTACTGCGTGGAAGACGTAGGAAAGGTCATTTCTTGTCATTATCTATCACGTGCCCTACTGCGTTGCACCAAGGCAATGTCGTCCAGACAAACACGAAATCCCGGTCCCAATTCAGCGTTTACTGGCCGCTGAGGATGTCGGAGTCACCGGCATCGAGGACGGACATGGTGCTGCAACGGAAGAGCTTACCGCAGGCGGTACCGAGCTCGATCTATATCACGTAGTCAGCCCAACATTCACCCAATTCAGATCCTCCGAGGAATCAATGTTGCAGGTCGCAACTCACGTTGTTGCCGGAGAAGTGGTGGACGGGAGCCTTGGCGAGCATGGCGTAGTACTCGAGCTCACTCTTGCGGAGAGGAGGAGTGTTGGCGGCGATGATAACCAGCTTGGCCTTGCCGGACTGGTGGACGGAATTGTTAGCGACTGGATGGGAGGGGCCCGGACGAGCGATGGTGGGCGACAAAGCTTACACGCAGGGTCTTGATGGTAGACTTGTAGCCAAGGGTGACTGTACAGCGAAGTTGTTAGTCGAGGGGATTCTGAGACGGCATGATGGGGGATGGACATACCCTTTCCGGACTTCATCACAAGCGCCAGGCGCGAGTTGATGGTGTCACCTTGCTTCTTGCTCTTGGGGGCCATCGTTACGCTGTTGAGGATTGAATTGGGGTAGAGAGGATCAAAAAGATGCGCGCTCCGGCCTGGTGGAATTGACGGATAGAGAGAGGAAGAGGGAGGGTGGAAAAGGCACACTACGACTAGCCGGGATCCTCACCGAATCGTGAATTTTTCATTTGTGGGGTTGGCGAGGCGGATGTCGGTTGCTCCGTTCCGACTGAGTCAGCAGGGTGTATAATTATGTCAGCAGTCACATAAGCAGGCACTAGTCTTCTCCTTTACAGATGGAATTCTGACACTGGGTGAATAATAGGTAGACACAATAATGATAACAATAGTACCTAATAATAGGCAATAGCCTATCAGAATAACACAAGTATCTAAATCCCGTGTAATCCGCATTGTTGTCTCCAACATACCGAACAACAAGCTCCCAGCCTGACAGCCTAAAGGGCGAGACTGCTGTATGCGGCAAGGAGTGACGCAACGGGGTGGTCGGCGATGCTATCTTTATCTCGACTTCGTATTGTCTCCCTGGCGCAGAGGCGAATGGCGAGAGGAAAAGGGGATTTGGCCCCAATCCACGGATTCAAAAATAAATTCAAAAAGAAAGGGTTCAACTTGCATTGATCAGTTAGGTATCTTCTATCTTTGTATCTTTGATTCAGGACGGTGTAACAGTAGTGATTCATTATTTCAATACCTTAGTAAAGTCCCCCAAGCAACGGCGGCGAAGGCTGGTAATCCCGCCGTTTCCATACAGCACTTGCCCTAAACGGGATGATTAAGGGATTTCCGTCCAAAAGGACTCTCGCTCACTCTCACACTCTCCCTCATGCGCATTGCATATATTATCCCTCACGTCAACATTATTTGTTTTGCCTCTCTTCTTTCCTATCGACCTCTCTATTCGTCTCCAGTCCGACCCAGACACGTTCTCACAAAACGGTGGCTAGACTTCACCAGCCATACATGACTCCCCTAAATCTACCTACCTTTACCTACTTCGGATTTCCCCCCACCACCACCTCTCTAGTACCTACGGAGTGTCCACTGTGTTTTGACCGCTACTACTTTCCTACGCCCAAACCTCTCTATACGCCCGTTCCTTAAATTGACCACTTAATTTCCCGGCTGTTTCATCGCATTCTTATTTCCCTCTCCTGACCCCTTTCCTAAGCCCTCGACGTCTTGTCAGTCCTCCACCCATCCATCTGTCGTTCAACATTGTCGTTGTCGGCCACCATGTCTGCGACTACTCGCAAGCCCGGGACTCCGGGCAACTCGGCCAAATCGTCAACAACCTCAGACAGTCCCTCGGTCAACGGCACCCCGTCGCGCGCCCATTCTCGATCTCCCAGCGCCGCGACAAATGGCATCTCCAGATCTCCGTCACTTCGAGGCTCGACTCCCGTCTCTGCGCGCGCCGCCGCCCGGAAGCCCGGTCGGTCCAACCTCAGCATGTCCAGCGTTCCGAAAGTTGCCTCCGACCCGACCGAAGAAGACGCCCGAGCGCAAAATGCCGCCCTCATTGACGATCTCAAGGAGCAATTGCAGAAAGCCGAAAGCGCCTCCGAACAATATCGCAAGCAGCTGGGCGTGCTCCAAATGCGCCTCGATGAGGCCGTGAGTGAGCAAGGCAAGCTGGACGATCAGGCTCATGAGAAAGATAGTCGGATCGAGGCCTTGAACGGTGAGATTCGGGACCATGTACGACAGATTCGCGACCTGGAGCAAGCCCATGAGCAGGAACGCAATGCCATGCTCCAGGAGAAGGAACAGCAAGCGAGCCGAGAAGAGGAAATGCAGGCGACCATCCAGCGCCTCAAGGATTCGCTGGCTCAGAAGGACACCGACAAAAACGTCACCCGTTCTTGTAAGTGCCTCTTACCATCTCCTGATTTGGTTGCGCTCTTTCTAACAACCCCTCAGCGAGCTTCCGTAATCGCTCCTCTCCCGACGTCGACGGCCAATTCGCACCCTCGTCGCAGCTTGAACGCAGCCCGTCCCGAAACAATTCCAAATTGCTCTTGCAGAAGGATAAGCTGATCGAGTCTCTCCGACTGGAACTCGCCGAGTCTCAGATCAAGCTGGTGGAAATGGAGAACAAAGGCGGGGGCCGCCAGCGGGAGCTGGAAAAGGAGCTCCTGGAGGCTCGGATGGCCAACGCTCGCCTGATGGAAGACAACGAGAGCTACCAGCTGCTTCTCAGTGAGAAGACGTTGAATGGTGATTTCACCAAGGGCGATTTCATGCGAGATGCCCTCCCTGATGCTACAGATGCCAAGGAATCCGGTGGCGGCTTGGGCTCACTGGCTGACGAGCTGGAATCTGTAGACGAAAAGGCCGAGTTCGACGGCTCGCGCAAGCTCGAGTCGGAAGTGAAGGCCCTCAAAGACCAGAACAAAGCCTTGACTCTCTATATCGAACGCATCATCAGCCGGCTGCTTCAACACGACGGTTTCGAGACCATCCTGGACAGGAACGAGAACGAAGCGCCCGCCAAACCCCCAGTGTCGAACAATAAGGACCTTCCCCCAATCCCCCCGGAGAAGGACGATCCCACACAGCAGACCTTCCTGCAGCGAGCGAAGTCGGTTGTTGCGCCGAGCCGGCCTCCGCGATCCCGTCCTGCGAGCTACATGCCACCACCTCCTGCGCCGACAAGTGTACCGACCGCTCACGAGAACCCGGACACTGCTCCCAGCATTCCGCTGAACCGGGGCCAGTCAGTGCGCTCTGGCCATCGCAGAGCGAGATCGGAACAGACGGACCCCGCGGCCGCGGCTGTCGTGGGCCAGATGTATCGCGGCCGGAACTCTGGTGGACCCATTAGTCCCACTATCATGGGCCCCGGTTCCCGCCAAAGTGCATTCTCTGGAGCGAGCTATATGTCCAGCATGAGTGGCAGTGGACGTGCTCCCTCTTTGGGTAGCCAACCGGACCGCGGTCGGATGAGCAGCTCGAACAGTGTCACAAGCGACCCTCCGGGTGACACTGCTTCCACTGGTGCCACTTCGAGTTCCCCCCGATCTAGCACCGGTATGACCAACTATACTGGGGCGGTAATGACCCAGAGCAAACTGCGTCCGCTGCGACTCGTTAGCGAGACCAAAGCTGCCGAAGAGGAGGAGGCTCGTAAGAAGGCAAACCGGGGAAGTTGGATCCCCTGGTTCAACCGGCCCACTTCGAGCGAGTCGACCCAGCCTGCTTCAAACTGATTGTGAACTTGACCCTTTGATAAGGGACTCTGTGTCTCTTTAACTTTCTGTCATGTTTTATTTTCCCCCTTATATCTCTCTGTGCCAGGCAGTCATCTCCCCTTTTTCTACGATCCCTGTTTCGATTACTGCTTGATGATACCGGGAGCTTGGTGTTCAAGTCAGACTATGGTCATGTTTCTATACCCCGGTATTCTTGGTCACCATGAAGGTGTCCAGCCTGGCGGACATGGCCACAACGCCACGCCATCTATGTTACTGATGCTCCGTTATGTTTGAATTGTCATGGACCTCCCTCGTTGTATATTTCTGAGGATGAATTGTGATGACCTGGTTGCTGTTATGCCCTGCCTGATTATGAATATATGGTGTATATACTCGTGTCTATAGAGTGTTGATCTTTGTATACATTAATAATTGATTTTTCTGAGTTCATAGTGAATCAACTGTGTATATGAAATATGGTCGACCTGTTTGGATGAAGATTGCAGTGAGATGCAGACCTGGGGACTTGGATGTATACCCGGAATAATGTTAGGGCGAGATCCGGATTGCGGCCAGCTTGACAGGAACTCCGTCAACAAGATGGACTGCGACCCTCCTTAGTACTCACTACACGCACCACACCCCAATTTCTGCAGAGAAATTGCCTACCATGCCTGGCTCCCTGTCCCTTTTCTCTGTCAATGCCATCCTGGTCATGTCGGCCGAGGATGGCTCCCGCATCCTCACCAAGTACTACTCGCCGCCTCACCCCCCAGCAGGCACCGCTCCCAACTCCACCGATTATCCCGGCGCAAACCCCTATCCGACCGTCAAGGAGCAGAAAGCTTTTGAGCAGGGTCTCCTGGAGAAGACAAACAAGCAGAGCAGCGATGTGATCCTCTACGACAACCGGATCGTCGTGTTCAAGGTCGAGAGCGATGTGATGCTCTATGTGGTGGGAGCCGCCGATGAGAACGAAGTGCTGCTCTACAACGTTGTGCTGTCGCTACGGGATGCCTTGGGAATCTTGTTCAAGTATGTCCTTTTGCCATATCCAGTGCGGTGATTTCCCCACTGATCCAGCGTCTAACCATCCTTTCTACCAGGGGCGCAACGGACAAGCGGACCATCATCGAGAACTACGACCTGGTCGCCCTGGCCATTGACGAGATTGTCGACGACGGCATTATCCTCGAGACGGACCCCGTGATGATTGCCTCTCGGGTGAGCCGTGCCCCTGCGCCGGATGCGCCCAACCTCAAGAGCATCGACCTTTCGGAACAGGGTCTTCTCAATGCCTGGGAGCTCGGCAAGCGGCGTTTGGCAGACAGTCTGCGGCAGATGTAGATGGTCGGAGATTGTCCTGACGGGAGCTATGCATTTTTCTGCATTTGTACGGGTCTGATGTGATTCTTCTTTTATCCTATCTGGCTGGTCCTGGCGTGGTAATTTTATACGAGTCGCGTGCGCATTGCTTTCTACTTTTTTATTTCATGATGTCGAACACTTGGTATCCCATTTCCTTTCCTGTCTTTTGATTTCCAAGGACTTGGGGACTTATAGAGATACTCCTTATGTTTCGCTGAGAATTGAGCCTCACCGGAGAGAAAGATACGAGACCAATGGCAAAGAAACATACTCAATCCACAAGCAACACATCTGCGTCGTGGTAGAAGATTCCTTCTGCTCATAGATCTAATTTCATTGACAATGACCCGGGCATACTTGACGCATACCTGGCAATAATAGAATGCGGTGGAAAGCGGGCTCTCTAAAGGGACAAATGCCCCGCATACGTCACGCAGTCACTTCCGCTCCTCTCGATGAAAACTTCCTTCTTCCAGACTTCTTCGCGGCACAACTGCTTCACCATCCCGGGGTCTCACTTTCGAGGATCACAGGCCGAAGATGAAGCAAAGATTCTCGTCCTTGGATGTCAAAGTACGCTCAATTCTCTCCCCTTAACCCGCCGCACTGTGACGCATCGCTAATCAACCGCCAGGTCATCTCCCAGGAACTAGCCTCGGAGTTAGTCAACCTGCGAGTTTCGAACATCTACGACTTGTCTTCGGTGAGTCCCATTCTTTGCCGCCGGATCTGTATGTTCTAGATCAAGCGAAACGACTAACGCACGACCAATGCGCCCGCACCGCAGCGAATCTTCCTCTTCAAACTCGCAAAACCGGACCACCGCAAACAGCTCATAATCGACTCTGGCTTCCGCTGCCATGTCACTGAATACTCGCGCGTTACTGCGACCTCGCCGTCCCCCTTCGTGACCCGATTGCGCAAGTTCCTCAAAACCCGCCGCATCACCTCCATTACACAGATCGGCACAGATCGCGTGATCGACTTCGCCTTTAGCGACGGCCAGTACCACCTGTTCCTGGAGTTCTTCGCCGGAGGAAACATCATCGTCACGGATGCCGAGCTCACCATCCTCGCCGTGTTCCGCCAGGTCTCCGCAGGCGAGGGCGAAGAGGCCCGCGTCGGCATCAAATACACCGTCACCAATAAGCAGAATTATAACGGCGTGCCTCCCATCACCCCAGAGCGCATTCGCAACACCATTCGCCATGCGCAGGAGGTCTTTGCCCGCGAGGATGGCGCCCCGAAGAAATCCAAGAAGAAGAACACCGATGTTCTCCGCAAGGCGCTCTCTCAGGGTTTCCCCGAGTATCCGCCGTTGCTGCTCGATCATGCTTTTGCGGTAAGAGGAGTCGACCCTGCTACGCCTTTGGACCGTGTTCTCGGGGACGAGAGTCTGCTGGCGCAGGTGGATGGCGTGTTGGAGGAGGCACAGCGGACCAACATGGCGCTTTCACCCGGACAGACTCATCCGGGGTACATTATCGCCAAGGAAGATACGAGATCGAAGGCTCGCGAGGAGGGGCAGGCGGTTGAGGCGAACGGGGAGGGAAAGAAGCCAGGGCTGTTGTATGAGGACTTTCATCCATTCAAGCCACGGCAGTTTGAGGGTAAGCCGGGCGTCACTATCTTGGAGTTCCCATCGATGAATGCTACCGTCGATGAGTACTTCTCGTCTATTGAGTCGCAGCGACTGGAGTCCCGGTTGACCGAGCGAGAAGAGGCGGCGAAGAAAAAGCTGGATGCTGTTCGGCAGGAACATGAGAAGAAGATCGGCGCGCTGAAGCACGCACAGGAGTTGCATATCCGGAAGGCGGGCGCCATCGAGGACAATGTCTACCGGGTGCAGGAGGCCATGGACGCGGTCAACGGACTGATTGCCCAGGGCATGGACTGGGTTGAGATTGCACGGCTGATCGAAATGGAGCAGGGACGAGGCAATCCCGTCGCGAAGATCATCAAGCTGCCACTGAAGCTGTATGAGAATACGATCACGCTGCTGCTTGGTGAGGCGGGAGAGGAGCAGGAGGAGGCCGAGGAGTTGTTCTCTGAATCCGAGGAGTCTGAAGATGAACAGGAGACGACTCAAACCGCTCAGAACAAGCCAGAGGTGTTGACCATTGATATCGATCTGGGGCTGTCCCCGTGGGCCAACGCTACGCAGTACTACGAACAAAAGAAGATGGCTGCCGTTAAAGAGCAGAGGACGGCACAATCTTCCACGAAGGCGCTTAAGAGCCACGAGAAGAAGGTCACGGAAGACCTGAAAAAGAGTCTCAAACAGGAGAAGCAGGTCCTCCGGCCGGCTAGGAAACCGTTTTGGTTCGAAAAATTTCTCTTCTTCGTCTCCTCCGAGGGATATTTGGTGCTGGGGTAAGTGACGGCATTTTATAAGAGACTCGTGTCGGAATTTCTAACAGGACCTGTCTAGTGGCCGCGATGCGATGCAGAGTGAATTACTTTACCGTCGGCACTTGAAGAAAGGTGACATCTTTGTACACGCAGACCTCGAAGGTGCGACACCGATCGTCGTCAAGAACAGACCCGGTACTCCGAACGCTCCCATCCCACCAAGTACCCTGTCGCAAGCAGGAAACCTCTGTGTTGCTACCTCGAGTGCGTGGGATTCCAAGGCCGTGATGCCTGCGTGGTGGGTGCATGCACACCAGGTTTCCAAGACGGCCGAGGCGGGTGGTCTTCTTCCTGCCGGAGACTTCCTGGTCAAAGGCGAGAAGAACTTCCTTGCCCCGTCGCAGCTTGTGCTCGGTTTTGCAGTGATGTTCCAGATCAGTAAGGAGAGTTTGAAGAACCACAAGCTTCACCGGTTTGATGTGACGGAGACTACCGAGTCGACTGCACAGGGCGATGGAGTGGCTGCATCTGCGGAGGAGGTGAAACAGACTCCTGAGCAAGCAAATGAAACAGCTCCGGCCAATGAGCCCTCGGAGACGCTTAACAAGCAAGAAGAAGGCGAGCAAAGCTCCGATTCAGACGACGAGCAGGAGGATCCCGACGCTGTCCCTGCCCGCAACCCGCTACAACGTGGAGACTCGGAGTCTATGCCCGAGGAACCAGTAGACGAGGTGAAGGGTGCAGACAGAGCCGCAGACAAACCCACTGCTGACTCACAGGAGGCCGAGGAAGAGCTGTCTGAGGAGGAAACGGCCCCCGCAGAGGAAGATAGCCCTACGGTGCAGACTCAGGAGAAGGAGCATCTCTCGGCCAAGGAGAAACGTCTGGCAAAACAGGGCAAATCTCTCGACTCTGAAACCGATGAAAAAGGATCTAAGCAGACTTCATCCCCTGCCACGAACGGAAAGCGTTCCAAAGGTGACACCAAGTCAGCACCCGCCTCTTCTCGAGGCAAGAAGGGAAAGGCGAAGAAAGCCGCAGCGAAGTATGCCGACCAGGATGAAGAAGAGCGTGAGTTGGCGCTTCGGCTCCTCGGAGCTAACAAAGCCAAAGCCGAAAAGGCCGCCGCAGCGGCGGAGGCCAAAGCCAACCGTGAGCGTGAAGCAGAGGCGCAGAGGAAACGTCGGCAGGCGCAACATGCGCGCGCCGCGGAAGCTGAGCGGAAACGCCAGGCCCTGTTCGAAGAAGGTGGTGGAGATGACTACGACGAGGAGACGGCTGCAGCTGAAGCGGCTGATCTTGAGTGGATTCCGGCTCTGGTGGGCACGCCTCACCCGGACGATGAGATCCTTGCCGCTATTCCCGTGTGCGCGCCTTGGGGCTCCCTCGGACGATACAAATACCGAGTGAAATTGCAGCCAGGTGCGGTGAAGAAGGGTAAGGCTGTCAAGGAGATCCTTGGGCGGTGGATTGCTGAGACGACCACGGGTAAGGTCAAGAAGGAACACGCCGAGGATGCAGGCATCAGCCGGGCTGTTGCGGAGAAGATCCGAGCTCGCGAGGGAGAGCTGATCAAGGGATGGAAGGATACTGAGATCATCAATAACGTTCCTGTTGGCAAGGTCCGCGTGATGACGGGCGCTGGAGGAAGCGGAGGCGCCGAAGGGAAAGGCAAAGGAAAGGGAGGCGGTGGTAACAAGGGAGGAAAAGGAGGAAAGAAGAAATGATCAGTGGCTTTGCCTGTGAAGTGCATGAAGTTGTTGGATGTGCTATAGATCTTTCCACGTCTATATAGATACCTCGATCTCTGCTATGTCGGATCGAAAGCAGATCGCCCTATACTGCAACCACCCACGTCAGCTGAGATAGGACTCAGATTCCCTCTCAGGTAACCAACTCCATACCAATCATGCCCAAGCTCTCTACTGAATCTTGATGAATCCTGTTTTGTTTGCTTTTATACATGCACTCTGCCCGATGTTGAGGCCGGCTTAGTCAGAGGGCCGTCGACGTCATCGCAGAAAAGAAGATTTTCGACTGCGTCTTAAATTCCTCCTCGACCAACGCATTACCGGTGCGACAGCCTCTACAGCTTGATGATTGCCTCTACAGAGAGATAGTGTGCTGGAGTGTCGTTCTTCGGAACCCATCCCCGGAGTGTCCACATCCAAGAGCCCACCACTCAGCAATTTTTTCCCACCAGCCGCTCAACTTAGCCCCGCGTCTCGATCATCTTGACTCATATCATCGCAAAACTCTCACCGCACCAATTGCGTCAATCTATACCGCCCCTGGTTCTCCGCTCGCAACCAAGTTGGTTCCATCTCTGTTCCGCCTTGTAGCTGGCGGCCGTCCGCGCAGCATTGCGAGGTTCATCACTGGTAGCAGCACCATGACGCCCAAGGAATCCACACGGATCTTATCCGTCCGTCGGTTGAACAAAGAAGGACCCGGAAACAGGTCACTCGCAGAATGGTGGGAGAGCGAACGCAATAATAAGACACCCGAGGCAGAGGCGATCGCGGAGGCCGCCAGCCTTCTCCAGGACAGCGACATCCCCGTCGCTTTTCCGACGGAGACCGTCTACGGGTTGGGCGCCGATGCGACGCGAAGTAGTGCGGTGCAGGGAATCTACAAGGCAAAGCAACGGCCCTCGGACAACCCGCTGATCATCCACGTTGACTCACTGAGCATGCTCGAGCGGCTCCTCAACCCTGTGCAGATGAGTCCGACCCGCGCTACCAAGACCGCAAGAAACTCTATCCCTCCCATCTACCACCCCCTCATTGAACGGTTCTGGCCTGGCCCTCTCACCATCCTCCTCCCCAACCCCTCCGGCTCCCTCCTCGCAGACGAGGTCACCTCGAACCTAACGACGTTTGGCGTGCGCATGCCTGCGTCCCCGCTGGCCCGGTTACTGATCCACGTCGCGGACCGGCCGCTGGCTGCGCCGTCCGCGAACGCGTCTACGAAGCCGTCGCCGACGACGGCAGAGCACGTGTACCACGACCTGCAGGGTCGGATCGAACTGATCCTGGACGGTGGTCCCTGCGGGGTGGGCGTAGAGAGTACTGTAGTGGACGGGCTGTCTGACCCCCCGGCGATTCTACGACCCGGAGGCATCGGTATTGAAGAACTGCGGAGCTGTGCGGGGTGGGAGAATGTGCAGGTCGGGTACCATGATGGAACCCTGGACGTGAAGGAGGTGCCCCGCGCACCGGGGATGAAATACCGGCATTACTCGCCCAAGGCCCGCGTGGTGCTCTTCGAACCTGGATCGGACGAGAAGGCTGTTGCGAAGCATGTGCACAAGGATCTCGAGGACACGGCGATTGGTGCGCACATGATCGGGGTGGTACGCACGAAGCATTGGAAGCGCGGGCTGGGGCTGGTCTCGGAGGAGGAGATCCAGAAGACCGTCAAGCCCATTCCGTCGTTGGTGGACACCTTGGTGGGATTCTCGATGCCCGTGAAGGACCAGGCCAATGGATGTCCTGCTGTCAAAGAGGCGTTTGACTGTCACCTGGGAACGGACGTTGAGTCTATCGCGCGGGGGCTGTTCGCGGCGCTACGGGCAATGGATGAGATGGAGGTGGATGTCATCTATGTCGAGGGCATCTCCGACACCGAAGGGGATCTGGCGGCGGCGGTGATGAATCGCTTGCGCAAGGCTGCGGGGGCAGAGCTTCGCGTATAAACAGTTTGGTATAGCGGTAACTACATCTAGAGCAATCTCATACATGTAATCAGGATACGAATCGATGTGATGACTCATTGCGGGTTCTTTCTCCGCTCTCCGTTCAAACTCATCGGAGCCCGCCGATCGATCATGCATTCTCAGCGCTTTGGTGATAGCGTGTTATCTGCAGTGGATTCTGCAGCTTATCTGCGATATTCTCATCAGTGGATCTCTTCTCCACCAGACTGAACCATCCATTGTTTAGCGTCGCCAAGGCCGCAGGAACGCATTGCAGGCCATGCAACATGTGCGCCTTAAAAGTCCGTCGATCTTCTCCGCTCGTTCTACTCCCAAACTCTTGCCTTCCTTCATATCTAAATTTGTCCTTGCAAAATGTGCCAGTCTGATCTACACGACTTCATCCACGGCCTGCCCAAATGCGAGCACCATGTCCACCTCGAAGGCTGCCTCACTCCAGAACTGATCTTTGAGCTCGCCGAGAGAAACAATGTGAAGCTACCGGACGACCCAGCATACAAGTCCACCGAGACCCTCACCCGCCGCTATGGCAACTTCAGCTCGCTGGACGACTTCCTCGGCTTCTACTTCACCGGCATGAGCGTGCTGCACCACGAATCTGATTTTGCCGATCTCGCCTGGGCCTACTTCCAAAAGGCCCACGCCGACGGCGTCCACCACGCCGAAGTCTTTTTCGATCCGCAGGTGCACCGCGACCGCGGCGTCGCCTACGAGACCATCGTCGCCGGTTTCGTCGCCGGGTGCAAGCGCGCCGAGGCCGAGCTGGGCCTGACGACCCGCCTGATCCTGTGCTTTGTGCGCCATCTGCCGGTCGAGTCGGCGGCGCAGGTGTATGACCAGGCGCTTGCGAATGCGCACTTCGACTCCGACGTCCTCCACGGGCTCGGCTGGTCGTCCACTGAGGTCGGCCCGCCCAAGGACATGTTCCGCGAGCTGTATGCCTCGGCCTCGGCGAAGGGTATTCGTCTGACGGCGCATGCGGGCGAGGAAGGCGACCCGTCGTATATCCATGCGGCGCTGGAACTCGGCGCGCAGCGCATTGACCATGGTATTCGGCTGGTCGAGGATGAGGAGCTCATGGCGCGGGTGGCGCGCGAGGGCGTCATGCTGACAGTGTGTCCGATCTCGAACGTGCAGTTACGGTGTGTGGAGTCCGTCGCGCAGGTGCCGATTCGCAAGTTTTTGGACGCCGGGGTGAAGTTCTCGATCAATAGCGATGATCCGGCGTACTTCGGGGGCTATATCCTGGACAATTACTGCGCGGTGCAGGAGGCCTTTGGGTTGTCGGTGGATGAGTGGAGGGTCATTGCGGAGAACAGTGTGAGGGAGAGCTGGATTCATGACGAGAGGAAGGATGAGTTGTTACGGAGGATTGATGAGCATGTCGGGAAGCATTCGCAGGTGGCCATGGTAGCTTAATCGACTGAATATTCATGAGTTATGACTGTAAGCATGATGAGTATACCCTATGTAGTTCATATGTGGTTATATATAATGTCCAGATGATGCGCCGTTCGCGTAAACATTTTGATACCTCTCTGCGCCACTGTAAAAGTCATAGAGATCTACAAAACAGCCTCCTTTCCGACTTACATATCCATACCAATTCAGGTGCTTGATGTTGGGTAGAAACTAGGCACAAGTATGTGATGACTAACCCGCCAAGCACCTCCGCTTGAAGTCATACAAACATCACACTTCCCCTCACCTACAACCAGCCATGCGACCGACCATCCCATCGTCGACCCTATCTACAGGTTACAGAGCCATATCTCGGCGCTTCTACAGCTACAGCCCGCGTTTCTATCGACCGCTAGAACTCTCTCGTTCTCCGAGCACCGCTCCACAGTCGCAGTCCATCCTTCGCATCCCATTCCGAATCGAACTACACACCCAGACAAGGACAATGGCTTCATCCGCCATCCCAGACCGCTACAAGCTGGTCTTTTTTGTACCGCACTCGCACGTCGACGTGTGCAAAGACGCGGTGTTTGATGTCGGAGCAGGCACGTTTCCCGGCGGCAAGTACACAAAGGCCTGCTTCCAGTCGCCTGGTAAAGGACAGTTCATGCCCAACGATGGAGCCAACCCGGCCATTGGTGCTGTGGGAGCTCTAGAGTATGTGGAGGAGATGAAAGTCGAGGTGATGTGCCTGGGACGGACGATCATGCTGCAGGCGGTGGAGGCACTGAAGAAGGCTCACCCGTATGAAGAGGTTGCGTACGAGGTGTACAAGATGGAGAACGTGTGAGTAGATAGTGGAGACAGATTATGAAGTTACAATGAAGCTATGAATATTTATTCTACATCGATGCTCTGGAGGTACTGTTGATAGAGTACTACTCCCAAAAAGGAAGGTGAATATCCCGTGACTGGGATTACCGCATTGGGAGGCGGGAGTAATTCATACACGCTGATTGGCTGCAGACACCACCCGCAAAACGCCTCTTTCGAAGCGGTGCACCTTGAGCGAATCTCCTCCCATCACCGACCTCATCCTCACCCTCATCTCCGCCACTCCCCCCGTCTTCTGCCAGAAATGGCCTCTAAACTCTTCCCTGTCGCCCCCCGGGCCGGTCGCCAGTTCCTCCAGTCCCTCCCCAAGACCCAATGCCGGCCCTTCTCCGCCGGTCCGCAACTTTACAGCGACTCCCTGTCTGTGGTATGTGTGTGGATGTCACCGCAATCCCCGACCTCCAGCTGTCGCGGCTCGTTCGGACGGCCCTCAATGGGCGATTGACGGACTCCTCGCTCTCAATGAATGCGAAATGGCTGACTTCCCGCCTTGCAGCACCGCAACAAGCCCAACAACAACCCGTCGATCCCCTTCAAGTTCAACGAGCAGAACCTCAAACTCATCGATGAGATCCTCAAGCGCTATCCCCCCCAATACAAGAAGGCCGCCGTCATGCCGATCCTGGACCTCGGTCAGCGCCAGCACGGCTTCACCAGCATCAGTGTGATGAACGAGGTCGCCCGCCTTCTGGAGATGCCCCCGATGCGTGTCTACGAAGTCGCGACCTTCTACACTATGTACAACCGTGAGCCTGTCGGGTAAATACTTTGTTCAGCTCTGCACAACGGTATGGATTTCTCCCCTGGTGATTGCGTCAATTTTTTGTTTTGCTCTGTCTGACATGACCCAGACGCCATGCCAGCTCGGCGGCTGCGGCAGCACCAAGATCGTCGAGGCTATTACGGAACACCTCGGTATCACCCCCGGCCACACCACCGAAGACGGTCTTTTCACCTTCATCGAAGTCGAATGTCTGGGCGCCTGTGTCAACGCCCCCATGGTCCAGATCAACGACGACTACTACGAGGACCTCACCCCCGAGTCGATCAAGGCCCTTCTCACCGCGCTCAAGGAGTCCTCCACCGGCTCCGCCAAGGTTCCCGCCCCTGGTCCTCTGAGCGGACGGCAGACCTGCGAGAACAGTGCTGGTCTCACGAACTTGCGGGACCCGGTCTGGGATCCGGAGACGATGATGCGACAGGACGGTGCCCTGGATCAGCCGCAGCAGCCTTCAGCTTAAATCAATTATAATGTGACTGGTTCTTGTGTTTTCGTTTTAGGCTCGACGGTTAGATCTGTTGTCGGGTGTTGATTATGTACAGTATGTTCTCGTGATGAGGATGCCAGCCATGGTGGATATTCAGGCTACCATAGAAACTTTGTTTCGCAGTACCCAATGCAGTTCTTTAGGTTGATGATGTATTTCTGAATGGGTGGGTTTTGATAGATCATGTTTTTTCTAGCTACGTGACTGTCCTCCAGGCAGCTCGACTGAGTCGCGTACCCATCGTGCTGTCGCTTGTAGGTAATAGACAAGACATGTAAAACGTGTCCACGACGGTTATATTCTATTGACCAAAATGACAATTACGCTACCAAGGAGTGCTAAGGTGGATCGTCATCTATCGTTTGCAGAACGTGATCTAGTCGATAAAGACTGATGTCAGCTTTGAGCCTGGCACCTGTTGCCTGCCTCCCTTGTCCTTTAGCGCTTGTTGACTTAAACTACATTCTATACCATTCCTGGTTGTGTTGATAGGGACTGAGTCGGTGGGAACTCTCCACATCCAAGAATATCAGAATCCGCCTTGAAGTTCAGCACATGGTCATGCATGGATCCAGACAGAGAGCTGTGGATTTGGTCGCCAAAGTAGCTGTTGGACACTTTTGCCTTCACACAAGCAAGGTAAAAGTCGTCGTGCTCCGTCTGTACCGCGTGATATTGAGGCTTTCTCTCGGTTGACACAACCTGCAGTAGGCGTTAGCCATTGTGGCATAGATGAGTCTCCAGACTACCATTTACGTTCCTCTCCAGTTCTTACCTAAAACTGAAAGCCGCGGCAGAGACACCGACATCAATCTCATCCGGACTTGGTGCTCTGTCATACATGGCCTGGAAGGGAATGACTAGAGGCGCATTTGTCACCGTGGCGGCCGTCACCAACACTTGCTGGGCACAGTAAGTGGCTTGATTGACCGTGGGTTGGTTAACTAGAGGCGGCATCTTGTCTGTTGCTTTAGCTGGTCGATATATGTCCTTGTCACCGGCTTCGGAGCGTTGGGTGGCACCCGCTGCCATTTTTTCGATGTTCAATGGCTCGCTCTGAATCACATACAGGCTAATCTGTGGACCTCGCCTACTTCGGATCTAGGCTCGCTCACATCGAGGTCTGCCGCCAATTGTGGCAGAGCCTTGAGAATATTGGTGTCCTCGATGTAGGCCTCAAAGGTACGGACCTGGGCAAGAATCCATACCTTTTGGGGCGTCTGTTGGCCCAGTCGATGGAGCCTGCACATTGCTTTTAGGGCACTGTTTACCCCGCTTGGCTGTTCCAGAAAGACGACCCGGGAGCATTGATCATGGAGGTTTATAATCTGGAAATCTTCGGAGACTATGGAGTTTTCGTCCTGCAGGTCTTCAGACAGCACGACTTGGACTTGGGGATAATGGTCGGCGGTCTGCGCAGCGGTGCAATGGTTGCATGCCTGAAATAGATTAGTGCCGTGCTTCGTTGCTGATAGTCTGGCAGAGCTCCTGGGAGCAGACGGACTTACTATGATAGGAAGCGTGGGACAGCGAGACGGACTGCACCGATGGCGACTTTATATCTGAATGCTTGAGAGAAGCACCAGTGAGGCCCAACCATACTAATAAGGATGCTCTGACGACAATCGTGATGACGATACGGATCGGCAACGCCCCCAATTCGAATGCTGTCGATTGAGTGGAGGTGGAGTCGTACTCGTCGACCGGTTCTAACGACGCGCGGAGTTGGCGGAGAGTGTTCTTCTGGCCGTCCGATAGTTTAGGGTCGGCGTCGGAATCCTTATGAACAAAGTAAGCCCTAACCTCTTTACGTCGCGTAGGGCAGTCGAAGTCGAAGTGAGGTCCGTTACACCAGCGACAGTCGCGGAGGTGTACTCGAGGCCGTCGTTCTCAAATCACCACTTGACATCCTCCGTGAGCTTCGGATAAGATCCACTCACGGCAGTCTCGATGACAACGGTGGGCCGGTCCTGGAGGGTGCTTTGGGAAGGGGAACGGGTATCCGGGGTGAAGATTTGGTCAGCCAGCTTGCCCTTGTTGCCAGAAGGTGACCTATAGGTAGTAGCTGAGCCCCAATGTCTGTCACTAGCACTGCCGCTCTCCAGGCCATTACCTGATCTTGTGTCCAGAAGAGCTGGAGGTTGCTCCAAAACGCATGCTGATTTGTCTGTCCTTCATAGGCGCCCAAAGAAAAAGGGTAGATATAAGCTACTTTAAGTAGCTCACTAGCCTTTATAATAAGGTACTTTCTACCATCCTGCTTACTGATCTAAAAGATAGTTAATAGCTAAATCAATATTATCTTCACAGTAAATGGAGAGAGAAGTTACCAATCTTAGCCATGGCGGTGGCTGGATATCCCCGCGTCATCAGACCGAAGAAGCTCCATTTGTCATCGGCGGACTGCTTGAAAAAGTGCACACATGGTGGTCAGCCGGAAAGCCAGTCAGAGGTCCAGAAGGAGGGTTCATGCTGGAATTGGAAGAGCTGACGCTGGCTTCGTTGGCGGGATCAGTATGGAGTCTCGCCATTTTGGAGGGGAGGATAAGGATGAGATGGGTGGCGATAGTCGGAGACGGTCAACAAGAGAGACATTTAGAAGCCCTGCAAGTTTTTATAGGGGAGGAATAGAAATTACTGGACAAAGTGGGCATTGAAGGGGATTTCAAATCTGGACAGTGAAACGGAGAAGTGAACCAGAGTGAATATATTGTTGGATTAGAAGCAGTCTCAAGGAGCTCCCCTTTTAGGGCTTCGACGAAGCAAAGGTAGTGAAGTAGTAGTATCTATGCCAGACTGATTTCATTGTTTGTCATACTGCCACTTAAATTCCATGGGACATCCCGAAGGGATTCCGAAGTTGATCGATAACCGCTGGAAGAGTAGCTATCTAAATCAAGATTGGTAGCGTCCATTCCCCAGGATCAAGTACTCCAACATGATAGGAAAAGCTGTGAATACATGGAATCAAAAGGCATTGTCCACCACCAACGATGGTCCCTGGCAACTCATTGCTTCAGACTCATCAGCCTCATCTGGGGTCACCAAAACCGGGCCCCCCTTTCGTTCCACGAGGACTTTGCTACGGCGCTCTTGGAAGATATTGACATCGATAGTTCTCTTCGCCAACAGATGGTAGATGTGGACATGCTTGTTCTGTCCGTACCGCCGGCAGCGTCCGATGGCTTGAGTCATGGCGGAATCATAGTCGTACTGGGTCTGGGCCAGCATGGGCGATAGGAAGATAACGTGATTTGCACATTGTACGTTCCTAATAAAATGTTAGGCCTCCCGAATGTAGGTAGAACCAGGGAGTGCACTTACAACCCAGCGGCCATCTCACTGCCCAAAGTCAAAATTAGGACCTTGTTATCACCAAAACTCGTCTTCTGAAACTGTTCCACTTTCTGAGCTGACGTGCGGTCGGTAGCGGAGATGGCGATATGCTTCACCCCAGCCATATCCAACGCCTTGGATGCGATATCTATGAGCTCGGGAAACTGGATGAACAGAAGAGCCCGCTCATTCGTGGGGATATCACCAACTATCTGCACCAGCTTGTCCATTTTGGTTCCCCCGAACCTAGTGCTTCGATCCTTATCGCACCCAAGAGTCGAGGCGTTGATGATGTTGAACTTCTTCCTTGAACCGCGACATCCTTTGGCAGGACACTCCTCCTCAAGACTAACTTCTGATAGACAGTCAGGGCACAGCGAATGGCCACAGGACCCGAGGATTTGGACATCATCAAGTTTGGAGGGACGATCTCCGCAGCTGTCGCACTGGACAGGGGTCGAACGGGTTTGTACATGGCGTACGGTTCGAAGGAACCTGAGCGCTCTTTCGCGGAGAACCCATTCCACGACGAGTTTTCGGATAGCCGTTGTGGCTTCTCGCATCATGGCATCGTACTCCTTTGGCCTGGTGGGCTTCTTGGGAAGCATTGCCTGGCAAATTTTTCCTGCTTTCACTTTGCCACCAGTGACTTGCTTGTCTTTAGCTGTCTTCGCTTTTTTTGTCCGAGTCGGAGACTCATCATCAGACTCGCGGGATCCGCCTTCGTCTGGCGGCGCCAGATCGTCCTTTGCAGGATTTGGAGGAGCAAAAAATAGCCTCCAGTCATCTTTTTCTGACTGTAGGATGGCGCGTTTGAGAAGAGGATAAACCTTTCTGGTCACCTCCATATCTCCGAAATCATGGCGTAGAATACTTTCGACGAACTTGTGGAAGGTCTCATATCTCAAATCACACCCACAGTATATGCAAGCTGCCATCTTCAACTTCATGAGAAGATCCTCCTTGAGATCAGCTAGCTGTTTCTCTCGGAGTTCTATCAATGACTTGCACGTCGTGGCTTCCGGCTTCCCCTTATCCCAGCGACCCTGGAGTGCGAGCGATGCGCATCTCTTGAGTAGTGCCTCCTCTGCCGTCGAGCTACTGCCGATGATCTCGTCAAGACGTTCCACTTGGTCGCTGCTCAGCCGACTTCTCCCGCCGCTGCGGCGCAACTGGCGGTTACATGTCATGAGCTGCTTGTATAGCTCTAGGTAGATGGCAGTCTCAGCTGGAGACAGGGAGACAAGGACGATATGCTCCGTGAATGGGATCTCATCGATTTCCGCAATATTCCTCCGCGCAAAATGATTGAGGAATCTCTGTGCAACTTCGTGGCGATTCCGATGCCATGCCTGACTGCGAGGAGTTCGGAACGACTGGAATGTTTCTGCGTCGGACCTCTGCCTGTGAAGAATTTTTATTCGTTTGTTCTGTGACTGCTCGTCATCCTCATCGACGCCGAGATGGATACCCAGGAACGGGGCAATGGTCTTCACATCTGCGAAGTCATTCAATGGGGGAGTGCCGGATAAGACCCATTTCGAACGAGCTTGCAATGCTAGCAGAGGACTGAGTCTTTCGGAATCTGCGTAGGTGAACTCATCAATCACTAGGCGGTTGAATATGAAAGCGTGCAAAACGGGTGTTTTGACAGCTGTCCAGTCTTGGACACCTTTCTCGGTGAGGTTGAACTCTTTTCTGTCGTTCCATACTTTGGACTTCTTCGTTGACTGACCACGCTTCCTTGCGCCTTTTGTTTCCGTGTCCTTTCCCTTGACGGGACTCTCCGATGAAGATTCGTCGCAATCTGTTACTTCGTCTGATTCATCTTCTGAGGCTTCCTGACCGATTCCCAAGGATGCGCATGATTGATGTGGGCGTCGCCTTATAAGCTGATCTACCTTCTCTTGCAGAACCACCGGGTCTTCGTCGCCAGGGTCGGAATCTTCGGCGCTCGATATCTCCGCATACTGCATCCCGTGGTCGGTCTCTTGCTCTTGAGTCTGATGAAAATCTGCATACCGTTGTCCTCTTAGCCGTTTGGAGGGGACATAGACGGAATGCTCTTGGTGTTCATTCACTGACCGGCGTTTCCTGCGTAAATTGTCGAGGAAAGCCTCGGGCCCTTCATTCATGAGAATCTGGACCTGTTCTCCAAGAGCCACACAAGCTGCTTCAAACCAATCGTCAAAGTTGCGGCCCCCTTTGGTCGGTGCCCGTGGCATCCCAGTGAATTTCTGCATCCTGTTGTAGTAACTTGGAATCTTGAAAACGGACCAGGAAACAAGGATTATATCTGCGTCTTGAATCTCACGGATAGCGCTCGTCGCCAGTGACAGGTGAGTTTTGAAAACCAGGACATTGTACTTTGGTCCCAGGAACTTCTCAATCTCCGATTGCCACTGGCGCAACATGATCTGAGGAACTACTATGAGAGTGGCGTTGGTGGGGATAAGCCCTGGGGCAGCATCTGGGCTCGACTGATTGCCTCGTTCAAATTGCGAGTCGACCAGCCCCAATATGATGGCGGTCTTTCCATACCCAACATCATCGGCTAGGACACCACCGCGGACAGTCGTTGGGATTGTGACTCTGGCCTCTCCGCGCCACATCAGCTGGGGCAGCAACGCTTCTTCCGTTTCCTCCTCGACGAAGGGACTAATCGCTTCATCTTCCTGTTTAATCATCCAAGCTAGAGAACGCAGCTGCTCAGGTCGAAGATCTAGTTGGAACCCTGGAGGCTGGGTGGCCTGACTATCGTTTCGGTTACTCATCAGTTCGAACGCAGGAAACGCCATATCTCTGGAGTCGTATGCATTGGGCACAAGACGCCAGCGAAACGAGGCCTCGCCAACAACGCCCGAGCCCCGAAGCTTTTCGTGCGCCTGATGTAACAATGTTTGGATGTTAAGCGTGACTTGCAGTTTTCCAATGTCGTTCTCTTCAACATCGCGGAAGACCAAAAATGCCCGAGGCCTGGCTTTTATCTGACGCTCGTACAGAGCTGCGTCGCGCGGATCTTCATATGCCTTGACCCATCCGCGCCCGTTACGGCCCCAGAGAATTCGGGGCTTTGGCGGCACGCAGACGCTGCAAAGGGTATCTCCTGTAGCAGACTCCTCCGAGGGCTTTTGAATAACGTTGGACCAATCCTGGAACTCAGAGAATGAAGCCGCTTTCTGTAATAACCAAGAAAACTCCTTGAGCAGTTCTGGGGAGTCTATGGGATCCAAAACTTCCCATATACCCTTTCCAAGCCGGCCACCAATTAGTGCCGCTGGATATGTAAACGAAAGTAGTGTGGTGTTAGCATGGTGACAGTCCCCGTTGCTGATTGAGATGGTAGCGCCTGGTTTCAAATGGTAACAAGAAATGGGGTCAGTGGGAGAATACGGCTCCAGAGTCACATCTGATGCTTTGGTCCACTTGCGGTAGTAGACATTGACGAGCTCTTGATCTTGAGTTGAGCGGGCAGATCTCCATTTATGTAACACTTCTGCGATAGTCAAGCGCGCTGCATATCCAGGAATGCGTTTGTGATCCAAAGAAAACACGAACGAGTCGTATACAGGTTCTCCAAGCTTGGTCGGATCCAAAAACAAGTAGACCGCGGGAGAAGTTTTGGTTGCGGCCTTCTTATGGAGACATGCATTCGCTGTCCCACAGTCAGGTAGTAGCTCATATGTTCCTCGGATGTCTACTTTGAGGTGCTGTACATCCTCAACTGATCCTCCAATGTTGATCTGCGTCCATACCTTGGATTCACGAAACTCTTTCATATCCAGTCCACATCTTGCCTCGTAGGACGGGACCAAGATTCCGCTTCTTGAAAAGACCAGAGCCGAGTTTGTACTGAGTGGAGCGCACACTTCCCATTCTCCTTCCAAAAGGGAATTGGGGCCAGGAGTCATATGTGCAAACGGCTTGGAGAGGATCTCACGATTGAGACATAGTGCAGGCTCGCTGTCCAAGGGCTTCGCATAGAGGAACCAATCAACCTGGTGATGTGCCAAGATGAGATCCAAAGTTGCATACTTGCCTTCGTACGAGACAGTCCAAACTTCAGTTCGTTTGACGTCCAAAAAGCGGAGCTCATCGCCAACAGCTCGCATCACTGCATCCAAAAAATCATTCCAAATATCTGCAGAACACATGATAGATGCGTCCTCTTTGAGCGGGTCGAATGTAGTGCTGGTAATGCCCGTCACGACCAGCCTGGTCGGTAGAAGTTCCTTGAGTTTGCTCACAAAATCCAATGGCTGGGTGCGGCTCAAATCAGTCCAGCGCTCATATGCGTGCTCTGGGTTTCCGGCGCAGACTGTACACGCTGTATGTCCGCATAGAGTGCACCGGAGGATATTCCGTCTTTTTGCGCTTTGTCTCTCGCACACACAGTACCTTGCACTCGCAGATGCTTGGACTTGCAAATCGCGGAGGGAGATTTTCGAAGACTCGTTGAAGCTGCTCAGGACAAGCTCACAGTCATCCCGCGGTGCCAAAAACTTAGTCTTTGGAGTGACTGGTTTCGTATTTCCAAGAGGAGCAGCTTTATCCAAAAGTTTGTAGCCGACGATTAGTGCGGAGAGGACAGCACAGCCAACCACGGTAGAGCTCATGGCATTGCCAGCAAGATCTTGCAGCTCACGCTGAGACTCCCGAGACAGCAGAAGCCTGTCTAGAGGGAGGCCCTGCAAAGCTAGTGACTCCAGACCGCAGAGCGGCCCACCCCGAGTAGTGATATATGGGATACCGCAAGGAGTGATACAGCCGACAATGCCGTATGCTCGTGAGTCAATTTCTCGGTCCAATCCCTGAGATAGCTCTATGCACCTCCTATTCCTCTGTTAGTAGAGCAATCACAAGACGGGAAAGGAACACGCACTCTTTGTAGTTCATGTCGTACCCCTCTACCAGCTTTCGCAGAAAGTTCACATCGATAGTGTCCCAAACTCTCTCGGGCAAAGATCTCACCCACGTCTGCCACGCAAAATCCGGCATCTGGCACGTCCCATCGTCTTGGGACTTACTAACAGGCCGTCTATAACCGAGACTCTGATTGAGACGGTAGCTCTGATGACGCACCTGGTATTTGGCCCAGTTGACCGTTGCCCGTGAAGAAGATGACGATGAGGTGATACGGACCGCCATATCCTTTTCGATCTGTTCGAGTCTCCAATCATCTGCGTCCATGATGAACATTCCAGCCGGGGAGCTTGCAGGACGCTTAAAGTCTGCAAGGACATCTGTCCAGCGGAGCATGTCCTCGTCTGCCATTCCGTGTTTGTCCATAAGACGCTTGTCCACGCAGAACATGTATCCTCGTTCTCTGGTCTGGGGTAGGTAGTACGCCTTTGTGTCGACGTCGACATGAACGGCGAAGTAGTCGATCTCGTTCCAATGTTTTTCGATTGTGTCCCAGGGGGCGGTCTTGACATTCTCCAAGATGACCATCCGGGGACGATATGTCCGGGCGTAGCGAATGATCCCCCAGAATGTGCCTCCCGACTCGCCCTTGTCATCCAAAGTCTTCCGCTTGGAGTTCAAGGCGGAGAAGTCGACACAGGAGAAACCTGCAATGAGGATGTCCGCGTTCTTGGGTATTTTCTCTAGGGAACCGTATGCAGTTTGACTGTATCCGTTAGGGTCTGATTTTACACAGTAGCAAAGACATAACAGAAGGGAAACGTACGCCACACGATCCTTGAGCTCAGCGACGTCTCGAAAGATGAATGGGGGATGGAAATTGCGCTCAATGTAAGCCTGCTTGAACGGAACGATCTCAGCGCTAAACAAATGGCGGAACTCGAAGTTTCTTTCGAAGTGCGTTCGAAGATCTAGGCCAACTTAGTAGAAGCCTTCATAGACAAAGACAGCAGAGGGATAAACGAAAGGTACATACTCTCCTGTACCATCTCCAGGGCAAGCAACGGACTCTCAGTCCCCGAGCACACGGTCACCACGCGTAGGGTACGGGATCCAGTATGGGCAAGAAACTTATCGAGTTCGAGCTCCAAGGCCCTTTTGGTGATCGACTTGTAGATATCGCTGAGTTTGTACAGCGGGGGTAGGCTGAGGGCGAGCTGCGTGCGCGCTGCCCTGCGACCCGAGTACGGACGCGAGCGGACGATCTCTGGAATCTCTGACTCTGGCGTGGATTCATGGTCTGTAGATGTGTTTCCTCGGGCTGAGGTGGAGGATTTACTGGCCTTTTGAGATCGAGGCACGCGTGGAGTGTATTTGGCGCGCTTGGTCGGCCGCGGAGTCCAGGGTTTGAATGGTTGCTTTCTTTTGAAAGCCATTGGATCAGATAGATGTGACTGGGAATTGCATATTATGTGATGGGTGATCTGTATGAAGAGTACAAAGGTAGTATAGAGGGAGTGAGATAGGGCATGTAGAAGTCACGTGTAAGAGACTGGTGAGGAAGAGGATGGGGAGGAGGGTAAGGAGGATGAGAGAAAATTGAAAGCAATGGGCGAAGTGAGAGGCACCAGGTAACAGGAGAAAACAAGGAAGAAAGTGCCTAAGGTAGTGAGCACAGAGCAGATGATTGTTGTTAGTGGCACTTATTGTTGATGTTTCAAGTTGTAGTTGAAAAGCACCCACTCTCTTAGATAAGAAGAGCAATGGAAACCTCTTTCTAAGATATGATAATTACTAGGCCATAATCAAGGAGAATCCTTCAATGGCTGCAGATGGTTGCCATCTATGAGTTGCATGCAGTTGGAGTCTGTTAACAACGACGCTGACGATTGCTCAACTCAGTATAATACCTCATTTAAGTGCCAGATATCTTGTTTACGCTAGATATATGAGAGAAAGGAGAATATCGTCCTCAGTAGGTCTGCATCCTTATCATCTTTCAAGGGGAGAATGGGTGGTCGTATACCTGGGAGGACTACTGGAGGTTTGGTTGTTTGATATCAACATCTTCAGTATGGTCACTACAGGATTCACTAGGTACAGCTTTGGGGAAATGCTTTCAGTGAAGCGCGCAGGGACAACAACAAAGAAATTTATTTGTAAGCCCTCACATCCATCATTCACTGATTGCACAAGTGTTTCCCTGGTCAACTGCATGGTAGGAAGGCAGCAAAGGCATTCCGTATCCGCATTAAGGAACTAGAGTCCGTATTACACCACAGGCACATAGAGCATTCGAAAACGTATACACAACCATATGTGAATCAATATAAGGATAGGATATCGCTACGAGGAGCCGTAAGTATACATCCGAAAGCCACACCGCCGAAGGAAACCATATGCGCCATCCCAGTCCTTGCGTCAATAGAAATCAGTAGCAGACAAGAAATTGAAGATCCGATGCAACCCCAAATGGCACATATGAAGATGATTATCGCATTCCACTCTGTCGTAATTGCTGTCGCAGTAATCTGATCTGGTTCCGTTCCAGCGGAGGAAGAGCATCAATGGCCGACTCCGGCATTGCGAGCACCTGCTGTAGGAGCTCGTCATGGCCTGCCATCGGTTGCGGCGTGGCCTGCGGGGCGGGTTGGCCGAACGGCGCGTTGACCACAGGTGGAGTCGACACTGGACCTGGTACTGCCGCACCAAAGGGATTGAAGGCCGGTGCTGCAGCGGGAGGAGCAGCAGCTGCCGGCTGCGCAGCTTGTTCTATCACGGATCCAAGCACGCTGTAGTCGACAAGGTTCATGAGGAGGAGAGCTTGGAAAACGGCATATGCCAGCTGAGGTGCTTGTCGGAACAGTTCGGCCACACGCGCGGGTTCAGTTAAAGACATGTTCTTCGTCTGCGTAAGGAGCTCGAGGAGCTGATCCGGAGGGAGGCCGGAGAGGGTCTGAGAGATGGCGTTCGGGCAGTCCAGATGCGCAGGAGGCTCCACGCCAGGGGGAAGAGGAGGAAGCGGCGCGGATGCTGGTTGGGTAGGCACAGACAGAGTATCCGGTCCGGGTCCGGGTGCGGTCTGTGAGTAGTCTGGGGGTATCGAATCCTTTTCATTGTTGTGAGGCCAATCGACGCGAATCTTGCGGCCCATGATTTCATAGTCGTTCAGATTGCGAACGGCCGAGGCGGCGGCATCGGCATCTGCGAAGTCGGCAAAACCGTATCCTTTTGGCTTTCCGGTTTCTGGGTTCATCATCAACCGGAATTTGGTGACAGTGCCGGCGGTGCTGAGTATGTCTTTGACCTGTTCCTCGGTGAGGTCTATTGCGGTAGTTAGCATGGGAGAAGGCATTGGAAACGTAGGGGCAGCATACTGTAGGGAATATTCCCCAGGAAGACACTCTTTCCCGCCCGCTCTGACGGCGCCATGATTGCAGAAGAGAAGGGAAGAAAGAAAGAATCGTAGTAAGAGGAATAAAGGTGTTGAAAGGCGGGCGGAGAAAAGCAGCAGCTCTCAAGGCGGTGTCCCGATCTGGAGAACTGCCGGAAGTTTCAACCTCCGCTGACATCTTCTCTCTTGATCCTCTCTTCTCCCATCCCCATCTTCCTCTCTTTTCACTCAACCATCATGGCTCGGAACCCCAAGGAACAGTGGGAGCGACTTCAGTTGATGCTGCAGCATCGCGGCGGCCGTGGCGGATTTGGTTTCGGCGGTGGATTCCCATCCGGTGGGGGTCGCGGCGGTGGTGTTGGTGTAGCTGTGCTGGTGCTTGCTATCGGAGGATATGCTCTGTCGAACTCGCTTTTCAACGGTGAGTCAAATTATATTCCGTGCGCCTGGATGATACCGGGAGATCTGGCTGACTTTCTTTCTAGTCGATGGTGGTCACCGTGCGATCAAATACTCGAGGATAGGTGGTGTGAAGAAGGAGATCTACAGCGAAGGTATGATCTCGCGTTGCTATGCTATCTTTCAATTCTCTCTTTCTCCTATTCGGTGAAACTATGTGATCCTTTCTGACCTCCGACTCTTCCAACCAGGAACTCATCTGCGAATTCCATGGGTCGAAACCCCCATCATCTATGACGTGCGCGCGAAGCCGCGCAACATCGCCTCTCTCACCGGCACCAAGGACCTGCAGATGGTGAATATCACATGCCGTGTCCTATCGAGACCCCGTGTCGATGCCCTCCCCCAGATCTACCGTACCCTGGGAAGCGACTTTGACGAGCGCGTCCTCCCCTCTATTGTGAACGAGGTGCTCAAGAGTGTGGTGGCACAGTTCAACGCCAGCCAGCTGATCACGCAGCGTGAGAATGTTGCCCGTCTTGTCCGCGATAACCTTGCTCGCCGAGCTGCCCGTTTCAACATTGCCCTCGATGATGTGTCGTTGACGGTAAGGAACCCGGATGTGTCTGGAATGGAGGTGAAAGAATGATATGCGAATGTTTACTAACGCAATTTCTTTTACAGCATCTGACTTTCTCCCCCGAATTCACCGCCGCTGTCGAGGCCAAGCAAGTCGCACAGCAGGAAGCCCAGCGGGCCGCTTTCCTGGTCGACAAGGCTCGCCAGGAGAAGCAAGCTTTCATCGTCCGCGCTCAGGGTGAAGCCCGATCGGCCGAACTGATTGGTGATGCCATCAAGAAGAGCAAGAGTTACATTGAGCTACGGAAGATCGAGAACGCACGCCAGATCGCCCAGATCCTGCAGGAGAACGGCGGCAGAAACAAGCTGTACCTGGATTCCCAGGGCCTGGGACTCAATGTGAACGCGAGGGTGGAAGAAGCGAAATAAGCATAGGATCTAGGAGGGGAGTTCGGCTTACAGCATTGAAGAAATGCCACGACTGGTGGTTCTCGTTCTTTTAATTATGGCGGTCCTCATTCACGGCGTGCAGTCGCCTGGAATGAAGAATCTGGGTGTGAAATCGGAATTCATGTACAAATAGTCATTCTCGTTATTATCTAGCAACGGGCGAATTGTTTCTCTTCTCTGAAAGATCCGGCGTAGGCTGTTCTGTACCTAGGGGGTCTTCCGCCAGGCGGAGCGGAGACGAAAGCGGCGGGCGGAAATTTTATATATCGTCACCACCGGAATTCTTCATCTCCCCGCAGTCCACCAGCACCGGCCAGATTCGGGCTTTATTTTGTTTATAACCCGTGGAACACATCCACGTTTAGTTCTTCTGGACAATAGCTGTTCAAGTGAGCTCGAAAATTCCCTATCAGACTAATACCCCACCTTCGACACCAAATGCGCCAGGAAGACTAACATCACCCGCGGCGGACAGAATGGCCGAGACCACAGAAATCAACGTCGACCTTGACGTCCAGGAAATCCTCCTGGCCGCTTCCCAGCACGACATCCCCAAACTGCGCCGTCTGGTCCGCTCAAAAGAAAGCATTGGCAACCCTGTTAACGTGAAGGACCCGGAAACTGGGTTTTCGCCCCTCCATGCCGCAATCGCGGCATGCGAACCCGATGAAGACGATGATAACAACAACGAGACCGTTAATGGCGACGGCGTGCAGATCAATGGAACCACGAATGATGAACAAAATAAGGATGTTGTGCAATCGGGCGTCGACACGGTCAAGTTCCTCTTGCAGGAGGGTGCGATCTGGAACGACCTGGATCTGAATGATGAGACGCCGGGGTGTGTGGCTCGGCGATTGGGACTCAATGAGCTGTACGAGATGATGGTGGATGCGGGCGTGCGGGCCGAGTTGCTCTTGAACCGGTTGGAGGGTTATGAACAGCTTGAAGAAGACGAGGATGAGGATGAGGAAGGCGAGACAACAGCGGAACAGAACCCCGCCGGGGAGGACGAAGCTCCTCAGTTGGTGAACGCTGCTGAAACGACAGAAACGGCGCCCACGGAAGCGGCAGCCCAAGGATCAGGCCCCGCTGTCACGAACCCGCGGTATCTGGATTCCAACCTGACCTTCCAGAACGACCGACTGCTGGACCAGGACCAGAACGGCGTGATGATGGCGTGGGAGTCGGACATTATGGCCAAGTCCGCAAAGAAACTGCTCCCCACGCCTGGGCTGCGCGTGCTCAACATCGGCCACGGCATGGGCATTGTGGATGGATTCTTCCAGGAGCTGGCGCCTGCTGCGCATCACATTATCGAAGCGCACCCCGAGGTCGTGGAGGAGATGAAGCGCAAGGGCTGGCATGAGAAGCCTGGTGTCAAGATCCACGAGGGCAGATGGCAGGATATCCTGCCAGCGCTCGTGGCCGAAGGTGAGACGTTCGATGCGATCTACTACGATACGTTCGCGGAGTCGTACGCCGATTTCCGCGAGTTCTTCACAGAGCAGGTCATTGGTTTGCTGGAGCAAGATGGCCGGTGGAGCTTCTTCAACGGCATGGGTGCTGACCGGCAGATCAGCTACGATGTCTACCAGAAGGTCGTGGAGATGGATCTATTCGAGGCTGGATTCGATGTCGAGTGGGAGGAGATTCGGGTGCCCAAGCTCGAAGGCGAATGGAGCGGCGTGCGTCGGCCATACTGGATGATTGACAACTACCGACTGCCGTTGTGCAAGTACATGGATTGAGTATGATACACCAGTTGCATGGATGACAAAACCGCACATGACCTGACTAAATATAGTACATCACTTTCATTTCACCATCCGCCCCCCGTAACGTTGCATATGCGGGCTAGACCCCGTAAAATTCCTAAACACAGTCTTGCTTTGAGGTCACTCCGACTATATTAAATACAAGCCATCTGTCTTGGCTGTGGAGTGTGTTTGTGTTGCGCTCTGGCTGCTATGAGCCTCCTAAAGTCCAGATGCCCCTGAAGTCTAGACGCGAGAGTACGCGCTGAACATATAAAAGGTATCCGAAGTACATGCTAGAACTTCCCAGGTTCGATAACTACAGCGATGAATATATTCCTCACTCTGTTTCTATGTCATAGCCGGGCTACGTGGTTTTGAGATGAATCGACCAAAGCCGATGCACTAGAAAACGAACAGGAAAACTTGCAGGTGAATGCTTGGGGGCAAGTACAGAAACCAGTCATCATCGTCCACCAGACTCAAGCGACTTGTCATAGTAGTATACTCATAGTACGCTGGATAGAATCCGCTGTCCTCCCAGTCAATGATGCCAGCCACAATGTAGTGGCCGTTATCACTTGGGTCTCTTTTGACAATAATATTGGCCGTCCGAAGATCGCCATGTGAGAAAACCGAACCATAATCTTGCGCCAGAAGGGAGCGTAGCAACGCGACGTATGTATTGCTGCCATGGTGCTGGGCCGAGAACTGCAAGTCGCTGAACTCTGTCGCGGTGGTGACATCTCTGAATAGAGCGGAATGGTACGCGGGATAATCTTTGGCCCCTTCGCCACACACTCCTCCAAGTGTCTCTCCATCGTCTTGTCGAAGACATCGTAATCGGCGGAATATGTCGTCCAGTTGCTATTGAATGGACAGCTTGTTTTCCTGAGAGAGACTAGGCCACACTTCGGCCAACGTTGTGCCTGGGATGTAGGACATAAAAATAACACGAAAAGGACCTAATTTGATGAAGCCATGAGCTCTCGGAGCAGGAACATCAGGCGCTCGCTCAGCCAGGAATTGCATACTTGTATGCTCGGTGTAATCTTCATTTCCCCAAATGACCTTTGCGACAATGTCCTCATTGCATTTGACCACCACGCCTCTGATGCGGCTCTGCCATAGTTTTGGAGAGTCCCAAAGGAGTCGTTTTAGAGACCCGGCCAATTCTTTCTCTGAGTCACTAGTGTCGTTGTTCAATGATCCTGCTGTGTATTGCGCTAGTAGAGCAGCCACCTTCTCGGATAAAGGGAAGACGACCGTGGCCGTCTCAGCAAGGTCCAGACGGTTGCGGAAGTCCGGCTCCGGCACAGGAGAAGGCTCTTTTTCAGGAGCCTTCGGTCCAGTGGCCATTGTAATTCGGCGGTTGTAATTTTTTGGAAACCGAGACAGCAAGTTCATCTCGGGCTCGTTCTTGAGCATGGATTCAAGTTCATGCAGCGTTCGTAAATTGACACGGCCCGCGTATGATAGTTGCCGGTATTGGGCATTTCGGTGTTCCTGGCGATATGCGTCTGAGAACATTGACATCAAGTCGGCCTCAGGGTTCGTTTTGAGTTCTGCCTGGAACGCGCGCATCATATCTCTGTTCCATTGTGCGGCATCCTCATGGAAGAGAGAAAGGGCAGCTGGGGATGGAGTGTCACCCATGATCGCTGGTTCAGGAGCCAGTCAGTATACCAGGGGATATTTCTGGCGAGATTCAGCGCCTGAACGAGATCAAGGACGCGCAAGGAGGGATTAAGCCACTGCACGTGACAGTCTCTGCAGTAAACAATAGCTTAGGAGTCAGGAACTTAGGAGCTTATCTCAACAGTGATATGACTCGCTGTACTCTAGACTGAGATGCATGGTTGTTGAGCTGGTGATCTTCATGTTTACAGTGCTTTCTCCATTCCAGATGTCGAAACTCGCAATCATGCCACTCGCAAGAGAGGCCAAGAATGCAGGGACAGCAAGCGATTCATACAAACATCTGTCTGTTGGATACCCATGGTGTGCTGCTCTGGGTATTGAACGAACACAATAAAACACGTGAGGTGAGATTTAGGGGTGGTTTTGTAGAGGCAAGATGACTCATTCCTCCATCCTTAGTTATAACTAGTTAACTACACCTCTTATCTTCCCTCTGCGACCAAGCTAGACTCTGTACCTACTGCCCAGTGGTATACCGCTCGATACATACTTGTCTTCTTCTCGACGAGATGCATTATGCCATGGTCTTATACCCGGGCTTTGAAGCCCTAGACGTCTTCGGTCCACTGGAAGTCCTCAATGTCCTCTCTGAGCAAACCCATCTTCGGCTGTCCTTACTGTCCTCATCCAGGGCTCCTGTCTCAACGCGATCTCCAGATCCGGCTGCCCACCGAACGGGGTCCATTTGTGCGCAAGAAATAGTGCCCACAGGGACATTCAACGACTTTCTTGGCGACACAGGCGCAGACAGCAGCGCGGAGAGCAAATCGACAATTGATGTCCTTCTCGTGCCTGGTGGTGCTGGGACACGTTTTCCAGACATCATCGACCCTGTGATTGATTTTGTTGAGAGGGCGTTCCCATCGGTGAAATATATCGTCTCCATCTGTAATGGCGCAGGCGTGTTGGCAAGAGCAGGGATCTTGGATGGAAAGCGGGCCACCACAAATAAGATCTTATGGGATCCAACGACTGCGTTGAGGAAAGAGGTCCATTGGGTCAGGGAGGCAAGGTGGATTGCAGATGGGAACGTTTGGACTGCTTCTGGGATAAGCGCTGGCATTGATGTGACACTGGCGTTTGTCCGACAGATATATGGGAAAGACCTAGCTAGGAGCATTGCAAGAGAGATGGAATATGTCTGGGATAGTGAGGATGATGGTACAAACGACCCGTTTGCGTGAAGAAGTCATTTTGTGTATGCATGCCTGGCTCCTATCTCGCTTTATCATGTGCTATATTGCAGTAGAATGTAAACCGGCGAGTTACATTACTTTATTATCGCAGAAGTCCAGCTTTGCTATTTGTTTATTTCCACAGTATGTAAGTGAAATGTACATATGTACTTCGCAGTCATGTTCTCCTTACCCTCAGCGGCGATCCACCAGCTGGGTCTATGCAGAATAAGAAAGACAACCCCAACGCCATTGAAAACAATCATGCCATGCCGTAGCCAAAAACAAACCATGCCCTCTGCTTCAATGCACGATCATAGTTGGATGAGGTCAATTTCAGAAAAGTCGGGTGGACTGCGGCTGAAAATGGTGCGACATTTTCCATCCAAAGCCTGGTACTCGTTACTGATCCAGATATGTTTGCTGAACCGTTGTGTGCGGTACACTTCGTCATCGCTGACACCGATATCATCCCGCGGAATCCAGATGACAGGACGTTTAGCTCGCAATGCATCATGCTGGAAGGCTCGTTGGACCAGCTGGTCACGTTCATCGGGGGTGAGATCCTCCAGTTCGTCGTGGATGCCGGCAAACAATGCCTGACCTTGTTGATGCGGGCCTTGGTTTTCAGTGTCCTGAGCCAATTTCTCCCGCATACGTTTGACAGTAGGCACAGATCTGTCCGAGTGGGCTGCGTAAAATTGCGAACGGCGGTTGGACGATCTATCTGCCCATGATTGACGTGCGTGGAAGGTCGGTCTTGTCATCTCGCCATCGAGATTCTTCAATTCGATACCATCGGTACTGTGCCTTCGATCCAGGTCTGTCTGTTGATGCTCAGGAGTTTCCGTCTCCTCGTCGTCTAGCAGGCCGAGACGTGCTCGTTGAGCACGCTCAAACTCTTCATCTCGACGCACCGCTTCATCCTCCAATGTGATTGGTAGATAACGGATGAGAGGGCCGAAAGCTTCATTCAACAGGACTTGATATCCGACAGTGAGGATGAGGACGACGATCATGCAGATGGCCTGCCCTTTACAGGCCACTGAACCCTCCACATCGCGAACCAAGAAGAACAAACCAATCAAGGCGATCTCCATGATGTAGATTCCGGTAAACAGCTGGTTGACCGCACGAGGGAACAGCAACCCGCCGGTATCGAAACGGAACTTGGTGACATATAGCGTGTTGTACCGATAGACAAACCAGAACAAACCGAAAGTGATGACGTTGAAGATCAGAATGAGCGGCGAAATAACGCTGTAGATCAATCCTGCATGTGAGTTAGCAAGCAGCGTTTCAAGAAGAGTCATCTTGTTGGAGAACCCACCGATGGAGGCCAGTGTAGTGTAGACCGGAAAGAAGGTTCCCCATTGCATTTGATTCAGATTTGTCGTCCGTGCCCATTTGGTCCTAGCGGTCGTATCAAAGATTGGCGCAAGGATGAACCAGCTGGCTAGGTTGGCAATCTGCACCAAAGCTCCTGCGCTCACCGACATTGCCTGAAGAATCATGTACGAGAAGAAATAGTTGCTGGATAAGGGGATGTTCTGCGCAAGCAGTTCAGGCCAGCTGGTTAAGTTCGTGACGTTGTTGATGATGGTAGAGAAACTGGAAGAAATGGCAACAACCAGGAAGAGCTGAACGAACAAGAACGCAAAGTAGTAATTCTGAACAGTCAGTTCAACAGCCATGCCTGTGTGCAGGCCTTGGGTTCGGCATAAGAAGCGAAGAATAAGGGGCAGCAAGGCCATTAATATAGCCAAGAAAAGAGCGGGTAGAATACCCTGAACAGCAGAGATAAACCATTCGGGAAGTTTGGAGATCCATGATAACCAGGTGAAGGCATCTTCCAGGTACGACAGTTGGGAGAGGAGACCGGTGAATGCCACAGGGAAGGCCCATCCAACCACCATGGCCGACACAAGGGCGAGGACACCGAATGTGCGTAAATACCGCTCCCACCATCGCATTGACATATTGTCCCAAATGACATCGTCCGGGGAAATCTCGACTATACGGGGAGCCATCTGCTTGGGGACGTGATGGCTGACCGCCTGGCAGGCCATATGAGCTGCGACTTGGTGGTTGAACTGAATGAACGCAGAGTTCATGAGCGGAAATTTTTCGGGATGCTGCTGGTCATATTCGATTTCAAGGTTCAAGCGGGCCACTTCTTTTCGACAGTGGTCGATGGTGTCCACTTTTTTGCCGATGAGCCAGAGGGAGGGCATCCAAGAGAGACCGAAAATGGGCAGTCGCATCGTATCACGGTCTTTCTGCTTAATATACTTCTTCCACAAGGGCTCACCAAGACCTTCATCGAAATTATCATTGTATGCCACTGGATATTCATTGCCTTCAATTTGGTCTCCTTCGTGGTGAGCTCCTTCGCGTCGACTTCTTGCTTTCTCCGACGGCGCCAGCGTGTCCCTGTCAGAGACCTCGCCGATGGAAGGCTCGGGAAGGGTGAGAGGCAATTCATCAGGCTCTGTGTTGTTGCTGATCTTTGAATTACTAGAGCCTCTAGACTTCCAAAACGGTCGTTTGGAACTGGAGTCGGGTGCTGAGCTAGTTGGCACTGCACCATGGGCCTGGACTTGTGACGCATTCCCCTTGTTCTCGCTGCTGGAAGAACCAGGCGGCTGTTCAGAATGATGTGAAGGTTGTGCGCTGTCATCGATAGCCCCTGGATGACCATTTTCTGGGGTATTTCCCGGAGTCTGGGACGATGCGCCATCGATTCCATGTTCCACCCTCTTGAAACCGTCCAGGACGGTCCTCCCGAGCTTGCCAACACCGTGGCCGACCGCCCCAGCTGCACCCAGAGCGGGGTCCAAAGGATTCATGAACTTCCGTCGACCAGCGTTGGCTTTCTCCTTCCAGGTATTATTTCGGTGTAAGACTTGATCAAGCGTGTGGGCTTGGCCTGGGTCACCGGAACTGATACCGGCGTCCATCGCGAGCTGGGAAGCTTTTTTATCAGCGGCTTTCTGGAACGACTTGGTGTCCATGCCGGCCTTCTTCGCCTCGGCTTTGGCCTGTTTAATCTGGGCCTTTTTGCATTTGATAATCAGATCCGTTTCTGCAGCCTCGAGTTTCAAAGCTAAGGCATCGCGTTCCTTCACCTTCTCGTTGAGGTCGTCAAAATTGCGGTTGATCCATATGTTGCGAATCCCACCAGGAAAGACATCATACAGGGACTCCAGAGCTTCCACAGAAAGCCAGCTTTCGGGGATGGCGGTCACTAGGACCGTGGTGGCGGATGCGCGAAGTCGATGCTGTGGAGAAGTCAAGTAGGACTGTCGAAGGCGAATGTAGCCTCTGAGCTCGTCAAAGAAGACTGCGCATACGTATATGATGACGATGAGGGCCATGATGAGATGGCCCCAGTATCGATCCGTGTTCTCTGGGGCGACATTGCCCCAGGCGAGCTGATCCAGGCCTGTCACGTTCCACTGTTCTCCCCCTGTGCCGTTCTTGTATGTCTGATCCTTGCCGTCGACTTTATTCAGCGGCAAGAGAACCGGGAGTATAATACAAGCTAGGGGAACGAAGATCTTGAGAAGCATGCGCAGGTATCTTAGGAAGAAATAGGCGTCCAGTCCGCATTTTTGAATAAATTCGGTGCTTGACGTGCGAAAGACAGGACCAGCCCATCGGAAGAGACCCGGAGGCGAGGGTGCGGTGCGCTCTCGGTCCGGAACGAGGTAAGTTCTAGGCTGACTGAGAGCGATCTTAGTTAGCTGATGGGAGTGGACGAGAGTAGGAATTGTGGGACCTGATGTGCACGTACTAGATGCGCAGAAGTTTCCCCTTCAGGACCAAAAACAGGAGGAATTCGACGGTGAAGATGATTATCGCAGTGGCCAAAGATGCGACAAAAGTCTTAATGGAGATCCCCTCACTCTTCTGGCCCGAGACACCAGCCTTTTCCAGTGCCTGACCTAGGTCTGCCATTGTGATAGGGGCGGTTGATCATGCGGTTGTTGCTGATAAAGGCGAGCTTTATGGAAAGAGACCACGGGTTGGTGGTTAGGGACACACCTTCCCAAGCGTATAAGAGCGAAAGATCGAAGATTCGGCGGCAAGCGACAGACCACAACGCCGTTGTACCGATAATCGGGAGATTGGATTCGGTCATCAACACAGCAGCAGTCTGGGAGCCATCCTGGCAGGAGAAATGGTTAGGGAGAGGACAGTAACAGTGACGTCGGGATGATCGAGGGAGAGAACGAACGAACGATGGAAGGAAAGAGGAAACAGGGCTTTCCTGTCCGTTTAATAATTATTATTTTGAACCTGAAAGACGGCCATGACACAAGTGGCACCAAAGGAAGGGAGTCTTGAAGAAATCCACCACTTACCATGCTGGAGACCGCCAAGCGCAAAGCGAAGAGACGCCAGGAATGGTGGGCGGTTGACGATCCCTCCCCAATGACATCAAGCGCGTATTGAAACGGCGGACAATGAACAGCTGGAGCTGGGAGAGGGGTCTAGCGTTTCATGGGGGTCCCCTGAGACAATCTTTTGTGGTCGCGTTAGGGTGAAGAGGTCACAGATAATTAAATGGACATGACCGACCAACCTAAAGAGTGTCAAAGAGTAGTTGAAAGAAGACGAATCAAAAGATCTTGTGGTGTTTTGTTTCAGGAACCATGAGGAGATGCCTGCCGCCTCAGGCGCCACCACATCCCTCTTTGGGTCAAGCGGCAACGCCCGAATGGAGTCGCTGCTGATTCGCTGGTGCCTTGGAAGAGGCGGATGGAGGCGGTGCATCTGTGGCGGTGAGAGCCCTATCCACGTGACATGCGACTGGCGCATCGCGTCCACCCGAACAGGAAACCACTTAACGCGTGGGGCGCGTCTGAACGCGTCGAGAGCGGCCACGAAAAGAAATTCGCTCGGATCAAATAATCAACCTCCGCTGCTGCTGCCCTGTCGTCGCTGCAACAACCATCAATCACTTCCACTCCTGTCTACCCTCCCCCCCTTCACCCTGATTTTTCCGTCGGTCCTTGTCCTTTATTTCTCCATCACATTCAACCAAGGACACCATTTTTCTAGGACTGACTCGTAATGTCTTCTCCCGCCTCCAGTCGCCGCAGGGGCCGTCCAGCCAGGGACTCGGCCACCGCATCCCCCGCTCGCTCGACTCGCTCCCAGCAACAGCCCCAGACCAGTAGCCCAACGAGAATGAATGATCCGTCGCAGATGACTCCGCGGGCCTCGAGACGCCTCAGAGGAGAGGCCGCTGTTCCCTCCTCATCTCCTATGTTCTTCCAATCCTCCCCAGCCCACGGAAACAGCAGCAGCGCCGAAACGCCAGATGTCAGAATGGACGAGCCTAGCTCTCCCGTGAGGGCGATGGATGGAGAAATCACACCGCGGGGTTCTCGCACAGCTATGAGAGGTACGATGCAGGTGGCGGTGACTTGAGTGTGTTTTCAATTGCTCACATTTGGACAGATTCTTCCCCTATCCGCTACGTCTCCAGTTCTAGTCCTACTCGCGCCCATAGCCGTCAACTACGTTCCGATATTCCTAGCAGCAGTAGCGGACTCTTCATGTCATCTCGGTCGTCCATCGGAGGCCACCGTGGTTCTTATCGCCGCAATGATCTCAATGGTGGCGGAGTCGGATCGACCCCGAGTCGTCGGCGCCGGGTGTTCGTGGACGCTAATGGCATGCCTGCTGCCGAAGGCGAGCCCCAGTCGGATGCTACCTTCTCCAACATTCATCCCGACACATCAGAGGCCGAGGCGCTGGGCGGAGGCTCGACTCGTGTTATCTGGGGTACCAACATTTCTATTCAGGACTCCATGTCCGCGTTCAAAAACTTCCTATTCAACTTCACCACCAAGTATCGCTTGTGGGCCGAAGGAGCTACGGAGGATGAGACCCGCCGAATGGGGGATGCCGCCGAGGAGAAGGAATACATCAATATGCTCAACACCATGCTGCAGCTCGGTGTCACGGGCCTAAATCTCGATGCAAAGAACCTCAAAGCCTATCCCTCGACATTGAAGCTGTGGCACCAACTGCAGGCATATCCTCAAGAAATCATTCCTCTGATGGATCAGGTCCTTAAGGATGTCATGGTAGAATTTGCAATGAAAGAGATGGATCGTCTCCGGGCCCAGAGCCAGCGGCATCATAACCACGCAAGAGATCTGAGCTCCGCCCCGCCAGTTCCCAGCTCCGATGCTATGAGCGAGACGGGCCGCATGCCCCAAGTTGATATCCCTAACCTCGTCCAAGAAGTGGAACTGAAGACCTTCAAGGTCTTGCCGTTTGGCCTGGATTCGGCTGTGAACATGAGAGAACTTGACCCTGCTGGTATGTCTATCGCGACTTCTTGAAGGCTTCCCCCAGGGACTAATACATAGTACAGATATGGATAAGTTGGTGGCCATCAAGGGATTGGTTATCCGAACGACCCCTATTATCCCGGATATGAAAGAGGGTAAGTTGTGTTCCAAGGATTGTTAGTACGGTGCTCTAACCTGCTTCATAGCCTTTTTCCGTTGTCAGGCTTGTCATCATGGTCTGCAGGTCGACATTGATCGGGGACGAATTGCCGAACCAACGGTCTGCCCTCGTCCTGCCTGCAATGAGAAGAACTCGTTTGAACTTATCCACAATCGCTGTGCATTCGCCGACAAGCAAGTCGTCAAGCTGCAGGAGACTCCCGACAGTATTCCAGATGGTCAAACGCCCCACTCCGTCTCCCTGTGCATGTATGACGAGCTCGTGGACGTCTGCAAGGCCGGTGACCGCGTCGAAGTGACGGGTATCTTCCGCTGCAATCCTGTGCGAGTGAATCCCCGCCAGAGTACGCAGAAGTCCCTCTTCAAGACGTATGTTGACGTTCTGCACGTGCAGAAGATTGATCGGAAGAAGATGGGCATCGACGTTTCCACCGTCGAGCAGGAACTGTCCGAACAAGCCGCTGGAGCTTCTGAGCAGGTCCGACAAATCACCGCGGAAGAGGAGGAGAAGATTAAGCGAACTGCGACCAGGCCCGACGTGTACGAGCTTTTGGCCCGTTCGCTCGCCCCCAGCATTTACGAAATGGACGACGTGAAAAAGGGAATTCTCCTCCAGATGTTTGGTGGTACCAACAAGACCTTCGAGAAGGGCGGCAACCCGCGTTATCGTGGCGATATCAACGTGCTTTTGTGTGGTGATCCGTCGACCTCCAAGTCTCAACTGCTCCGCTACGTGCACAAGATTGCACCCCGTGGTGTGTACACCAGCGGTAAAGGTTCGTCAGCCGTTGGTCTGACAGCGTACGTGACTCGCGACCCGGAGACCCGCCAGATGGTTCTCGAGTCTGGTGCGCTGGTTCTCTCAGACGGTGGTATCTGCTGCATTGATGAGTTCGACAAGATGAACGACTCCACGCGGTCCGTTCTGCACGAAGTCATGGAGCAGCAGACGGTGTCCGTTGCCAAAGCGGGCATTATCACAACGCTCAACGCTAGAACGAGCATTCTGGCCTCCGCTAATCCGATTGGAAGTCGATACAACCCCCATTTGCCGGTGCCGCAGAACATTGACCTGCCTCCTACGTTACTGTCCCGGTTCGACCTGGTGTATCTTGTGTTGGACCGCGCGGATGAGCAGGAGGATCGCCGATTGGCCAAGCATCTCGTTAACATGTACCTGGAAGACCGACCCGAGAACGCAAGCGAAAACGAAGTTCTGGTAAGCTGCCATGCTTAGGCCCCGCCCCTCAAGTCTACACCGTGCTAATTCAAGGATCGCTACAGCCTATTGAATTCCTCACCGCATACATCACGTACGCCAAAACGCGGGTGCACCCGGTCCTTACGCCGAGTGCTGGTAAGGCTCTTTCCGACGCATACGTGAACATGCGCAAACTAGGCGATGATATTCGCTCCGCGGAGCGTCGTATCACTGCGACAACCCGTCAGCTGGAATCGATGATTCGGCTGTCGGAAGCGCACGCGCGCATGCGACTTTCGCCCGAAGTGACAGCGGATGACGTGGAGGAGGCGGTGCGTCTGATCCGATCGGCGATCAAGCAAGCTGCCACGGACGCACGGACGGGCCTCATCGATATGGGTCTGTTGACGGAGGGCACCAGTGCGAGCGAGCGTCGGCAACGCGAGCAGCTGAAACGCGGCGTGCTCGGGATCATTGACGACCTGGGCAGCGGCGGCAATGCCGTTCGGTGGGCGGAGGCGTACCGGGTGTTGAACGAGCAGAGTAGCGCTCAGAGCGCGGGAGGCATTGACGGTGCGCAGTTTGCGGAGGCCATTCGCGGACTGGAGACCGAGGGAATGATCAGTGTGTTCGGCGATGGTGCTCGAAAGAGCATCCGGCGCATTGGAGGTCGGCTTCTGTGATGGGTGACTTGGGATGAGATCATGATGACGGACAAAGATATACTCGGATAATGTATCTAGTTTCTGGTGTTGGGGAGTTGTGCATAAGAATGTCTACTGTATTTAATATTCATTGAGATGATGAATGTATCTGAGACGATATGAATGACGCTATATTAGTGTCGCGCGATAGTCGAGCACATGCGAGAAGCAGTGGCGGAGAACAATCGCGGTGGAGTTCCCTGAACGGTTAGCGGGCAGGCCTTCCCCAATGCGGTTACCAGCTTATCGTACCTCTCCATCTCGGCTTCTCTCGCTCTCTTCTAACCAACTACCTCTCTCGCCGTTTTTCTCTTGTCTTTCCTGTCTCTCTCTCGCGAAAGAACTCGAATGAGAATCCTCTTCGCTAGGATTTCTTTCTCCCCTCCATCAATCCGCCTGAGCTTTCTCCGTCCTCGTCTCCGATCGTCATGACCATCATCGTTGCCTATTAACACCGTTCCCCCAACTCCCCACGTCTCTCCAGCTCTCCTCCTCAGAACTCCCATTTCCACAGCTCTCCAGTGCAATTGCAGGAGGTCCGTCTCCTCCTTCCGGTCATCATGAAGTAAGCTCAGCTAATTCCGATCAACTGATCCTTCTAATCTCCCCCTCCCAGGTTCGGTGAACACCTCCGATCGTCCATGATCAAGGAATACTACTGGTACTACATCGCCTATGGAGACTTGAAAAAGGCCCTCAAAACCGACTTCGCCACCGCGCCCACCCAAGAGAATCCCAAGCCCGACCGCAAGCCCTGGACCGAGGACGATGAGAAGAACTTTGTTTCGCTGCTCGAGAGCGAGCTCGACAAGGTCTTCAACTTCCAGAAGATTAAGAGTGAAGAAATCGTTCGACGCATCCAAGCCAGCGAAACCGATGTGAATGACATTGTTTCGCGTCTCGATAATGCCTCAGCCACCTCTCGTCGCCAAAGCATCCGGCCTTCCGCTCCTCCTCCCTCCGACGAGGATTTCCTCGTGCTCGAACAGGTCCTCAGTGACATCATCGCCGACGTCCACGATCTCGCCAAGTTCACCCAATTGAACTACACCGGTTTTCAAAAAATCATTAAAAAACATGATGTAAGTTGGACTTTTCCTCAATGTTCATGAATTTTTGTTTTATTCTATCCTTTGCGCACAAGCGGTCGTGGTGGTTTTGCGTTCCGCTGACTTGGCGCCCCAGAAACAAACCGGTTGGCATCTTAAACCTGTCTTCGCTGCGCGCCTCAATGCAAAACCTTTCTTCAAGGACAACTACGATGCCTTTGTGGTAAAGCTCTCCAAACTTTATGATCTCGTCCGCACCAAAGGAAACCCTGTCAAGGGTGATGCTTCTGCGGGAGGCTCCCAGCAGAACTTCGTCCGTCAGACCACCAAGTACTGGGTCCATCCCGACAACATCACCGAATTGAAATTGATTATCCTCAAGGTAAGCGATCCTACAGGCCATCCCTGGATTCCGTCTTGACTAATTGCACCAGCACCTCCCTGTCCTCGTCTTTAACCCCAACAAAGAATTCGAAGAAAAAGACACGGCCATCTCTTCCATCTACTTCGACAACACTGATACCTGGGAGCTATACCAAGGGCGGCTTAAGAAGACCGAAGGAGCGGAGGCCATCCGACTTCGTTGGTATGGTGGCATGGAAAGCGATCAAATATTCGTAGAACGCAAGACCCATCGGGAAGACTGGACCGGAGAGAAATCGGTGAAAGCCCGCTTCTCGCTGAAAGAGAAAAATGTGAACGCTTACTTGTCCGGCCGGATGACGGTCGAAAGCATCTTCGAGAAGATGCGCCGGGAAGGAAAGAAGAGTGAAGCGGAAATCGACGACCTTGAGCAGCTTGCGCGGGAAATACAATACCGAGTGATATCTCGCAAGTTGGAACCGGTGACGCGGACATTTTACCATCGGACGGCCTTCCAACTCCCAGGGGACGCCCGCGTCCGCATATCCCTCGACACTGAGCTGACCATGATCCGGGAGGATAATCTTGATGGACGTCGGAGATCGGGGAGCAACTGGCGTCGAATGGATATCGGCGTGGACTGGCCGTTCTCGAAGCTCCCTCCGGAAGACGTGGAGCGATTCCCGTACGCAGTCCTGGAGGTCAAACTCCAGACCCAAGCGGGCCAGGAACCACCTAAATGGATTAGAGAACTCACCGCCAGTCACCTCGTGGAAGCTGTTCCCAAGTACAGCAAGTTTATCCATGGAACTGCGACCTTGTTTCCTGATCGCATCCATCTTCTTCCCTTCTGGATGCCGCAGATGGACGTGGATATTCGCAAGCCCGCGACCCGTCGCTTCGGTATCCAGCGTCCCTTGGCTAGTACGTCCATGTCCGCCAACGAGACCCAGGAGGACGACGACTCGGATGACGACGACACCAATGATGCCCATGCCAGCAATGGTCAGCCTCGCACTCAAGCGCCGGACGCGCTCGACCAGAATGGTCTGTTTGATGAGACAGACGGCAATGCGCTAGATATTGAGGAACGCATCGGTGCTCAGCCCCTACCCGGAGATGAAGATTATCCCTTGTATGATTCCGATCAGGAAACAGTCAGCTCTGACGAGCTGGAAGAGGCCCGCCGAGTGGGCGGAATGCACTACTACCATCAGCTGGCCAAATACTATGCTCACCGGACGGGCCAAGGACTCATCCACGTCCTTCAAGCGCTCATCCCTCGCCCCCGGCCGACCAGCTTACCGCCCCCTGAGCGCCGTGGCATCACTGTTATTGGTGACCAGCGGACTGTGAAGCGGTTTGCCGCTCCCAAGGGGAAACGTGAGTTGCGCTTACCCCCGTCGTGCTCATGGGATTTAACTGACTTTGATAGGCATCCACGTCCCTGTTCGTGTGGAACCGAAGGTGTACTTTGCTGCCGAACGAACATTCCTTTCGTGGCTGGAGTTCTCGATCTTGCTGGGCACAATTGCTGCAACGCTGCTCAACTTCGGCAACGACTACATAACGTTTGCTTGTTCATGGGCTTTTACGATTCTCGCCGCTCTTACTCTTGTGTACAGTCTGATGCTGTACGTCTGGCGCGTGGATAAGATCCGCAAACGTCGCGACGTTAAGCGAGTGTACTACGAAAAATGGGGACCGACGGTCTTGGGCATCGGCCTTGTGGTCATTGTTTTGGTCAACTTTGGATTGCGCGTACGGCAGGCCGGCTTCGCCACGCGCGACGGCCGAATGCCTGGCCTGAACCGCGGCGCAGATGGAGGAGAGCTATGAATGGCGTCTTCTTTGAATATAGTTATGTTCTTGGTGTAGGTATTTCAATTGTTAGACGGCCATTGATGTGCAATAGGTATGCATGATGTACAAACAAACTGCAGCATAGTTCTTTCTGCCTTGGATAATGTACGAATTGAATTGATTGATACCTGAGAACAGAATTCCTCCCCGACTACGCCATATCAAGGGTTGTAGTTCACCACGGGGATGATGGTATCGTCCAAGCTGACAGCATCCGGGTTTGCCTCCTCGATGCCAGAGTACCGGTTCAACCAGCCTAGCATCTGTTGGTGCCAGACCAAGCTGTTTTCCTGCTTAAGGACCCTGCATATCTCCGTCAGCACTTGACCAAGGAAACGAGAACGTAAGGGCTCCTCCGATACGTACCAATGGTTTTCATCAGGGAAGTTCAAGAATCGACTAGGCACACCGCGCTCCTGCAACACGTTGAACATTGCCAGTCCCTCTGCAACTGGAAGCCGATAATCCTGGTCGCTGTGGATGACCAGCTGGGGCGTGCTGAACTGGAGGATGCGCTCAGGTGCGGACGGGTCCCAGCGACGGTAGTTATCGCGAGCACCCCAAAACGTGCCATTGAACTGCGGCGATTAGTATATGGTGCATGACGGGTCAGGCATGGGGGAAATTGGACGAACATCATGCTCGATGAACCACAGCTCCTCAGTCGAGATCTTCGCATCCGCGACGAAAGTGCCGTCGTGGCAGACCAATGCCTTGAACTTGCGGCCCAGATCGCTGCCCTGGATCCAGTTGATCATGAACCCGCCGTAGCTGGCGCCAGCGGCGACGCCGTTTTCGGTGTCCACGTAGGGGAGGTTCTTGTCGACGTACTCCCAGGCTTTGACGAGGTCTTCGTAGGGGGCTCCTCCTGTTGTGATGTTAGCGTGTTCGTTCCATTGACGCGTTGTCACTCTGCGACTAGTGTAGAAATGACCATACCCCAGTTATTTGCGATGGCGTCCGTCAACTCCTGGCCGAAGCCGGTGCTTCCTGTCGGGTTGGGCGCAACCACCACATAGCCCTGGTCGGCGAAGACCTTGGCGTTCCAGCGGGTACTCCAGGAGTCGGGGGTGGCGGACTGCGGACCGCCGTGGATGTAGAAGAACAGAGGGTATTTTTTGCTGCTGTCAAAGTTTTCGGGGTAGATGATCCACGATTGGATCTGGGGATGTCAGCCACATCTTTCTGTCATGCCGGAAAGAGGGAAGAAAGCCTACCTTAGTCCAGTTACCATCGTAATAGAACTCACTGATGTCTTCCGGACCCAAACCCGCAAGGCCGGGGTCGATCTTGTTGGCGGAGGCAATGGTCTTGATAACGCCCTTCTTGGGGCTGGCCGTATACACGTTCCAGCTGGTCCAGATGGCAGTTCCAGTGACGAGAACGGTCTTGTCAGGCAGAACATGGTAGGAAGAGACCGCGCCACCATCGGTGAAATTCTGCGGCTTGAAGTCATCGTCCGCATCGATCGGCACCGGTCCGAACAGGCGCACGCGCGCGTGGTCCTCACTGCCCAGGATGAGGTGCTTGTTATCGAGCCACTTGGCCGAGTCCGGAGAGCGGTTCCAGTCTCCCGCGACAGCCGGGGTGGTGGTCTTCGAGCCGAGAGTGTACACGTAGAGAACGCGGCGGTCAGACTCGTACGACTTGTGAGCCATCTGGAAGTAGGCCAGGTGGCGACTGTCTGGCGAAAACACCGGGTAATTCGCGTCACCCTGCACGCCCTCAGGGGTACCGGGAGAATCCGGCCCGTTGATGGGAGTGGCAGTAGACGAGCCATCGTGCGGAGCGAGATAGATGTACGCGGTGGTGTAGTTTGCGCGCGGGACATCCGGGGCCTTGCTCTTGAAGGCGACCCATTTGCCGTCCGGAGAGACGTCATAATCAGTGGAATCGCCGAACGGTGGGTACGGACTCTCCGCGTTCTTCACAGGGGCGACCAGGTTTTTCAAGGGTCCAGCGGAAGCATACTGGTGCTTTCCTTTCTTGAGGGTACCCGCAAAGACGGCGTTAAAGGTTGTTGTGAGGTAGGTATCCCAGTGACGCACGTAGATGCTGTCGTAGATGCGGGCGGTGCTAGCGTATTTTGTCGCCAACTCCTCGTTGTATGCTGTGCCATTGGCATACGACTGCGCATTGACAGCGAATTTGATGTCGCCACTGCGCGTGCGGACTGCTTTCAAGCCCGAGAAAGAGGCACCCAGGGAGGCGGCTTTGTATCTGTGGTCTGCTTAGGGAGAGCGGTATAGAAGTGAAAGAAGAGATTCTTACCCTTTGGAGAAATCCTTAACGCTGGACACCCACAGTTCGACACCTCCAGGGATCTCGGCATTGGTGCCGTTGATGTACAACAGAGAAGTGTCATCCCCACCGAGCCAGACAATTTCCGAGACGTTGGCGTCGTCAGTAAGAAGCGTGATGTCGCCGGTTTTGAGGTTGAGCAGATTCCATGACGAGCTCTTCTCCTTCGTGTCGAAGGAGTACTGCGATGCGGAGAAGAGGGCGACGTTCTGCAACGCAATCAGTATCGATTGGTTCACGGGAGCTCCGAGTAAATAAACAAAGAAAGGCAAACAAGGGATGGTTACATACACCGGACGGGTTGGGGATGGCCTCCCCCCGCCGCGGAGCGCTGAGCATCTGCCTATATCCATCGTCAACTGAAATGATCTAGACTTGTCTCTCTGGTCTCCACAGACAGCGATGCTTGGATGGGCTGATCAATGCTTAACTTACTCGGGGGTTATGGCCAAGACGGTGGTGGATACGGCCACAACCGCCGACAGCCACCGGAGAGCAGCCATTGCGATGGCGCGATCAATTGTCTGTAGAATTCCTCGAAGAAGAGCGAAGAATCGACAAGAGCAAGCGAGCGTGAGATGGGAGAAGAGGAGATTGTCAACCAGGCCGAACCCCGGCCATTTATGCAGAGCCGGCGGTGATGGGAATGTCGACCTGCCCGTTTAGGGGTAGACTGAATCAGGGCAATATCCGCCAACAAGGGCCCTAGTCACTATGATCTAGGCTGCTAGACTGCTTGGAGTAGGGATGGGCAGTGACCTTGCATCGGCCAGAGCCGTTAATACATCTTGGGTTGCATTTGCCAAGCATCTAAACTGGGGCCAACGGAGATTGAATTGCTGATACGGCTGTCATTGCCGGTGATAAGCGGGGATGAAGCTGAAGCCACCATCGTGAATGGGGTGATTCAATGTCCCGGATGGAACGGACGGGGTCCGTGGCTGATTCACTGCTATCGTATACAAGGTCCTTGACGGGGGTTTGATTGATTATGTGCTTCTGTACGAGATAATGCCTGTAACACCCCGAATCCTGACGGGATCAATATTCGAAATCGTCGTCGACGCCTTTTTTCCCAACATTCTCCTTGGCAACCGCTTCTTGTTTCCGATACATCTCTGCCACGGCTCGTGTGGTGGTTGCTTGCTCCGGTTTCTTGTCATCGCGCCGTTTGATAAATCGGGGGAATCGAAGGGACACGCCTTTGGTTCCACCCGTCGTCCCCATGAATTCATCCGCCGCGGCTTTATACCGTGGGCTCAACGTCAAGTCGGCTGTCTTTACTTCCCATACCAATCGGGGCTCGAACCACACGTCCGGTTGGTCCTTCGGGACGGTGGAGTGGGAGTAGAAGGGCTTGGCCCGGTCAATGACCAGGGGGGAGAGCTCCTTATGCAGCTCTTCCAGGTCAGCTTCAGAAAAGCCGGTGCCAATATTGCAAATTGTCTCGTATGTTTGCGTGCTCGCGTTGTACGCTGCTAGAAGAAATGCACCGTACACAGAGGTACGCTTGCCTCGGCCATGATACGCACCGAGGACAACCAGGTCGAGGGAGTCGCCCACGCCGCTAAGATAATCTTTCTTGACCTGGAGAAGCCATTAGTAGAAGTCTCCGATACTGAGAACTCTCCAGCAACGCACCTTGAGCCAGTTCCGACTGCGTTTGCTAGGCTCGTAACCGCTCTCTTCCGTGTCCAGCATCTTCACCATCAGACCCTCGCATGACGCCTTAACACTCTCTTCCAGAAGATTCTGGATCTCATCTAACACATTGGTATTTCCAAATTGCGCGAACTGAAATTCGCCCTCAACAACCTGGAACGACTCGTGTAAAAGTTCGCGACGTTCCCGCAGGGACTTCTTTACAGTAGGCTGTAGGCTTCGATTAATAGGTGATTTCTTTCTGTCGGCCGCTGGTGCTTACCTCTCCGTTCAAAAATAACAGGTCGAACGCAAAGACACAAACCTTGACCTTCACATCTTCCGCTTTGACATCCTTTCGTTTCCGAGTCATGAGCTGCTGGAATGGCAGAACTTTCTTGTTGACCGTGTCCCAGGCAACTGTCTCGCAGTCGAGCACAAAGCTCTTCACGCCATCTTTGACCCATCCCTCGAGCTTACCCATAACATCAGGGTACTTTTTGGACAAGTCTTCTGAGTTTCGGGAGAAGATCGCACACAGCCCCTTGGTGTCCTGGTTCAGTGTAGCGGTAGCCCCGGGGAATTCGTGGATGGAGTCGGGCGAAACGTAGTGGATCTGGGCTCTTTCTCCGTCATACTTGTACTCGCACGTGAAATCCTTGCCTTCAAAGCGATCAAGCACTTCTGTAATTGATTTCGTGGGCTTCGCAAGCATAGGCTTGATCGGAATGCCGGGCTGCAGCTTACAGACCTTGCCCAGATTGAACAAGCCGTGCTCCAACATGGCAGGTATAATGACCTCGTACGCAGGCAGTTCACTGTATACCGTCTTCAAAACGGCCTCACCCTGGGCCATTTTTTCGGCTGAAGGAGTCTTTTCACCCTTCAAAGCGGCTTCGTGTGCGACAACAGCTTGAGCAAGAGCAACAAGGACGGTCTTTTCAGCGAGTCCCAGCCGCAACTTTCCCTCCAAGAATCGAACAATAAACTTGGCCTCACTAGGTCCACCCTTATCCTTGGTGATATCCACGCCCTTACTACCCTTGCCCGCGGTGGCTGCATCGGCCGCAGAAAGAAGCTTTTTGATACCCGAGATCTTCTTATCCTGAGAGCCATGTCCCTGAACTTTGGCGATTGCGAGTAAGCCCTCATGTACACCGCGGACTGTTAACGGTTTCGGCTTAAACATGGTCGGCTGGTTGGAACGACTCTTTGCAGCGACCAATCCTAGGTCACCAATCTCATGTTGGTCGGCTTTGATGACGGCCAGACTGCGGCCGGTACTCTCGCCGATCGCCTTCATGATCAACGACTCGCCAATTCCCAGCTCAATGCCGGCATAATCAGCCGCGAGCTTATTAATCATGAGTTGAACAGTTGGAAGAAGGTCCTCCGGTGTGAGACGAAGCACTTGTCGAAGGAATAGCGAACAATGAGCCAGGATGACCAGTCGTTTTGTCGTCATCTCGATCAAGGAAAATGTCGTGCACAGAGCAGCATAGGGAACCGGCTCACCCGGCTTCCAGTCCGGATAAGGCTCACTTCCCGTCGCTTTCAAGGTAGCTTGGACCTTCTCCATCGTTTTCTTCATCTGCTCCGGCTTTTCTTCTTCTTCCTCTTCACTGGCGGACAGCACATCCTCGTCTGATTTCGTCTCCTCTTCGGGCGTTACTTCTCCTGAAGCTTTCTTTACCATTTGTTCGGGAGCGTCGGCTTCTTTCTGCGTCTTTGATTTCTTCGGAGAGGGTGGCTTTTTCTTCGGTGACGGCGAGGATCTGGCTTTCGGGCTCTTACGGCGACGTTTCTGCGCAGGTTGGACATCGCTATCGCTCTCTTCTGACGGTGTACTCTTCTCACGCTTCAAGTTGTTCGAATCCTTGTCCCCGGAAGTCGGTTTGACGTCTGGCGCCGGGGTAGGCGACTTCGCCTTCATCTCGTGGCGATCAGATTCAGTTGTATCATGGTCATTGGATGAGGAGGGCTCCTGTGTGGGCTCCTGCTCCAACCTCTTGTCTTTCTTGGCCGAGAAGGAAAGTGTGGTTTGTTTCTTGGGGGCATCTTTAGGGTCTGCATTGGATCCGAAGAACCTCCTAGTCAAAGGCGACAAGTTAGCATCGGGAAAACATAGACTGATTGAACGACGGATGCACCCGGGTTACGATGTGACGCACCCGAGGGTCAACTGGGAGTCCCGAACATACCCCAGTGTAGCTTGTCTGCTACCTTTGGAGGCTGACATTGCAGGAAGGGCTAGCGGGCGAAGAGTAATTAAAGAGTTGGGACTGCAAACGGGCTGCGCTATGGAAAAGTCCCGACGAGTTGAATAGTAAGCAAGAGTTAAACCGTGCTTCCTTGCGTAGGCGATATAGGCGGTGTTCCCTGGTGCTGCAACACAGGCGACAGGTCCGCGACAACGCGATGGAGAGTTAACAGCCGCGTAGCGGCGAAGAGGGAGCATAGACGTTATCACGAACGTCTGCGAATCCCCTCTGGAAATAAAATCAATTGAACTCTGGCAAAATGAAAGACGAGGCGGTGTTTAAGAGCACGATACGGCCTGAATTCGCAGTCAAGGCACCACTCCAGGCAGCTTTCCCGCGCACGCGACGTGACAAGACGCGAAGCCCATTAGAGTCACGTGATTGAAGGCGTCTTACCCCAGACGGACATGAAGCCACCGCTACATAGGCAAAAATGGACCTCTATGAACAGAGTCAAGCATCAACAATCAATGAAGAGAAATATCAGTTGGAAACACGGACAGTGGAAAGAACATCAAAAGAACACAGACGACGTCATCCAAACAGTGCAAACAACGTCCACCTCACACCGCCTGTATGTTCTGGCAGAAAAGGCGGCCGAGGGCGGTGAACCGCCAAATGGAGGGACGATTATCAATTCCACTGCTTCTACAGCACCTGCTGGAGAGCACATTGACACAGTAATCGATATCATGTTGGATTGTGGACAGGTGGTTGACTTATTCGTATAGTATTTTCTCCGTCCGCACCTCCTTCCTGAACCGATCCCATGGAGAATCCACGTCAAGTGGCCTTTACCAAGGTAAGGACTGAGCACAGCATTGAACGAACTACTAATGCTGACCGATTCCCAGCTGAAAGGGCCATGTGTTGAGCTGAGCTCTGTTGGGCTCAAGTTTCGTGGCAACCAGGCCACCTCAGGCGATGTTCTGCGCGCCCTCAACACGGTTCACAGCGTCCTGAGCGAGCTCGCCGGAAGGAATGCATTGGACGAGAAGTTAGCGGAATACGCCTTTTTTCCGCTGTCGCACATCTTCAACGAGACGCAGAGGATTTCCTCTGCCTGCTTGGAGGTAGCCGTAAACTGTTTACGGATTCTGATCCTAGATGGATGGCGGGAAAATCTCTCCCCCCAGATGGGCAAGCAGCTCATCATTCTGCTGACGTTGATTGTCGGCGGTGCTCCGGGTGCTCTCAATACCAATCAGTCGGCAAAATCTCGTCCAGAGGAATTATCCATTGCTGGATTTAGATGTCTCGCTGCCACCTTTGATGTGCTAGGTGGGCCAGTTGCGGAAGAGACCGTATACCATGAAATTGGCACGGCAACTATCGTTGACCAGACCGTATACGTCTTGCTGGAGGGTATCGTCGACGAGCGTTCAGAGGATCTCTGCATCGCGGCTGCCGCAGCCTTGCAGGCCCTCTACCGCCGAGTCACTGACCGTGTAGTCCTGGCCAGCATCATGCCGCGGACAGTATCCGCATTGACGAAAACACTGAAACCGACTACACAGAAACGAAGGACATACCGGCTGCTTTGCATATGTCTCGAGATTCTTACCGACGTGCTACGAAAGGTTCTCAACGATAAAGCTGTGGAATCTACCCCTAGCCCTCCTGAGCCGAAGACCGAAGATGACCGAGTCGTGCTTGACGGTTCATGGCTGAAAGCTACGGCTTCTCAGATCAAGATCGCCCTTGCCAATGTCATCCAACTTCGCCGACATGAAAGGCCTGAGGTGCAGGATGCACTACTATCGCTATGTCTGATGGTCATCGAGGACTGCCAAAAGTCTCTAGAAGACTCCATTCCTATAGTCGTGGACTCCATGGTTGTCCTGGCCGAGATCGAAGATGGGGACACACCCAACGATGCCTACTCGGCTCTAACGCATACTGCAACAACATACCCTGTAGTGTTGGATTCGCTCAAAAACTCCCTCCATGTTTGGATCACCGCCTTCCCTCGCACCATGCAGGGCAATGACGAAACGGCCAAACAGTGGGCACTGAAACAGATATCCACGGCCTACCAGATACTGTCTCAAATTCAATCCGGATCCGACATTTTGACGAATAGTTTGGCAAATGGATTATGTGACAGCGTTGCCGCCGCCGTTAATCATGCAGCCAACAATCTCCAGCCTCTGAGTACGGAATCAATGGACAGCCAAAATTTGGAGGTTTTACACCACGGAAGCCAAAGCATGACGTTTCCACCGGTCCTCATGGAACATCGGAGCCAACAACAAACCCTCAAGGATCTGCAGTCAATGGTTGTTCGACTCAATGCCTCCGAGGCTGGTGGAGACATCACGCGCCTCATTATCAACCGTATTCACCATGAGACCGGCTGTGCGATGGCTGCGCCTTTCTGGTTGGCACTGACCTGCCTCAAGAACAGTCCACCGCTGGCTTCCGCTTTTGATGACTTCATCTCCACAGATCAGCTCGAACCATCAGGCTCTTTCGCTACACGCTCCAGTATGATCGAGGAACTATATTACATCTCGTTGCCCATACTGAGTGAGCCTCTGCTTGACGACACCAGGGACTGGCGCGTTTCGGCGCTCGCACTGGAAGCAGTCGCCCTCCAGGCACAGCAGCTCGGCGAGGCATTCCGTCCTGAGCTCATGGACGCCCTGTACCCCGTCCTCCAACTCCTGGCATCGAGGAACCCGAACCTCCAGCAACACGCGATGACCTGCCTCAACATACTCACATCCGCCTGTAACTACGACAGCACGAGCACCATGATCGTCGAAAATGTCGATTACCTCGTCAATTCCGTTGCGTTGAAGCTGAACACGTTTGACGTCTCGCCGTATCCTCCCCAGGTGTTGTTCATGATGGTCAAGCTCTGCGGTGCGCGACTGATCCCGTACCTCGATGACCTCGTCGACTCCATGTTCAGCATTCTGGATCTGTATCACGGATACCCTAAGCTCGTGGAGATGATGTTCAAAACACTGGCCGCCATAGTTGACGAAGGAACAAAATCCCCATCGTTATTGGCAATCGAAAGCGGCAAGCCTATCAACCACCGCAAGAGGCAGTATCAAACTATGCCAATCTCCAGTCTGGCAGAAGACCTCGCAAAGCGAAAAGCCAAACGCTCGCAGTACTTCGAAGACCTCGATGAATCCGACGAGAAGGTCTCCCATCCAAAACGCCCCTGGACCACAGAGTCAGCCGAAACAGCCAAACAACCAGACGACATGGACTTCGACCCCGAGCACATCCCCACCGACGAATCCGACGAGCCCCTACCTCCTCCCCGCGATCCCGAAGACCAAGAGAAACCCCTAAGCAAGTCGCACACGCTTCTCCTCCACATCGTCAAGTCCATCCCCTCCCACCTCTCATCCCCATCTCCATACCTGCGCCGCTCCCTCCTCTCCATCCTGATCCAAGTATCCCCCGTCTTCGGGGAACACGAAAACAGCTTCCTCCCGCTCATCAACGACGTCTGGCCTGCCGTGACTGCTCGAATCACTCTCCCCGCCTCCCTAACCAGCACGTCTTCCTCGTCTGCCCTTTTCAAACCCGACCAAACGCAGGACCCCCACGGCGTCGACTTCCAAGACGAGCTCTTCGTAAGCACGACTGCCTGCCGCGCCGTCGAGGCGCTGTGCAAGAGCGCAGGCGACTTCATGGCGACACGAGTCGAAAAGGAGTTTCCCCGTTGGGAGCGTCTGTACCAGCGCGTCTGGGAACGCGTCCGCCACGATGCTGAGAAAGCCGTCGAAAGACGACAAGCGCAGCAGGCGGACGCCGACGCCGACGCGACGTCTCTGGTATCTTCGCCTGCTCTCATCTCGTCTCTGTCGCTAGCCACGACGGCCGGTGGTCCCCCGCGCACCTTCACGCCCCATCACGACCTCTGGCGCGCGCTCATCTCCCTCTTCATCACGCTTTTGACGCATGTCCGGCTCCCGTTGGCGGTCGGCGACCAGATTTGCGAGTTTGTCGGTGCGTGGGCTGCGCGGTATGCGGGACCGGAGTACTACTTTGCGTGGGCGTCACGACGACAGTCTTCCTCGCCGGAACACGGCGCAGAGCTTGAGGCGGTTGACAGCGCCCTCGAGGCGATGGAGACTTGGAATGTGGATCTGACCTGGTTTATTTTCCAGCAACAGAGGGTCCACATGGCCAATGCGATGCCCCGAATGGCGAAACGCCCAGGACCTGTAATTAGCGAGGTGGTCGATGAACCGTTGAAGACGTGGTCGGTGCAAGGAGATAGTAGGCTGAAGTTTGCGGATCTGGTGTTTTAGACCTGGACAGTCGAGATGGTTATGCGGTTACGACTAACAACTTGTATATTGTGCGCATGTCTACAGTTCTGTTTAATTCATAGGAATGGCGATTGATTGAATAACTATCTCAATAATCACAACATTTTTTTCGTGTGGTTTAATTCATATCAAGCCAAGGCACAGTGCAAATGAGCGAATCCAGTTAACGTTCAAGAACAAGCGAGCAAAAATCCCGAAAAGGCGATCGTCAGAAGATGGAGACGATAGGCGTTTACTCCTCGTCGCTCTCTTCCTCGCTCTCCTCCTCACTCTCGGCGTTTTCCAGCCACTCGAGAAAAGGCTCGGCGGCCTTGCGGACCTTGCGGCTGGTGGAGATGTCGACGTACTTTTTGCTCGCCTTGCTACCCCAAGCCTTAAGGGTCTCCTCAGAGACGATGTCGTTCTGGTAGTAGCCGAGAAGGATGGCGGGGATCTGGGAGATCAGCTCGGGGTGGTCATTGCCGACGAACCGCTCCGTACCGCCCAGCAGAGCCTTCTCATGGCGCTCAGAGGTGACCATTTTCTTCAGCAGAGCAGCGCGGCCGCCGATCTGCTTGGTGATCTTCTCATCGAAGATGGTCTGAGCCAGGACAGCGAGGGTCTTGTGCTTGGTCTCGATACCGTACTCCTTGGCCTTCTTGTAGATGTCGATATCGCTGACCGCGGTGACACCACCCTCCTCAGACGCAGTCTTCTGGATCCAGCTGCCCAGCTCATCATAAGCGGAAGGGCCATCCGCACCCTCGTCTTCATCCTCGAGGACCAGGGAGCGCTTGAGGTCGGAGGGCAGTTCCTTGGCCCGAGCCTTGACGGCCTCCTCAGACACATCCACAGCCCAGTCGCCGTCATCGACGTCGGTATCGGCCGCGATTCTTTGGGCTTCGGCCTTGATACGACGGGTCAGCTCGTCATCGCTGCCAGCATCCAGGGCGAGATCGCCGTTTTCACCGTCCCCGTTGTCAGAGTTGCTGTCGCCGGGGCTGCCGTCCTTGTCACCGTTCGCGGAAGCGTCGCCATTTTTCTCCTTCTTCCGCTCCCGACGGGCCCGCTTGTCGCCCTTGTCCTTCTTGCCACCCTTGGTGGTTTGGTTGCGGAGGATGAAGGTGCTCAGCTTCAGACGGGGGTCAACGTCGGTACGCTGACCGCAGGCCTTGCAGTCCAGGATGATCTTGTCGTCCTTGATGATGACGTCGGTCTCGGGGTTCTTGCACTTCTTGCAGAGAACAAACTTGGAGATGAAACCATCGAGGTAGTCCTGGAGCTTGGGGGCATCATGGGCACCGTTGATGATCCAGCGGTCATCAGTGGGCTTGGCGTTGGCTTGGGCGCCAAGTTCAAAGCCAAAGTACTTGATGACATAGGCGGGAGGACGGCTCAGGGACTGGGCGACGGAGTTGAGGTTGACAATGACGGTCTTGATACCGTTGCCCTTGCCCTCAATCTTGGACTGGAGCTTCTCCATCTTGTAACGGTAGAAGGGATCGGTGACATCCCGACGAATGTTGACGGTAGCCATGATGACAGTTGATGCAGGGAGGTGGGATTAATAACGAGCAGCGAGTCGAGGAATCAGGCGGGAGGGATTTTCTGGGACCAGGAGTGATGTCTTGAAGGGACAAGACATGCGTCACGAGTTCCTGAGATCGAAGGAATGGTGGCGGTTGTTGGGTGTGGGAAGACACAGGCGGAGGGTTCACGAGAGAAGACGTGGACGTGAGGGTGATGGGCAGCCCGGAGGATAGCTTTCAGCCACAGGACTTGGAGTGTATACTACAAGGTTTCGGCGTGATGCGAAACTTTTGCAGCTTGAGCGGCAGGTGGTGGTCGAAATCTCTGACGCAGGACGAATACATAGACAAGTTGTCGAGCGACACTTTTTCTGGTGGGTTTGGAGTGGCTTTCTCTGACTGAGGGAGAGAAACCAACAAGGCGTGGTTTGTCTTTTGGGGGGGGAATAGGAGATTGCAAAACAACAGCTCCACGAGGAAGACGATCGGATGAGGTGGAAACGAGTCCAAACCGATGGCAGAAGTGATGTGGTAGAGTTGAAGGTGGGATGGAGGAGAGAGAAAGGAAGAAGAGAGAAAGAGGAAGTGAGAAAGAAGCCGGCAGCCACAGGAAAAAACAGCCCCCAAAGAGCCCGGATGCCAAGAAATTCCGGCCGAGAAAAAATATTGCGGCTGACTCAGCTGAGCCGAGTTCCGATCTTTTATTTTTGTAGTGGCTGGCAGTACGGAGTACACTGTTGGATTTATTCGAATTATACGATTGAATAGGGGATCATGATTTGAATTAGCTGTCATTAAATGAAATGATGATGTTCTTGCATGGAATGGAGAATGCAAGGATCATGGTAGCAGTACGATGGTGACGCACATATACCTCGGTGGATTCAAGTATATATCCTGCATCATGCACTAGATAGTTAAGAATCAGAGACAGAAAATGTCTGTTCAAAAGAACCTACAGCATCAATTGCATTTCTGGTACACAGTGTATATCTCCTTCATCCAGGATCTCTATGCTTATTGTTATTCCTCTCCTATACTCCGGTCTACCGTCCATGGAAGTCTGACTAAGTCTCTAACGTCACTCAAATAACCCATCGACAACTATGCATTCCTTTCTATACTCCCAACAATAAGAGAACCAACACCCATCCTTCACGGTAAGTCTTCATTCAGCCAAATAAATACCAAATCTTGTCGTGGTACAGTCATACACCCCACCGCCCCTCCATCCCGCGGGAAAATATCAGTCGCTCCACCCATGCATCATCTACCGATCCCTTTGACAGATCGCATACTAATCCTACCAGACCATGAAGCTCAACCTCTCCTGCTACCTGGTCACCGACTCGACCCCTCCCATTCTCAAGGGTCGAGACCTCTGTGCAGTGGTTGAAGAAGCCCTCAAAGGAGGTGAGTCTTCTCCCCCCACCATCAACCTGGAACACCCGATTAACGCTTGGCGCAGGTGTCACGGTGGTCCAGTACCGAGACAAAAAGAGCGACACCGGAGACCAAATCCACACCGCGAAGAAGCTGCACCAGATCACCACTAAGTATGGTGTGCCTCTGCTGATCAATGACCGCGTGGATGTTGCGCTCGCTGTCGGCGCCGAGGGCGTGCATCTCGGTCAAGATGACATGAGTATGTTGCGCTCCCTCCCATCATTCCCCCGGAGCGAACTGCTAACAACTCCTGGTAGCCATTGAGGAAGCCAAAAGGCTCCTCCCCAAAGATGCCATCATCGGCATCAGCGCCTCGTCCATCGATGAAGCCCAGAAGGCCATCGCCGCGGGTGCAGACTACCTAGGCATTGGAACCATGTTCGCAACTCCAACGTAGGTTTAAGGTACCTCACCACAGCTTAGAGAAATAAACTAAGTTACGATGCAGAAAGACAAACACCAAATCCATCATCGGGACCGCCGGCACCCAGGCCATCCTCGATGCCATTTCCGAAACAGGCCGCGATGTCGGCACCGTCTCCATCGGCGGAATCAATCTGTCCAACGTGCAACGCGTCCTGTACCAGTCCAAAGCACCGCGCAAGGGTCTGGACGGGGTCGCCATCGTCAGCGCCATCATGGCCGCGGACGATCCGCGCGCTGCTGCGGCCGAGTTCGTCCGTCGCATTGCTACGCCGCCGCCGTTCGTCGCTGGCCCAGCCGCTCCCATCAATGGGCTCTCCGAGATGCTAGACACGGTGCCCGCGATCGTGCAAAAGATGGTCCAGACGCACCCCCTGGTGCACAACATGATCAACTTTGTCGTGGCGAACTTTGTCGCCAACGTTGCGTTGTCCATGTACGTTCCCTTAGTCTTCATTGCCTACGTATAGTGACTGGATAACTAACACTATTCTCGCTTCAGGGGCGCTTCCCCCATCATGTCCCCGTACGGCGAGGAGGCGGTCGATCTCTGTCAATTTGACGGCGCCCTCCTCATCAACATGGGCACCTTGACCAGCGAGAGCGTCTCGAACTACCTCAAAGCCATCAAGGCGTACAACGAACGCGGCAACCCGGTCGTGTACGACCCTGTCGGCGCGGCAGCGACCCATATCCGCCGCGGGGCCGTGGCCCAGTTGATGGCCGGCGGCTACTTCACCCTCATCAAGGGCAACGAGGGCGAGATCCGCCAGGTCTCTGGCAGCAGCGGCGTGACCCAACGCGGTGTCGACAGCGGACCAAGCAGCCTCGATAGCGCGTCCAAGGCCAAGCTTGCTCGCGACCTGGCCCGCAGAGAACGTACGCCCCCCGCTCCCTGATCTCTGAACCACCCACCGTGATGCTGACGCATACAGACAACCTGGTCCTCTTGACCGGCTCGACCGACTACCTTAGTGACGGCGAGCGGGTTCTGGCCATCGAAAATGGCCACGAGCTTCTTGGCCAAGTGACAGGCGTACGTCCAACTGACCCGCTCATTGATTCGCGTACTAACAAGAACCTAGACCGGCTGTGCTGTTGGCACCGTTGCAGGCTGCTTCCTGACTACCCATCCGTCCGATAAACTCCTTGCCGTCCTGTCGGGACTTCTGATGTACGAGATTGCTGCCGAGAATGCAGCGGCGAGAGAAAATGTGCGTGGACCGGGGAGTTTCGTGCCGGCGTTCCTGGATGAATTGTACGTCATCCGACAGGCTGCGTTGGCAGGAGACAGCAGCTGGTTCGCTGGACGGGCGAAGGTGCAGGAGATTTCTGTGTAGATATAGAACGCCATGATGGTGATATAGACTTCCCGGCCGAATAGTATGAGATTCATGCCTAAACCCTAAGGCAGCACTTCCCCGCACCGCGGAGTTCCCCGCAGCGTCTCTCACCACATTGTGGCATCCCTTTTCTTCTCATCCCTCTCGCCCCTGTATTCCAGACATCATCACGGAACATCCTCGCCTTCACGCCCAAAATGGCAGCCATCTCAAGAGCATCCCGGATTCGTAAGTCATTTGCGCCCTCAAGAGATCCCCGCTAACCAATCGCCAGGGAACCCGGCCTTATTGTACGTGCAGCCCAGATCAACCAACGAGACTGACTGCCTTACTAACCGAAGAACCCAGCATCTGCGATATCCAGGAAAAGTTCCGTCCGGCGATGCACGAGTTCAGCAAGATGCACGTCAACCCGCCCCACGACGCCTTACCAAAGCTAACAAGCCGAGCAGCATCCCGACGACCTCCAAACTCCTCCGCGCCGCAGACACCTTCCAGATCCCCACGTATGTCACGACCCAGAACCGCGCCCGGCTGGGCGACACCATCGGCGAGCTGCAGCGGCATCTGACCGGCGCACACGTCAAGGCCAACCTCGACAAGACGCTCTTCTCCATGATCACGCCCGAGCTCGAGGCGCTGCTCCCCAAGCCCGAGGTCTCCCCCGTCGACGCCATCATCGTCGGCATCGAGACCCACATCTGTGTCACGCAGACGGCGCTGGATCTGCTCGAGCGTGGCCACCGTGTGTATGTGATTGTGGACGGGGTCACCAGTGTGAATCCCGAGGAGAGGGGCATCGCCCTGGCGCGGCTGCGGGACGCCGGCGCCATTGTCACCAGTAGTGAGAGTATCTTGTTTGAGATCCTGGGGGATGCGAGCCATGCGAATTTCAAGGCTGTTAATACCCTGATTAAGGAATTCAAGGAGGATACGAAGGCGTCGTTGGGCGCCTTGGCGAAGATGTGATTTGGGAGCCAGGCTTGATAGACGTACATACAAGGACATGAGATAAGACTGTGCCAATTTGTTCTTACTAGCCTACTGTATAGACACTATGGCCAATTGCTAGGTCTACGGACTGCACGACGCGTGCCTAATCTATTTCATTTAGGGGTCGTCGGGGGCCGACTGGCGGCCGGCGACTGTGACGAGTTGAGCCATCCGAAAGCGGAGGCGCCCCCGATGGGATTCGAAGCCCACGGTTGGCCCGTCCGCGTCTCGTCCGGCGAAGCCCGAGACGACGCAGACTGCGACGCAGAAGTCGGCCCGGTGGGTTCCGCACTGGAGGTGCCGGAGAACGTTGCGGTTGTCGGCGTCCGCGACGAGGATTTGCTCGGCCGCAGAACCTTCATGGGCCGCCCTCGGGAAGACTTCCCGGCAGAGGCACTGGTGTCCGACCTGGCGTCGCGTTTCCACGAGCCCCAGACTCCTGGAAGCTCCGCCTTGGACGGAGGCACAGCGGGCTGCGGTTCTGACGGCGGGGTCGACTTGGGCGCAGGGTCAACGTTCTTTGATGGGTCCTGAATGTCCAAAGACGTCTTTCGACTCTCTTCGGGTTCCTCCAGGGAGCCTCTCGCCGAGCCGGAGACTGATCGCGACGGGCGCATGGTGTGGTTGGGCTGTCCGATCACCCCGACTGACGCATGTCCATTAGCGACTGGCAGGTCAGCTGCTTGCTTGGTCTGTTCTGTTCGTTCGGTCCGCGGAATGTCGGGTGCGGTGCGCAGGAACTTGAAAACAGCGTCGTCCTCCGGACGAACCAGCGGGACGGAGATTTTGTTCCTCTCGTCATCGACCATGATCATCTTGTCCTGAGAGAACAGGATGTCCGCGTTGTGGGAGCGGAGCACATCGCTGCCGATGACGATCTGGATTGACGGGTCGGTGGGATCGACGTCACGGATGAGGAACCGAATCGTCAGCGCAGGGAGCTGAGGCACGGGGCTGCTTGACCGCGAGGACGATTGGTGAACGCTCGCCTCGGGCAGATACATCGGCAGCTTGATGAACTGCACGTCGTCCGCTTCCGTCACCAAATCTTCCAAGCCGTATTTCCGGATCATCGGATAGCCCAGGAACGACGTATACGAGCCCGAGCAGACAGCCGCGTACAGAAGTGAGTCGTTGGAGAAGTTTGTCGTCAACCAACACCGGATGATGCAGGGCACCGGGCCCAGGAGGAACAGTCCGGGAGGCGGAATCAGCGGCGATCCCGCGGCCGAAGAGCCCATCATCTTGCTGGCTGTGTCTAAACCAAGACTATTCGTGCGTGCCGAATGATGGGAATATCCCGACGAGCTTTGTCGACCATCGGACCGATGGGACAGAGACCGCTCGGTTAGCGGATGGCTTCCCATGCCACTGCCAGTCCTCAAGGGAAGATCCGTGCTAGAACGGCTCGCCTGTCCGTAGTACCCATGGATGGCGCTTTCATCAAACCGAACGCTGTTCGCTCTCGAAGTCCCCCGTCGCGGCTCATCCTCAGCCTCGAGACCCATGGTGCCGACCACACCGTGATGCTGTCCTTGATCAAAGCCCTTGAAAGCGTCGGCTGGAGAATGGAAAACCGGCTCTGGAGAGCAGACCAGCGGGTTAGTTCCTTCATGCCGTTCTTGCCAAGCAGATCAGGCCATAAGAAAACACCCACCTGTAGGCATGGGACCTCCGACCGAGGTAGGAAACGGCGACAACGGACCCCAGACACTTCTCAACCGGGCATCCTCGTCCCTCCGTCGCTCAAGTCGCGCAATCCGCTCCGCCTGTTCGAACTGAGAGGCGTGAAGCTCCTTCAACTCTTCGAAGATGCGCCAGATATCGTCGCGGGAAGCAAAAGGGTACTGTGCATCCATATCCGAACCACGAGGGGTAGAAGCGATGGCGCCAGCGGTGACGGAGACGAATAAACGCAGAAACGTTCCAGGACTGAGTAGAATATCCTGATCCTTCCAGCTACTTTGGACCGAAGACGACGGATACTGGGGCTCTCAGCAGTTGTGTTCCTTGTCTCCCACAATCCTCGAAACTCCTCCTCCCGCGTGCTGTGAGACGGCCGTACGGCCGTCCACCCAATTTGCTAGAACCTAGGATCTGTTGTATTTGTTGCAAACATATAAGATTGACCAAACCGGGGGCGGAGAAGCGTGCGATGATCGGCCGACGGCGTACGAGTCGGGAGGGTGGAAAGGAGGGATTCGGGGTGTTATAGGAACGGGACAAATGCCGAGAGAGATAGAGAGCGGTAGCGACGAGGGGAGAAGAACGGCAGGGTCCGATATGGCAAGGACAATGCGGTAATGCAAGGCGTAAGGAGGGATGAGTTATGATGGCTCGAGGGAGGAGGTTTGATGCCGACGTGCGAAGAAAGTGGCGACGGCGAAGGAAGAGTTCTGCAGGAGATCTGGGAGGATTGCGAGAGAAGAGGTTACGTATAAAAGTCAAGAGAATAGCAAGAGACAGAAGTCTGAGAGGGAGATTGATGGTTGCACAAATGGATGGATGAAGGGAGAAGGGGAAATGAGGGGATTCGCGGCCCTCTGGGGGATTCTTCCGTCCGATTCTAGACCGCTTTCACTTTGCTTGGTCTACCAGGTACCACTCTCCATTATCCAGCCATGATTGCTGTATAGATCTATTTGGAAGTCTATTTTATGTCGATTTCTACCGATTAATACCGCGGCGCCTCTGTCCAGGGCGGATGCACCCAGGGCAATTGCTCCGGACTTAACTCCGGGCAATTCTGTCGAATTGTTTCCATCACCACCTCTAAAACCATCCGGTAACCGTCCGCCGTCAAATGCAGTCCTGTCCACGAGTGAGTATCAACCCGCTTAATGTCTTTGAGAAGAACCCACCATCGGTCAGTAGACTCTGCAGTTTCGCATTATTGGGGATCTCCTTCGAACCTGTCAGAGGCTCCCCTTCCTTCCAGCCGGCCGCCGTCATGAATGCTGTCCAGATGTCGGCGACAGGGGTTCCTAGCGATGTTGCAACCTCCCGGGCAGCATCTGCATAGATCTTGGTGTGACTGGCGGTTCGGGCCAAAGGGGAGCCGTCACCCGGGTCCATTTGGTACTCGTTCACTGCAGGTGGGGTGAGCACGATGACCTGGGTGCCTTGAGCTGTCACCGCGGGGTGTTGAATGAGTTGCCTCAGGTTCTCCTTGAACTTGTCCAGAGGGACGTGTTGGAAGGTCCCTGGAATACAGGCATCATTGGCGCCGAAGAAGATTGTCTACCTTGAATTAGTCTTAGGCATTTTCAGTCTCCGTAGGAATGATACCATCAACTTCACCGTAGCTCTTTGCGGCGTGGGGAAGAATTTTGGAAAGACATTGATCGCATTAGCGGTGGTATAGCCACTGGTGATGTCGGTTAATTGTCTGTTCGTTGCAGTACAAAAGGCCGTCCATACCTAAACCCGCGATTGATGACATCCAAGCGGCGGCAGTAGGCTGGAGACGCGTTAGTTGGAACCCCATTCAGAGGATGGAGAGAGTCAGTCACCATCTTGCAACTCGGCCTGGAAGACGAATCCATCGGCCGGCGAAGTCGACTGCTGAGTGATGGAGTCGCCAAAGAGGATGAATTGGTCGTATGGCTGGAACAGGCCTTCGTCGGCGGAGTGGTTTGTCATGATGAGTTGTGGTTTATTATTAGGTAGATGAACGACTGCAGTGGTGAGGATGTCCAAGGCTGTGGGTGAGGATTATGTATGCTCCACTTGCGGAATTGACTCTTTTCAACACGGGACCCAAAAAACATCCCCATTGATGGCCAAATTACCCCCAATTTCCACCAACAAAAATACTTCATCCCATAGGATCCATCGTTCTAGCCCAGTCGATGCTAGACTGGGTGACTTGATATATTTTAAGACCATCTCGTGGATACTACGTTTGCGCATCGCGGGGCCCCTCCTTTGTAGTATTGCCTTGTGGGTGTGTGCATATTTACGGAGTCTTTGGCAGATCAAGATGATAACGATAGAATTTTACAACCAATTTGGACTATCCAGGCTTACAGATCACAGCTAGTTACCTCTGTCGTGCACCATGCCTACCAATCCAAAGATGAAGAAGGCCGTCAATGCTCGGCATGCAGCCACGGACCTACAGGTCGGACTCTTTGCACGACCAATGTTACTGACGAGACTGAAAATGAGCGATAGGAGAAAGCTCAAAGATCCCCTAAGCGAACATACCAACGCCTCCAGACTACTCTATCTCGGCCGTCCCAGCAAAGCTCGGACAGAGTGGATGGACCTGGAGACGAGTGAGTCATCATCCCTACGGAGTGACAGTGAAGCATTGCTGGTTAGAGGTAAATCCTTGACTTCGGGGTTCTATGTTAGGGAACAAGCAGTAAAGTAGGTAATCACTAGAGGAAATATCTCAACCCGCAGAGAAAAGGGTGAAAGTTGACTGTTTACTGTCTTCTAGCCATAGGGAAGCATGGCCAAGCTTTCCATCCCATCGCCAGGAAAGCTTGGACGAGGAGAATCCTGTGGTTGACAGGGAGTAAAGCTGCCATTCCCTTCCGAGACATGCAGGCCGATAGATTGGAGGACAATCCGGGATCTACTATAGAAGGCATATAAAAGAAAAGAGATAGGACGATGTCGTCCATAAGTAGAGCGTAACTTCATGCCCTTTATTAAGTACATGTGAACACAACATTTCATTTGTGTGTTGGAAGGCTAGAACATGCGTACAGCCCACTGAGACAATATATATCACACCCGAATGTCACAAGGGACCGGAGTAATATACTCTCGACTCTACCTCGATTGCGGTCACACCACGGAAAACACGAAGAACCGGATTAAGCTAAATAATCCGGATAGACAATCAATGTGATTTAGATCCATCTATCTTACGCAGAGTATAAACTGACCGTAGCCCTCGTTAACTCTATGCTACGAGAATCAGTCGCCATATGCGGAGCACAGACAAGGCGTCCAAAACATTGCCACCACAGGGCACGTCATCAGCAGCCATTGGGCCATGTTGATGTGCCATGATCGCCTCTCCCACGTCTTGGCGAGATGATCGGCTTGCATAACGGCGTGGAGTCATGCATCGTCTGGGATGCATCCCGGGATTGACCACCGTGCGTCGAGGGGTCGTACGTAACCAACGGGGCCAAGCGCGGGAGTCAAGAACCACACCCTGGTGATTCGATCAAAGACATTCAAGCAGAAACAGCGAAGGATCTGGATGCTTCGTCCGCGTGTATGGCGGCATTGATGAATGCAATGGATGATGCCATCAGATGACAGATGATCGCGGGGGGATGAGTCAGCACACCCTCCCGAGCAACTTCCGCTTCTCCTCTCCTCTTTCGAGCTGTTTATCTCCCCGTCGTCCATCTCTCTCCAACTCTCACCCGCTCTCGTTCATTTCGAGCGGTGTGCTTTGAATGATAATGCTTGTTGGTATGATTTAAACCCCGCGAATTATTTGCCGATGGCCCTGCGGGCAGCTGGAAACTGACCCTGTCCAGCTCGCCCGCTCTAGTCCAGACCGAAGCTCCCATTGCTTCTAGCTGGAAAGATGCCTCGTTCGGTTCCCACATACTTCACCGCGAACCCCCATGATGAACCCCAAGGTCCCAGTGACAACGAACGCCCTCGATCGGCTTCCAGGACCGCTCCGCCCTCCCCGTCAGCCGTCAGGCGGAGCCATAGCCTTCTGTCGGAAGCCCATACCGGCTATCAGTCGTTGGAGCCTCCGCTGGAGGTGACGGAGACGACCAGCTTGCTCGGAAACCCCCAGGAAGGTCGTCGACGTCTGCCTCGTCGCTCGTATACCAATATCTCCGCCAACTCCACGGCCGATAGCCACTTCCGGCACTCCCTGCTGAGCGGAAGCTTGCGTCGATCCCGCCACCATAGCCGCGCAAACTCGCAAAACCTTCGATTCAGTCGCCGGGGAAGTCTGGACGCAGACCAGGCCGACAGCCTCGCCGCCTCAGCCAAGGACGGCTTCGGCTCTTCCTCCTTCCTGGACGAGCGGACCTGGTATGATCAATTCACCTCAACGGATTGGGTCCATGATAGCATCGCCGATGGAGCCCGCCTTCGCGAGCTGCGGGCTCGGAAGGACATCCGTGGTCGTCTTCTTTCCTGGTTCGACGGTGCCCAGGGCTGGGTGTTGGTCGCCCTGATCGGTTGCATCACTGCAGCCATTGCCTATTTTGTGGATGTGACTGAGGACTTTGTGTTCGATTTAAAGGAGGGTTTCTGCACCACCAGGTGGTTTAATAGCCGCTCAAATTGCTGTGCCGATACTTATGATTGTCCGCAGTGGCGGTCGTGGTCGAGGATGTTCAGACCTTCCGGGTCTGACAACCAGTGGGTGGACTTTGCCTTGTATGTCTCTTGGGTTCTGGTCCTCTCGGCAGTCTCATGCCTCCTCACCCTCCTCACCAAGACCGTCGTTCCGTCTTCCATCTCGTTGACCACCCTGGATGAGAATCTGGCAGCCGCGGAGTCACGAGGAAGGCCCAGCATTGATGCCGCCGCCTCACCTGACTCATCCAGCCCCGGGGCTCCCTATGCCATGTTCCCTAGCCGCCCCGATATGGTTTACTATTCCGCTGCGGGGAGTGGAGTGGCCGAGGTCAAGGTAATTAACAGTGGTTTCGTTCTCCATGGCTATCTGGGATTCAAGACTCTTGTCATCAAAACCATTGCGCTGGTCTTCAGCGTCTCATCCGGCCTGAGCCTTGGAAAGGAGGGTCCATATGTCCACATTGCCACCTGCGTCGGGAATATTTGCTGTCGGCTCTTTGCCAAGTATAATCATAATGACGGCAAACGAAGAGAGGTTCTGAGTGCGAGCGCGGCTGGCGGTGTTGCAGTTGCTTTTGGAGCGCCTATTGGAGGCGTCCTTTTCAGTTTGGAGGAAGTCAGCTATTACTTCCCCCCGAAGACCCTCTTCAGGACGTTCTTCTGCTGCATCGCCGCAGCACTGTCGCTCAAGTTCCTGAACCCATATGGGACTGGTAAGATCGTCTTGTTCCAGGTTCGGTATCTCGGTGATTGGGAGATCTTCGAGATGGTCATCTTCATTTTCTTGGGAGTCTTGGGCGGCGCCTTGGGGGCCCTGTTCATCAAGGCATCGAACATCTGGGCAAAATCATTTCGTCGAATTCCGCTCATCAAGCGCTGGCCAATGCTCGAGGTCGTCCTTGTCGCGCTGCTGACAGGGTTGGTTAGTTTTTGGAATCGTTACACCAAGCTCCCTGTTTCGGAGCTTCTGTTCGAGTTGGCCTCTCCCTGTGAGCGGGAGTCCTCTTCACCTACGGGGCTGTGTCCCGACGAAGATGGGATCGGCGAGATCATCCGCTATCTGCTGATCGCTTTCGTCATCAAGAGTCTTCTTACCGTGGTCACTTTTGGAATCAAAGTCCCAGCTGGCATTTATGTGCCTTCCATGGTTGTCGGCGGCCTCTTGGGCCGGATTATCGGCCATGCCGCCCAATACTTGGTTGTGAAATATCCGACCTTTCCTCTTTTTGGCTCGTCCTGCCCGGCTGTCTCTGGTATGGAGTCCTGCGTGACTCCCGGAGTGTATGCAATGGTTGCCGCTGGGGCGACTATGTGTGGTGTCACTCGCTTGTCCGTTACTCTTGCTGTTATCTTGTTTGAACTCACAGGGAGCCTTGACCACGTGCTTCCATTCTCGCTCGCGATTCTGTGTGCCAAATGGACGGCGGACGCTATCGAGCCTCGTAGCATCTACGTAAGTCCACTCGCGTATCAAGTGAACGACTCGAACTCACAGTTACCAGGACCTTCTGACCGATATGAATTCCTATCCATTCCTTGACAACAATATCCAGATCGCGTCTGACGCTGAGCTTGGCGACATTGTGCGACCGGTGAGGAAGAGTCGCATTATCGATATATCGGAGTCCCCCTTCGTACCAGCGTCGGAGCTGCGTTCGAAGCTGCAGAATTTGCTTATGGCCGGCGAACTAGACAGTGGCCTCCCCATTCTGCGCCACAACATCCTGACCGGATTGATCCCCGCGCCGGATCTGGAGTACGCGTTGGACAATCTCGAAGACGAGGACAACTCGCTGTGTCTAATGGCATTGGACACGTCGATGGTTATCTCTGACAGCGAAGACCTTCCTGGCCCTGATCGAGTGGATTTTGGCCGATATATAGACCCGGTATGTCGATGGCCCGTGTCAGCGAGTTCAACTGCTAATACCTTTCCTAGGCCCCCATCGCTTTAGACATCCATTCGCCTATAGATCTTGTTTACCAGTGTTTTACAAAGCTGGGCTTGCGGTATCTGTGTGTTCTTCAGAACGGAGAATATGCTGGCTTAGTCCACAAGAAAGCCTTTGTGAAGTTTGTAAAGCAGAATGAGTGATTGTTTTTGACATATTTTGACCGCAGAGACTGCTTTGAAGCATTCAATCAGAACATAGCATTGTTGCGAAGCATTTCTGGCGTTCTATGGCCCTTCCTTATCTGTGTTCAACCTGCCTTGCTGCACATATCATCTTGGTTATTGCTCGGTTTGTCACCATCCACCCATCTTGTTAGCTACTGTCTGTCATTTCAGCGTTCTGAAATTCCTGTTATACATATTGCATGACCTTGATTTAGATCTGTTCGCTATTGATACTTATGTTTTCGAAGAATAACTATTCCGAGAATCACCATGCTGTTTATGAAGCTGTGATGCTAGATCTCATATTTAGAAAGCCGACTTCCATCAGTTCCCAGAAATCTACACTACACTCCATCCTCAGCTTCCACACTGCCCTCCAACTGCACGACCCTCACTAAATCCGCGCCCTTACATTCCTAGCCGCCGCCTGCCTCCAGAGCCGAGGCAAAGGCCCATCCAAACCGTACAGTGGATCGAGTGGTGGTATAGGCACGGCGTCGCATCTGGTAGCTAATCTCTCGGTCTCCGAAGGGTTCAGTGCATAGTTCATATCGAAACGGTGTCCGGTTTCTTTCAAGATGCCCTATTCACCGACATCCGGTCAGTCGATCATCCTGTGTTCGATAGATCAGAACAGATGAGCACGCTCACGTTGGGATACAATCCAATGAATTCATAGTCGCCCTCCGATTCAAGTGAGGCATGGCATGTTCCCGCCTAGATGATTAGCACAACCGAGACCCATGATGCCACAGGATGCCATAACAGCAGACGTACCGGCAAGACGAAGACATCGCCCTTCTCTACAGTAAGCTTCATCCCATTAGGCTCTCCCTCCGTATTGAACTGGGGGTCAACTGGTCCGAGCCCAAGTAAATATGTCGTCTTCCCCTTGATGATGCCATAACATTCGTGGCAATCAGCATGGAAATGCGGCACTTTGTACGTCTTCCACTGTCCGCCCATAAGCCATCCATTCGGCTCGATCGTGTCGAGGATGTTGCGGGGACTGGTGTCTGAGAGGGCGTTGCGGTATACGAGGATGGGGAGTCGGGAGTTGGGTACATGCGGAGTTGAAGGGAGGAAGTATTGCTCGGGTTCGACCTTCTTGGACCACATTTTGTTTCTTGTGATGGATACTGTCTGGTCCGGATCTTGGACTGCATTACAACCAGGGGGTTTATGTATAACAAATGTCTGGAAGGAGTGCAGTCGGCTACAACTCCGGCGAGCGGGGATGAGACATCGTTCGGGTTTGTTACCGAGATCAGATGCGACAGTTGGGGCAATTGGAGACACACAGAGGATTGTTCGGCTGACCGGATCTCTGGCACCGTTCTGACAGTGTATTTGTTGATGGCGGATGATGGGCGTTCTGAACACACGCCCGTCCGGAAATGTGCTTAGAGACATGTTTATAGTACCTCCCTAGTCCTATATATCTAGACCAAGCACTATAACCATTATTTGGGTCAGAGGACTTTGGGATGAATAGTTTGACTTAGATATGCAAGAAGAGGTATAGGGAAAAATACTCCCAACACCCAGTATGACCTGAACATGTGCGTCCATACTATTGTCCATCTAAGTCTACTGATAATTACTAGGGTACAAGTAAGTATTTTGGGGGAAGAACTCCTCCTTGATCGTCCTTGGGCTAGTGAATTTCCTCAGAATATCAGAGCTGCCCGCCTTGTCGTTGGTTCCACTCGCACGACCACCACCGAAGGTCTGCTGCCCGATCAATGCGGCAGTAGTTTTGCAATCTATAGTTTGTTAGCAGTCCATTTCCGTACCCCCACAGCTCACGATCACGTACTAATATAGAAGTTCCCAGCCGAGTAGCGCAGAGCGTCTTCCGCTTCACGGATAGCACCCCGATCGTTAGCAAAAACAGCGCCGGTCAACGCCAGTCCACCTCCGGCCTGATCAGTCTTGCGCAGAATAGTGCTCCATTCTGAATCAGGATACACGTAAAGGGCAAGTACCGGACCAAAGATCTCCACGTCGAACAGCCGATGGTCCGGAGACTGCGCCTGGTAGACTGTCGGGTTGACAAAGTATCCCGTTGAATCGTCGTATGTGCCACCTGCCAGTAGTTTCAAGGAGGCGTCGTTGTTGCACTCGTCGATGATAGACTTGATCTTCTTGAAAGACTCCTTGTGAATGACCGGGCCCATGAACGCTTCCAGATCTTTATCGGGGCTTCCAATTGTAATGTCCTTCACTCCGGCGGTCAAAGCAGCAATGAACTCCTCGGCACGAGACTCGGGAACATACACGCGCGATGTGGCGGAACACTTCTGACCCTGATATTCAAACGCGCCGCGGATGGTATGGTTGACCGCACTGGGGATGTCTGCAGAGTTGTGTATCAGATGGAAGTTCTTCCCGCTGGTCTCTCCGACGATGCGCGGGAAATCCCGGTATGTCTTATTCCCAATCTCTTGCCCAATTCTTGCACTGAGAGACCGGAACACGTCCGATGAGCCGATAAAGTTGAGACCTGCAAATTCGCGGTGGGAGAGGGCCACATCTGTGATCAGCTTTGCGTCACCCGTCACAAACTGAATCACATCTGGAGGGAGACCTGCCTCTAGCAGGATCTTGTAGACCAGAGTGCTGGCATAGACATTATGGGGGGACGGCTTCCAGATAACAACATTGCCCATCAACGCCGGTCCTGATACCAAGCTTCCTCCGAGGGCTGTGAAGTTGAATGGCGAGATGGCGTAGACGAAGCCTTCTAAAGGACGGTAGTCGACGCGACTGTCGAGTCAATCAGCATCCCTTTCAAGGTCAGTCGGTTTTGCATTGGGCGTGCAACTCACGTCCACATGCCGTCGCTACCACGTGTGGGCTGTCTTTCGAGCAACTCCGCAGCGTAGTGGCAATTGAGTCGGAAGAAGTCGGCTAATTCTGCGGCCGCATCGATTTCCGCCTGCCAGATATTCTTTCCCTGTCCGAGCATGGTGGCTGCAATGATCTCATAGCGGTATTTTGTCGTAACTAACTCGGCCGCCTTCATGAAGATGGCGGCGCGGTCTACGAAGGGAGTCTCTTCCCAGCGCTTTTTCGCCTTGAGAGCCGACTCGATAGCAACGGAGACTTGCTCCCGACTGGCCATTGGGTAGTTTGTAAATGCTGTGCCATGCTCTGCAGGCATGGCCTGACTCAAGGACTTGGATACCTCCTGGGCCTTTCCATTGTAGAAGATGGAGCTTTTGACGGGCAGTTGGGATCGGAGCTTGGTCAAGGCTGCTTCCAACTGTTGGCGCTCGGGCGAGCCTCGGACATAATGGGGCTGGTAGAGGTTAATATTACTACATTATACAATCATCAACCTAAGTTCTGGCGATTGACTTACGTTGGGCTCATTCCTGGCTGCTGGCAGCTTGAAGGGGGCGGTGGCTTTGGTGCGAATCTGGTGATAGACAACGGCCACAGAGGGAAATTCGGCACGGGTTAAAGGAGGCACCCGGCGCGCCATAATACATTGTAAACGAGCTGCAGTCATGCTCACAAAAGAGATACTGATTGACCAAAAGAGAGTGTCCTTGCTTGACTAGAGCTTTATGTATGCATCTGGAGCCCACCGGGTAGGGTCCCGACACCCCGCCAAAAAGTATCGGGAGGCTTGCCGGTGGTGGACCACAACATCCTAGAAGTATGAACGGTTCGATTTTCCACAGGAAAGTCATGCGTTAGAGTAGAAGGGCAGAATCGGAGATTTCAATAGAGAGCTGGCTAGATTTATGGACGCTGCGTCAACGAAGGCCGTACCTGATCATGACCAGCTGGGAATGGACTACGACAGACAATCTACTCACCAGCTTAGCTACCAGCTGGCAGGTGATGCCATTGCTGCTACAGCTTCAGCAGTAGTAGTGGCTCCAGCAGTGACTATTATTGATCGGTAGGCGCAGTCCTTGCCGTAAACAAAAGTTGACCTGCTAACAGTAATCATCACGATATACTAGTGCCCTGGTCGAGAAAGCGTCTTGCAACTGGCCTCTCCTCCGTGGGCTAAAAACGCATTTCGTAAATTCCCTTCGAAGACCTGGCCAATTTGTGTCTTCGAAACCGTTCGGTCTCATTTGGACGCTATACGCAGCCACTTACGTGGTCGCCAACGGCGTAGACACCATAACGAAACATACAATCCCGGCGTCTCCCGCCCGAGATCCAATTGTCTTTGCGTCAACCTTTGCAGTCAATGTGCCCCTGGGGGTGTGGAAAGACATACGATTTGCCGAGCTGTTCAGTAATTGCAGCAAAAGCGCAACTGATACCCTGCGACGCTCATCTCCGCGCGCCGTCTCCGGTGCTGCAACAGCCATCTTTCTATTTCGTGACGCAATCACTATCTCAGGGTCGTTTAACCTTCCTCCTCACTGCGCCAAAGCTATCCCCGATAGCCTGACGCACGATCCGCACACTCGTACCGTGATCACGCAGATGACCGTACCAGTTCTCTCCCAGCTCATGGCATCTCCGGTGCACCTGCTTGCGTTGGATCTGTACAACCGGCCCAATATTGCGAGAATGAGGGATCGGGTTACCTTTATGAGGCAGAATCTTCCATCTGCAACTGTTATTCGCTGCGTTCGAATAATTCCTGCGTTTGGATTTGGATGCCTGGCAAACATGGAGCTACGAGAATACTTTCACAGCAGATCCAGACTAGAAGCGTGAAATAGAGTCTAGCGATATATTTGTTAAATGGTGGTTCTCTTGTAACTACTAATCCCTCGTTCACCCAATCTCCTACACTCTGAGTACACAGCCAGATACATGTCAATAGGCGTGAGCTAAGGAAGTGCTTGTATAGCGAGCTGTTTGAGAACAAAATCTGTTACTAAAGGATCACAATCTGGTCCTCATAAGAGCGTAACTCATTGGAAGCTATTAATTCGAGGACAGAGAGAAAAAGCGTAAGAGCCTCCTCCGGACTTCGACCTTCAACGCAGCATACTCATCCTTCGTTCTTCCTGCAGCATCCCGATTCTCAATGGCCCGCCTGGTCATATATGCCAGACATTCCGACATCGACCCCCAGGATGAACATTTGTATACATCTGGGGACGACCCCGCTTCATCCTTCAACTGGACAAGGCTAAAGCTCACCTCGTCAGCCATCCCATGCAACTGACCAAAACCAACTGGTACTGTTGGCAGTTGTTCCCTGAGACGTTGCTGGTGCAGTTGCCGGGCAGCCAACAGACTCTTTCTGTTATGGCTCGCCAGGAACAAATTCACCGAGGGAAACTGTTTCCCATGAGAGCTTCCCTGCGCTCCGTATTCCCAGAGTTCCTGGCGTAGAGCACCCTGCGCGATAGTATCGTATGCCCGATCGGTGTCCTCCTTGGTATCGTGAAAGAGAGACCGCTCGTCCGTAGCCAGGTAAGCGCCTCGAACAAGCTTCAAACCCAATGTAAAGCCCTCTTGGCTTGCGGCTTCCAGGTGCGCTTTCAGTGTTATGGGCATGGCTTTGAGATACGCTTGGTATGTGTTGTAGACGAGTGCCGACCCGTTGCGGTTATAGGTGCGCATCAGGTCCAGAGTTACTCGGGCTATTCCGCGTTGAAAGTTCTGGGATTCTGCATCGACGATAATGCGGACCCCTTTCTCCTGACACTTGGTACAGATATCTCTGAGAGCCGTGAGCATTTGCGTCGGCGGAAGATCGCCTTTGGAAAATGCGTTGGTCACTGCCGGGCCCGCGCCGGTTAGCCTTGAACAGGTTAGCAACAAGCTGCCCAGAGGGAGGTATCCGGCTGTAGATGCTTACTTGAGAGCAAGGTAGTCACCTTCGTCGACTAGATCAATGGTTTTTAACGTCCCCTCGCGCCACGCGGAGATGCTGGGGCAGGATGTGATATTGTCTCCCGAGACCAGGTTCTCGGTGTCCGGCCCGGAGACCGCCTTATCATGGACGTCGAAGACGGTTTCTTTTGCATATGTGAGAATCACCCCGCGTAAACCCAGGTCCTTGAGGCTCTGGACTACAGCTCTGGTTTCGGACGGGGATTCACCGGCACAGAATTGCCGGTAGAACGTTGCTTTCAGGATTGCATGCAGCAAGGGATTTCGATCCACATCGAAGATCCAGGTCCGCCCCGGCTTGCAGAGAAACTTCAGAGCCCTTAGAGTCGGACTCAGAAGAAGTGGATGTGAAGACACGGTGTTGATGAAGAGAGAGCGGAGAAGCATAGGGAAAGGGAGAGCCGAGAGCGCAGGCGGAGGAGCATTGTTATGCGCTGTGGGGGCTACCGATGCGCCTTGCTGTGGAATTGGAATGTCTGGTGTTGCGGTAGACTTGGAGTTCGATATGAATCGTCTCGATGTTGCCCCGGATATCACGTAGTATGCTGTATACCCGGGCTTGAGTGTCCATAGTGGGAGGGGCCTAGAAAGAGGCGCCATGTCGTGAACCGTGCACGCAGATAGGACTGATGCTGCGCCTTGAGAAAGATCATGGTCAATGATCTTATTACTATGGTTATAAACTATGGGTTTCGATCCGATATGCAGTCGGTTGGTCTCCCGATTGTTTTTCAGTCAATCCCAGAGAGAGTCTGGTCTTCGCTGTGGTCTCGACCCCGCCTGGTTGCAGGCAATTCGATCATCTGACAGCATAGACTGTTGGAACCAGATCTAGGAAGGGCAGCCGATGATGGGCTTGCTTGGTTATGGACTCGGGAAGGGAGCCGGCGGGAGAGAGAGCGGGGGTGTTAATGCCTTGGAGTAACATTCCGCCGGAACTGATCGATAGTATCGCGATAAGACTAACGAAGTCTATAATAACTGGGGAAACCAAGTCTTGATTAGGATAATCTATGCAGATAGTGGGATGCATCAGGAACACCTATGGCATTGTCTGGTGAAGTTAGTAGTTGTGCGTTATAGTGCAGGTACTAGGTAAACAATATACAAACCATCTTTACCACAGTGTCCATACCTTATCTATAGTTTTATATTATACTGTAGAGAACTATCTATATTGATCTATTTTATCTATATAGGAACCCAGCAAAGCAAGGCGTCGGGATGCGGGACAGTCCAGTGGCCAAGGCACAATCGCACCCCGCACATTGATTATCTCGGGGTTGAATCAGCGGTGGGATTTTGCCACCAACATTAAACACACCAGGACAACACATCTTCACTTAGATATGTCCAAGGCTACCTGATCGGACAAGATGGACACCACCAGGAGCTATCGTGTCAAGAAACGGTCATCCAATGCGTATGATTCTGCATATCCCTGACCGGGAGTAAGGACTGACATCATCAGATGCGTGCGTTGCCGGAGACAAAAGATCAAATGCTCGGGATCCCAGCCGTGCGAGACATGTCGAAAGCGGGACTTGACCTGTGTCTTTGATGACCGTGATCAAAAGATCCTGGTCACCCGGGGGTACGTCGTCCATGTCCCCACGTGCGGTGGTTGTTGACCGACGTCCAGATTTCTCGAGGACCTGCAGAGAAAGATTGCTCTGCTGGAACGCTCAAACGGCGAGATCGACTCGCCAGGGTATAGAGAACAGCCTCTTCAAAGGCAGGAAGAGGGTGTGTTATACCTTAACCATACGCTCAGCCGAGGGATCTGACGTGCGTGACAGGGGATGGGACCGACCCGATTGAGGACACAGAATGGGATTCGACACAAGAAGGGCCTTCGGAGTTGACGAACCCATTATCGACAGGTCCATCTACGTTCATGGCAGCCGAATCTGGTCGAATATGTAAGAATCAACGAACACTTACTACGATGTATGCTCATCAACGGTAGTCTACCTGGGGACTTCGTCCAACTGGTCGTTTTCCCGAAAGGTGTTGAGTCTTCTCCACGTCCATCTCTATCATTCGCCTCTTCCAACCGAGAGTCTGCTGTTTGACGAGTCGGCGTACGATCTAGGATGGGATGGCTCCAGGACGGCAGTGTCATTAGAAGTCCCCATGACGCCGTCGCTCGATTATTCAATTTATCTCATTAATTCCGTCAAGTTCCACGCAGGGCAGCTCTACCATCTTTTTGACGAAGGATCTTTCATGGAAGCTCTATATGCTTTCCACAACCAGTCAGACCACCAGGCGGCAGTCTCCCAACTATGGTATATCCAGTACTTGCTGCTGATCGCCTTCGGAAAGGCCTTTGTTGTACAGAGGAACCACGGGAATACTCCAGCTGGTTACGAATTCTTCCTGAAGGCACTTCAGCTACTTCCAGACATCACCCGCCTCAGCCGCGAGCCCATAATCGCTACCGAAGTTCTCTGCTGTATTGCTCTCTATTTGCAGTCTCTTGACTTTCGCTCATCAGCCTATGGATATGTAAGTATCCAGGTTTTGTTTCGCATCACACGCTAACTCCTCTCCAGATTGGACAGGCGGTTCGCATCGCCCTTGCGCAAGGAATGCACACGAATATGCCAGTAGACTCCCTTGGACCGGAAGTCGTCCAGCGATGTCGGAAAATATGGTGGACAGTATTTATCCTTGACCGACAAATGACGTCCCTGATGGGGTTACCACAATCACTCCAAGACAGCCAGATACATGATGAACTTCCGCTGTTTCCTTCATCGCCTCAGAAGTTGATTGCACTAAATCTCCAAAAGAAGATGTGTCACATCATTGCGGAGGTAAATAACAGTGAGTCCTCCAGCGTCTTTGGTTATACTCTCATTAACGGGCGTTGTTAGCGGTCTATGGTGCTGATGGGAGGTTGAATCGAAAATTCCTCTCGAGTACAAAAACAGCATTGTCCAGCACCGCGAGCTTAGGACCGGAACTTCGCGACTCCCATCCCTTGCAGCTTGATGAGACGTCTGTGAGCGGTATCTGCAGACTCTCTGCACATCTACATCTGCTCTACCACCAGGTATGTATATTCCCAACTTGACGCTGATGGAACTACCTAACACGCATCTAGTGCATAGTCCTGGCAACGCGACCACTATTGTTCTGCTTCTTGAAAATGAAACTCCAAGAGCCAACCACTCGGGTGAAACCGCTCACATTTTCTTCAGTCTCTCGCAAGTTGCTACAAGTTTGTGTCGATTCTGCTCGACAGATGCTCAGCATTCTGAGTAGCCTACAGAGGCAGAGCCTACTAGGTAAGGTCAATCCTAACCCATATGCCAATCAACCTCACAAGGTCCAGACAGTTTTCTGCCTTTCGACCTTGAATCCACGTTTGTTTCTACGTTCGTCTTGCTGATCGTCCCTGCCGTTGACCCCTGCCTTCTGGACGAGTCGGATAATTGGCTGCGCAAGTGTTACATGGTTCTGGATGAAATGATTTCGCGTGGCAACCGCATTGCTGCATATCGGAAGTCGGAGCTTGATCAATTAAGCCGTATGCTTGGGGAAACGTCGGACGAGTCATTAGGAAAGGTGGACTACGGCATGCGATCACAGCTGCCATCATTTCTGACGCCTCATAGCGATGATCACGCGGAGATAGATGGTAATGGGTTCACCACGGCGGAGATCATGGCTGTTGCGGAGTCCATTGATATTGGGGATGTGGATTGGATCGCCCATGCGGTGACGGAGAATCGAATCTGGTAGGAGGATATCAATCAAGTCAAGAAAAGTTCAACATTCTATACATCCCCGGTCTACTATCTACTTGATTATAGTTTCAACCGCCTTGGGCGGACTTCGGACAGTTCCCGGGTCTCTCCCACCCTCCAGCTAACGTCGCCTCCCCAATTCTTCTTGTCAACGTTGCCCTTCCATCTCCAACGCTTAATTCGCTGCTGCTTATCTGCGCTCGCCAAGAGGTCTGTCACCCACTTGCCGAAAATCGGAAACATCTTGAACCCATGACCGGAATCGCCAGACAGCAGGACCACCGAGGAGGATGTATGCGGCACATAGTCGATGATAAAGTCCGAATCGCTGGTGTCCGCAAACCAACACAGGGACTTGCGCACCAACGGACGGTCTGCCAGCGTTGGTAACGTTTGCGCCAATAGTTTCCTCATGCGCTGCTCGTCTTCCTGCGGCAGGAATGCACTCGTTTCTACCGCAGATGGGGGGTAGGATACTCCGGTCTTCGGATCCGTGTCGACGTACCCGCCACCCATAGGGCAAAGCTTGAGCAAATTAGTCTTGGGATCCGGCTCGAACAGGAAGCCCAGGTCTCGTGCATAGGTCACGGGGATTCCACGCAGCAAGGAGGTCTCTTCGTCCGTCAGATGTACATGAGCAACCGACCACGACTTGGCGACCACTTGGGTCCGGACTTGCGGTACGAGCCTGGCTGCTGCGGCCCCAACAGACACAATCACCAAGCTGGCCGGGTGGAAGCGGCCGTCTGCTGTGCGGACTCCGGTGGCCTTCTTGTGGATGTTGTCGGCATAGGCGATTTCCTGGACGGCTCCGTTGCGGCCACCTAGGAAGTATCGCGCCCCGGTTGCGCATGTGGCCCGGTAGACAGCCTTCAAGGCATTGGCTGAATGTGCATACCCGTCGAACTGGTTAAGATAGCCATGCCACTTTGGAAATTTGCCGTTGAATTGCCAGAAGCGCTGCCGGATAACATCGTCGGTGTTCAGAGGGACGACATGTGGGCGAATTTCGGGATGGTTCACGGCAGAATCACGGAAACGCTGTAGTGTATCAACCGCCTTTTGTGGAGCATCGCCGCTGACGCAGTGAAGATACCCGGTTTGGTGGAAGTGGGGGGCAAAGAGAGGATTAGATTTCCAGGCGTTGATTGCTTCCTGTGGAATGTTGTTAGCGCCAAGTCACCGATCTCAAGATCGAACGCGAGACTGACAATGGTCAAATCCGTGTAGAACCGATCTTCGTATTCTGCCCTCACAATCTTATTCAGATCGTTGGCGGCTGAGAAGCGCGATGGGATTTCTGGATCTTTATCGAAGACCGTGATATTGGTATAGCCGCTTTGGAGTAGGTGCCAGGCGGTCGACAAGCCGAACGCACCGGCCCCGACAATGGCGATGGGAGTGTCTTTGCCCGTCATGGTGAAAATACCCGATCAAGGTGCTAGATATGACTTCTAGTAAGAGCTGATATTAGGATCCACACCTCTATTTTTATGGATAGGAGCATGTACGCATAGAGCTGAACATCTGATATCCGGGACGCTGGCCGATTCCCTGTCGGGAGGATCTGCCGGTGCGGGGAATCAAGCGATAAGATGTCTCGATAACGGGAGTGGGGCAGGATCTTTTTGCCCGATCGAGTATCTCAATCGTGGGCATCTCACGGCGTTCTTCCCGCTGCTCTTCTTCATCCCCGGGAGGATTTCCCACTCGTCAATTCACGTCCACAACGGCAGCTTAACAAGACGAATTATGTCATGGTGTAAATCACAGCAGGATGAAGCTATGTCGGAGGAAAGCAGCATGATATCTGCGTCTCCCTAGTGTAGGGCTTTATACTGGGGATCTTTGCCCAATCAGGCTAAAAAGGCCCGAGACTCCCGAATCACTCTGAGGAGGAGACCGCTGCAGCAATTGCCAAAGCACATGTCGAAATGAAAGAAGAAGACCGTTTTTGGAAGATATTGGTCATGTCCAGTCCCAGATTGGGGATGTGTATGAGGACAAACCTACGCCTACGACGCCGTTTTTGGAGAAATCACGCAAGGTGGTCCCAACTACCGAAATGTGAAATGTGCGCACATGCCCCGATCCTTCCTGTGACATGAACCGACCATTGGTTAGGTTGGATAGATCGGAAGGGTGGCCCTGATGAAGAAGACTCAGATTGGACTGGGCATCGATGATGCTTGCCGGCTGATGTTTGGACCTGTTGGACGAGATGTCTGCTTTTGTCTCTGTGTGCCCCCCAATGGGAATCGCGGACTCTGGCTTGTCGCTAATAGATAGTCGTTAGATTGGATATTCGTTGCTGGACTGGGGAAAGCTTAGCATGTCCATTGCCTTGAATGCGGTCCTATCATCTCGGAGATGCGCAACCGCCGGAACTATACCCAGGCGTTGCTCATCTCTCAGGCCGGGTAACTTCGATCTATGTGGCGATCGACTGCGTGGTATACCACTACTGCAGCTCGTATGTTGCTTCGCGGGCCCTCGGGTCTGCAGGATCGACCATGAAGAAGGTATTCTACGAGTTTGCGTTGCTGGAGTTGGCTGCTTCCACTATTCTTGTGTCCCATGTACGCGTCTATAGACTTCTCTGCTTGAATATCTTGTATGCTGATACTTACTCTGCAGTTATCGGCAAAATAAATCTTTGTACGCATCCTCCCAGGGTCCAGACATTCAACTGGCAATACAATAAACCACTGGTGGACGTGGCTGGGCTGTACCTTGGCCATCACGTTAATTGCATACATAATTGCGAGTACAATCCCGGCCTTTGATGATATTGTCTCTCTGGTTGGCGCTTTGCTTGGGATTGTAATGTCATTCCAACCCATGGGATGTATGTGGCTTTACGACAATTGGACCAGAAGAAGGAGAGAGATCTTCCAAGTAGACCATGATCGTGTGCTGGGGTACTTTCGTCTGTGTGGCGTATTTCTGATGATATGGGCCATTATCAGTATCATCGACACCCCTTTAAGCACCGGCGGCTCCGGGGACAGGACCTTCGCCGACAACTCCAATTCAGCATGATGTCTGCGTGGGTTGGTGTGTGAAAGCACACGGGTGATTCTTGCGATCCGAACCGCCGGAAATAGATGCCACACCCGTAGTAGATAGCTGCCGACTAGATACGACCACTTTGGGTTAAAAGGACCAGCTTAGAGATCATCAGCGCCCACACCGTGGGTCAGTATTCTAGAAATTAGTGTGCTGGTTCCGACGGATTCTAGTGTATCACGACCGCCAGTGCAATGACGACATGGACACACGTGAAGACAGACAGGAGATAGCATCACAATCTTCACCATGGGCTAGGCTATCACAATGACAAAGACCTTACGTTTCCAAGTAGCGAAAGCTTAACCCTTTGGTAAGACGCGAAGCATTGGCTGACATGGGGGCCGTGGTCAGCGTATGAAGGAAAATCGGTCCGGTTAGATATCTATACAAGCACACCGTGTCAAGAGATCGCCTGCCCTCGATAGGGGCGGGGATGCCCCTTATATGTCATTCGCCATCATCACGGATGCCTAGGCATCATCCGGGTGATCACCATCGTCCGACGGTTTGGATCCCTCCCTCTCCGGTTCTATGCTGGGCTACCTGCCTAGAAGGAGGAAAGCCGCCGGCACACGGCATTCGAAAGGTCTAGATTAACGTGGAACTTCTCATGGAAAGCTTATGACGCTGAAGAACCAGGCTGCGATTCGCCACCAGCCCTCCCCCGGCTGCCTCTGGCAGACCTTCCTTCGGTGTACGGGCCGCTCGATAACAAACTTGAAGCCACTCGGTCCGGCTGGGGACGCCCCGATCAGGTGATCGGCTCTGGGGTCGAATCACGGCTGGGAATCAGGACCACCTGATAGTAGCCAACATCACGATGTGTTATCGATGTCGGAATAGGAGACCTGATAACCGCAAACACGTCGGTGTCGGTCACGTAGTGCCGTGTCAAAGGCCGGTTCATGATGGTCGTGGTGGCTATATAGAAGAGCGACAGTCGCGAACCAACTGTAGTTTCTGAGCACATCTAGACCACACAGCTTTGATTCAGATTCATCTCGTCCACTAGACATACACGCTTCATTTGCTTGCATTCATCATGTCATTCTTCAGGAATTTCTTTGGGACGTCCGCCCCAGCGGCAGAAGAGGTGGCAAAGGAGGAGAAGGAGCCCGTCCGTGCCCTGCCGGCGTCCTGGTACACCTCCCAGGCCATGTACGAGCTGGAACGGCGATCGATCTTCTCTCGAAAGTGGCTTCTGACCACCCATAAGCACCGCGTCCCCAACGCGGGCGACTGGGTGCCATATGACGCCGCTGGCTACGAGTTTGTCATCGCCAAAGACCACCAAGGGAACATCAAAGCTCTCCTGAGCAAGGACCTCTCGCCGGTTCACACGCATATCGACCAAAACGGCTTCGTCTGGGTCAACTTGGATAGTAGCGAGACGCCGGAGGTAGCCTGGAAGGACGACTTTGACGGTGTCGATGAGCAGCCTCGATTCCAATACTACAATTTCGAGGACTATGTCTTTGACCACACATGGGACATGGAGGGCGAGTTCAACTGGAAGATCCTCGCCGACAACTACAACGAGTGCTATCACTGCCAAGTTGCCCATCCCGACATTCCTACCATTGCCGACCTCAACTCCTACTACGTCAAGACCAAGGACGGCCACATTCAGCATTACGGGGCGCAGCGAGATGACCAAATCGCGAAAGGCTTCCGCATCGCCACCACCTACTTCTGGCCCAATGCATCCTTCAACATCTCGTGAGTAGATGCCCCTTATCGGAGTTGAACGCAGCTAACTGACCCTTCCAGCCCCCACTTCTTCTTCATGCAGCGATTCACACCCAAGGGTCCTACCAAATGCGTCATGCGATACGAGGTGTATCGCCACAAGGACGCCAGTGATGACGACTTCAACCTGATCAGTGACATGTACAAGCGGATCATGTCCGAGGACAAGTACCTTTGCATTCAGTCCCAGAAAAACCTGAACGCTGGTGTCTTCGTCAATGGCGAGCTTCACCCCGAGATGGAAAAGGGTCCTCTGCATTTCCAGAAGACGGTTCGTGATGTTGTTGTAGAACATCATAAGAAGGAGGAGGCCGCTGGGCACGAGATCTGGCCTGCGGATGCTCCCAAGAATGCTGCCGTCGGCGAAGATGAGATTTCCCTTCGCACAGGCACCGCGCAGTTTGACACGGAGAAAGACGACATGCAGAGTGCTCTCCAACCCAGTGTTGTGACTGCGATTTCCGTATAGATGTGGCGACGAAAGAGAGATCTTATTGTGATATGAATAATCTGATGGTGCATGGCGTTCATTTCATTTAGCATGTTCAAGAACTGGATAGCTTTGGGAATATTTCGAATTAATTCATGGTTTCTTCTATTGAACTCGGCTATTTACTGACGCAGATATATATTCCGAATTTCGTCTGTCTCACCAAGTGACAGTAATAAGATTGCCTCACCCACGTATCTATGCATACCTGTTCCCTGAGAGATATATCCTCTGCAAACACATGCCGGCCAAGGAGATACTATCGAATCATTTAGAGAGTCCTCTGCACTGCACATTTCCCCTGAATTCCAGTCTCGCATAAAGCATCCACATGGAAATAATCGGAAGAATCCTGCAAACTCTGCCACTGTCAATCGCAGCCCATTTGGAAGAAGAAGATGACAGATCCATGGTGCAGAATTCCGAAGCAGCAGGATCAGCAGCGCTATCAAATTGCTCCGGACGGGGCTGATTTTAGGAGGCCTATAGAAGGCCCTGAAAAGCCGAGCAGGAACCGCCAAGGAACCCACGCTGAGCCGTGTAGGCGATCTAAGTATATACTCGTACTAGGGCCCCCGATCTCGATATTGTGCACGACGATCAACCTTCAGATCGATCTATCAACACGAGAGATCTCGGACCCTTATATAAATATAAATTATAATGATCCAGTTGACGATGTGAACCTCCCAGCTCTAGATTTTCCCCTTTGCTGCTCAGTCTTTAGTTATTTTGACCCCGACTGGGTCATCCACTCTTTGAAACAACTCTCAAGTCACTCTTTTGTGTCTTCACTCGTTTATTCCCGCCTGAAGGGATTTCCTTCGTTTAATATTCTTTCCTGCTAGCATGGCCCCCATCCGGTCATGGATTGGGCTGCTGTTGTGCCCGTTGCTGGCCCTGGCCCGCAGGGAGTCCGGTAGCATCATCCCGAGGACATACATTGTGGAATTCAGCGATGAGCATGTCGTAAGAAACAACTTCCCCTGAGTATGGATAATGCAGTGCTAATCTACTCCAGACCACGGACACCTTTCTTGTCGATCTTGCAAAACGCGATGTTCCGGCAACCCTTGGTACCGATCTGTCATTTTCTCTTTTCAACGGTGCATCAATCAAGTTGCCAGGGCACACCCATAATAAGCGTTCCGTACTCCAGACCATCTCTTCCATGTCGTCGGTGAAAACGATCACTCCTGTGAGGGAAGTCCACCCTCCCACACGGCGGGTCATGACCGCAGGAGACGCAACTTTCTCTCATAGCGCATCCAACCTGCACCGCCGCGACGTCGATACTCAAGTGGAGGTGCCGCATCAGATGACGGGTGTGGACAAGCTCCGTGCCGAAGGATACTATGGTTCAGGACTTCGGGTTGCTGTGGTCGACAGTGGCATTGATTATAAGCATCCGGCTCTGGGTGGTTGCTATGGCGAAGGTTGCCTTGTCGCCTTTGGTTATGATCTGGTGAACGACGTGAACGACCCCTACGACAACTGTGATGGACACGGTATTATATTACTATATTATCCGTTATTGTGTTTGGACCTTGCTAATGCAGCGTACAGGAACCCATGTGTCCGGTCTCATTGCAGCCCAGACGAACCCGTACAATTTCACTGGTGTCGCACCGAACGTGACTCTCGGCCACTATAAAGTATCGAACTGCGGCCAGAGTGCCTCGACGGAGCGACTCATGCAAGCTTTCAAGCTTGCCTTCGAAGCTAAGGCTGATATCATTACTACATCTGTCGGTGGCTACAGCGGTTGGTCGGAAGGTTTGCTCTCCTTGTCCTCACTCTGATAGACGGCACTAACTCGTATCCCATAGAGCCATGGGGCGTGCTTCTCCAACGGATCGTTGCTGCTGGTGTTCCTTGCCTTGTTGCAGTTGGTAATGATGGGTTCTATGGCCCATTCCTTGCATCTAACGGCGCAGATGGCAAGGGCGCCACGGGTGTCGGGGCCGTCAACAACCTGTTGGCCCCAATGCTGCTCACCCGTGCCACCTACTCGACAAGAAACACCACTAAGGAATTTGGCTGGTCGATCTCTGGACACGCCGACTTTGTCAACGGCACCTACGAGCTCCACCCCGTAAGCCTCAACGCCTCGGTCGAAGGCGACGCCTGCCAGCCCTTCCCATCCAACACTCCCGATATCTCCAACAAGATTGTCCTCATTCGCCGGGGAGGATGTGGCTTTGCAAAAAAGGCCAAGAATGCTGCGGACGCCGGTGCAAAGAACATCCTGTTTTACAACAACGGCCCGGGAACCGATGACTTTTCATTCCCCGCTGGCGACTTGGTCGGTGTTGGAATGGTCCCGACCTCGGTTGGTGAAGAGTGGGTGAAACTGGTTGCTAGCAACGTCTCTGTCAGTCTGCACATGGTCAGCAAGAAGCATGCGCCGAAGATCTACATCGCCGAGAAAAACAAGCAGTCTGGCGGATTTGTCGCCGACTTTTCGCAGTGGGGTCCAACAAACGAACTGGTCGCTCTGCCGACAGTTGTTTCTCCCGGTGGTTTCATGTTGTCGACGTATCCGCTTGATATGGGAGGCTATGCGGTGGAATCCGGAACTTCCATGGCGACGCCCTATTTCGCAGGTTGCATCGCCCTCCTGTTGGAAGCGCGAGGAAAGATTTCTCCTGCCACCGTCAATACTCTCTTTGCCGCCAACGCTAATCCTAATGTCTTGCACGATGGTGTTACAGCCTATCCCTACCTCGACTCCGTCGCTCACCAAGGCGCCGGACTGATCAACGTGTACGAGGCCGCCCATGCGACGACTATTCTGAACGTGAGCAGTATCGCTTTTAACGACACGGAGAATCTGGCACCGGTGACTTTCAGTGTCAACAACACTGGTTCGGAGAGTGTTGAGTACTCCATTGGCCAAGTGGATAGTGCTACGTTCTATACCCTTCCCGCCGATGGCAGTCCTGTTCCCGCCACATTCGACGCTGGAGATTTCATGGAAATGAGCAACGAGCATGCGTCGTTATCGTTCAGCTCGCAGAGCATTACCATTCCGCCGGGAGAAGTCTCTGTCGTCACCGTCTCAGCCACCCAGCCACAAGGACTCAACGAATCCCGACTCCCCATCTACAGTGGCTACGTTACTTTGAATGGCACAAACGGAGACTCGTTCTCCATCCCGTATCTGGGTGCCGCAGCGGCGATGCGCAACGTCACCATCCTAAACAGCCTCCACGGTAAGAATTATCTGAGCTCCAGTATCAGCCGCAGCCCCGTGCAGGCTGGTCACACTTTCATCCTGCCCGCCCCCAACTCCACGACCGCCGGAAACAACACAAGCAACCCGGTCTTCAACCTTCGTCTCTCGATGGGAACGCGCCTGCTGCGGATTGATGTCAAGCCCGCGAATGCTACCTCGAACGCGACTAGGGTCCTTGGAGAGCCCATTCTGGGTCAAATTTCGGGATATCCAGAGCGGTTTCTGTCTCGACAGGCCTTCCGCTCTCGGCCTATCCATTGGAATGGTGAACTGGATAATGGCAAGTTCGCCCCTCCAGGTACTTATTCACTCCTCGTGAGAGCGCTCAAGATCTTTGGGAATGAAGAGAACGAAGAGGACTACGATGTGGTGGAAACGCCGCAATTCAAGCTGAAGTATGAGGGACAGGGAGCGATTGCTGCCCGTTGGCGTGGCCGCGGTTTTTGATTTATTGATTCTGTAAGAGATTCGATCATCTAGACCTGTATATACCAGGAGACATAATGTAATTAGTTGGCATCGTCTGTCGAAAACGTATCCCGACTATTAATAATGGATAGAACGGCGCCAGGCAGCTCGCAGCCTGCACTATCACCATTCGAGCATAGTTTCTGCAGCCCCGCACATTCTGTCTACCCCTGTCTCCCCCCGGCTATCGACATGCACATTGCCCTACCTACTTAAGAATCCGGTATGAGAATGGCGCTGTTCAAGCTACCACGAGAGATTCTGACCGAAATATACTGCAACCTTTCGCATACTCATGATGCCATAAATTTGGCACAAACATGCACCGCGGCCAGTGAGCTACTACGTCGGCCCCTCAGTTGCCGTAGAATTCTGCAATCGATCGTTTCTAGAAATGACAGAGCACGTCAAGACGATATCGACTTCTCTGGTACTGTATCTTACAATTGTGGTGTTGGAAGATACTGATACTTTGGCAGTCCTGAATAACATTCACGCCGACTTGCTCCTCGACAATGCGCTTGGTCCGACTGCAACATCACTATCCGATTTCTTGGTGCAATTTGAATGCGTCGACAGTGAATCTCTTATGGACACGATCATCATCAAAAGCGCCCGATATCAGAGGAAGTTAATGGAAGAGTCTCCTTCCACGGCGACCAGCAGTAGAACAATCATAGCCCGGTGCTTGCATTGTTTTGTTATCGTGTCCAAGATTGCCCATAAATTGCACGAAAAAATAGACCATGGGGACATAAAGGCGTACTGCTCCAGGCTTGAACGGAGCAGTTCTAACCGCGTGGGTAACATCAAACCCCTTTCATCCCTTTTGTTTGGCATACTTGAGGATCTGGAAAAGATGGTCCGGCAGGGAACACCCAAGGAATGGCCTATTATTTTGACAGTTCTCTGCATCTTCAACTGGATGATAATTGAGCAGCATCGAGAAGATCACGAAATAGCGAGCCTGTTGGATGAGATCGATACAGAACCAGTGATACCCCTTGGCCATCTGGCGTCTCCTCTGACTACGCTCACCCGAATGTTCTACATTCAAATGAGAGGCAACCATCCCTTCCGAAGTTCGTGGGATTGTGATGCGTATTCCAAACTTGTCCAGGGTGATTCTTGCGCAACAGGCCAATTCGATATGCTCCACAAAGCTTGGATCGTTGCGAGTGAGTTGATCATTTCTTCTTCTCCTGATTTTGTCTGACATATGTTGTTATAGCTTGTGCAGAGGACTGTGCCGTTGAACTTGATCTTGATGGCAATGGCTATCAGAGGGTGGAGGTCTCGGATTCTTATGAACACCAACTACAAGAAGGCTTGTCAGGCTGGGTGGAGAGGGTTGAATGTTTTTGCCATGGACCGTCCTTCGTGTTTGAACGTTACCCACCATTAGCTGCTTCTCTTAAGCTTTGGGAGTTGAAATCTTTGGATACAGACTGTTTAGAATGGTGACCCCGATTACCTACCAGTCAATGACTGTATTCAAGATTGGAATGTTGCATTGCATGCTTCTAATTGCTCCCAGAGCCAACACGACTGAAAAGAATTCAGTGGTTTCTGCCCCGCTACGAACGCAACGTGGTCTATATGCGACTTGATACAGAGCTCGTCAAGCTGATACTCTTTTGTCACTGGCATGCATGTGCGCCAATGTACGTCCAAACAAGCTCCTTATTCGAGATGGATCCTTGATCCACTCTGACAATGTGTTCCTCACCAGGGACGAGGTCAAATCCGTTGTCACTCAACTTTAGCCCTTGATGCTCCTCGATCACGAACCCTTTAACAGGCAGATCAGCTGAAACGGTAATCTGGTCCTTTGACGGCGAGACTTGGACCTTGACATTTCGATTCGAAAAATCCAGATACTTCAGAGGCTGAGGCCAAGCGATGTCCGTAGCCACAACGTCCCCTCCAGTACTGATGACTGCGTAAATAATGAATGGATCATAATCGCCAGGATGTTGAGGAGGGCACATCCTCGCATATTCATTTTTAAGCACCTCCGTCGTGGCATTGGGCTCTGCCAACCTCTTAGTTGTGATAGTCTCACCGATGAGTTTTCCCGAACGGATGGAGATGAATTTGACGGTCACATCAATCTCGACCGCTTCTTGCAGGCTGCTCGCAATCCACACATCGAAATTGCATGAATTGGTTGCCATCGGATTAGCGTGGCCTGTAGTCCAGACTGGACAATCCCGAGCGATGCCCACATCAAGTGGCTTCAATGCGCGTGCAATGGCATAGAAAGCCGGCTTTTTGACCAAGTAATAATCCACAATAGCCCATGACATGGTGGGCCAGCAATCGTTCAGCTGCCAGACAAGTGCTCCACCACATTGCCTTGTCCCTTGTCGTCCCCACATCCTTCTCCAAGTCTTGTATGCATACCGCATTGTCTCGGCTTGGAGAACATGGGTGACATGAGTGAAAGCCTGTAGGTCCGACGGCACCAAGAAGTTCTCCGCGACGTATGTCATGAGACGGCGCTCGTGGTCAATTGCCTTGTTGCGGAAATCCATCATCATCGAGCCGGGGCGTTGTTGGGCTGGGTCGGTAATGACACGACGAATTGTTTCCAGGTGAGGATAGGCTTCCATCCCAAATTCGCTGATGAATCGTCCTGCGAGGTCGGCGCAGTCCTGGTATTTTCGCATTTGACCATGCCAGACTGTACATACTGTTAGTTCATGAAGGAAGATCTCTGATGAATGAGTGGTTGGCAGAAAGGTTAACTTACTATCCCACTGATGAATATCGCCCACGGTCGGATCAGCTGAGTGTTTACGATCACCCCACGGACTTCCGGGATGGTAGATCTTGGATGGATCCTCCTCCTGGATCCATTTTGGGAGCAGATACTCGTAGGTGTATCGGGCTGGAAATGTGGATTTCCGCCACGATTCGGGATCGTTATCTTCTGGATCGTACTCCAACTTGTATCTCTCCAGGACTTGGTAGTCCTCATTGTTTCCGGCCCAGATGACCACAGAGGGGTGTGACCTGAACCGTCGGATATTTTGGCGTGCTTCCTCCTCAATCGAGGCTAGAAACGAGGGATATACAGGGTAGCTGGCACAGGCAAACGCAAAATCTTGCCAAACCAAGACGCCCATCTCATCGCATGCATCCAAGAACGCATCGTCCTCATAGATTCCACCACCCCATACACGAATCATGATCTGGTTGGATTCCACCAGGAGTTTAATCCAGTCGAAATAGCGGTCTCTAGACATCTGCGCCAGGAAGCTGTCTGGGGGGATCCAGCATGATCCACCGCAGAAGATGTCGATACTGTTGACTCGGAAGTAGAAAGACTTGCCAAACTCGTCTTGTTCTTGGACTAGCTCGCAGTGGCGAAACCCGACAAGCTTGGATTGAGAATCGAGCCTTGCGCCTTTTCGAAGGAGCTCTGCAGCCAATCGATAGCGTGACGGCTGTCCATAGCCGAGGGGATACCACAACGAGGGCGAGTCGAGCTGAAAGGCTGCCTTTACCAGCCCATCAGGCCCGACCCGACAAGTTTGCTTGACAGCCTCCACATCTTGGCCCACGAGCGATAGAGTGACCGTATCCCCTTCCTGAAGTCCCTTGCCTAACTTCGCATATAAGTGTCCAGAGACACGTTGAAGGCCAGGAGAAACCTCGTACTCGACCCATACATCGTCAATTCTCGCAATGTATTGCTCCAGTACAACAGGGCGCCACGGCCCAGCAGTCATTAAGATGGGACCCCAATCCCAGCCCCAGTTATACTGGGCTTTGCGGACAGGAATGCGGCTTGCCTCAGTCTGGCGGACGTGGAATGTATGCTCTGGATGTTGCTGGATCAGTTCTCGACCCCGCAAGAGGGCCGAATGGAAGATGATCTGGAGCTCATTCTCCTGGTCACTGTGCAAGAACTTTGAAACATCCACTCTGTAGCTGGTATGCATGTTTTCTGACTCCAGAATGGTAGTCCCATTGAGAATGACAGTAGCAAAAGTGTCCAGCCCACGGAAGACTAAGTCAGTGGTCACTTTCTCCGATGACAGGGCTGTAGAGAAATTGGTCCGGTAGACCCAATCCTTTTCTGCGATCCATTGTACCTCAAGTTCATTAGCATCGACAAACGGGTCAGGTATCCTAAGCAAGTGTTATTGGTGCTTGAGAAGAAGTCTAGTACGAGATTGAGGGAATAGAACAGACTTTTTGTTGGCGAGAAGATCAATGTGGACTTGACTTGGGACTTTTTTCACTGGAAGCCAACTACTCATGGTTGAGCCTCCGTGCTCCTTCATAACCCAGCCGGTGCTGAGTTCCTGCGTGAGCTTTTGCATGTTGCTACCTGAAAACGAGGTGGTCTTGTGAAGGCCGCGATGACCAGAGTGGAAGCAAAGTCGCCCTTAGAATGGTTGAAAGATTCAGTAATGCACTTTGCATCTTCATGTCGTCTAGCTCGCCTTGTTAAAGTAACACAACACGACATCCCCCACGCCGACTCTGGTGACTTGAATCAATTGCGGGGAAAGACCGTGTTATTCCCGTACCCAAAACGGCACGGGATTTCAAATCCCCACGAGACACACGGAGATCTTCACCCGCGCCTCAGGCTTTGTGCTATTTATGATGACTAGCGAGAAAGAGCGAGGAGCTGCTGTCAGGGCAAGCACAGCGAACAAGAGACACGCCAAAAGGTTAGCAAAGCATGTTCCGATTGTCCGACTGTAAGTCAGCCCTGGGCTGTAAAATATGTCAGGCTAAGTCGTCAAACTCCAGTACGAAATCATATCAGCGAAAGCAGTTGCTGGATCGCCATCCATGGACATGTTTATGATGTGAGTTTGAGCGGTTTTAATAATATTTGTATTTGGTCTCATTAACGTTGTACTCAGATCACAAAGTTCCTAGGCAGTCATCCAGGCGGGAAAGCGATCATCCTCCAACACGCGGGAATTGACGCCACTGCTGCCTTTGGGGATGTACATGCTGCGGAGCTGCTGGATGAATATCCCGACTCCGTTCAACGCCTCGGTCGACTGGGATCCAGCTCTCGGGGCGGTAAAGAAGCAAAAGCCGTTAAAACTCCCGATATGGCGACAATATTGAGTGTAGCGGAGCTAGAGAGCCTAGCTCATGAGCGTCTCAGTCCCAAAGCACTCGCATATTACGCATCCGGCTCCGATGATGAGATCACAAAAACCGCGAATGGAAACATTTTCAAGTCTATCTTGTTCAGACCTCGGATATTCGTGGATTGTTCCTCCTGTTCCTTGTCAGTAACAATCATGGGCAACCAAGTGGGACTGCCAATCTTTATTTCTCCAGCGGCGATGGCGAAGCTGGCACACCCATCCGGCGAAGCTGGCATCGCGTCTGCATGCTCCAGATTCAATGCGCTTCAGATAATTAGCAAAAATGCATCCATGTCAGTGGCAGACATCGTGCGAGCAGGTCCAGATGCAGTATTTGCCTGGCAGCTTTACGTGCTGAAAGATATGAACGTCACAGAGCGAATTTTGGCCCAGGTCAGCAAGATCCCACAGATCAAGTTTATCGTTTTAACACTCGACGCTCCGTTTCCCGGAAAGCGCGAGGCGGATGAGCGTTACAAAGCAGCGGTAGTGGCAGCTGGAGCTCCTCCGCAGGTTTGGGGGACCAATGCCACCCTCACTTGGAAAAAGACATTGAACTGGCTATGCGGGCACACTCGACTGCCTATTGTTCTGAAGGGCGTGCAGACGCACGAAGATGCATATCTAGCAACACAGTTTCCTGCCGTTAAGGGCATCATTCTGTCCAACCACGGCGGACGTGCGCTTGACTCGGCCAACACGCCTATGCAGGTTTTGTTGGAGATACAAAAATTCTGTCCTCAGGTCCTGAACCAGCTCGAAGTCTTCATTGATGATGGCATCAAGAGAGGCACAGATGTAGTCAAGGCTCTTGCTATGGGAGCTAAGGCGGTCGGACTTGGTCGAGCAGCGCTTTACGGGCTGGCAGTTGGCGGAGAGGAGGGTGTACACAAAGCCCTACAGAGTAAGTCGGCATTATCCTCTGTATATAACGTTAGTACGGTTTTGACGCTGTCTTATAGTTCTTGCTGATGAGACCACAACCGCTATGAGACTCCTGGGCGTGAGTAACGTGAGTGATTTGGGACCACATCATGTAAGTACCGAGTCGTGCAACTAAGCTTCTTCAACAAATGACCCCGAGATTTGAGACATTTATTCAGTTAATATAAACAGGTAAACACCGCTGCGTTGAACTCCCTCCTCTATGATGGCCCTTCCAAATTCGAAACGATCGAAGAGGGAACCAGAGCAAGATTATAGACATCCATATAGGGAGTTTTCAGCAAATCTCTTCCATCGACGTCTCTCAACTTATACCGCACGATAGTTGATTGTTTTGACGGCCATTTTCAATTCTAATTAAGAATATTCGCGTTGCGCCTAGTTGCCTTAGAAATTACATATGATATGAACGCTGGTTTCGCCACCATGCATTGTTAGGGATCCTATACAGAACACACCCGGGCTACTTGACCGATCCATGACATACGTTGGGACGAACGAATACAGATACTCAAATGTTAGGAGATAAGATATATGCGAGAGTTTATATGTTGTTAACGCAGCATTCTACTCTGTATCAATTCTCTCAGGCGATTCTGAAGATGCTGCTCAGCATCCCACGGATTGAGCAGTCACTACGTTGGGTTGAAGCCAGGACCCCCACGGAAAACGGCCAGACTTCCGTCTCTTGACGTAGCAGTGGTAACAATGCAAGTCTCCTTTTTTGTCACTTGACTAAGTACTGTAAGAAGTTGCGGCTGTTTGCACACCACACTGCCTACTGCTGGCGTGGACGGGAATTCATATTCCCGTTCGACGGATCCAGCCTAGCCTCGAAAATGCAATGTTTCCCCGTGGGGATGGAAGGACAGAAACTTTACTACTAGACCAGTATCATCCAACATGCCTCTATAAAAGCCCTTCAACGGCCGATCATCGGTCATGAGGGAGATGTCGCTCATCATCCATGTTCCAACCGAGAAACGCATTCATATCCTTCGTCAAATCTGTCCTACCAGGCCCACACATTCTCTTTGACAGAGAACACTACCGTGCACCTTACCAATGGCACACACAAAAAAAGACACTGTACTGAAGGAGGTTGAGGATGTAGAGGATTCGATGGAAACCTATGCCAAAATCCTGGCTAGCAACAAGCCCAATCCACTAGGGCCAGGATATATCAAGCTATATTTGCTGTCCGCAGTGGTGTTTCTGTGCTCGACCATGAATGGTATACCCAGTTCCAACTACGATGATAGCTAAGATATGTCTAACTTGAGACACAGGGTTTGATAGTTCGTTGATGGGATCGATCAATGCGCTCCCAAACTACATCAGCTACTTTAACTTGCCGGAAAACGGCAACGCAAGCACGGGCATTGTCTTTGCCATTTTCCAGGTGATGCTTCTGACCAGATACAACTTGGGCGATGTTAATGACTTTCCAGGTTGGCCAAATGTGTGGTGCACTATTCATCTGGATGACTGATTGGTACGGACGAACATGGCGCATCTTCTTTGGATGTCTGGGGGTCTGCATTGGCACAATCATCACCTCCGTGGCCACATCTCTCCCGATGTTCATCGCTGGCCGGTTTCTGCTGTCCTTCTTCGCGACTTGCGCTCACACTGCTGCTCCCCTTTATCTGGTTGAGATCGCCCCGCCTATTTATCGCGGGACGATTGCAGGAATGTATAACACATTTTACAACGTTGTGAGTGTTGCGTGGCCCGTCACTCGTGGGAGATCAAATTGACCAAGTCGCAACATGGTATAGGGCTCCGTTTTCTCAACATCAGCTGTGTATACATGTCACAAATACCTATCTCACGACAGTGACCTGGATTGGCGACTCCCTCTGTGGCTTCAGATAGTGTGTCCGGGTCTGGTTTGTCTGATCATCAAATTTTACCCAGAATCCCCTCGATGGTATGCCGTCTGACTCTCGGTCCTCTTTTTATGTGGAGATCTCGGGATCAAACATAAACTGACTGGCCATTTGCGAAAGGCTTGTTTCCAAAGACCGCCATGGCGAGGCTCAGGATATCATTGCCACATATCACGCCAATGGCGACGCCGAGCATCCTCTTGTGGCACTCCAGATGAGGGAGATGCTTGCTACTGTTGACCGCGAGCACCAGTCCTCCTGGAAAGACCTCTTTGACCTCCGAGTCCTTGTTGAATCCAGGTCCAGTCGTTATCGCCTGATGCTGAACGTAGCTTTCTCTTGGTTCGGCCAATTCAGTGGAAACAAGTAAGCCGTTGCCGTCCAGTTTACTAGAATGCGAAACCCCTGACGGCGCGTTTAGCATTGTATCCTATTACCTGCCCATCATGCTCAATGGGATCGGTATCACTGACACTGACCTAAAACTGATACTCAACATCGTATATGCAGTCATCGGCTGGGTGGCGTCTATATTCGGCTCTCGCCTTCACGATGTCGTGGGGCGTCGCAAGATGCTCATGAGCACTACGGCGGGTATGACGGTTTGCCTGGCTATCGTCGCCGCGTGCGCTGCTGGGTATACCGAATATGGCAACCAAACTGCATCGACCGTCAGCATTGTGTTCATCTTCATGTTTGGTGCTATCTTTGCTTGTGGCTTCACGCCGATGCAACCCATCTACCCGGCAGAGGTTGTGAGTAATAAGATGCGAGCCAAGGCCATGGGGACATTCAAATTGACAGCTGGAGCGGCCGGGTTCTTGAATACATTTGTCGGCCCTATTGCATTGTCCAACGTGGGTTTTCCATTCCAGTTTTCCTGTCCCAACAAGTCTGGACTAATGCGTCTTCTAGATCGGATACTGGTTCTATGTGTTCTTCGTTTTCTGGGACACTTTTGAGTTGGCTTTTATGTATTTCTTCTTTGTGGAAACGAAAGGATCGACCTTGGAGGAGCTGGATGTCTTTTTCAAAGCGAAAAACCCACGAAAGGCTAGCATTGAAGCTGTCAAAGCCCGAAAGCGGATTATTCGAGGACAAAGAGATTCTGTTTGACAATCTCATGAAATTCATTATGTGTATCTTTGTAAGTAAAGTTTGCTAAGCACTTCATCCCGACATCACATCCAGAATATATCCCTAATAAGCGACAAGGGAACCAAGAGTAGATCGTAGGAGGATTCTTGCAAAAAACAGAGGGTTCCATAGAAACTACACATGGTATATCCATCTCGCCAATCTTGTTGAGATAAGTTGTGTACAGCTGGAGATTTTCGTCTACTTAATCGAGTCTCGCTTCGCCATATGGTCAAAATCAAGTGCTTAGCGGGAAATATCAGCAGTGGATCGGCTATCGGGTAAACTTCATCCTCCCCACATTCCCTCCAGTTGCGTTTTTGACTGTGATGAGCGCACATGAGAGGCAGAGTTAGATGCCACTTTAAGGACAAAAGACAATGACTGGCCATTTCTGTGAGAGCCGATTAGTAGGATCACTAGCAGCCATCGCCTCATCATACAATGTTCCACACCTTTGAAACCAGGACGCCAGGCGGGTCTGTGACGCCAAGGCTCGAGACAGCGCGCAAAGTGAATAAGTCATGCTCCGAATGCACACGCCGCAAGGTGAAATGCGATGGAGGTAGCCCGTGCACAAGTTGTGTGTACTATAGGATTCCTGGGTCGTGTACCTATCGACAGCGGACCAGACGGCAGACGGCGAGCAGGAGGTAAGCCCTCCCCAGGTCCTATGGTATCCGCGGGTCAAGTTGCTGAGAAGAGTTGCATGGTGCTGCTTCATACAGTGCCTTAAACAAAGCTACCGAGACAGTCCGTCGGCAGGCGGCGGTTCTTCAAGTGCTGTTTCCTCACGTCACTTTGGATGATCTGGTGGACAAGGACCGAGCTGAGCTCATCCGTCTTCTATCGCAATCTTCCTCAACAAACGCAGATCTACCAGCAGAAAGATTCGTCGTGGCGTCATCCGTGTCCGACAGCCCAGAAAACGATCCCAGTGCATTGGAGGAGTCAGATGAAGCAGATGATTCGGAGGACCGGCATTGGGACGAGTCAGCAAAAGACCCTGCAACTCTGGCAACCAGCGACGATATCAACGCCATTGGGCTGGCGGGCGACCGACGCCGCCGGTCATATCTGGGGATTTGCTCGGTAGGTGCGGTTCTCAAAGCATTATTCCGGCTTTGTCCAGGCGCAAAAGAGTGCATCATAGAAGACTCCAAGCTCTGGGCCCCCGTCCAACCGGACGACACTCGCCCTGCACTCCTACCCCAAGGCCTTGCCATGACTCCATTATTGGACTCACTGAGAGAATTGCGCTATATCACATTCTACTTTGACAACGTTCACGCAATCACGCCTTTCTTGCATGAGGAGTCGTTCAGAGCAAAATTCACGATTAGAGATCAACAAGGCTCCTCATGGTTGGGTCTCTGCAACATGGTCCTCACGGTGGGATCCATCGCTTCTGGCAGTGATACAGCTCACATCCACTACTATAACCAGGCTCGCTCGTACCTCGATCTAGATTCATTGGGTTCTGGTAACTTGGAGACGTTACAGGCGCTGTGCTTACTTGGCGGGTACTATCTGCATTACCGAAACTCCCCAAACATGGCATATTCAATCCTGGGCGCCGCTCAGCGCTTGGCCATAGCGTTGGGCTTACACCGAGAGCCGCCCACTCGAAACGAACAGCCTAACCCTGAGACACGCGGATCCTATGCGCTTCGGCTCGAGACTCGGCGTCGCACTTGGTGGAGTCTTTACTGTCTCGATACCTGGGCGAGTATGACGCTAGGCCGACCGACTTGCGGCCGATGGGATACAGCCACTATGAATACATCGTTGCCCTGCACCCTCCATTCAGAGGACCATTTCGCTACGTCCTTAAGGGCCAGCGTCGAGTTCTGCCACATCTGTAACCGTCTCCAACATCGCTTCGCCCAATTTATCCGGATCAGCGTCCATGAAGCCCAGGCCTTGGACTACGATCTTCAGCGGTGGTATGACGGCCTTCATCCAGTCCTGCAGCATACAACAGACGCTCCGCCGCGAATGAGTGTCGCGCGCGAATTCCTACGCAACAGATACTACAACGCGCGATTGATCCTGTCGCGCTGTTTCTTGCTCTACATGGCCTATGAGGATACTAAAAGGCGCCATCCTCACTCAGCGGAGCAGCAGATGGCGGGCATGTGTCGTTCCATTGCTGGAGAGACCATCGATGCAATCGCACTCCACTGGGTCCCCAATCGCACACAGGTCTGGAATGCTGCCTGGTATCTCTTCCAAGCCTGCATGGTGCCGCTGCTATCCATAGCCATGGCTAATACGTCCGATCACGCTGCAGTTGACCCTGCGGACGTCTCGGCCTGGTACGCCAGCTTGCACAAGGCCCTTGAAGCCTTCTCAGAGATGAGGCCATGGATGCGGGCATCGGATCGCGCCCCAAACATCGTTGCTGTTCTGCTCCGAGCCGTGTCGCAGGGACCCGACGGATCTATACACACACCATCCGTGACGGATGGCGCATTGAATCTCTTTGGGATGTCTGATGAGTTTCTCATCGAAATGGACTGGAGCGAGCTTCCCAATGACGAGAATATGTTCCAAAGTCTGTTTCCATTGACATGAACACGATCCAATTCTATCGGTTTTGTGAATTACACCGAACGGAATTCAACTTCTGCCCCAGCCCGCTTGTATGAACGGCGGAGTGACTGGCCGCAATCATTGTCAGAGGGTATCGACGGGAACATGGTATCACTGCAGTTGTTAAGGACAAGTATGCTTTTATCGGTCTGTGCTGCTTCCGCAAGTGTGGTTTATCGGTACGTGGCTGGTTCTGCGTAGTTTCCTTGAAGTCAAACCCTGAATATTGAGAAGTGACAATGGCCCAGGACTAGGCCTTCAAGTCCAGTGTTGGTACCTAGTTTTCCTAGAGAATGCGAATCTTGACGAAGTCGTTTCAACATTACCCTTCCTTCCTTGGATCTGCCGCCATCTGGCATCCGATGGCATTGGCGTGACAGAGTATCTGAAGCAGAGGGTTCAGGGATGGGGATTTCAAAGGGACGTATCGAGCGATTTGGATGATTTTTGTTGTCTCACCTGCCGGCTCGACTACCAAATCGACGCGAGAGACTGTGGCGCGGATGGGAGAGCCATAGTGTTGACCCGATGGTGGGATCTTGAGGGCGGACTGGATAGAAAAGATCCTCAGTGGAAAATGCACAACAGGTGCCTTCTTCTGGGGGAGGTGGCATTGGTGAGAGGGTCAGGTAGGGTTCGGAGATGCTTCGAGGCGTCCGGAGAAGAGGAAGGGTCTGACGGTACCACAGAACGAGACGAGAAATATCTGCAGGGAAAGCAGTATAAGACCAAGATGTACCCGACGCGCTCATGGCGTTGGTTGACGCCGGGAGATGGATGACTTTCCCGAATGGCAGTACGTTCCCTCCCTGCAGGTGTACATGCAAACAACGCTCCTCTACTGGCTCCCTTCTATTGTCTTGTCTGACCGTTAGAGAACTGGTTGGCCTTGCATGAGGGCTGAGACGGATTGCGAGTATTTCGGGCGGAATAAACTGTTTTTTTTCCATCTTGCCTACATAGGTAGTTGAGAAGCTCACTGTCAGACGTAAAAATGACCCCTAGGCCACCAAAAGTGTGGACACTCTAATGGGGCCCCGTATAGTCGTAATCTTGATTAACACGTAATCTTGATTAACACGTACTCTGATCGCCTCCTCCTCGCTAGATATAGTATATAGTAGACCAGGGTGGACCATTGGTCTACCACCCTGGGGCTGGAGCTGTTTATCCCATACATCCAGCGGGTCCCATCGGCTCACCATCCGAAGTTCTTCCGAAGTAACTATCCGTCTTCGTGGACTGGTTAACTTGATACGCCCATTATAAAACAAGGGAAATTGAAAGTTTGCTAGTGTTTGTTATATGTATGTTCGCTTTCTATGATTCAATTTTTAATCTTCTCTTGCATGGTGTTATGTGGTAGATCTATGGACTGCGCCGAGGAAGCATAGTTGAATGCGTCTCACAGCCTGGGCACGCAGGAGTTTGAAGCAAGGAGTGAAAGGCTGAGTAAGATTTCTAAGAAATGGATGGCACCTGGACTGGCGCATATCGAACGAGTATAGGACGTATGATGCAAGCCAATACGGAGTACTCCGTCTGATCCTGTTTACCGATGACGTAGAGTTAGATCCTCAGATCCGGCAGCCACTCTGCAGACCAAATCGTATCTTGGCCCTCTGTGGGTACTCCGTGTACTCCGTAGGCTTCAACTTGGACCTTCTTGCTTCCGCATCAATTTGGATACGGACACGAGAAGAAAGTAGAGAATCGTTGACCGGGGGGAATAGGCGTAGACGACCGCCATCATTTGTCGCATCGATAGTATTATTTATTTAGATGCCTGTTTGAATTGGGTTTTTCTGCAGAACCAGCTGGAATACTCCGTGAAGAAGGCATGAAAGCTGAACGTGGGCTTAGGCTAAATTTTATCCCCACACGGAGAACTGGCTAAAAAGTCAACACGGTTCTGCGACGGGAGATGTATGATCGACATGTTCCCTGCTCCTTTCCACACGGAGGATGAATCCCTATTCGATGATACCCATGAGAGCCCGCGATCAGGTGAAACTCATCTCGTATGATCCAGCTAGTCCCTGCATCTATCGGGAACATCTCCGTAGGCGGGAAGTATCAAGCCAGGTACATAAAGATCGCTCGGTTCGCACTCCTCCGTACCATCGATCAAGTCACCAAAGTAGCCTCTTGGTACTCCTCGCGTATAAACCGTCTCCACTCAGCAAGCATGAAGACCATTTCGATCCTCTCTCTGGCCGCAGCTGTTGCTGCCCAGGAGCTCTGCGAGCAATATGGCACCCACACCAGTGGCCAATACACCATCAACAACAACATGTGGGGGAAGGACTCAGGATCGGGATCCCAGTGTACCTATTTCGACGGCGTCTCGGGTGACGGTGTTGCGTGGCACACCACCTGGAATTGGTCTGGGGGCGAGAACTCGGTGAAGAGCTACCCGAACTCTGGCGTGCAGCTGGAGAAGAAGTTCGTCAGCGACATCTCGAGTATTCCCACCACCGCCAAATGGAGCTACGACAACACCGATATTAGGGCAGATGTTGCGTATGATCTGTTCACCGCCGCCGATATCAACCATGTCACCTACAGCGGCGACTATGAGCTCATGATCTGGTGCGTCATCGTGTCGTGTCGGATATCTTTGACTTTGTGATGTCTTGCTGACCGTGGATTCATTCGTAGGCTTGGTCGGTATGGAGATGTCGCACCAATCGGATCCCAGGTGGGCACTGCTGATGTGGGCGGCACGACCTGGCAAGTCTGGAATGGCATGAACGGCGACATGAACGTGTATAGCTTCGTCGCTCCGAGCCCTGTCACCTCCTTCAACACGGATATCAAGGATTTCTTCACCCACTTGACCGACAGCTATTCTTTCCCTGCAAGCTCCCAGTACCTGATCAGTATGTTTTCGCACACATTGCAGTTGTTTGCCCTGGTTATATTTGCTAACAGAGCACAGACCTACAATTTGGTACTGAACCCTTTACCGGTTCTCAGAGCACCTTGACTGTTTCGCAGTGGTCTGCTAGTGTGGCATGAGTAGGGTACTATTGTGAGGCTTTGCTCTGATCCACAGTGGACACGATTGTAATATCCTAGATCACCTTGACCACTTGCTTGTGGCATCCTGTACGCTTTCATTGTGACAATGTGTTACCAATCAACAGAGATCTTTTTGAGAACATTCTAGCCTGGCTTGTCTGCAAATGACGTGCAGTACATCTCGATGATATGAGGCCATCACGTCATGTCCCGGAGGTGTAGAGGTGTGGGCTTAGTTTCTTTAACTGGTCCTCCTAGATAGACGTCTTTCAGGTGGGAAACTCTTCCAGACCTCGTCTTGCGAGACAAGCGTACTCCAAAATATTACTGGGATCTTTCCGCACAACTTCCCGAAGCTTCACTTGTATCACCTCAATATCTACATTCAAAGAGTCTCGGTAACGGACGCTTCTGGTTTGGGGATGAGGAGCATGTCTCGTATGTCAGCCTTGGCATCACCAGGGACTGTGTCGTGTTCCCAATAGACCGAGATAATCTGCGACAGTGGCGCTTCGGACCCATATGATTACTAGGGTAGCAGCAGGACAAAGAAAACAGTGTACCTCTGCAGTATGAAGAGGAAGTTCTAAATCCATAAGCGATTATGTCGTTCATTTGACCACAAACTTCTTGCTCATGCTGTCAAAAGATATATTGTACGCGGTTCACACGACAGCACAGTGGGGAAAGCTCTGAACCCACCTTGACTAGCCAACACCTTTATGGGGTACTACTGGTGTTGGGGTAGTGCTCGTATATGCAGCCTACACAGCGTAAGCGCTAGCCATTGACTTGCTTGGGCTTCTAGACGCAGCAGCTGAAAGGGAATATATATATTCGTATACCAGTAGCGACTACAGCAACTCATTCATCCTATTTCTCTCCCGCCTTGTCTTCGGTATTCAAACTGGTCTGCAAAATGCGCTTGATTCTTGCTTCTGTCCTTGTCGCCCTGGCTGGACACCCAGTCGCCGCATATAAAAACGTAAGTCCACTTCTACATATAACTCCCCACAAGAGTGCTTGCAAACTAATAATTCCAATTCACAATGGATAGTGGGATTTTTATCTCTTCAAACCCGGGTGCAACCCTGACGATGTTGACCTTGGCCTATATCTGTATCATACAATTGGGACGAGGGCGCAGCCATGCACGAGGATTGACAATCAAGACTTCAATCTGACTGAGGTTGACAGTCTGTCGTGGAAAAGCCCAGTAGCAGAGCGTGCTCAGTTTGATCTCTGCATGTTTGAGGATGGTGAATGCAGTATGCGAGTGGTTGATGAAGTTCGCAATCAATGGGATATCTGCCATAAATATATCGGGTGGAAGGGGTACAAGGTCGTTCCTATTGGAGCACCCTGTGTTTGATGTAAGTGGAAAGGGACTCGATGCGAACGAGAGTTGACAGGTTGTGAAGTTGCAAGAAGTTCCAACAAAGAATCGAAATGGAAGTATGAATAGTGCTTCGAAATTCTATAAGCGGGACAATGAAGAAGACAATCGCACCGTTAACATGCTAATAATGGCCTCACAACTGTAGGGCTCTGGGGTTACCTCATGCACATAACTAAGCTTCCACCTCCCATAGAGTTGATAGCTCTAAATGTTTGTTGCTTGTGCAGTGTGTCTGCTTTGTAGCAGGAAGTTCTTCAGGTGCAAATTGATGCACCCTGAAAGAGGTCACCAGTGAATGGACTATGCAGATCTCCTTGTCCTTCCGGTTGCCCGTGGCTTCGCTTTTGCTAAAGCCTCGTTTTTAACAGCAACTATTAGCGGGAGTGCTTCCTTGGCCAATGTGACTGGGCTAGGTGGAAAACGGACGATACTAATCTCAGCAGTCAGCTTGGCGTCAGATCAGGTGACTAGAACGTGCCCCATATTCTTATTATCTTCCTCTCTACCATACATATCCGTCATCACACTACCTCGTTCTACCCATCATCTTACGCCTTACATCGCCCTTCGGACGATTGCTCTGATTATGGTTGGAGTTCCACATAGCACGGGATGTCGTACCTGCATAAGACGCAAGGTGAAAGTCAGTAGATCTGGACTCTGAAGTAGCAGGCGGGGAAGGGGCAGATGCACCACTGACACCGATGTACAAGCACAGTGCGACGAAACCCGTCCTAAATGCCAAAGATGCACTAAAAGTGCTATCGACTGCTTGGGCTATCATCGCCCCCTTGATATCCGCATCCAGAAGCTAGGACAAGCCCAAAAGAGCGGCGGTGCACCTACGAGACGTCATCAGACAGTGACAAGGAAACAGTATACTGGACCGTTGTTGGCACCACGCCCTACCATTGACGAGATCGTCGCGCCGAGCCTTGCGTATGAGGCACTCACCATACAAACAAAAGAATCATTCTACCGTTGGCTGATCTCTCATTATCCTCGCATCCACTCCTCATTCTCCTTCCGGGTTGACGTGGGTTGGATGGATTTCATACGAAATCAATCTCCTAACAGCACACCCGCCCTGATGTGGGCCATCCGGGCTCTAATCACCTTCCAAATGGGTACGCTACAAAAGAGCAAACAGAGTATATACTGCGCTCGCCACATGTACGGCCGAGGACTTCACCATCTTCGATCATTGTTGCAGTCACCATGCGCGCTGGCAGACGAAACTCTCGCCGCCTGTGTTCTACTAGGTGGTTATGAAGTCCTGGACGGCAGCTGTGTAAACTCCTGGATATCCCATACGCGCGGAATCCGCTACATTATGTGCGCCCGCGGACCTTTGGCGCATAAGTCTGGCATGGGCCGCACATTAATGATTTGCATCAGGCCATTTTTACTTGCAGAGGCATTTGTCCTAGGGGAGCCCTGCTTCCTAGGAAACGATGAATGGCGATCAATTACTGAAGCCATCCCCAGTGAAAGGGGACAAAACGGGCAAGCTAGTCAATTGACGCTTATAATGGATCACACGTTCAACGAGATTGCCAGATGTCCGGGGTATTGCGTAAGCACAAAATCCATATTGTGCTCGCCCACCGATTCATCCTCTGGTATAGCCGGTTTATTAAGCGGAATTTCTGACAGTAAGGCTCGGTTACTGAAGCTGCGGGAAATGCTCAACATCGGGCACACGGGGCCGAGATCCGATATATCGCCGACATATATGAAAAGCATGACTCGGCTAACTCTCGTGGGGTTAAATACTGCACTGGCACTGTTGGACAACCTGTCGACTGTGCTCGAATCAGACTCAGAAAGAAAGCTTGCTCAACACCAGCCTAGCTTAGCTCTAGGGGTTTGGATCGAAAAAGTTCAGGATCCCTGGCGCATCTCTGCGGAGAGATATTCCATGTGTCTTAGGGATGAACTCCATGACATAGGCGACGATATCACAAGCATATCTTCCACTATGCAGCCTATTGGCGACCGCCTGGATACATTTTCGCTGACTATGGGCATCGGCAGTATCCTTCAAAACCAGTCGGGGGTGTGAGCTAAGCCGCATGTACGGTCAGAGCGATTGGAAGGCCATGGATAAATGTGTTGGCCAGCAAGCATACCCAGCCTGTTATAAAATATCACATGTGCACTTTTTGCTGCTAAACTTGGGGTAATTGCAGCAGTGTGACCGGAGTGATCAATCGCAGCCCACCCGAGGGTACCCCCTCGTCGTAGGGCTATATAGAAGCCTCGATAGGGGGCCTCGGACAGCCTCTTTGCGGGGTTGAGCCACCTTTAGCCAACTGTGAGGTGGACTGTGAAGTAAATAGAACGTCACAGCACAGTAGAATGCACCTTGTACACTTTACAATGGGTTTCCTTTATCCCCCTATCACGGCTGTATGGCCCTGCAGCTGGGTAAACTTCCATAACAGTGTATTTGGGTGGTGGTGCAAGACAATTGAATGAAGTTACTATTGCTGAGGCAGCCTTATAAATACTGGAAACGAAAGCAAATAATTGGCAGTGTATCTAGACGGCAGTAGATACTAGACTACGTGGGTTTGAGGAGCAGAGAAGGCCGTCCAAACAGTGTCCAGGAGTTTTCTAACACCCCATATCACTCAGTTATCTAATAACGATTTGCATGGCTAGTGAAGCTTAGTCTACGGCCCGCTGGTACTACGCCTAATCACCTATACCCAAGCCTTCGTCTGTCGAAAATGATTTACGGGGCCAAGTTAGCGAAGATCATTTTTCTTTCCGGATTCAGGTGTCCAGCGGGAACATAAATCTGCTAGCTATTGCCTGTCTATGTCCTTAAAGCCTTGCCAAACTCTTGTAGCTAGTACACTCGCTTCTGAACTGCCCTCCATACTTCAAAATAATCCAAAACCGCCGACAGCTCATGGCCTTCAGTCGTCTCAAACACCAAATCCAGCCCTCTATTCTCGCTCACGTCGACGTTCTTCAGTTCAGGATTCGCTCTGTTCGAAAATTTGCCCCCACTGTAGTATTCCGGAAGCATCGTAGCCGTAGTATCTTCGTCCCGTAGCTTCACCTGCACATCACACCATGGCTTATAATTATGGATCCCTAGGACAACAGAAAACATATCCCCGGAGGACGATTGGAAACGGAGCATTCCGGAAGTACCGCTACCCCCCATGGACAAAATATGCTGGCCGTGGCGCTCAGTCCAGGTGCCTCCGTTGGCGTAGTGCCAGCACGCTTTTTCGACAACGGTGAGGGTATCACCAGTGCGATTGCGGACAGTAAGGTTGATGGTGTAGGCCATTGTAACACTGCAGGTGTTAGGGTGCCCTTGAAATAAGCGAGCAGTGCAGAGTGTATACTCACAGAAGACTAGTGTGACTGATGTGGTGGAAGCTGGATAGTATAGCTATGGACCTGGTATTGTTTGACCTCTTCTATGTATCTACCAGAAGTGACGTCTATGCCTTTGGGTTGTTTACTTTATATAACTGGAGTGTGACAAAGCAGGCCATTTTCTTGCTCTCGGCTATTATTGTCGATTATAGTTGTTTGCTACTCAGGACGCCACCAAACCCGTGAGGCGTACTTAGTTCCGCCAATGATATGCATACCGTCAAACGAACCCTACCCCCTAGACAGTCAGTTGTCGAATGCAACCCAGGAGGACAGGTAACACCCCTTGCCAGGTGTTCCTCGGAGCTGAGACTTGCATTAGAACGCTGGGACAGGGCTGAACTCTTGAAGTGGCCAGCTGAAAACCAATTTATCGCCTCTGATTTGTGCAGTAGCGAATTCATCACAAGCTAGTAAACAAAGAATTGCCACTTCACTTATTACTAGCCATAGAGGCGGGGGTGGAAGGTTTGCCAAACTGCCTGACCATATTTCTCTGTTGTTAGAATCAACTGTGCTTCGAGCTGGGGTAATTAGCCTAAACGTCATGTTCCAAGTACCACAGCTAGGTAGCAGGCAGAAAAATTCCTGGTTATCCCACTCTATCTAACTAGGCTCCCTTTCGTGATTAGCACATGGGATTTGGGAAATATCAAGCCTAGCATGCTTAATATACGGCAGCATGCATATCGGCGGCTAGACAGACATTGCAAAGCAGATGACCCAATACGCTACGCCACCGCCAGCTTCATGAGCTGACACAGGAAGATTCTCAGCTCGCCTCATTAGTATTGAGAGATATTCGACGGTATTCTTAGTGCCCTGGGAGATTCCTGGAAATACCGGAGGTCGAAGCGTGTCTTTCATGCTGAACAGCGAGGACGCAGTCACCGCCATGGTTTTCCCTACCAAGGCTGCGGTAAAGACGAGTAGCAGAGTCAAATGACCCTGGCGACGCAAGGAAACATCATTTCCGTCGCCATATGTCGACCCCGTAGATGTCTGTATGTTAGGAGGTCGATACCACCTCACCCGCTAGCTGTCCCGCCAGAACACTACACCCATCAGCTTCTACAGGACCACAACATGTCCGTCCTTTCCGGCAGCCTTGTGTTTATAGGTTGGTCGGTGAGAAACCACCGTTGCCGATATTGAAATGTCACTATTATCGTTTTTCTGGCTGCAACTTTAGTGATACCCAAGGGATACAGTACTACATCCATAGGTCGGTCCTAAGATTGACCATAAAGTTTCCATAATATGGTATATTTTCGAGCCAGTCATAATTCAAAATGAAGGGACGCATCACAAACAGCATGGGAAACACCCAGACATAGTGAATGCGTGAATTTAGTCGGGTCGACATTCCTATACCCCTTACCCGAAGCTCAGAGCGCGTTTCCATGAGCTAGAGTCCGACAGGTATCTTCTGGCAACACCGTTCAACGTTCAAGAATTGCAATGACCATGGCATCCTCCACCAAGATTCAATGAGTAGGTTTCGGAGTCGGCGCTGTCAGTCCGGACATCGGAGCAGCCTGCGTCTTTTGGGTAGCCTTTGCAACGCCTGTCTGTTGTGGCTCGAGTCCACCCACCAGTGGAACTAGACTGACCGGTGGCAAATACCATGATCGATGGCATGAAGTCCATCGGGGATCAATCTGCGTCATAACATCTGGTATCTCCATCCAAGGGAGATAGTCGTCGCGAATCATGGTACAACCACCACCTCCCAGAACACACTGCGACCCCCCAAGATACTGCTCCCATGGGATGAGGGACATCGTGTAATTCCCGACCGGATGCGGTTGAAACTCGGCAAAGTTAAAGGGATATGCTGTTCCAATCCTTGGATATCTCGCGTTGGTGTGGTGACGGTACGATGTGACTGACCCGGGATCGACTGAAATAATGACATCTTTGTGATCGTCGCCGCAGGCACCATTGGGGTGGGAACGTGAATTACCCCTGGCGTAGATGCTTGTGAATGAGACGTAAACGGTTGGCGAGACGAAGGTGTTCCCGTTAACAACGGCAGTATTAGGCCCGTCTGCTGTCGGAGTGGCAGGAACAGTGCTTCCGTTTTGCAGACAGAGGTCACCGCTAACGGTACTCACAGGCCAGTAAAAAAGGGTTGCTGTATCTGGGAGATAATGGCAATTGTTGCATGCATCGGCGGTCGTAGTGGTACGCTTCGTGGATGGACACCTTCCCGGTCGAATAGGACTCTTGGTATCTCCGGGAATCTCTGTCGTGATGGAGGAATAATAAGCTTGCTGTAGACTATTGTAGGTCTGCCAGACGGGGATGCAATCTCGTGTATTCAGTTTGCACTTCGGTGTGGGTGAAGGCGACCGATAGACTAATGTAGTGCTGGTCTCGGTGACCATGAATGAGCTGCAAGGCCCAGTGCCAGGCCAAAATTCCGTTATAGATTCTCGAGGGCCTAGTGCGCGTGGAACCCCATCACAGAGAGTGGTGACTGGACCAGTATGAGTGTCATGAAGGCCTTCGCCACGGATATTGGTGTTACAAGCTCCGGTGCTGGTGATATATGAGGGGAAAGAGGTGGACGTGGATGTGGCGCCCAGAGATTCTAGTCCTCTGGCACGCTCGTCAAATTGGACCCATGCGGCATTGCAGGACACTGCAGAGGCCTTCGGGCCTGTGGTGGGGCCATAGAAATAGTCGGTTGACGTTGGCCAGAAAATGCTAGTGCCACATATGATTAACCATTGCCTACTGGTCGATGTAGTGCTGCATGTATCCAAGTCGGTGGACTGTTGGATACTCGTGCTGGCATCCTGGTTTGGGATGGCTGCAACCGTGGTTAAGGTCTGCGCTGAGAGGCAATAGGAAGGAACATACCGGGTTTGGCAGCAGCGCCCACCAAAAGAAGTAGTGTTATTCCTCGCATAGTTATACTGTCGAGGTCATAACTGGATTGAATTGGAGGCGCGAAATGAACGAGAATGTGTACTTCCGGCGCCATTCCACTATATATCCAGGCTGAGTGCCCCACCTCTTGTCCCCCCCAAAAAAAAGGCTACATTAAGCGACCAATGCCTATTTGCTTTGTTTCAAGTAAGCTACACAAACCTGCAGATGTCCTATGCTATGTCACCCTAGATATTGTTTGTTTGCCAACGTTGCAAACCTAGGTTGGTTATACGTACTAAAAATATATCACTCTACCATACCCAGGCCTACTAGGTAGCTTCTGGTCGCTGGGAAAACCTCTGCCAAGGCTCATAGACAAGCTCCAAACCAATGACCCTTAAAAGAATGATAATCCTCACATCCTCATCATATAAACTATCTCCCATCACGTCAAGATCGTCCTGCATTATAAGATCTTTCTTAAGCAGTGAGCATTGATCCTCACAGTGTAGATGCTCGAATAACTTATATTCTGAATTCAAGTGAGCCCGTAGGATCCATTGCAACACATATCAATTATCAAGGTATTGGGAACACACATATTATCAAGATTGATATCGTTGTTGCACTACTGGTTACTGACGCATAGTGTGGTTGTGTGCCGAGCAGACAGCTAGACTTAGCGGTCCGGCCCGAAGGGGGGCGCCCCTAATCCCCGTAGGGACTACCCGAGTAGACTTGAATCTACCGGACATCCATGCGCCCCTAATTGGTCTATCGTTGATGTTCCGGCCTGCTCTCTCCGCCCTGGATGTGTGGCTCAGAGCTAGCACCGTCCGCTTCAGTTCTCCATAGCTCTTTTGACACATAGTTAACTTTGACACTGACTTTCCAAGGTCTGCCACTATCTATAGTAACATCGCAGTGCCCTTTGACTTCAACCACTCTGGTCCGATGGACCATCTCGATGCCCGACAGATGGCGACAAGCGTAGGAGGACTTTTTCCGACCAGCATGGGTGCTGATAGCTAGGCGCTCACCACAGTTGAGTAACTTTATCACCACGACTGTGTGGCAGTAAGTGATAGAGGCTTCAGGGTTACCAGCGCTCGAATATTGGTTCTGCGAATGCTTGGGCATATATAATAGTGACCTCAAAACACGTACATTGTCTTGCCTTCCTTCTGCTCAGGTGTGTGCAAGCTGACGGCGCCGGAGAAGTGCATAGACCAAAGGACGACATGCCTGTACCCACCCTCGTTCCTCCAGCTACTCATATAAATAGCAATACCTCCTCGAGTCCATCAGGTCTCCCACGCTTTGGCTGATTCCCAGAATTCCAAACTCAACTTTCGTCCCTAGGGTCACTTCTGCTGTTCGCGGTTTGTTAAAGATACTGCTTGTCCCGTTGGTCTGATATAATCTTCTATCCCTATCCGCATCCTGCCACATCACCCACAGCCGGTCCACCATAGCATGATGTAGCATAAATGCCGGATCCTGTGGCCCCGCAAAGGCATCCTGCATTGGCTCCCCAAGGCACAAGTGCGCTCCCCCATGGACACCAGCCACGCGCGCTTGCGGGTTCGGAAAATTGTCCAGTGCATGCTGGAAGGATATTATATCCTGAGAAGCGAGGAGGGCATCTATGGCGTTTTGATTGTTAAACCGTGCGAGGACTTCTGTATTGAGGCTGCGGGTGAAACAGCGAGGATTATAAGCGAACGCCCAGCTAGGAAGACTGTCCCTGCTTGTGAGGTTATAGTCAAAGGGTCCCAAGTGAAGCGTATGGTTTTGGAAGGGTCCAGAGCTAACGCATCCGCCACCCGTGCCGCGCGGGAGGATCTCACCGTCTATGTCAAAGCCGGTATCGGCTGGGTCGTATGTTCCGTCGCCAGAGAGGGAGGCGTCGCTACCGTCGAAGAGTGCACTGGTGGCGAGGTCTTTGGTGTATAGAGGCCAGTCCCAGTACCTACAAGCTCGCACATTTTGGTAGGAAATTAGGAAGAGTCATGAATCGTAGAGCTCTTAGACAAGGATGGTGGGTACGAACGGTTGATACCCAGAATAACCACACTCGTTTCTCAGAGCTTGCTCCCAAAGCCAAAGGTACTGACGATTTCAGGGTAGAAAAATACCGCTTATGTGAACGTTAAGGGTGTAGTTGATATGTACCCTGCCATGATATACTCATTAGTTAAGGTCCTGCCTTTACAGCACAGAGGTGGCAAATTTCACGCTATGAAATCATCCATCCGACTTCGTACCCCGGGATACTTGTCCTGGTTGAGTAAGGGCGGCTTGGAAATCATGCATTGCACGCTGTTTATATACTCTCTCCGCTGAGAGGACGATATACTGGACCTGGTGGGGGCTCGTGACGTGAACACCGAGTTGTAAGTCTAGCGATATCAAGAAAAGCACATACCATTCTTCCTTATAGCCGTTGAGTTGCATTTCATGGTATCCAGATGCTCTACAGCAAGTGGTAGAGCACCAAGTGGCCCAATCACGAAGATCTTCATCGGAACCTGCTTGGTAGGGTCAAAGTTACACAGGGCAGTGGTCAAAGGACGTTTTCTCGCAGCCGTTCTCCTTGCTAATATGCGCGAGTAGAATGCATGAGGAGCTGTTTTTACTGCAGATGATATTAGCTAAGAGGCGCTCTATGCTCTCGATATCGAAGGTAAGTGATAGTACTCGCTGCGAAGTACAACCAAGACATGCAGCCGACTAACACATGGCAAAAGTATGCGGCCGTTTCTTCTGATAAAAACCATAGTAGGTTCGAAGTGATCTATGTACAACCAATCACACCGCATACTTGAGAGCATGCTATGCCTGGGCTGGTTTCTGTTGGGCCTGCAAGTAAACCCAAATTTAGTAGGTCTTAAAGGGGAGCTTAGTATAGTTCATCCGTTGTCACTGTCTCAACCACTCTGAACATACTTGAATTCATAGATCCTTTTGCAGGAAGAAGACCCACTGCTGCAATGTGTGGTATTTTTTGAGTTGCTGGTCTAGAGGTGTGATAACCATGATCTAGTCCGGAGCAGTGGCGTTATATTCATGTCATCTCCCTCAAAAATAATAACAATACTTTAACTATTCTTATTGTCTTGCAAGTCCGATACACCTTCATGTATATGTAACATAATTAATAAGCAGTACGCCTACTTCTTACAGTTACTACCTTGCAACTTATATTATTTACTTTATACAAATTAATTATACAATAAGTGATGATCGCAACTATTTGAAATATTACTGCGCACATTTCCTACATTGTCTCCGCATGCGGCAGCTTGGAATAGAGTATTACATCTGGGCACAAATACACTTTAGAAACCTCAGTATGATGCGTACCAATAAGCTAATTATCTTAGCAAACCAGGAGGAGTACTAGACTAAAATATAATAAAAAGTATATCAAGCTCTATGTTATACCCAGACCTAGGGAATATAAATAGATGCCACTGTCCGCTGCTCGAGTGGAAATCTTCTACCTTTTTTTTTTTTTCAACAATATGCAAGCAAAAAGGAATTTAAGACCCTCTTCACTATGCAACCTAAAGTACAGATCTTATTCTTTGTGTATATGATGATTGCTGGGCTCGCATTAGCCTCTCCAGAGACTATAGAAAAGAGATGTAAGCCTCAAGGATATCGAGTAAGTACCACCAAAGTATGCTGGTCACCTAATTACTGATATCTGTGAAATAGTGTGAAGTTGATTGGGAGTGTTGCAGTAATGAGTGTGATTTCTCAGGGGGCACATGGCCTGGCAACTGTAGCTAAGTTTGAGGACATCTGGAATAAGCCTTGGTATCGGTTTTTCCCTAATTAACCTAGTTTTCCCGATATTATTTTGCGAATGCAAAGGCGACTTAAAACAGTTCGCTCCTTACTGATTGGTAACTTCAATAGATAGAAAGAAAGCAAACCTTGGTCCTAAGCGCAATGTGGCCATTAACATATACCAGATTTTCATGGTCTCCGCGAAAATCATGCCTGAGCGACGGTAGTTCATTATTCAGGAATCAGTTACCGGGATCACCGGGATGATGATATAGATCTATTGGGATGACAAGGCAGTATTTGGTGATATATTGGATTCAGGCGGAACTAATAGTATTTCTGAAATAAGCTTATTCTGATCTCTGGTTTAAAATAAGCTTACTTTGATGAGATTGCTGCAAACAGTCATATTGCGGGATGCAGCAGGAATGCTGATATTAGTCGAAATAAGGCAGAAATCAAGTAGAAATATTCCATTTGACACTTGCCTACTACCTTTAAAGCTTCTACATTCTTTTATCCTTCACTACATTCACTATTTACGCTCTGTTTCATGATTCTTCAGTCTCTTATTGATTTCTTTTGTTTATCTTTAAGGCTATCATGAGGGCTACTCCATTCTTGTTTATTTCGTTCCTACTCCTGCTGGTCTGGAGCCCCATCGCCCAAGGAGCAGCTATCCCAAATTCGAACATCCAGTCTCTCGATGTGACCGACTCCCCAGCCCTGATAAAACGAGGCTGTGTTCCTAGCAAGCAGAACCCCAAGAAGTGGGCTTGCAACAGCGAAGTCCCATCCGTGGCTGACCTAGTTACTAAGATTAAAGAATACAAGCAGGTCGGTTACAAGGACTCGCTCTTCTACAACAACCTACAAGGCGAGTCAGCTATAAAAGGGCCACCGATTGGTACAAGGCAAACATAAAAAAGGGGCGTGGCTCTGTCGCCTTTGACAATACTGTTGATCGGGATTGGTACGAAGCCCAAGCGGTAGCACTGCTGCCGGGCGGCCACGCTAAGGTGGATTCCTTCCAGAAGCGCCTATCTCAAGCTTTTGCTGAGGTCTCAGATAAGATAGTCTACTTTTTACCCCCCCACCCATGGTACTGATGGCACAAAAGTACCGGAGGATGCAGCCTGGGGTGGCTATGAGTATCCTGCTCTTACCCGCAACCCTTATGTTAATAAGATTATCCAGGTCAGCATGCACGGGAACTCGGGGATTCAGGCAACCACGGAGGTTATCTGGAAAATGGGGGACCCCAAATCTCCTAAAGAACCTCGCGGTTAGAGAGAAGCACCGTGTTTGGACTACTAGGATAGGTTATATATTGGGAGGCGTGGGTGTTTAATCGATTTAGAACGGCTTTTAAGGGTCTATATGTCTGCATTCCAAGTCTTGTCAACGTTTGGTATTTAAATAAAGCCAACGTGGTGCTACATGAATTATAGAGACTCTGGAGCCGACAATTCTAAATATATTATTACGTTGTTTATTCTTTCTCGGTCAGTGTACCTAGGTAATATATATAGGCGTAATCGCATTCCCATGCTTGCATACCCATACTGTAATATAACCACTCCCGCTATAATTTTAGACCCTTCTATCCAAGCCTCTGATTCTGGTTTAGTAGATTAAACTATAAATATATATTTATAAAAGGTAGGTCTGGTAGTGACCTGCGAAAACTGATCCAGAGTAGGATAATTGGTCAACGGTGGAGCCAGTTGTATACTCTCTAGTCTCTGCTGTATCTGGCGAGTTAAGGGCGGAATTTAGCCCCACTTCTACTGCTTAGCACGGAATATACTCCGTATATATAAGGTCCGTACCTTCCATCGGGCCGAGATAACTCTCCGAACATACCTTGTCAATTACGTCCTTTGTCTAACCCCTTCACTCCTCTAAACCATCCACAATTATGTCCTCACAACCAGACCTTCGCGAAGCCTGTGCCACTGGCACCTTACCTACCAGACTCGGCCCGCCAGCAGCAACAGCCACCAACATACCCCCATGCCGAACTGCTTAAAGCCGCCATGGACGGGAAAAAACCTCACCACCCTACGATACCTCCTCACCACATTTCGGAACGACAACCCCCTTCCATGGAAACGTGACTATACAGTGGTCATGATGGCTGCGGAGAAGGGGCCGTAGACACACTTATATAACCATGGATCTAGCCTAAAGTTATACTTTTATCCAAAACTATCCTAGAACAGAAGAATTTAAAAAGTCGTTGCGGATGACTTACCCATTAACTTTGGTCGCGCGAATCACTTATCCTGCATGTGTCAAGTCTAAGCTACCTCATCAGTTCCGAGCATTAATAAAGGCTCTGCTTGCATCTGTACTTTAGTTATGTTACATCTCAGAGTTGTAAGATTGATTATACGTAGGACTCTACTGGTTAAAATGATAGTTGCCGCTGGCACAAGTCTAGAAGTCTAGAGTTGATCGGGGAACCCGTAAAACCCAGAACCCGCTGCGAATCCAACCTGGAACCCCTATCTATCTTATCAAATAATTTTAATATGTTTTTAAGGATTCTATATAGTTATACTTATTAATACTCTGTATTTTCCATCCTAGAACTGTTTCTTTAAAAATGACCGAATAACTTACTGTATTGGCTTTTGGTAATCTGAGTATTAGCCTGTGTCATTATACACCAGACTCCGAGTGCTATATATCCCTAATATAGAAATAATAAAAACCTGCTTTTCCTGCATCCGGATTCTTCCGTAAAAGTATTGGTCTATAATTCGCAGTATCAAATACCTAACTAACTCTAGTTAATATTACATAGTCTATCCTAGAGTGGGTTAACCTCACCGTTGTACCTCACCATAACCTGACCATAACCGGCCAGGTTAGGTTAAGGTATAAAGAACCCAATAACCGGACCGGTACAATCAGGTTAAAGGTAAAGGTTCTACCTCACCGGATTAACCGGCCGGTGAGGTAGGGGAGGTTAATCCGGTGAGGGTACTAACCGCAGGTTAAACGGTAATTAATACATCTTGATTACCTTCATGGTTTACTGTATTTTTTTATTTCGGTATTAATACTCTTGTGATCCCGTGATGTAATTTACTACTTAGAATAAACTGATCGAAATATTCTGCTTCGAGGACACGTTAAAAAAAAAATATCTATTATCTACTCTCTATTCTTTATACTGTCCCGGGCGTCGTTTATGATGTCGAAGGGATCGTGTCTCTTTAACAGTCCGGGTAGTATGCGGAGGTTCTGGCAACAATCCATCCTCCGGATCCTCATCCATATCATCCATATCCTCATTGTCACTAATATACAAAGGCGCTTCGGTTGTATCATCGTCTTCTTCCTTGTGTACAAAGACAATGGAGTCGGGGTCAACCTCATCAAGAATCTGCTGATATTCCTCATTGATGGTAAAGCGATCGGTACACATCTGCAGCATAATCGCCTCAATAGTATCGGGATATAACCGACTCCGGCGATAGTGACAGATATCTCGGGAGCTGTTGAAGAGGCGTTCAACACTGACACCGTTGGTTGCGACCGTAAGGAAGTCTCTTGCCATAGAGTAGAGGATCGGGAACTGGTTGCGACGAGATTTCCAGTAGGCAATAATATCAGTTTGACCAGTAGTGCCTTATCGACAGTAAGCAGAGTGTAGGCCTATTCAAAGTACGACTTACCTTCTATATCAAGATAGGCCTTAAGCTCCTCAAAGGTCTCTGATGAAGTGGCAAGTCTTCGTCGTTTCGAGAGATGGTAAAATGCCTTGTTCAGTCCAGATAATGGGTCTGAAACAGTCGATGGCGTGTTGACACTTGGATTCTGACTGCGGTAGAAGTGGAACACCTTCTCAAAAACAGTGCGATATTTTTGATACCAATCAGTGTCATCGTCCAGCCACGTAGCTGTTTTGAACTTCTCAAGCTTGGAGGTAGGATCAAGAATCGTTGCAATAGCATAGATATAACCCTCTGCTTGGTATGTTCGCCGATAGTATTTCCGGAGTTTCTTGTGGGCTTCTTCTAAGCCTTCAAGAATCTGTTGTTTCCACGAGGCTCGTTTGTTCCGAAGACGATTGATGGCAAGATCCAGATGGTCGAACAGATCGTTGTAGATATCATATACCCTATGGACGGTAGGGCCGGTGTTCTCCGAGAGGCAGGACGTGAAGATGTAAAACGGATATAGAAGCTCCAGAAGATATTCCAACTGTTTCCATTCTACCGGTGTAGGCCGCAGGTAGTCAAGCTTCTGACTATCCCAGTGCTGGATAAAGCTCTCGATTGGTTGGCGGAGCTTCAGTGCGCGTCGAATCATCAGGTAGGAAGAGTTCCAGCGGGTTTTGCAGTCGAGAAGAAGATAGTATACAGATCCAGATTCCAGACGCTGAGTAAGTTGAAATCTTTCACGACGTTGAGGGCTAGCGTTCACGAATTTAGTGATTTTTCGAATCTAGGGACATAATAGATATTAGTAAATGCTGGACACTTGTTTGAGCTATCTAGGAGGAGGTTGAGGAAGGCTTCCTCAGCATCCCCCTAGATAGCTAGATCTAAGCAACCTTTTCGGTCATAACCGAAAGGAAGCTGAGGAAGCCTTCCTCAGCATCCTCCTAGGTAGCTAGATCTAAGCAACCTTCTCGGTTATGACCGAAAGGAAGCTGAGGAAGCCTTCCTCAGCATCCTCCTAGGTAGCTAGATCTGAGCAACCTTCTCGGTTATGACCGAAATCTCGGCCAGCTGGCGTACATACCTTTTCAATGGCTCGTGAAATACTACCAGACGCTTTGAGCGTTTCATCGCTGTTCTCCCATATGTAGGAGACAGTGTCATTCTCCGCTGCGATCCGCAATTTATTCATAAAGGAGGTAACACAGAGTTGGATAACATGAGCAAGACATGGGATGTGATGCTGATTCCGAAGGATTTTGGAAAGCTCCGGGTCGGCGATAGTATCCTGAATCTGGATATTCGTATCAAGTTCATCGCGAAGTTGCTCTGTAAGGGAGGAGAACATAGTACTGTTGTTGCTCGCGTTGTCGGTTGTCACCCCTAGTAGACGATGGCATAGATTATGCTTATGAAGAACCGACAGAACAATGGCAGCAAGGGTTTCACCTGTATGCGAACCGGATACCGGTCGGAAGCCCAGAATAATCTCATGATAATCTAGATCGTCCGTCAAGAAATAGCCAGTAAGTGCAAGAAATGCTTTCTGATCCGGGCTTGTCCAACAGTCAAGTGCAATTGACATTCTGCCGGTCGCCGGGAACCGTGAGAGTAGCTGTGTGTGGATTTCATCCGATAACTCGATTAATCGTTCCTGGATTTGCTTTCGATTCGGAATGTGCGGTCTGCGAGATGATCCGGCAGCGGCGAGATTGATCATTCGTTTAAATTGGACATGCTCGACAGTTCGAAAAGGTAGACGGCAGGCAACGATAAATCGCAGGACTTGGTCAAGGAATTCTTGTTCGGTGTAGATGGTTGTCGGGCCCTAAGAAATCGAAGCTCTTAGTATAAGATAAATAGAAGAAGGACAGACACCCTACCGGTTTTTCACTTAGCATCTGAGCTACTGTTCGTTTGGAAGGCACCGAAGACGACTTCTTAGGGCAGCCTTTTCGGACATGATAGGCCATTGAACTAGTCCCAGTGTGCTCTGTTGACGGATGTTGGAGCAGATGAGAACATGAGACACAAAAGACATAGGGGGTCCCATCCGGGAATTGGGCGCCTTCGTGGAATTTGTCCCATACAGATGAGTGTCTTTTAGGATTGAATCGAACTAATGGCTTTTTGGCTTCTCTCCGTTTCTCGGCCCAGGTAGTAGTATTCCACCATTCTTCAAAGATATGAATCTTTTCTTGCTCGGTCGGATACTGAATAATTTTGCGGCCTTTGGAGAGACGCAGAGAATCAAGCTCAGGGGGTGGAGAGAAAATAGAACAGGTATTAACCTCTGTCTGATTATCGCCATCAGTAAAGACTTGGGAGATAGAGGAGGATGGTGCAATAGTATCTTGTGAACATAGATCGAGGGGGTAGGATTGGTGTGCCATAATGAATAGCAAGGCTTCATTAATGGCATGGACACTGGAAGATAGAAAAGAGAAATTTTTAGAAGACATGATGTTGGTGGGTTGACAAAGAGAACGCGTCGTGTTACTACCAAAATATGATAGATCTAATAAAGGTTAGTGGTGGTTGGGATAGAACCCGTGATAATCTGGCTACCATCAGTGTCTATTACTATAAGAACACTAGAAATAAGGAATATTTTATAAGAAATATAGCATTTCTGTTGATAATAAAGATGTAGATAAGGATACTATTGCTCTAAATGATTAATATAATGGCTACAATAGAGATAATCTCCAAAATCTACTATTAATGCTGGTAATGGGAAACAAGGTATGTATTAATATATATTTCCATGCCGTATCTCTGGGTAACACCAACTTTTATAGAAAAATGAGAATTCTGCCAGCCACACTAGAGTCTAGGTATTTTTATAAAGATAATTTGAATAAGAGATATAGTTATTTATTTTTAATATTTTTTTTAAAAATTAAATAACGCTTCTATTATAGATTTTTAGAAGGTTGGTTAGAAACGGTGAGGTTAATGCGGTTAACCTGACCGGAACCTTAACCGGACTAGGCCTAATTAGGGCAAGGCATATTGCTTTTAGCGCCAAGAACGGTTAATCAGGTTAACCTAACCTCTTTTTTTTATACCGCGGTCAGGTAAAAATAAGGTACTTAACCTCACCGTTAACCTGCGGTCAGGTTATGCTGGAGGTCCTTAACCTCCCCTCACCTGGCCATTGCCCACTCTAGTCTATCCTATCATTGTTACACAAATTTATCATAGACTCAATCTGTATCTACAAGGACTATAATCTAGAGTCATTGATCTGAAAGTTTAAGATCTATTTGCTAGATAAGTAATATAGAAATACTTAGATATTTATTATTAGTGTTATATTATAGAAATAAGTTACATCATTTCTCCTGCTTTCAGTAACACTACCTCATTCCATGATCCGGTTATCTACATTCAGCCAATATACGGATATCTATAGCAGTGTATTTTATCATTGTAATTAGGACTTCTATCACCACTGCTGCTTGCGGTAGTATTTAGCGTACTGAATTGTCTAGGCATAATCAATATACTAATAAGTGTCAAGGCGTTTTGTGCTACAGATCAAGCTTAGTTAGTCTTATTCTCATCATGAAAATTAGAGGATTTTCTACAAGATGAACATTAGATTAACTTCTTAGTTTCCAGCTGAGCATAACAATAACTAAGCTTCTTCTGCATTATAAGATAAATATGCTAGAGCTACGGTGGGTAGACCCACATATTGACTAAGCTGGAGTTCTTTAAATTCGAAGATTTATAAGTTAGTGTAGAAGGAATGTTGCAAGTGACGCCGTCCCTTTACTTCCTCGCTTAGCCGCTGTTACATATTCCTGGTCTAATAACAGATAGCAAATTAAATAATATAATACCATTAGTGAATGTTATACTACGGTCTATAATTGCATCATATAAACTTTAAAAGCCTAGAAAACGTAAGTGAATGATAGTATTAACTAAGTGATATGATAAAACCTAGCTATATAAGAGCCTTGACAATTGCTGAAAGCTACTCCCTGTAGAATACACTATAACACTCAGAAAGCTTCTACTACTCGAACTAATGCATTATTTTAAATTTGTTGTCAGTTTGCTGTCGGTTCTATCCCTCATGTCAGGCAGATGCCAAAAAGGACATATCTACTGTGGATGGCACCTGGAAAACGAGGGTACGTGTGAAGAGTATACGCCGATGGTCTTAGCTAACTCGGCTTTACCGGAAGGCATAGCAGACAGAGATGAGCTTGTTGACGCGATATATGCAAATCCTAGTTGCCCAGACAAATGGGACTCAGACCCTTATCAGGTCTTGTTCAAATGCCATGAGTATGGGTCAATTGAGTGCCTGGAATACTGCAAAAGGGGATGTTTGAAAAAAGAAGCCGGAGATAGGTGCACAGGTACTTTTTATAACTAGTTATTTCAGCTATTCTACGTGTGCCCTATATTAATGGTGCTCCCTGTTTTAGTGGCCTCTTGAGATAATATCGGCTGTCCTGCTTTGTCTTTATCCTATACATATTGCAAAGCATAGTTGGCTTCTACGGCCTGAAATCCTACAAAGATCTGCATAACATACTTTCTAGAAGAGAGGCCGGAAAGAGTAATGAAAATTTTACTATCTATGACCATTAATGACGATGTTGCTAACTTTTTTTCTGGCTTTGTGCAACAGCAATTCCGGAGGCTTTTACTGAAAACGACGTTGTTACATTCTAAAACAGCCCTACACCGAAGACGGCATATTAACCATGTTCTAGATTCAAATGAAGGCTTTTACACTTCTTCAGCGTGGTAAAATCATATGTCATCACCATGTAATTGTTACATGGTTCAATAGTATCTAGAACTGTCGCCGCCACATACCCTAGATATAAAGAGAGCAAAATCGGCTACAGGCACGCTATAACATAGCGATGCCAATATCCATTTTCCGGACCTGTTAAGAATCCCAAGCAGAGCAGTTATTGTTTATCAATGTATATCTCTTTGCCATTATTCTGTACGCTGGCTTCCACGGTGGTAGGAGTCTGTCTCCCTGATGCCATATCGGACCAGCAAGTACTTGCTGGTAGCCAGTGCACTGTATCATTTGTATATTGCGGTAGGACATTATTGAACCAGCACGGTATCGCAATTTCCACCCTCATTGCACCTAAAACAAAGCTAACCAGGAAGTGTTGTGCAGGTTTTGCAAAGGAAAAACTTTTGGAAGCTATTGAGGCTAAGAGGGACCATCCAATTTACGCCTTGGAATATCCAGAAGGCTGTGTCTTTACCTGCAACAAGCATAATGCTATTACGTTTGAAGAATACTGCGAGGCGGGATGCAAGCATACCGCGGATGGCCATGACAGATGCCACAGGGTGAAATTTTACCCAAAATCTAGCTCCTGAACAAGTCACTAATGTCTATAATAGGCGTCAGCTTTTGTGGATGATGATTAAGGAATAGTGAAAGAAGAAGACAAGGACCTTCTATGTGGAGCAATAGGCGAATTATTTTGTTCCTCCATGCTGCTTCTGTAAAGTTCCCGATTCTGCCATTCCTCGACCTATGGGCATTCCCATGCTCCCAGATCAAAAGTGTATTTATGCTACTGGATTAGTTGCTGTTCATTTCTAAAGGATGTTAATTCTGGATATTATCGTGTGATGTAAAAGACCATCAGCCTGCAATGAACATAACGTAATCTACAACCAACCAAGCTACCCGGATGTGATTCTGGCCGCACGCAAGCTAGGAAAGATATCTCAGCGTTACTGAATCAAATCGAAGCAGAATGTCTTAGGCTATTTTAATATTTTGGTCTATGGGGACTGTTTACTCTAATATAATTATTCTAGTAGAAATTACTGCATTACGGTGGCACTACTTCTTATGACCAGTTTCAATGCCTGCGCAACAGTAGACTTGCATTCGATCCAAGTTTGGGGGAGATCCATTCGAGTCTAGTGCAAGTTTACTGCAACACACACCCTAAGCTTAGATAAGTAGCCTTCTGTTTATCACTATTAAGCCGCATGAACTGAGGCTGCCACTGGGTTCTAAGCCAAGCAGATGCCACAAGTCTTTGCTAGCTCTGCCATACCTTGAGCACGAATTGCTATCATTGGCTAGGCTTATAAGTCATCACTAATCTGGAGGAGTCAGCACTCAGGTATTGGCTGAAATATGGGTAAAATGAATGGACTGAGGGGCTTTAAAGCCACAATCCGAGTGACGGTGGTCTGTTATCCAGGTTACCTTAGGAAACTTCGTTGAAGGCGGTAACCGCGAACTCCTTCATGAGAAGAATAATTAGACGACGCTTTACTGTAAACTATTATACTACTAGCATTAGCTGTAGTTGGCATAGGGCGCTACTCTCTTAAATAAATCCAGTCTATTAGGCGTTGGCAACTCCTTGATTCGCTCTAAAGCAACGCGGTTTTCGTAAAAACTAGGTTAACGCAGGTTAGTTGTGACATACACATAAAGGACGGGCCCCAGCCCGCCTGTCACATGACAGTTAGTCCTACTTAGATAGTTCCCGCTTCGGCGGCATCTTCCTCCTCCATCCAAAACTAGTCTGCCACATTAGTAGTTAATATTACATAGATTTTTTTTTTCCTTTCTTTTATTCTAATATATTAGTAGCTAAGTATTAAGTAGTACATATAAAGCTATTTTAGTCAATCTTAGTTTTATTTCATAATCGTCTCTGACTCTCTATCTAGTTGTCGAAGTAAAGTCTAGTAACTCTAGATCTGTAGCCTATATTTTACTAATTTTCTAAGAATATAATTCTACCTCTATCGGAAAACTATAAAATATTTATTAAATTTAATAACTACTACAGTATTCTTATTAATTAATAACTAGTTAAGCGCGGCCTTACTAGGCAGAACCTTCGACGATAACAATTAAACAAGCCCTGTAATAAAGAGATACTAGTAAGTCGCGACTTATTTACTGCTCAGCCCTAGATTTACTAATTAATATCTAAGCTCTAAAGTTGAATCCCTAATAAAGTAAGCTATAAGAAAACCCTTTATAAATAGCTGCCTATATAAGAAATTACGTAGTATTAACAGCAAAAATTCGCGTCTAACTTAATTTCGCAGTATTTCGTATATTTAAGACCAAGTCTGGGCAAGAGCAAAAGTATTATAGGAAATCCTTCTAGAATACCGCCAGAGCACGTGTTGTAATAAACTTCGATGGGGTCAGCCGTAATCTACTTACGTCCCACAGAGTAATTGGTGACTGACGGCTCTTTCGGATGTAAAGAGCTATATCCGCGGCAAGGGATGGACTCAACGACTCCGATATTCACTTGCTGAGGGGGTGATCCAGATCAATTTATCTTTCCGCACCTGACAGATTCATGCATAGGAGTTTTCATGAACACTCTGGAGCCTGGTCACCTGCGTCGTACGAGCACCTAAAGTTTGGCTGCCATATCATACTAAGTCCGACTGACCTGGTCCCTTACGCCGCAAAATGAGGGCATGACCGAAAGAACTTGCATAGTACATGTCAGGCTACATTATATGTCTCTTTTGTTTTGCTTTGTGTGGGAATACTACGCAAGGAGCTTCCCTTAAACTGGATCCTGTAGTTGCTGACTGCATGCGAGAAAAGGACTTACCCATCTCTATTTGCTGAGCCTGTTGGTAAAGCAATAGGAGGAAAAGCATTTATAAATCGAGCTTCCCCGCAAAGAGTCAAATCGCCATCAGGGATGTGGATAGCAAAGCGCCTGAATCATTAAGTAAAGTTCGAGAACGGTAAGGATAGTACCTACTAAAACCAGTTATGATGTCTGTTATCATACTTTCCTGAACGCTCAACATTCTCTCCATTGAATCGCAGCGTCTGTATGGCCTTTGTGTGCTTTGCCCTTAATTTCAGGCTCGGGAAGTCTAAGGAAGGCCGCCACCTTTGACCACGACAGGGATGCTCGCTCCGCATGCAACTTGGGAGTATTGAATTCTGGACCAGCCAGGGTTCACGAGAAAACTTCGTACGCCAGCCATCCAGACCACCCCATGTTGACGACCGTACGCAGCACGTCTAATACTGGGAGATAGCCGCCACGGTCCTCCTCACAGAGGAACTGTCGAGCTGCGCGAGACCAACTCATCCGAGAGGGTTGCCCGGGCACATAAAAGGGGTAACCCGGCTTAAGTGCCTCGGACAGTTTCTCTGCATCCGCCATTTGTACGACGAAGAGCTTTTCCAGATTCAGTTTCGTTGCTAAGCGTTGGAAAGATTGGTGCAGGTTGGCTACAGCTTGAGGACCGTTTCGGCCGCCCGCAACACTCGGATCAGCATACACCATACCGGTAATATTAAAGGTAACAATGGCCAACCCGAAATTGGGCCGATCCACCCGTTGTACAATGTCCCAGGAAGCCTCCCAGGTATTGATGTATGTACCCCAGGCGAAGGCTTCATATTCAAACTTGACAGGCGGGAATCGAGCAGCACCCATGGTGGTCAGCAGGCGTAGGTCCCCAGCTATAACCTCAAAATCATTGGCTATCGGAGAGTAGCCGGCAGTGGGATCCTCCGGGAGATAGTTAAACGCAATCAAGATGGTGTCACCTCCAACAATGTCTAGGATGTCCATCCACAAAGGAACGACCTCGTAGGCAATGCGGTCACGCTCTCGTCTATCAACCAGGCCCTTATAAAATTGAAGCGGCTGCAAGCTCAGGACGCGAATTTGCAACGAGTCACAGATTGCCCGTATTTCCCGCGCGGCCATGAGAAGATCATCGCGTGTTGGCTGGGCGGACATGGACCGTGCCAGCGCATCGAGATCATCATAGAAAAGTTCAATTGCTTTGAAATTGTAATAAGCGCATGCAGCAAGCTTCATATGGATGCTATAGCGCCCACTCTGCCCAAGTGATATGGTACTGATGGCTGGCTGACAAGGCATACATACTCAGGCTTCGCTTGCCTTTGCTGTATGTGTAGATTCTCGGAATCAGATATTGGAGGCGGCTCTTTTTTAGATCTGTTTCACAGTAAATATCGCCGCAGAAGCTAAGAAAAAGGGGGCTAGTGCAGTTATGTTGCAAACAACATGTTTTGCTTCCTGATGCGAAGGGAATATCCACTATCCAAGGTATCTAAATGCCTATGTATATGCCCAATATACCTAGATCTTGGTTTCTTTAGGAATATTGGAGGAGAGAAAGGATTGCTTTGATTCGTACTTTGAGTGTTGGGATAGGACACCTCATGCGTGAGAAATGGGGGCTTCAGTTCTAGAACCGGTGGAGTTAGGAAAGCCTAATGACGTTTAAGCAAGGAGAGGGCTTAATTTGGTCGATTAATTTGTAGGAGGTCCCTTCAGGGTTTGCATGGTCGATCAAAATCTAGAGCGTGAGGAACAATAGGCTAGTAATGCTGACATGCCTTCTAGACACCGAGTGTAAGCTGGGAATCTTTCCTGGGTGAAATGGTGAAGACCATGTGATTTAATCTGTAGTCTTATGCGGTCCATGAGTGTACAAACAACCACCTAAAGAAGCAAGGTCCTGAGATTTACCAAGGATAAGCCTCTAGGAGATTGCTTTGTTGGCGGACACTTATACTTCTGTTGTTAAGTGAGAACAATGAGTCTGTTTGCTTGAACACTAATGGGGCTCAGTGTATTGTTTCCTATTGTAAAAAGTCGTACATTGAGAGAAAATGGGTCACCCTACAAGAGTCTGGAGACGTAAATATCATCATTACGTCTAGACTAATTCATTGCGACAGGCCTGAGTGTGTACGCCGTAAGTTCGGCCGAGTTGGCATGGTATGTGGGATAAGGAGCAATATCACACGATATGAGACGTATATACTGAGGGGCGTAAATAATGGCTTGAACCCTAAGAATTTCCTGTACTACCGGCCTTCTCGCACAATGTGTATTGGGAAAACGAGACTGGGTGACCGCCGCATAATGACCGGCGCGTATCCATAAATTCTCTTCATCTCGTGTAATGCTATTTTCTAGACAGAATTGTGAGGTTATGTACAAGAACCCAGGGTGGCTTTTCCAGTGCTCAAGGCAAAGAAAGAAGAGATGCAAAAAGATAAGGAAAGACGGAATGAGAAAAAGGAAAAGTTAAAGGCGAGGCCTAGACCCGAAGTAAGTAAAGCAAGGGACGACTTCGGAAGCAAGCGAGACGTGTGTAAGCAAGACGTGCGTATACGGGAGTTAGCAATCTGTATCTTGGGTACTCGATCACCAGGCCAATATCACCAGTTCTAGAGCTACGTCAGGAATGTAAAGTAAAACAAAGGCTTCAATATAGGGTGAGTTACGCAGAGAGTCTTTCCTTCATAAGGCCAGAGTCGGCTACCCTTCGTTTTTTCCACTTGAATCTGGGCCCATCTTTGCATTCAGCCAACATTGTTTTGTGTTTACCACACCTCTGCCACACATGACCACTCGGAGCCAATGTCATATCATGGATCCCCTTTTGACCAATACGCCAGATCGTGCATGGGCTCGTTCCGGTGCCCCCGAAATCAGTGGCAAGAAACCGTCGGCTACATTGCGAGACTCTGTTGCTCTTCCCCTCTCCTATAGTGGAGATCAGATTCTAAGTGGCTTCACTTCGGAATATTCTGGTTGTTGCCTTGACCTTAAGGGAACATGTTTCCCTACCATTGTAGCAATCCTCAATATCAGTTGGATGGTCACTGTACGCTGCTTCTCTCCGGCCTTGGACATTTGCCTAGGTCTTCATTCGCAGCCCAGAGTCTACTTCGTCACAAGGTTAGCAAATGGGGCAGACCACCATGGCCCCGTTGTTGGCCTAAACCCTGAAGCCCCGATCAAAGATTTAGTGCGTGATATGGCTCTCGTTCATCTTAACGCGACGCGAAAAACACTAGCCGGCTACGATTCTTCCGACGATATGCCCGGGAAGTTCCTCACCACAAAGATTTGCTATGGGAAAGAATTTTCCTCCACAATAGAGGGACCTAATAAGGGTAATTTTGACATACGAGTACGTATTTTGATGATCAGTCGCAGTCTGTGAATCTCCTTCGCTAACAAGCCGTAAATTCGGCAGCAAACCAGTTCCAGGCTCTTACTGGATATCTCGCAGGCAGATGACGGACTCCAAGTCAAGCTTACTTTCTCCGTCTCTGACACTTCTAGAGAATTTGCACTTAGTATGTTGCACACATTCAACACGGCTATCCGGGCTGTCCTTTCTTCTCCGTTTCTACCTCCGAGAGAGTTAGATGTTTGCTCAAGACATGATCAACAATTGGTGCGAAAATACACTGAGAGAGTATCTACACCCTATAATGTGTTGCTGCATGATATGGCACTACAGCATGCACAACTAACCCCTGATGCTCCAGCCGTCTGTTCATGGGATGGTGACCTGACCTACAAGCAGCTGGATGATGTGACAAGTCGGCTTGGACGGTTTCTGACCAGAATGGGAGCAGGAAGAGGCACCTATGTGATCAGCTGTTTCGAAAAGTCTACATGGGCAATTGTCGCCCGCCTGGCCGTCCTGAAAGCCGGCGCCGCGTATATCTCCGTCGACGCGGCAGATCCACCGGTTTTCCTTAAGAACGTGATTCGCCGGCTGAATGCAAAAATAATGCTTGTTTCTTCAACTTACCGGGCCAGATACACCCCTTTCATCTCGTCAGTCATTCCAATAACAGCGGAAATGGTCCATGCTCTTCCCTTGGCCACCGAGATCGTCTGCCCCCTGGCAGAACCCAGCGATGCTTGCCTCGTCCTCTTTACTTCCGGAAGTACTGGAGAGCCAAAAGGAATCATCCAGGAGCATCGAGCGTATGCCACGGCCGTTCGAGATTATATTGCATTGCTCGGTCTAGGTCGGCAGAGCCGTGTGCTGCAATTCGATGATTATGCGTTTGACATTAGCAATAACGACTATTTGACCACCCTCACCGCTGGTGGATGCTGCTGCGTCCCCACGCCGGCCAAGACTATTTCCGCTCTCGTGGAGAACATCAACGCTCTCCAAGTTAACATGACTTTTCTTACCCCCACCATCGCCGCCCAGTTTTTCCCTCGTGACGTGCCAACATTGAAAACAGTCTGCATGGGTGGCGAGCCGATGTCCAACGAGCTTTTCACTCGGTGGGCCACTCGCGTGAAATTAGTGAACCAGTATGGGATGGGTGAGGCTGCCACCTTCTGCGCTTATAATGACCAAATCCAACCCGGTCAGAATGCTATTGTCGGACGCAGCGGGAGCGGGGCCATTTGGATAACAAATCCAGATTCTCCTGATCTCCTTATGCCAGTGGGCGCTGTCGGTGAGATTTTGATTGAAGGGCCTCACCTGGCCCGGGGATACCTTGACGATCTCTGCCAGCGGCCCGATGTAGGGTTCCTACCGGAGGCACCAAGCTGGCTCAGAGTCCTCCATCCATCCCGTGCAGCTACGTCAAGGTTCTATCGTTCTGGGGACCTAGGGAGATATACACACTTCGGCGCCGTGGAATATCTGGGTCGAAAAGATACCCTCCTCAAACTCAATGGGTGTCGCGTCGAATCCACAGAGGTTGAGCACATCCTCCGTAGGTCGTTGGGCCCTGGGGACACGGTTATCGTGGATGTGCTTGGCGCGGTGGATGATCCAAAAGAGCCCTTTCTGGTGGCTTTCCTGTGTTTGGCCAAGAGCAAGGCTACTCTTTCCGCTATGTCTGATGACTCGCTCAAGTTCCTCCCTGTCACGCATCACCATCCACTTAGTCGGTTGGTGCAGCGCATGAAAGCTGATGTCACGGCTACCCTGCCTGTCCACATGGTCCCACAATGTTTCATTCTCATCAGCCATGTACCCAGGACCAAGTCGAATAAGACTGACCGTCGCAAATTGCACTACCTTGCACAGAAGTGGCACTCGTCGGGGACACTGGAAAAATGTAATTCATTGGATGGCTGTTGATTTCAATCGAGTTATTTGCATATGTCAGTCTTTTCATATACCTGAGGTATGTATTCTAGCTATGGACAATGCCCCAATCACTTTGGAACAATGAGTAGGAATGAAAAACGCGCGAAATTGTCAAGAGCAGGCTAGTGTACAGCTCACTTTAGCAAGGAAATCCTTGAAGAATTGTGGCGGCAGGACGTTGTTATTAGCTACCCTCAAATATATATAAACTAGTGCGGAGCAAGCCCACCCCTGACTTTTCGCACGCCTTACACTGTTTGCCACCCCAAAGTTCAGGACTAGCAAATATGCAAATTCAGAAACATTCCAGATTAGATACACCCTAAGTCCTCCGGTTTTTACTTTTTTAGATTTCCTCCCCGTTCTTGCTTGTCTCATCCGGATAAGAAGACAACCCCATATCTGCTTTTCCTCAAAAAGTACAACATTTTAGTTGCGCGACATATTAATTCTGGGTTGTTCCTCCAGTATCTACTGGCTGACATATCATAATAGGTTTCAATATGCGTTGAAGTAGTTCTAACTAGAACATACTGCGTCATGAGAGTTGTTGATGGAGTCTACTGCATGATTTAATCACAGCTCACATTGAAGCATCTGCGGATGCATTTGTATAGGATAAAAGGGCAGAGCAACCTGTAACATGATTTAGACACACCGCAGCACTACCCTTCTAACCACTGTGCGCCAGGGTCTAGCAATGAGCAATAGTTCGCATTATTTCATCCCCAATTTTGCCGGCAAAGTTACCATCGTAACGGGTGGGCACACAGGACTGTATGTCACTTCCCCTATGTCGATTAATTATGTTCTCGCCCAGCTAGGGACAAGTTTCTCATTTCTTCAACCCCCGACAGCGGCTTCGGCACCAGCATCGAACTTGCGAAACCTGGCGCCCCGGTGTATATTGCCAGTCGCTCAGCCTCGAAGTTCAAGGCTGCGGAGTGGGATATTCTCTTCGAGTCATGGTAAACTTAAAAATTATTATTTGTGTAGTATATAGAATACAAATATATATTCAATTATTTAAATATCCATATGCAAATGTGCGGTATCTGGCGTTGGGCTTGGCCGATTTGAATAATGTACAGGGTGGGGCAATCATGTTGGCTCAGTGAGTTGTATTCGCGACTTTTGGTGTGTGTGAATGTTATTTCTGATGCTAAACGGTGTAGGCGGGGATCAAGTCTTTATTCACTTGTGTGTAGGGCTCTCCTCCTCCTCAGGCATTGCTTACTCATCGTGGAGCTCCAGAAGACGGTAGACATGGCCGAAAAGGGAAGCGTGCGTATTGTGAATATGTCCAGCGCGGGGTATGCGCGTGTGGAGGCTGTCGTGACCAATGCATCCGATCTTACTACACTTGCCATCAGTACATGGGCACTTCGCCTCAGCTCTCTGCGCTAACCCCTCCGAACTGTTCCTTTGGATCATCGATTAATGTAGGTAGTGGCTGGGAAGTCGAAACCAGATCATCCATCGAGTGACTTATGTGGGAGCGATCGTCGGGTTCTTGCCGGGGATAACAGCCCCCACCTACAGATCCCCGTGGGCAGAAACAGCCTTGCCCGGCTACGCATCTTGAACAGTGGTTCAAGTCCTGATGGGTATGAGCTCACTGATGAGGAGTTTCTGCGCGGATAGACCACGAGAACTGCCTACTGCTAGCATAGCCTAGTAGTTACCGGTCTTATTCTGGGCCCTGATTCGGAGTCTGTAAGGTGCATGAGCAGGCTGATGGCAGTGGAGTAATGGAGAGTCGAATTCGACCTACAACAAGGTACTTACTAGGGGGCCGACCGCCAGAGTACGCGCAACGTACTCGACGAAGACCAATTCACACTATACTAGGGCATTGTTTACTTTCCTACGCCTGGGTAATTGGGTTACGATGTCGACCGGCACTGCCTCACCAGGCTCTTTTCGTTGTTCAGGATTTCGTGAAGATCAATGGTCAATTGAGGAGGCTGAAACATTTGTTATGAGATTTCAGAATTTGACTCGTGGACAATCCCAGCATTCTTACGTCACGGACTGAATCATGGAGTATGCCTTGTCTGGGGGCCGTCCCGAACTCCGGATTGTATACTCCGTAAGTGCACAGAACGAGGTATAAAGCTGTCGTTGACATCCCCTTTCATTCAGTCAATCAGACAAGCAGTGCCAGCCGGCCTTGATTTCTGACTTATTAGACGGACACCCACCTAAAATGATCCCCTTCAAACAAATCCAGCTCCTCACTGCCCTGGTCGCCATAGCACCTAGTGTGCTTGCAGACTGCACTTTATCGCTCGGTTATACCCGAACCCAGGTATAACCCCTCAAGAACAAGCTTACCTACTCTACCTTACAATTGTTTTCTATAACTCTAACCATGCATCTCCGATATAGAACCCCATCGGTGGAGGCGATAACACTTACACTTGTACCGCATCGCTGGACTATGGCGATGGCCGGATGGACACTCTAGACACGGAATGTAACCATGTTACTAGAGATTCCTGCTACAACTCTCAGCTTCAGTGGAGGATTTGGTACGTGCCTCGGTACCCTCCTTGGAATATTACAACTGCATAACGCATAACGAACTCTCGGGGCGAAATTAACCGTGCTGTAGTGTCACAACCAACTCGGACTTATCAGACGGATACGTTGACTATAGCGCAGAGCACCGCGACTTTAACGAGGATGGATGCACCAAGGACAAGTGGGCTACTATTTCAGGGGATGGTGCTACAACCAAGTGTACTTTCCCCTGTTAGAGTTGAAAGGAAGTCTGCATGAGGCATTTCATAGTAGGAAATGCGAGGAAAACGTTGAAGCATTTAGATCTAGTTTCAATTCAGCATGAACAACGACCGGACCCATATGCTTTCTTGAGCGATAGTGTTTCTGTCTGTCAGTCGGGCCAATAGTATGGGTATTATATTAGATGTGAAAATGCCCTGTTTGGGAAGGAGCAGGGGATAGTTGTGTCTAAATAGATTGTGCCTTTTCTCAGGTGACATTAACAGTTGGTTCTCATAGCGACTGCCGCCGCGTGGATGTAGACAATAAGCATGCCGAAGCAGCTGCTGGATACAGTGGCATCTAGTTGCGTCAAAATGTTCTATCTTTGTCAAGGAGGGCCTTCGCGAACGCCACTCCCTTCACCGCACTGTTTCCCGCCCTTTGCTGACCCACTGACAATTAAACCGAGAGGGTGGGGAAGACTTTCACGATGTACAATACTCCGAAAGACCGATGGGAAGGACAGGAAGGCGGTAGCGAGCAATAGCGAGGAACGGGGAGGCTCCGCTTTTGGAGGATTAAGGAGGGTTTCTTTAGGTGTTGTATTATGGCAATTGCAAGCATGCAGTACAAGCCTTAATACCAAATATTTATAAGTGTTCAGGTTCGGCCAGTGGCTTTTTCATATTTCAGGTTCCATTAGGTCACTCCGGCAAGATCTTGCATCTCAGCAGTAGATGATGACGAACTGCCGGCAAACTATGGGGTCATTTTCGGTACCCAGTGCCAGGGACGACCCTTGTGAAAGTGGATTAGAGTGGAGAGTAAAAAGGAACTATGTCAAATTCCTTCTTTGATTGGGAGAGTGGGCCTGCTTAGCCAGCTCCTGGAGAGCATCTATACTAGATTATTGGAGAAGCCGATCCCGCCAAATCAAACTGTGGGTCAAATAGTCGCTATATAAGATCTCCCCGACAACCCCACTATAGGAGTACTCGTATTTGCAGTTCCAGCGTGTTTGGCTCAATTCAGCCGGGGTAGCACGTATAGGGAGAATTTGCCCTCATTTAGCAAGGTTGCTGTCACCGTGTTGCAAATGGGGAGTGGAGGGAATCCACTCCACAGCAGAAAGTATTACTTGGTGTTCGTGAGCAGAAGAGGCATAGAGCGGAGTTACTGATTACTGGAAGCCTCTATGTAGTTGGAAGATACAATCGAAAGAAATTCTCTGGGACGATTTACCAGCGAATTGGTTCGGGCTTACTCCGTACCTTAGAGATAGAGCCCCCGCCGATGATTTATGGAATAGTTCATAAGGGTGATCATGATGTCAAAGTGGGTACCAGATCGACAACAGAGTGGATAAGGGAACAGATCATGTTAATTAGGGAAAGAGATCGTGTGCTTTGTCCACGTAAGATTTTAAAAGGGGACAGACAAGTTCAGATATCATGGTTCTTCAAGACTTTTCGGACTACAATGGACAAGGATGAGCAATCCTCCCCCTTTACTATTCTCTCAGAGCGACACAAAAAATGGACCATCACAATCACATCCCTGGTGACATTTGTGTCACCAGTCTCGGCAAATATCTATTATCCGGCTCTTAATGAAATGACACGCGAGCTCCATGTCTCCTCATCAGACATCAATTTAACTATCACAGCCTTCATGGTAGGCTACTAGTGACGCGCCAATATATTTAGACCTTGAGCCTAACCGCTGGTTTCATAGGTTGTGCAAGGTCTAGGCCCCTTTTTCGTGGCTAGTTTGTCAGATACCTATGGTCGTCGGGCAACATCGATCGCCTCTCTCCTTGTCTATCTGGCTGTGAACATTGGTCTAGCTCTACAAACCAGCTACCCTGCCCTGATGACCCTCCGGTGTTTGCAAAGCTTTGGCAGTAGTACGGCTTCAATTATCTGTACTTCTGTGGCAGCGGACTTGGTACCACGAGCCGAACGTGGACGGTACATGATATATTCGACGCTGGGTGTGACAGTTGGTCCGGCTGTTGGACCTATCATAGGTGGTATTCTGACGCAGTTTCTGGACTGGCGTAGCACCTTCTGGTTCCTTGCAATTTTTGCAGGAATTATGGCAACTTTGATGCTGGTCTTTGTACCAGAGACCTGTCGTGCTGTGGTGGGAAATGGGTCCATTCCACCTCCCCGTTGGAACATCCCTCTCATTCAATGTTTTCGTCACAAGGCAGATGGCAGCGAACATGAAAACCACCCTGAAACCGGGAAGCGGCCAGCTCCAACTCAACGGCCAACCCCTTTGGACACCATCAAAGTGGCAATGGAGCGAGAAACTGCCCTCATTATATTTTCCACAACTCTTCTATACTGCGGATACACAGCTGTGCTGAGCACTCTTCCATCCCAACTGGAGCAAAAGTATAACTTCAATGCGTTGCAAGTTGGATTGTGCTATATCCCGTACGGAATAGGAAGTCTCTCATCCCGATGGACAATCGGAACACTCGTCGACTGGAACTTTCGGCGCTTTGCAAGAAAGCAGGGAGTGGATATTGTTGAAAACCGTCAGGCGCCGCTAGATTTGATACCAGTTGAGAAGGCACGGTTACAAATCGCCATACCATTGACATACTGCGCGTCTATAGTGATCGCGGGTTACGGATGGGTAATGAATTTTAAAACTAACCTCGCTGGGCCCCTTATTATGCTCTTCTTTGTGTCCAATTTGGTTGCCGGAGTATCGAGTGTATTGTCCACCTTACTGATTGACTTGCACGCCCATCGACCAGCTACCGTCAACACGGCAAGAAATCTATTTCGATGCTTGGCCGGGGCAGGTGCCGTGGCCGGAGCTGTTCCGTTGATCAATGTTATTGGGATTGGGTGGTTTGGAATGATGATTGCCTTTATTTGGGTTCTGTTTAGCCCAGTGGCGGTGGTTGTATATATATGGGGGCATGGTTACCGCCAGCGGAAGAATGCATACCGCAAACAAGTTCAATCATAATAGACGGCAGACTTGATCACCTTTTCAACCTTTGTCCCATCTGTGATCAGCGTGGCTTTTTCCGATTGGGACATTTGCTTATTTATATAGGAAATTGAGTTAGAGGCGAATTTTTGCTGCTAATACCGCGTGATTTCTTATATAGGCAGCTACTTATACACAGGTTTTACAATCGTAGGGGGTTTTCTCGTGGCTTTCTTCATTGGGGATTCGGGTTTAGGGCTCAGGCGTTGATCAGTGAGCCTAGGGCTGAGCAGCGGGCAAGTCGCGACTCAGGGGCATCTCTTTATTGCAGGGTTCAATTGGTTGATGTCGCCGATGGTTCTGCCTAATAGGGCTGCCCTTAACTAGTTGTTAACTAACAAGGGTGCCGTAGCAGTCATAAAGTATGATAAACTTGTTGCAGTCTTCCGATAGAGGTAGAATTATGTTCTCGGAGAGATAGTGACATATAGACTGCGGGCCCAGACCGCTAAAGCAAGACTGTGAACAAATCCATCGTTCTATGCAGGGTTCTAGATAACCTTTTACACAATGATGTCACCATCTTGATTATATACCGTACCCTTCCAGACGTCTTGCGCATAGGAGATTCCCGGTAACTCAATACCGGGAAGGCACTTCGAATTGATACTGCGTAGACTGTTCAAGACCATTTAGAGTCAATTATAGCTGCCGGTACAATTCTGTCTGAGCTTGAAGCTGTTCTACAAGATGATGGAGTACGACATCCAAGTTAATCTCTTACACAAATAGCTCTCGTTGGGAAAAAGTCTAAAGCTCAGAATTTTCTTTCTACCTTCTCAGACTCCTTATTAGGAATCTTATTGAATTAGATATAATAATTTATAATTACTAATAATAAAGAAGAATTAGATATTACCACATTTATAAATTTGATATTTATGATATAACTTCCAATATCTATATAGTCTAAATCGGATGCTGGATGACAAACTTCTGCATACTAGCCTTCCCAGCCACGGCATCGCGCATGGCACGTATGCCCGCCTCGCCACCCTGCACTACCGCCACATTGGGCATCCTATATTCCGTGCCGTACGCGGCGATGGCCCAGCGGATCGCGTGGTCGATGCGGTCTTGCATCTGTTGATCCGGGGCGTGTCGAAGCACCGTCCCGTCCGGCAGGGTGAAGTCGACGGCCACGTTGCGGCAGGCAAAGGTGCGAGTCCAGGGTCGTGTTGCCTCCTTTGTCGCGGGGACGGGCGAGGTGAAGAGCGCGTTTTCGGTGGTGGGATCGACGCATGCTTCGCAGAGGGTCGTCGAGGAAGGGGGCGGGTTGCGGGCGACAACCGCGTCCAGCACGCGCGCCAGGGGCCGGGAGGTGTATTTCGCCAGAGCGGCGCCGATCTTGCTGACGACGTCCAGGTCTGCGTAGTCGAAGCACTCGGTAGCGCCGAGCTGGCGAAGGGCCGCGTTGTTGCGCGATGAGGCCGTCGTGAGGATGGGAGTGCATCCGGCCTTGACGGCGAGTTGAATGGCGGCCGTGCCGACGGCACTGGCGCCGCCCCATACTAGGAGGGGTTGGGGTGCAGGATTGTCGTTGCCGGACGCGTCCAGCGAGAGGTGGAGCTGGTTGAAAAGCGCGTCGGCCGCTGTGTGCGTTACTACCATGAAGCATGCGGCCTCCTCCATCGGCATGGCGGCTGGCACGTGGTAGACGAAATGGCGGGCGCAGTGGACGTCCTGGTGCGCTCCGTACTGCTTAGGCTTGTCCAGCGCGGGCGCCGCGAAGCCTATCACGCGATCGCCGGCATTGAATTGCCCTGCGCGCTCGGCGCCAGTCGCTATCACCGTGCCAGAGAAGTCATACCCGGCCACTGTGTTGCTGAATCCCACCCGGGCATGCCCTAAATCGGCTGGGTTGACCCCGGAGAATTCGACTTGCACCAGGACCTCGTTCGGGAGGTTGCGTAGATCTCCTTGACGGGCGCGATGTACGGCTCGCCAGTTGCATCGGTTAAGATTGCGCGCGTGGTAGGCATCGTAAATGGTGTTTTAGTGGAATTGGAAGCGAAAGCATCGTGAATTTTCTAGTGATGGCTGACTGCAGAGATCGACTTAAGGACAGTTCGTGCCGGAACACGGAAAGTGTAGGATGTGCATAAACCTCTATGCATCCGTCTTTTCATCCTCCGTCCGAGGACGAAGTGTAGGCCAGCCGGCTATGCGGCTTCATAGACCAACCACTGCCGTCAAATGGTGGCGCTTTCTTCGAATGATTTGCGGCATAACAGAACGCCCTTGGCTTGCAGCTTACCGGCCCGCCTAACATCCGATCCGCCGAGAAGCAATCGGTCCCGACAGGTATTAGAAAGACCATCGCCCGTCGTGACTCCCACCCATAGACTGTTAGTTTTCACAAACCATCACTATCCGGTAGTATCAAACGTCTTTTCCAAGGAAATGTCCTCCTCCAGGGTCCTCGACTGGCCCGCCGGTTTCGCCACGCAGGTCACCCTCGGCCCCACGACATCCGGAATAGCGGAGGAGTACGAGCTAGTGTTCGCGCGCCGAGCCCTTTCCAAGATCAAGGCCCGGCTTGGCCTGGAAGCTACCGAGCGACTCCTGCAACCCGACATTGACGAATCCAACGCCTTCTGGCGGCAAGTGCTGGCTGACAACCCCACCAACGAATTCCGGCCCGCCCGCGTCGAACTAGCCATCAACGGGCTGTCCATGGACGAGTTCCTGGGCTGGTTCCGTGAACGGTGCCAAAATCGCGTGCCCTGGATGCTGGCGGCCCAGCCCGAGCACTGGGTCGTGGTGTCGCCTGCTGCTGCTGCTAACGCTAATGCTGATGGTGGCAGCAGCCCCGGCTACCACGAAAAAGTCAACGAGAACCTGGGACCGTGGATCTCGCGCTTCTTCATCACCTTCGCCCCGCCCTCCCACGCGTGTCAGCTCGGCGAGCTCGACGCCGAAGCGTACCCGCTCCAGATGACTGGATACGGCCGTACGGACGGCGGCCAGATCAACGGCTACGTGCTCCACCAGTTCCGGCCCCATGCCAACAGCGTGGGCTTCGACGCCAACCTCTGCATCCACTTTCCTGCCCCGGCGCCGGAGGTGCTCTTCGAGCAGCACCGGCAGCACCTCGTGGTTGAGTTCACCAACCGGGCGCGACACTGCTATCGGGATACCAAGGTGGAGACTTTTTGAGGGTTGAAAGGCAGCGTGTGCCAGCAGGGGCGAGCATGTTTAAGTTATCATTTGCTGTTTGATCGTGATGATTCGTTATGTGAGTTTTTTCAATCACAAATTCGTCTCACAGGGTGAACGATACACCTACTGTCACGTACGTACGTACAGTACATACCGAGAGCCCCGCCAAGCATCTATCGGCCCGCACAGGGACCGACCTCCGCTGAAGCCCCCAGAAAGACCTACCGCCGCTCCGCCCCATCCGGTCCCGCCACTTAATCACTTACCCGTATCTGCATAAGGAGCAATTCCGATTGGTTTCAACCACGGGTGATAGAGAGGAGTGCCATCAAGGCCAGATCGATCATGAGTCAATACAGCTCGATCCAACGGCCCTTTTTTCACTCTTGGCTACAGATTGGCCTACGGCGACTCGTAGAAGATTTTAGGACGGTTGGAAATGACAGAACTCCATGGCGGCAGCAGTAGGCATGATCGCGCTCAGAAGAAGTTGGCCCAGAGATGTGTTAGCTGGTCATGCAGTTCGGGCAGGAACTCGTCGTGGTCATGGCGGACCGTCGAGGGGACATCCTCTGGGACGTGATGATGAGGAGGTCCGGCCGGGGAAGCGGGGGATATATGATAGAGAGTAGAATATCCTGTTCAGGCCCTTCTGTCTCGAGAGGCAGGTAAAATGGCTCTCGAATGTTAATAGTAAGCATAATCTCGGACAGGTGGCGGGTGGCGAAGCTTTGGAGCTCCTTCGCGATTGGGTCTGATACAAGAGGTTTGGCAGTACCTGCGACGGGCTCCGCATCCGGGATCGGTATAGAAGCACGCGCTATCAGTGGTAGAAGCTGGTTCCACTGCGTCGGGGTAAGGAGTAAGAAAGCGGGAAGCGAGGAGAAGGAGGCGGGCTGGCTTACCATCACCTGAAGTGGGGCCCAGAAGAACCGTAGGCGATTCAAAAGGTTAAGGCTCGTGCAGACACAAGTGCGGAGGGTTTCCGTCAGCCTCCCAACCTCAAAGAGTGGCTGTTGCTGTTGTTGTTCGCGTAGGTACACCAGGCTGCCTAGTTGCAGCGACGCGGCGAGGAAGGCTGGGTATCCCACGAATGGCGGCGCGGAGGTGCCTTGGCCGGAGCCGTGCAATTGAAGAAGCCGATGGATGGATTCTGTGAGCAGCAGCAGATGACGAAAGCCCATACTGCCACTTAGCTGCACAAATTCGTGCTGGGTAGCATAGGTGTCTTGGTTAAGAAGAAACATATACAGATGGGGGATGGCCCGGCATTGATGGTATAGAATGTCTGCTACGATGAACTTGTCAAGGCTGGCGGGGCTTGATTCCGGAGAGGCATGCCGTGCATTGTCGAAGGAGTTGAAGCAGGCTGTCGTTTGGATATCCATTTCAGTGAAGGATGTGAGCATAGATACTGGGTCTTCCGCTATGCGCAAGGCTGCCACAAATTCCCGGACATGGACCCTAGAGCGAAGAGTCAGTCGGGTCAAGAGCCCAATGATTGCAGAAAATACCAGCAACCCATTAGGGCCAATAGCTTGCAAGTCGTCCCTAGCTCTCCGTTAACCTCGCCTGAAGGTGGACTTTCCCCGAATTGAATGGCTTTCGATATTGCTCGGACCTTGGATAGAGCCGATTGATCCGGTAGCTCGAGCACGAAGCGCAAGTCAACTAATTGAGGTGGCTGTATAAAGCAGCGAACAGACCAGTAAACTCCAAAGATGCTCAAGGCAGCCTGCGGTGAGAGACCCGCGTATCCATCCCTTGTGCACAGCATGAGATCCATACAAAGATATGCCTTGTATGACGTCATGGATATATACATAGAAAGCTACTGCATTCAGTGTCTAGGCATTATTGTTAGTTCGGCTGCAGAATACAAGTGTTTCGCGGGCGGATTAAGGTCTTAGTTGCGTTGTTGACAACTATCGTAACTATTAAGATTGTTCCATGGAACTACCTTAGGTGTTTATAATTAAATTTAAGGTAATCTATATCTACCTAAGTAAAGGTATTATGTGTTATGATTTAGAGGAACATTGATTGTTGTTATTTATATTTAGAAACTTAAGGGTTTATATATAAGATAAGTAGCAGATTAATTTCCAATTAATCTAATTGAATCTGGAATAAATTCCGTATATAAAGCTCTATTGTTTACTTGGTCCAGACTTGGTTTATAATAAAAGGAACTATTACTTAACTCTTATCTATTACTTTACTGACTGTAATAGCTAATAATTATGTTATAGACTGAGAGTAATATAAAAACCCCTAGACTTCTTTTGGTTTTTTTCTATTACTTTCCTTTATTCTCCTTGTCTTCTTTAGGGCCTTTGTTTATATTTTGATCTTTTAGCTTTTTTTTTATCTTTCTTTCTTTAATAGAATTACTTACTCCCCTAGCCCTAGCTTTTATAGGCTCCGATCTGGAACTAGTCTGCGCCTTATTTAATTATATATATAGTAATAAAGGCCTTAACAGTAGGAAATATAGATATTAAGGCTTTAGTAAGGATAAAGGGTATCTACCGATAATGGCTTTATAAATAAAAATCTGAGAGTCGGCCGGCCGGACCTTTAGTCGCTGCTAGCTCGAAGTGTCCTGATTATTAGGGTCTATCGCTTATATCTGAGGCTTTATAGCGGTAATGTCGAGGTTTTTAGGTGCAGGAATCCCTAATTATGCTTGCCTTACGAAGATTTTTTAACCTACAGCTATATTGCTTGTATCTTTTAGTCGAGTCTTATTAGATTAAAGTTCTCCGGCTTTATGGCCAGATAATTTAGATATATACTAGAAGTATCGGATAAAGTTATTGTAATTCACTATTGCCCGTCGAGGTGCCATTAACTCTGGAAAGATTGCTAACTATTAATTGTAGGAACGTAGCGTAGGAGTATAGAAGTAGTAAGAATTGATTAGTTTTTGTAGCTAGTATTTTAGAACTTATAAGTTAAGGTTCTTAACTACTGAAGACATATATCTAACTAAGATATGTTTAATTCTTACGTAAAATACTGAATGTTTCTATAAAGAGATATTATGTTACTAGGAATAAGATATCTGTTTTTGCGTAGGGGTTAATGGTTTATAGGAGTAAGAGATCTATACTTATAAGGTTATCTATTTTTAAGAGTTTTATAGCTATTCTATAAGGATAGTATTAGAGTGGGCATGGTTAACCGTTTTATTAACCGTTTTAGCTAAAACGGTTAAAAAATACCGCCTCAGGTATAAAGATTATAGCTTGAATATTAGGTATAATTAAATTTAAAATTAAAATTTATATATATATAATATTATTATATAATATATATAGAACTATATTACGTAATACATTTATAATACCGTATAATACTCAACGGTTAAAAAATACACTATAAAAAAGGGTCTAAAATTGATCAGTCATGTATTATTTACTAATATAGCGTAATAGTGGTATTTTACTATGTAATTAAATATTGTATAGCACGTGATATCTAATTTCTTTATTATAATACTATATTACATAATTTTAGTAGGTTAAATACATATTATAAAAGCTCGGTAATTAACCTGAACGGTTAAGAATGCCCACTCTAGATAGTATATATCTCTTCTATTAAAGCTTCTGTTCTTTAGAAAATTACATACAATAGTTTATATGTATAAGACTTAACTTAAGATATATTATTTGGAGACTAGTATAAATATAGGAATAAATAAGCTTAGGAAACCCTATTTCGGAATAAGATAGGTTTTATATTTTGTAATCCGGTGAATAATAATATCTTTATCCGAGAATATTTTCTTTTCTAAAATAGACTATTCTAGATTAATATATCCTAAGATTTACTAGTCTTAGGTTCGAAGAAATCCTAGAACGCTGTATTCTGAGAAATAGTATTTCTAGGATAAGTGTTTTTAGGAATCTAAAAGTCTAGGATGTTATGGGTTCTATAGGCCTAGTACAGACCATAGGTTCTATAGGCTCTGTATAAACTATAGGTTGGAGCTAGGCAGGGCCTTATATATAGAGATCCCGAAGAAAGCTTCCTTATAAACTCCTAGCCCTAGAGACTATAAATTATTCTACCGCAGTACACCGCCCTACTTCCCTTTATTTATTAATATTTAACTGCTACTCGACTTCCTATTCCTTAGCTATTCTTTTTTGTTTATATAGTATGTTTAGATAGAAAGATCTATCTCTATTCGTTTTATAATATTAGAAATAGCTAAATAAAATACTAAAACAGTAGGAAATAGTCTTCTACTACAATAATAGAAGAGAGAAATATAACTATACTTCTATAATAACTTTAAGAGCTCTATATAGAGATATAAGCTTAAAGATAATAATATTAAAAGAAGAATAATAGCTTTTAAGCTGAATTACGCGCTATATAGAATTAACAGCTAAATATATATATTATAACTATAACTACTATAATATTTCTAATACTAAAAATAGTAAGCTTTAATTAATCCCAGCCGCGTTATTTAAATATTAAATTTTTTAATAAAAAAAATTTAAAAGATTATTTTTCTTTTTAAATAAATTTTTATATAAAATTCGCGATTAATATTATATATTATAGTATAGAAAAGAAGTAAGTTTATTATATTTATAGCTATTTTTAAGGCAAGACTAGCTAGTGTATTTTTCTTTAGCTATAAGCCTGTTAAAAATTAGAAATAATTATAGAATAGAGAGAATTCGCTACGGTATTAAATAAAGTTTTTAATAATTCTAACTGTCAGACAGCCAGATAGGACTGTATTACTAACCAGATAGTGTGGCGTCACCCTTTTTGGTCTAGTGGTACAGTTCAACAGTTATGAGCCCGGTTTGCTATGGTAGGGGCCATCTGATTGGTCACCTACTACTTCCCGATTTATCTGACCGCCCTATGGCGCGCGTTCGAACCCTAGTAGGGTCGAAGATCTGATTTTGATCACTGAATTCTATGGATTTCTACCTGATTCTGACCTGATTTCTGACCCGATTTCTGCCCTGAATTGCTGCCTGATTTCGATGACTCTGACCACTGTCTGTGATTGGTCAGTTTATCCCGATTACTAAGCCCAGTAATCGCGCTAAACTGGGGGGGTGTGTCAGACAGCCCAGATAGGACTGTATTACTAACCAGATAGTGTGGCGTCACCCTTTTTGGTCTAGTGGTACAGTTCAACACTAACTAATAAAAAAAAGCTTTTATATAAATTAATATTATAAAATAAAGAAAACGCGACTTAAAGAAATTTCTAAATAAATTTAATAAAGTACTACTTAGTGCAGGAAGAATTAGCTAGAATAATTTCTAAAAAAAAAAGCTCTTTTAAATACTATAGTTAATTAGTAGCTTCTTAAAGAAATAATTAGTATTCTTTAGATAGATATATATAAAGCTTATTATAACTAATTATAGTATATAAACTATAATATCTAATAAATAAAGAAACTAAATAAGAGATAAGTTTATATAATAGCTATAGTAAAAAAAACTTTTATTAAAAAAAGATTAATAAGTTTTTTATAGTTGGCTTATTCTAACTCTATAAAATAAAAACTAATTATAATCTAGATTATAGCTCTATATAAAAAGATTAAAAACTTAAAATTAATTAATTATATAAAGCCGCCTAAGTAAACAGTATAAATTAATATAGAGAAATATAATAAAAAAAATAAAAAAAAAATATATTTAATATAAAAAGAGAGATTACTATATATAAAGCTACTGTTTATTACTACTACTATCTTTTAAATAAATAGCTAATATTTAAAGAATAATTTTTTTTAACAGCAATTAAGAATTAGAATTAAAGAATTTAAAAAAAAAGTAACTTTTATATAAAATTATATATAAAAAAATAGAGAGAAAACAGTTAAAATAATTAAATTTTTTTAACTTTTTTTAACTTTATATAGGAAATTCTTAGAAAATTTTTAAGAAAGCTTTTTTTAAAAGCCTTTAGATTCCTCTTTTTTTATTATATACTTATTTATAAATTAAATTATTTTAATATATATAATAATAGATATAGGCTATCTAATCTATAGCATTATTAGCAAGATATTTATAGAAGTCTATTAAATATCTATAATTATAATTACTCTGCAGGTAGTAAAAAGAGTAATAAGTAAGTTAAATATTCTTACAGAAATTATATAAGTATAATTAGATATTAAAATCTATTTAAAAGTAAGCGCGTGCCTGTATATATTACCTAACTAACTTAATTATAATATAATTTTAGAAATACTCTAGCTGCGATACTATAAAAGTTAGCTTAATATTAAACGCGGAAAATTATATCTTTATATAATATATTTCTGTTTATAGAATAAAATTTAAAAATCTATAACTCTATTAGATCTATATAAAGTTTTAATAAAGGCTATATAAATATACGTATACTAAGCTAAGAGAAATCTCTAGACTATATAAATCTTCTTTATTTTAATAATAAATATCTAAAAGATTTTAAAAATAAAAAAACTAATAAATCTATAGAAAAAGCTACTACTACAGTATTACTAATATTTTAATTTATTTAATCTAGATAAGATCTAAAATCTTCTTCTTTATTAAAACCTTAGAATTAATTATTTTATTAAGCTTATATAGGAAAATAAGAAAAATCCGGAGATTTTTTAAAGACTACTATATTTAATATTCTGTAAAAAGTTAGTCGCGCTATAAAAAGAGCTAACTAATCTACTATAAAAAAACTTTATTAAAATTAGTTATTTTTTTATTACTGTATCGGTTCTGTTTATATAGAAATCTAAAAATAGTTTTTAGTTTTATATAGATTACCGGGCTCTAAATATAATTATTAAAAAAGACTGTTATCTTTTTTTTTTATTAATAAGATGTTAAACTAGATCGGTTAAGCGAAATAGTTTACTAAGCTTAATATTACCGCTATTTTCTATAAGATTTAAATTACTAAAGAATAAGAATAAATAACTATATTCTATATATAGTATAGCCTTTATAAATAACTAGTTATTTTTTTTAGATTAGTAAACGCTCTATTAATCTTTTAAAAATATATTAACTAGATACTATATAAATATTTAAATAAATTCTGCTCCGTATATTTTAATAATATTCTAATCTATACTAATAAAAATCTTAACTAATATTAAAATTATATATAAAAGATTCTAAAGAAACTTTAGAAAGTAAGCCTTTATCTAAATATTAAGAAATATAAATTCGAAGTTAAAGAAACTAAATATCTAGAATTTATTATTTAGACTAAATAGAGAGTTAAGATAGATTTAGAGAAGATTAAAGCTATTTAGAACTAAAAACTATTAACTACTGTTAAGAGCGTATAAGAATTCTTTAGTTTTATAAATTTTTACTAGTATTTTATTAAAAATTTCTTTAGTATTATATAATTTCTAATAAATCTTACTAAAAAGAAAGTAGTATTTTAATAGATATAGATCTGCTAGAATAGCTTTAATATACTAAAAAGAATATTTATTATAGGGCCTATTCTAGTTTTCTTTAATTTAGATTATATAATAGTAGTAAAAACTAATTTTTTAAGCTATAATATCGGCGAAGTATTCTTCTAATATAATTTAGAAAAAGTTCTATGTCTCTACGCTTATTTTTTTAAATAAAATATTCCGGCAGAGTATAATTATAAAATTTATAATAAAAAACTACTTGTAGTTATATAGTATCTAAAAATCTAAGATATAAAATTATACTCTATACTAAAGTTCTAAATAATAATTAATTATAAGAATTTAGAATATTTCTTTATATCTTAGAAACTTATAGAATAATATATATAATAATTTCTATTTCTTAGCTAGTTTAACTTTAAATTTATATATTATAAAGAAGTAGATAATAGTAAAGTAGATATTTTATTAAAGCGCGAATAAAATACTTTTTTAAATAATAATAAATATGTAAAAAACTATATAATATAATTTTTTTTAAAAAAAGATTAATTAGTAGAGATTTTATCTATAGTTTTAAAAACAGCTCTCTTATATAAAAAAAAATAGAACTAATAAAATAAAGCGAAAAACTAAGATTTATAATACTAGAAGATTATAGCCTATTTATAAGAAAGTAAAAGAAAATACTTTATATATATATAGGTAAAAGTCTCTCTAATAGAGTATTAGTTTAATTAATAGAGTTTAATATAATTCTGTAGTAAATAATAAATTTTTAGTTATAAACTACTTTATATAAATTTAATCTAGTAAATTTACGATTTTTTAGCCTTCGGTTATTTTAGAAAAAAATAGATATACTAATTTATTAGTTAAAATTATTTCTAGTTTAATATAGTTAAAAATATCTGCTAATTTATATAGAATTATAATATTTATAGTAGATTAAAAGTGTAGAAAGATTAGCGGAAAGATTTTTTAAAATTCTTTTTTATATTTAATAGGCTTTAGTAGGAGTTCTTTATAGAATTAAACGGACTTACGGTGCCAGACCTGCCTCTTCTGTGGTCTTCGAGGTGCCGCTTTTGCGGCCTCATTGCACCGGCTCTCCACCCGCCGCCCAGCACTGTCCCGGCCCTTCCCACGGAACATGACCCCGAGTCTCCTGGCACGTGAGTGAACCGTGGCTCTCTCCGGTCTGGAAACTGCTTCCTCGACCCACGAAGCTCCACCACTGTGAGATGGCCAAGATCCAATCACACCTGTAGTCTCGTCGTAGCTAATACTAGCAGCCCTAGACCGCGAGAATTACTGGAGCACTTCTACTTCCAACGTCTCACGAGGGCGCATAAAACTGCGTCCGGTTCCCCTCGGGAGATGTATGGAATCCGATCGCACACCACTAGACCTACACTGCCTTAGCCCTCCCACCCTATTCGGCTTCCGTTGACTTGTCAGTGATTCTAAGACCCCTAGGACTTATCCGTTGTTTCCCCTTCACACCTTATCGTTCAGATCAACAGAACATCTAGTCCTTATTTTCATCATTGGGCTTTCGTTCTAGCTTCTCATCTCCATGCCATACCGACTTCGATCTGTTGGCCTCCTGGCGAAGGCTTGCATTCGTCTGTCCCAATATTCTTGCCCTCGCCAGAAAACCATTCAACAAAGGCAGCAGAGTTCAACTAGCCCCAGTGCTGCTCTGAAGGGTAGACTACAGAGCAACGCGGAAAATGGGATGGTATCAGCTTTCCAAAAATGCCGACGCACTGGGACAGGAGTGGAAAATATCACACCCGACTTCCACAGTTTACATGATCTACCGATGATCTATGCTAGCAACAATGCAGGACTGACGATGAATACTGGCCACAATTGGTTGCAGTTGGAGAATAATCTGGATGAGAATGAAATCCAGAAGCGTAAATATGAACCAAACACAGTCAGTCTCCAGAGATGGGTCTGGGATCTCTGGTGCCGGTACGTGTTCTTTGGTTTAAATCCTTCGGGGTTGCCTCGAGTCGAGTTTGTCAATTTGCTTAGTCGACTTCAGGTTCTGTGGGGAAACAAATCGAGATCCCCTTCAGCTCATGAGAGAAGACCCTCCTAATATCAGAACTCTCTGGACGTTCTTCGACTATACGGTCACCAATCGCCGGCAGTACATTAATGCAGCTTCAACGCTACAGACATATTGGAATGTCTGGACGCTCCTCCGTCGCGAGAAAGTTGGGCTCTCTATTCCGGGGCTCATCAAGGACAAAATGACAGGTGTAGGTCTATTCCCCCACCATGTTCGGCACAGGCTAACACTCGTATGAGTAGGTTCGTGATCAACTGACCGCTAAACACGGGCTCCGAACGGAGAGGAAACAGAAACCGATCCTGCGGTCAGAAGATGTCTTCCAACTGATGAAGGTACTGTGGACCACAGGGAGCGAGACATGGGACCCGGTCCAGCTAGCCTTAATCGTCCTCCTTGCAGGCATGACGGGCCACAGGCCCGACGCACTGTTGCACGTGCGACACGCCGACGTCGCTGTCACACTGTTTCCTACGGGACGGGAACGGCCGCACATGGTCTTGGAGGTGAAACCAAATAGGACAAAGCGATACCGTGGAAGGAAGAAGCAAAAGTAAGCACTACTGTGTCTGGATAAGTCAGTCTCATTTTGACCATGCTGCTTATAGCCCGACTTTGGGGATCCCGGAGGTTCCTAGCGAACCATGCCTCCTGTTGTGTCCAAAAACTCTGTTGTTGGCACTGCTGCTTCGGAAGTCTGCCTTCCTCCATCTTCACATAGTATCCGCGGAGAAGTTATACGCTTTGCAGGTACCGCCAGATGCCGGATCCCTCTCGTTGTGCCCCGGAGAGCCTGAGGCGTTATTATTTGATATCTCTGCCAGGACATTAAACGCTTGGCTGAAGAGACTTGGCGAGCTTGCAGGGTTTGATTTGCCTATCACTTCATACTGGCTCCGCCGAGGCGCAGGCGAAGCTCTCAATAGCAGCTGTACGTATCTACCTATGGTAAATTGCAGAGTAGAAGCGCTTACTTATGTCAGGCGAAATCAGCGAAGCGCAACAAAACCTACTTCTTCAACATGCATCAGGGTCTGTTTACCAAGACCGGTATGCTCCTGATTACTTTCCGAAAGACTTCAGCGCAGTCTGGCGCGGTCGGCAGCAACAGAGTGATATTATTCGAATAGCGAGTGGGCAAGGCCGCTCTATTAATCTACGCAGACCGATCGATCTCAACGAGGCCCAGGAAGCCGAGGCTGATTCACGGCCCGATGTTCAACGATGCAAGGCGCAGTGGCAGCACGCGAAGCAGAAAGTGCAGATGATGTACGGGACAGTTTCTAAAGGCAAGGGGACCCCACTATTCGAGGACGCGATGAAAAAGCGGAACACCTACCATACTGCACGCCAGGCGGCTCGTCGCGTTATGAAGGAGGCCATTCGCGAAAAGTTCAATAAGGAGCAGCCCGTGGCTGACATTATACGTCAAGTCCATGGCTTGCCCCTAGAATCCGGAGACAGACGTGACGCGGGCCCTGTTCCCCCCGAACAATACCGAGCATTTTCTATGCTCTTTCGATTCGCGCCAACCACTGAGCGCGAGGAGACTGAATGCAGAGCGGCAGCTGTGGATGCAGTAGCCAAGGTCGGCCCGAGCCGACGACACCGTCTGCGGATTATACATTCCCAGGCTGCGGTTCCGGAATGGGTGACCGCAGCTTTGCAGGGGAAACGAAACATCCATTTGGCGCGGCGTCAGTGCTTATTCTGTCTAGCCTTGGGTATTCGGGAGGAGCCATTTAGTAGAGACTCTAGCTTTGAGCGGCACATTCGCCGAGTACACGATGCGCGGACCTGGTGCCCCGATCCCACTTGCCGGGGGATGCTGATTGGTCATGTCGATGTTGCTAACCATATGCGATATGTACACGGCGCCTGACCTTCCCTGCTAGTTGAATCTTAACAACACAATAAAATGCGGGTAATATGGATTATACGCTGACAATACGCTCCTCAGTCCTAGATTTACAGAGTGTCAGTTTAGTGTAGATAGTTAACTTACACTCTCACATTGTATATGTCCTACCTTCAGTCAGACCACAACCTTTCGTCTTCTGAGGACCCAGGTATCTCCTTCCTTTGAATTAGCGAGTGCAGGGGAAGGCAGTACCGATTTCTGTCTCTGGTGTGAATTTCCCTTTATGAGCGCCATTGATACATGTGCATTACAACGTTCGCCATGCTCAGCTCAGATACATGTCGCAAAGACCAGAAGAAACAGTGGAAATATCGGAGTTTCGGCTTGGGACAGGACCGGGTTTGTCTACGGCTAGTTTAAGAAGCTCCAACAATGCATGCGGGCTCGTGGGAAAGCGTCGCAAAGCCCAGCCTGAGCTACCAAAAATTATTCCTCGCCCATTTTCTGACAATGTATGCTTTTGCAGTGTCCCTCATCATATATCGTTTGGATGTGCACACCATCAGTCTCCATGCGCTTGGTTGTCTCTTTCAGAGAGCATGAAGAACTCTGTAGATGAAGTAATACTCACAACGTGTGGACCGAGCTTTCTTAGTCTACACAATTTGATATTGGGCCGGAATTCTCCGAATACATTGACTAGTAGGCGGTCTTTTTCTTTAGGCTGGAGTATCACACAAACTCGTACTGTAAAAGGAGGGGGAATAAAACCAAGTATGTTGGTAATGAAGAAATTAGAATGTTATTTGTTCGTAAAGATTGAGTATTTAGGGAAAGAACTAGCTTTTTATATGGGAGCATACTGCGTTCAAACCATCTGCGGATAAAATAGCTTGTACACGATGAGACATAGTATTCCATAGATCCTGAAGAAACCTCGCATATATAGCATTCCTGGCCTCTTCGTCGGCCCTATTAATCAATATAGTGTCTCCTACGTATCAGGCGCCTGCTTAGGCTCAGGATGGCGCTCATCAACAATTGCTTTCGTAAGCGCCATAGATTCTCAATAGGATAAAGATCAGGCTAGTAGGAGGGCATTTCATAACCTCCATACCCATTCCATCAAGTAAACATCTGATGATACGCGCGGTATGTACAAATGCGCCGTCAAAATATAACCTGGTCCAACCAGTTCTGGAAGCCATGTCTCTTTCCACAGCGTATAGCTCTTCCAAATTATATAAAGGAGACTATATCAAACCACGTGTTATTGCTATAATTGGTAAAGGCTGCTGCGTGTAACTGTGGGTAACCTTACGAGGCTGTTGGCATACAGGATCCTGGAAGCAAGAGCGGGTTTAAGTAGAATCGGGAGTCTCCAGGCGTATTATATATAACGAACTGCGGCTGCAGACGGATGAAGCATCGGGTTTAGCGATCCCCAGCTACATTCATTAATGTATACCATTTTATGTTTAGCGTCTTTGGCCAAGGACCCTTCCCGCAGGAACTTTAGCCTCCAGGGCAGGAGTAGATTGCGATCAGACAGCCTTCACTTGATTAAGGAATAATATCTGACAGATAATTTGTAGAGCTATGTCCAACTGTAGGCCACGTTTCTCTGCATACCGCATACAGTATATTCTATCAGGAAAGCTCCACTCGTTCCACGGACATCAATTCACTTAGCGGGCGATCCGTCTCATTCCCTCTCTGGTAATGACAGTCACTCGACAATTGCGACGGCATTGTTTCCATTGACTCCGTCTGAGACAGACGCATGCGATTTTTGTCTCTGTAGTCAAATGCAGGAAGCGGCGCGAGTCCATCGCCAGATTGTACAGTCGCAGAATTTTCCCCCAAGGTCTTTTCTTGCTGTTTCCGTCGCCGATATAGGATGAACGATCCCACAGCAATTATTACCGATAGGGCTCCTAGTGGAATGCCGAGGCCGATACCGATCTTACTCGCAGTCGACAGGCCATGGTTAGCTCCGGAATTCGATGGACCCGTGGTCGTGGACTTCGGGCTTTCTGAAGTGGTGATGGTAGCGAGCGTTGGTGTGGAAGCGGCTGTCTTGAACGACGAGGGCAGTGACGGGTGGTTGGCGAAATTGTACGAAATTGGCGAAGGATCACTCGTGTATCTCCTTGACACCCCAAACACAACACTTGTTATATTATTGCCATAAGGCTCGTGCGCCGCAGTAAATGGTTGGAGAATAAAGTTGCAGCCACTCTCGACGTAATCCCTCCGGGTTGCTGTCCATACATAGCTGTAGCCATTGCTAACTTGCTCTTGAAATCACAAGGAGTCAGTTGGAGCCGAAATATAGAAAGCTTTCAGGGAATCAAGACTGGATCGAGTAGTAGCAACTTACCTTCTAATGTGCGGCTATTGCTCCCGCAGCTTTCGTAAAGTGATATCACAGGCGCGGCAATCTCCCAGGTTATGTTTACCTGGTCAGCCACTATGAACCTATTCTCGTCATTCGTTGGAAACGTGAATCCTTCAGGCATGATCCTGACAGACAAGATATCAAAGTGGGCTTTTTCTTTCGCGCGGGTAGGGCGCATTAAAGCGACGCAAATCTCTTGGAAAGCTCTAAAATGGCCTACAAACAAGGGATGCATGCCACGGCTTGGTATTCACCTGAGTCATTCGGGTGATGATCATTGTAGTACTGGGAGTCCGAATCACTCAAAGTGTCCAGTCCAACAAGTCCATCATAAGGGAATAGGCCGAATAGAACCTCCTTAACGCATTTCAGAGACATCTATGTGTGTAATATTAAGGCTCCCAAACAACGGAGGAATTAGGATGCCCATGAGAGAATGGATAGAATCCGTAATCCATACAGTGGCCAACCGGATATGGGAGACCGTACAGGTGGTCATCGTAGATTTGTGTAGTTGGGTGTACCCCAAGAGCGGGATGATCCAAAAGTGCAATTTGGTAATCGCTCCCACACGTTTTGGTCTGTGTGTCGAAGTATCCGGAAGAAGCCCGAATTTGTCAAACCGGTCAACCGACTGCCCCATAGACTTTGTCCTCTGCTTCAAGGATCTCCGTTCCATATACGAATCCAAGACATGGAATGCGGCCACGATGGAATCTGAAACCCCCGCCACGGCAATCAAGGTGCAATGAATATTTGGAAGTACGCAATCTGCGCAGCTGGAGGTGCTGCTACGAAATTCCTGGCTTTGGTATCTGCAAAGACTATGCTGTGTCATTACAGTACTCTTAGAAACTAGTTGCATGAGACCTCTCGAAGGACAAAGTCTGGTTGATATTAAACAGGCCGTTGTTAAATGAAATCGTACTTGTGTACCTAGCGGTACATAATTATCGCAGCCCAATAGCGGTGGCGCCTCCCAGGGGATGGACGGGGTTGGGGGCGGAAGCCACGCCTAAGAACCCGGAAAAGTCTGCAAGGGACGGTAGTGAAGCTGCACCCCTGCCAGTGAAAAAAGAACGATCCGCGAGGTCATGCGTCAAGAATGTGATAAACCCAGCAATCGTATTCCTCTCCCTCGGAGGATGGGGGGAAGAGCAGGGTTATCGCCCCAATGGTGGGTACCTGATCACCAAGCTCAAAAGATCATTCAACCTCAAAATGAAATCACTGAATTGACCAAGCCGGAGGTTCGAGAAATTTGGAGCGAGGAGCAAACGCTTCAAGACCTCCTGGAGGAGGTCCATGGGCTCTGGGAACAAATTGGAACCGGGGAGGCCTCCCCAGGTCAAATCGTGGGCCACGGTCGCAGCCGAAGCGGCGGGCGGAGAAGGGTTCCTAGAGAGCCTATCGTCTCAGATTCACCAAGTCCTTATCCGGTTAGGACTTAGAAACCTCAATTCAGTACGTGTTGAGCCAGTGCCTGAAGGACCGCAACTGACCTGCCTAGATGCCATAGCGGGACCTGCATCCCCACCGGCACCTTGGATGCTCAAGGATACCTCGTGCGGCATCGAAAGTAGATCCGCCGTCTCTCTTCGATCACTGACGGCGCCGGGCCCCTCGCAGGCCAACATCTAAAAGGCCTGTCATATTCCTCAGCTCTCATCGAGTAAGGTGCGAATGCATTTAACACCCGGCCGAGGTTACTGTCTTGCGGGACTGCCTCCAACAAGCCCCCGACGCTTGAAGGCGCTCTCTATAAGACTCCTGTCGGAGGAAAATCCACAGGGCTGTTGTGACTAGCGGATATTCTGAACTTGTCTCCGTCATCGTACCGTGATGGCTGTCCCCAACCCAATTTGAATGCCTACTCTTTACTCACATCGCTGAGCCTTTCACGCGTTTCGTTCCCCAGCGCACTGCCTTTCGGCGTCCAACAATTGCCGTTTTGCGCTCTGCAGGCACTGACCTCCGAGACTGTCCCAACGAGCTGCGCTTGTTGCAGCTCTTAGTACGGTCCCGCACGCCCGTCCCTCTCCGGCACTTCGCAATCAGCAGCGACTATTTTCGCGATTTGGCTGAGAGACTGGCGTTCATCGCCATCCTCGAATTTCTCCTTTCTTTTTAAGCTTTGCAGTATTTGTACTTGAAGATCTCCAACTTTCCCCAGTTCCTCCCGAGTCTTCATGATGCCATTCATCATCGTCAATCCACGCTACGAGGTCTGGTTTTTCATGAACGTCGGTTGATGGCGAGCGACAGCGAACGAATTTGTGAAGATCTTCGGGCCATGAACGTGAGGTCGTCCAGTATTCTGCGCATTCTACGGAAGACCGGTTCTCTGATCGCCCTGGGCCTCTGCCTTCACCCAGCTAGTGCGGTACGTCGCCACGGTCTTCGCGGGACCACGAACTAACCAGCGTAGAGGAATCTTCCCGTCGGTCTACCGATATGGTAGTCTATTCAGGTTCTTCAACTGCGATTCAGTTGTGAGGAAAGGATCCACCATGGCCTCCAGCGGGAGATCATTGCGGCACTGCAGAAGGATTCGGACCGGTGGCCCTGGTGACGCATCTGAAGACCCAAACAGTCGAAAGTTGCCGGACTCGTCTTCTAGCCAACGCGACAGGCATCAGAACCTCAGGAGATTGTCAGACTAGTCCACTAGTCTTTCGGGCCCGCCGGTCTCCCAGCACTACAAATTTTCGTCTTTAGCGACTTCTCTCCTGGCAACTGCTACCGGAAACAACAAGTACTACTTCGGAAAAGGATTGATGAATCACCGGCCGGGACACGCCATGGGGATGCTACATAGCAAATCGAACATTGTGCCTGGCCGACATTGATAAGGATTCTTTTTGGGATAACCTTCCGTTGGATGGGTTGGATGGGCCCCGGTACAGTATCTGTCTGCATGTCCCAGTACAAGATCGACGAAATCTCTGTATGACCTCTAGTGCGGTGATAAGATAGAGGCTCGTCGTGCGGGTTCTGCCTTTCGATGGGGTAGGTAGTGTATTTTAGTGGCGCATGAAGCTGCCCAAAGCAGGGCGTTTCTTCTCTGTGTTCCATACACCTTTCCAGACTAATCCTGTGGGCAGCTGGACCTGAAAATGTCGCTTGCCTCGACATAACCGATAAATAGACGTCATTCCCAATGATAATATGCCTGGGTGAAGCCCTCATGCCAGATTGGGTCAGTTTCCATAGACTCGGTGGTTTTGACAACCAGGGACAGTCTAGTATCCAGAACGGCAAGCAGACCACATAAGGGCCTGCGGAGAGGTGGCTCATGGTTCACCGATTCGGATAGGAATGCACAATGCCCAACGGATTAAGAGCAGTGTAATTAGGAAAGACATGTGTCCCATATCTTACTAAAAGCGAGAGATCGGGGTGCTTCATCTGATATTGACCGGTCAACTAATCAACTTGGCAAGATTCCTCCGAATATATCCCGAACAAAGATAAAACGCCCACTAGGAAACTATATATTCGAACACCGTCACTCGTAATCTACGCCTCAATTATTACCGGAGAGTAGCAGAAATAATAATTGATTGATTGTTTAATCGATGCCGCATTTCAAAAAAAAAAAGATTATACAATGTTTAAGTGGTGGATAACCGGACGACATGCACTACGGGGAATTCGCTATTTAGCCCTATTCCGGCAAATCATCCACAAAAACGTCTAAGGTTGATAAGAAAGACACTGTTGCATATTTCGCCTACCTCCTACATCGTTTTATATGTCATCATAAATGTGTGACCCGTGAAGGTACCTATCTCGATGGGATTCTTTGCAGCAGAAAGGTACATGAAACCGAAGTACTGTTTAGGGGAATACATGATTAGAAAACAATCATGTAATTTGATGCATCAAAAATAATAGCGCCACTTAAGGAAAGAAACAGGCGCCACATAACTCACACCCCTGCAAGTACGAATGGCTTGCATGAAGGAAATATACCATACAGTGATAGAACTACTTCATGACCACATTGAACAACGAGGCTCTAGTGCTATAGGAGACTCACGAACGTGAATAAGACATCTCCATGTCAGCTCCCTTTGCACTTTCGGCTACGGATGCAGGTTTGAGACTGTGAAGCCTTCACGTTTCAGATGTCGATCCAGTAAATCTAGAAATATTGAGATATGTGACCGTTGGGGAGATAGTCACTTCCCGACACCTCAATATGTCATCCAAATGCCTGTCGATGAATCGCTCCCACCTCTTCATATCTCCCCTGCCTGGAGAGCACTAACCCAAGGTTGTTGACACTGATAAGCGTGGCAGGATGCTTGGCTCCAAGCACCCTCTCTCGTGCTTCCAGCGCCCGTCGATGCAACGCTTCCGCCTCTTCATATTTCCCTTGCCTGTCAAGCACACTGCCAAGGTTGCTGACACTGGTGAGCGTGTCGGGATGCTCACGTCCAAGCAGCTCCTCTCGTGCTTCTAACACCCGTCGATGCATCGCTTCCGCCTCTTCATATTTCCCTTGCCTGTCAAGCACACTGCCAAGGTTGCTGACACTGGTGAGCGTGTCGGGATGCTCACGTCCAAGCAGCTCCTCTCGTGCTTCTAACACCCGTCGATGCATCGCTTCCGCCTCTTCATATTTTCCTTGGCTGGATAGCACTAATCCAAGGTTGTTGACACTGGTGAGCGTGTCGGGATGCTCACGTCCAAGCAGCTCCTCTCGTGCTTCTAACACCCGTCGATGCATCGCTTCCGCCTCTTCATATTTTCCTTGGCTGGATAGCACTAATCCAAGGTTGTTGACACTGGTGAGCGTGGAGGGATGTTCATCTCCAAACACCTTCTCACTCGCTTCCAGCGCCCGTCGATGCATCGCTTCTGCCTCTTCGTATTTGCCTTGGCTGCCAAGCACTAAGCCAAGGTTGTTGACACTGGTGAGCGTGTCAGGATGCTCACGCCCAAGGACCACGTCACTCAGTTCTAGGTCGCGTCGATGTACTGCTTCCGCCTCTCCATATTTTCCTTGGCTGGAGAGCACACCGCCAAGATTGTCCAGACTGGTGAGCGTGTCAGGATGCTCACGTCCAAGCACCTTCTCATATCCTTCCACCGCTCGTCGATGCATCGCTTCCGCCTCTTCATATTTCCCTTGCCTGTTAAGCACACTGCCAAGGTTGCTGACACTGGTGAGCGTGGAGGGATGTTCATCTCCAAGCACCTTCTCACTCGCTTCCAGCGCCCGTCGAAATACTGCTTCTGCCTCTTCATATTTCCTTTGGCTGCCAAGCACACTGCCAAGGTTGTTGACACTGGTGAGCGTGGAGGGATGCTCACGTCCAAGCACCTTCTCACATCCTTCCACCGCCCGCCGATGCGTCGCTTCCGCCGCTTTATATTTCCCTTGGCTCTCAAGCACACTGCCAAGGTTGTTGACACTGGTGAGCGTGAAGGGATGCTCACGTCCAAGCACCTTCTCATATCCTTCCACCGCCCGCCGATGCATCGCTTCCGCCGCTTCATATTTCCCTTGCCTGGAGAGGACTAAGCCAAAGTGACTAACACTGGTGAGCGTGAAGGAATGCTCACGTCCGAGCACCTTCTCTCGTGCCTCCAGCGCCCGTCGATGCATCGATGCAGCCTCCTCATATGCTCCTTGAAGTTCCAGAAACCACCCACAACGAGAGGAGAGGGTAGCGGCATTCAATTGGTCGTTATTGCCTGCGTCATTGGTAGACGTCAGCACACTCTTGGCATGCGCAAGGAGCCTTCGACATTGCCTCCAGCTTTCGTAGTTGCCATCGGGGAATACCCGCGCCATAATCTCGCGTAATTTGATCTGCCAGCTCTGGAGCTGCTGGTGCTGCTGCAGCCACGCCCGGACTGATAACTGCACGAGCCGGTGCATGTCAAACAACCGTTCATTTATTTCCAACCGGACCAGAGAATAGCTGAGAAGCGGCGCCAATGCATCGTGAAAGTCAAGCTCATCTTGATCAGAGTCGCGCACCAGATCTTCGGGGATGCCCTGCCGATCGAACATACTCATCAACGCTAGGAGATCGGTTGCCGTAGGCTGCTCCTGACGGATTTGCTTGAATGATAGTTGCCATGTTGTGATCACCGCATATCGAATGCTGGGATCACGCCGGAGATCTGTGGAATCCTTAGTCTGGAGCAGCCGCATCCGCTTCGGCTCGCTCTCATGGAAAAGCCGAAGGTATGCCGAGACGGTAATTAAAGGTGACCGGCTGGCAATATAGGACCCTGCTTGCGTAATTGCCAGCGGGATATATTCCAGGGCCTGTACCAGTGCCCTCTCGTCCTCTCGCGACTCTTCAGAGGGAGGATCCAGAAGTCTTAACTTTAAAAGCGCGACCGACTCTTCCTCGTTCATGGGCTGGACTGTGATCACATCACCATCACTCCCCACCAGATTCCGTGCCGCACGATCATTTCGTGATGTGATTAGCATCGATCCATGCGCCACCTGAGGCAGGAACCGAACCAGTGGCCCTCGTTCATCCGATGGATTGTCACGGAAAAAAACGCCATCGTCATCCGCATTATCGAGCACTGTCAGCCAGCGCCCATTGCGTACATCACATAACCACCGATACACAAGCTGGAGCAAGTTTGCCTTCGGGTCGTCCCGTCCCGGAATCTCCGCCACCGCGGCAATCTCCTGGTAGCCCTGTTCGAACCGCGCCGCATTGCTAGCGTGGATCCAGAAAACCCACGTGTCCGGTGTAGAGTCTCGCACGCGATAGGCATACTCGATGGCTGTCTGGGTTTTTCTAACGGTAGATAGATCAGCCGCTATTCAATAGGCCTCTGATGGGACAGCTTTACCCTACACCGGCCAACCCGACTAATGCCACCCGCTGATGTCGCTGGCCGATCGCCCCATGTTTCTCCTTAATCGCGCTGATGACAGCTTCACGACCCACGAACATTGGGTCTCTTTTAAGTGGCACTGTGGACTGAGGCTGGGGCTTCTGGCGTGTCTGCGCTGAGAACCGCTCCTATTAGCTCGCAAAAACAGAAAACGCGCGAAAAGACTGCAGCAAGGCACTCACCAAACCGAGCCGCCACTACCGATGGGGCGGCATCGACAAACTGTCGCAATCGATCAAGTGCGGTTTGGTAGCCGGCCGCGTTGCGCGTGTTAAATTTGACTATCATCGAGTGATCCGCATGCAGCGGCACCTTATCCTCTTCATGGTCGGGGAGCTGAAGAAGAGCTGAGTCTGCGCCAACCGTCGTCACGAAGTCACCTGTGCGTTTCCATCGTCCGCTTTCCGAGTCCTACTGCGATCGTCAGCACATGCCAGAGCCTGTGTCAGACCAAGACCAATACGCACCAATACTAAGCGCCTCGTCTGCTCCGTCTCATAGAAGCTGACTACCTTCCGGTCGCGGATCAGGTTTTTAAAATCCACCAGCTGGTGGATCAGTAGGTCCGATTTATTGGAGATCTGCCGGAGCAACTGTCCCCGCGGATGGTTCTTGTCCCCGCCCAGCATCTGCTCGATGTCGTCCATCACTAGTCCTTTATGGGGGATGGCAAATAGGAGCATGCCGTACGTGGCTCGATAGAGTGATGTGATCGCCGGGTGGTCTCCCTCCATTGTTTGGATCGCCCTCACCAGGCACTATCGGTTGATGTCAGCATATCATACATAGTAGCCAAAATCGGATAGTGGTCCCACGTGAGCCAGGATGATCCCTCCAAAACTGTGTGCGATGAATATCAGAGGTCTCTGCTGGAGCTAGTCGAACAATCAGTCCAAATGGCCGCCAGTAGACAGGCCTAATATCGTCTCCTACCTCCTTGGTATTCCGAACCTTCTTGATCTCCTCCATCAGCTCCCGCCCGTAGTCGAGGATCGTATCCACCCCGTGGCTCGACAGCTTGGAGTTGTACCCATAGATCATGGTCCGGCACTGCGGCAAATCCTTTGACAGAAAGTCCCGAAGCCACATCCGACCGAGATTCCCGCGGCCCTGCCACGAGCCGTATGCATGCCCATCTAGCCCGGTGATGGCGATGATGCTGTATTGCATTGTTAACTAATACGAACCATCTAGAAGTAGGTAATAGAACAGGCCCTTACTCGGCAACCACTGGTTTATTCTCGTCCGGCGCGTAGAGCTGGGTAAACCCAAAGAAGTGACGGTCAAAGCTGATGTCAGTGTCTCCCATCTCGACCTGCCAGTCCTCCAGCGGATCGACTTTCAGCTCATGAAGGAACTGAGGCACGCCACCGCGAAACTGCACCAGCGCCACCCTCTGTGTGTCACTCTCATAGCACGAGGGCACGACGGCGATCTCCGCCTGGATCTGCGGTCTCTCGTCGTCGGTGAGGTTGTCGTGGAGTGTCTCTTGCAATGCGGTCTGCAGATCGTCATCGGGCTGTTCCCGCGACAGGCCGGTCACCCGGAAAATATGCGACGTTCTCCGACTCGCCATCGTGTTTGGTACTCATGTGTGGTGTAGAGGAGTGCATTGGATGAGGCCGGAGTCTGCTAACAGATAGACGGCCTCAGCCTTGCTGGCGAGGCTGAATCCATTAGCGCTGCGGGGTATTGGGCATGCACCTCCAAGCATTGCTACTATACTTCATCATGCTACTGTATGCCAAATCCAGCATTCTCCTAAATCATTCTTAACGGGAAGAACGTTCATCGCCGCATACTATATTAGTCTGTCTGTGCCATCTGAGATCATTTTTCAGATTATGTAACCTTATGGTTGATTGCTCTGCCTGACATCACGTGCCATAGTTGGACAACTTGGACACTAACCCATAACTGACTTAGCCCCGAGCTAGCCATTTTAGACTTGGCCCCTTGCGAGAGCATGTCCAGGGCGGACCGAAAAATTTCACGTTCCTCTGTTTCTGGGTGGGCGGTGGATTGATCCCTGAAGTGACTGATGTCCTTACAGGCAGAATGCGTTCCACCAATCCCACCGAAATCGACCGTTCAACGTACTTCTCGCCAAATGTTCCTGATGAAAGATGCCCGGGCAGACGCCCCTGTATTTGCCCATGCTGTAGCTTAAGTACGGTTCATGGTCAGTTTTATTTCTCACATAACGACCGTCAACTTTGGTTCAGACTTCACTTTGGCTCAACAGGCCTGATTCAGTACTCCCCTTAACTGTTCAACCGACAAAAAAACAGCGCTAGGTGGGTAAATCTAAACTAGCTTTTTTGCCTCTGTTAAGGACTGCTGTCTTCAAGAGTTATTCCTGCGTTTGATTCATCATCACGGTATGCGTTACCGAGTTCGCAGTGTTCAACTATTTCCTACTATATTATCAACGTTCAGGACGCGGTTTTTCGGGGCATGTGATGAATAGGGGGGTGGTTGTCCATAGACTTAAAGGGATCAACTGGGTCTGTTCAACACGCAACGATTCTTAAGTCCAGTAACCTAACATGCCCTCAGATCCAGTGGAGAAATTCCTACTTACACATGGCCGCCCGATCTGTGCTGTGGATCCTTTTTCCGCCGCAGCCGATCGGCTATCGCAAACCTCCATTCTCCAATCACTTTGACGAAGAAAAGAAATACTACCATCAGCAATAGGGCACCAGTCATACATCCGATCAACGTGCTAATCCAGTAGGAACATGCGAATAGCAGGGCACTTGAATATCTCTTATCGGAGTTGGAGGCCGCGAGGTTCACTTGGAAACAGTTCAGGAGGATCGAGAAAAAGGCAAATGCAGATAGCGCGGGCCCTTGTAGGCGAGCAAAGTACGCTCGATACTGATAGTCTATACGTTGGTAATGGCTTCTTCCCAACAGAACAGGCGCGTAGTAGTTCAGTCGTGTCATCCGGATCTCTCCGTAATGGTACCGTCCCGACACTTCGCTATCCGTGATGTCGTTGAAACGGGCCGTGAACTGGCAGAACTGAGGCCAGGCCACTTCTTTAGGAATTAAACAGAGAGCGGGATCTTGTGCGATTCGAAGATCGGATTCATACTGGATCAGGTGGAAATACGTTCGTAGATAGCCGAGCGCGGCCTTTCTAAGCCTCACCGCCGCACCATGTTTAGACGGGTTGCTCATGAACGTATCCCAGAACACGTAGGACGTTATGTACCGGGGAAGAGGTTTGAGGAAGATGCGGTTATCGATCCAGACGAGATGCAGCCGCGGATCCTCGGTTACGATGATTTGTCGACCTTTCACTTGTTGTCGATGCAGCGGAGAGATGTTACTGCTGTCCTGTTTCGACATCCACCAAAGTCTGTCCGATATCGACTCGAGGTCCTCTGACCAGAGTTCCCGGGAAAGAAAATCGAACAGCTTCTTATGATCTCTAATTTTGATTCGGGGATGACCCGGCAAATAATCAAGCGATGCATCGAAATCATCATTGAGCTGATCGTTTTTTTGGAATGGACATGACAAAGAGGTTCCTGCAAGCGTTGACATTTCTGAAAGCGTCGGATTTAGAATACAAAGCTCACGATGGTGCTGACTGACCGGGATTGAACTAGATTGAACGCTTTTTTCGACGAGAGATGTCGCTAAAGAACGGTGTTTATGTTCCGCTTCCGAGAGCCTTCGGAGCTCAGCCTCACGAGCACGCAACGCTGCCTAACCGGACCCTGCAAGGCGTATCCACGAACAGCCTAAGTCAATTAAAGGAAATCTCGAGGAACAAATCACAGAGATTGGTTCCAGCAACGATAAACCTAACTATGTGTCTACCGCTTAGATAACTTCACTTTGAGGCGGCTACATATCTTCAGCGGAATACGGTATACAAATAAAGTGAGTTATATGTAATACAGCCTGATGAAACGGAAGGTCACGACTGTGTGGTGAGCGAGTACAAAAACAGAATACCCCGACGTGCCAAACCAGTCTATAAATTTGGAACCAAACATTAGCGACTCACAATCCATGCTTGAATCTCCTGCTAATCTTGCGGTTCCCCGAACTTGAAAGCAGCTTGCCCCCCGTTCGGTCTCGTCTTCCGCCCGGGCTCTCCTTCCCCCACCGTCATATTGCGTCCCTTTTGCGCCTCAGTAATATCGTCGCAGCCATCACTCTTGCATGTCCTATGACCGACTGGCCATTGGACTGTCGGCAGGTCCATCGTGCTGCTCAAAGAGGATCCGGTCCTCCTCCAGCAAAAACGCATGCTCCGTAACAACTATGTCGGCTGCGCGACTCTGAGTCGGCAGACGGTGCTTGTACGCAGTATCTAGAGCCTGAGCGCCTTTTTCGACCTCGCTGCATTGTGGTCGCAGATATTTGAGCCCGGACACTTGGAACTCAAGGAGGATGCGAGGCGGATCAAATGGAAAGAGACCACTCAACCAGGCGGACTGTATATTGCAGCGTGTAAAGGCTTCTTTGCGGGCGCGATTATAAAGGTATGCAAAGTGTGGTTTGCGTACTCACCCCGTGCGACAAATCTGCCCAACCTGTGCCTGGTATGCTGTTTTCAGAGTTTTAAACACCCACATCGCACGCTTGGAGTTTGTAAGACGTATGCGAAGGGAGACGACATAGAATAATGCGGTTGGTAAAGCAGAATGTCATGACACTCGGAGACTTATGGGCGCCAAAACCACCGCGGAAAAAGAGTCGTGGCCGACTACCCGTTCGATTCGGGTCTGCAGATCAACAAATGTTCCTCCCAGTACAGACTGATGCTGGTGTTCGTATAGCCTGTTTGGAGCGGGGCAAACTGCCGCCCCGGGGTGGCGTGAGTGGTGCATGCATGGCGATGGGTGGCGGCCGACAAGATGGTGAGAGGATGCAGGAGCTGGCCATCGGCGGAAATGTATTCCGCTTTACCGTAGTCCCGCAATGTTTCGCAGATGGTCGTTGTGGACAATCACCTTGGGAGAGTTGGGAGCGCTGAGAAGAACGCCCGTCTCGTCCATATCATACACATTCTCCGAGAGGATGGCCGGATAGGCCAGCTCGCGACCAAGGATGGCAAACCAGTGTCGGACTTTGTCTTCGGTCTGCTGGCCATCTCGCTTCCGATCAGTTGCTCGCAGCCGTCGTGCTTCTAACAGCGGGTTTCGTCGGTCAAACCCCTGCGGCCAATTCCTTCCCGGAGGTCGAACCTCGAGGCCAGGATCTGTGATTTGGAAAAACGAGGAGTACGTGAGAGGGATCCCACGAAGAAGAGAAATCCTTCTGGTTCGCCCCTTAGCACGGTATCATGAGTCGCCAAGTCTACCTCCAGGCTAAGTCACTCGTGGTTAGCCTATTTAGCACGTGTCGTCAGGGAAGACTGAAGCCAAAGCTTCCTATCATTGGCTTGACATGGCTTTTGGATGGTGCGACGGACTCATGTATCATATGGCACACAGAGTTACTTCAACAATAAATGGCCTCCGAAGAATTTGGTATACGGTAGCATCTACGAAGTGACAATAGCAATGGTTGGAGGTGCATGCGCGATACCCCGCAGCACTAATGGATTCAGCCTCGCTGGCAAGGCTGAGAAGGCCCATCCATCCGCGAGCACAGTCTGGCCTCATCTAATGCATTATCCTACCACCACGCGTGAGCGCAAACCACGATGGCCAGTCGGAAGAAGTCACACGTCTTTCGGGTGACCGGCCTGTCGCGGGAACAGCCCGATGACGATCTCCAAAACGCATTGCAAGAGACACTCCACGACAACCTCACCGACGATGAGAGATCGCAGATCCAGGCGGAGATCACCGTCGTGCCCTCGTGCTATGAGAGTGACACACAGAGGGTGGCGCTGGTGCAGTTTCGCGGTGGCGTGCCTCAGTTCCTTTATAAGCTGAAAGTCGATCCGCTTGAGGACTGGCAGGTCGAGATGGGAGACACTGACACTAGCTTTGACCGTCACTTCTTTGGGTTTACCCAGCTCTACGCGCCGGACGAGAATAAACCAGTGGTTGCTGAGTAAGGGCCTGTTCTATTACCTACTTCTAGATGGTTCGTATTAGTTAATAATGCAATACAGCATCATCGCCATCACCGGGCTAGATGGGCATGCATACGGATCGTGGCAGGGCCGCGGGAATCTCGGTCGGATGTGGCTTCGGGACTTTCTGTCAAAGGATTTGCCGCAGTGCCGGACCATGATCTACGGATATAACTCTAAGCTGTCGATACGCGGAGTGGATACGATCCTCGACTACGGGCGGGGGCTGATGGAGGAGATTAAGAAAATCCGGCATACGAAGGAGGTAGATCCCGCTATCGGATCTGTCTACTGATAGCAAGTTTGGCTGATGTTTTGAGTAGCTCCAGCAGAGACCTCTGATTTTCATTGCACACAGTTTTGGAGGGATTATCATGGCTCATGTAGGACTAGCGCGAGAGTAATTTTTGTCTATGCTAACAACCACGTCTAGTGCTTAGTGAGGGCAATCCAGACAATGGAGGGAGACCACCCGGCAATCACATCGCTGTATCGAGCCACGTACGGCATGCTCCTCTTTGCCATCCCCCATAAAGGACTAGTGATGGACGATATCGAGCAGATGCTAGCCGGTGACTAGGGTCATCCGCGAGAGCAGTTGCTGCGGCAGATCTCCAATAAATCGGACCTACTCATCCACCAGCTGGCGGATTTTAAAAACCTGATCCGGGACCGGAAGGTGGTCAGCTTCTATGAGACGCAGCAGACGAGGCGGCTAATATTAGTATGCGTTGGCCATGGTTTGACACAGGCTCTGACATGGATTAACAACCGCAATAGGATTCGGAGAGCGGACGATGGAAACGCACAGGTGACTTCGTGACGACGGTTGGCGCAGACTCGGCTCTTCTTCAGCTCCCCGACCATGAAGAGGATAAGGTGCCGCTAAATGCTGATCACTCGACGGTGGTTAAGTTTAAGACGCGTACTGAGGAAGGATACCAAACAGCGCTTATTAACTTGCGGCAGTTCTTAGAAGAAGCACCATCAGTGGTGGCAGCTCGGTTTAGTGAGTGACCTGCTGCCGTCTTTTCGCAGTCTTTTTGTTTTGTTTTTGCGCACTAATAGGAGCTGTTCTTAGAGCAGATGCGCCAGAAACCCCAGCCGCAATCCACGGTGCCTTTTAAAAGGGATCTGACGTTTGTGGGCCGTGAAGCTGTCATCGGTGGGATCAAGGAGAAGCATGGGGCGATCGGCCAGCGACATGAGCGGGTGGCATTGGTGGGGTTGGCAGGTGTTGGGTAGGCTCTCCCATCAGCAGCCTGGTGAATACCGACTGACCTGACTACCCTAGAAAAACGCAGGCAGCCATCGAGTATGCCTATCGGGTGCGAGAATCCGCACCGGACACGTGGGTGTTCTGGATCCATGCCAGCAATGCGGCGCGGTTAGAACAGGGCTACTAAGAGATTGCCGCTGTCGCGGAGATTCCTGGACGGGACAATCTAAAGACGAACATCCTCCAGCTTGTGTATCGGTGGTTGTGCGATGCACGCAATGGACGCTGGCTGATGGTGCTTGACAATGCGGATGACGATGGTGGCTTTTTCCGTGGCAATGCATCCGATGAACGAGGGCTACTGGTGCGGTTCCTGCCCCAAGCGGCGCATGGATTCATGCTAATCACATCGCGAAATCGCTTTGCGGCACGGAATCTGGTGGGGAGTGATGGTGATGTGATTACAGTCCAGCCAATGAACGAGGAAGAGTCGGTCGCGCTTTTACGGCTAAGACTTCTAGATCCTCCCTCTGGAGAGTCGGGAGAGGACGAGAGGGCACTGGTGCAGGCACTCGAATATATTCCGCTGGCACTTATCCAGACTGCGGCATATATTGCTAATCGATCCCCCCTGATTAACGTCTCCGCATACCTTCGACTTTTCCATGAAAGCGAATCGAAGCGGATGCGGCTGCTCCAGACTGAGGATTCCACAGATCTCCGGCGTGATCCCAGCATTCGATATGCGGTGATCACAACATGGCAGCTATCATTCAAGCAAATCCGTCAGGAGCAGCCTGCAGCAACTGATCTCCTGGCGTTGATGAGTATGTTCGATCGGCAGGGTATCCCCGAAAATCTGGTGCGTGACTCGGATCAAGATGAGCTTGACTTTCACGATGCATTGGCGCCGCTGCTCAGCTATTCTCTGGTCCGGTTGGAAAGGGACGAACGATTGTTTGACATGCACCTGCTCGTGCAATTGTCGGTCCGGGCGTGGCTGCAGCAGCACCAGCAGCTCCAGGGCTGGCAGGTCAAATCACGTGGCATTATGGCACGGGCATTTCCCGATGGCAACTACGAAAGCTGGACACAATGTCGCTCGCTCCTTGCGCATGCCAAGAGTGTGCTAACGTCTATCAACGACGCAGATGATAACGATCGATTGAATGCTGCCGCCCTCTCCTCTCATTGTGGTCGTTTTCTGGAACTTCAAGGAGCATACGAAGAGGCGAAAGCGATGCATCGACAGGCGTTAGAAGCGCGGGAGAAGGTGCTTGGACGTGAGCATCCCTCCACGCTCATCAGTGTCAGTAATCTTGGCAACGTGCTCTTCAGCCAAGGGAAATATGAAGAGGCGGAAACGATTCATCGACAGGCGCTGGAAGGGAGTGAGAAGATTCTTGGACGTGAACATCCCTCCACGCTGGCCAGTGTCAGTAATGTTGGCAACGTGCTCTTCAGCCAAGGGAAATATAAAGAGGCGAAAGCGGTGCATCGACGGGCGCTAGGAGCACGAGAGAAGATTCTTGGACGTGAACATCCTGACACGCTGACCAGTGTCAGTAATCTTGGCAGCGTGCTCTCCAGGCAAGGAAAATATGAAGAGGCGGAAGCGATGCATCGGCGGGCGCTTGAAGGATGTGAGAGGGAGTTTGGACGTGAACATCCCTCCACGCTGGCCAGTGTCAGTAATGTTGGCAACGTGCTCTTCAGCCAAGGGAAATATGAAGAGGCGAAAGCGGTGCATCGACGGGCGCTAGGAGCACGAGAGAAGATTCTTGGACGTGAACATCCTGACACGCTGACCAGTGTCAGTAATCTTGGCAGCGTGCTCTCCAGGCAAGGAAAATATGAAGAGGCGGAAGCGATGCATCGGCGGGCGCTTGAAGGATATGAGAGGGAGTTTGGACGTGAGCACCCCTCCGCGCTTACCAGTGTTAGTAACCTTGGCGGTGTGCTTGACAGCCAAGGGAAATACGAAGAGGCGGAAGCGATGTGTCGACGGGCGTTGGAAGCACGAGAGAAGGTGCTTGGACGTGAGCATCCTGACACGCTCACCAGTGTCAGTGGCCTTAGCTGTATACTTAGCATCCAAGGGAAATATGAAGAGGCGGAATCAGTGCTTCGACGGGCGCTAGAAGGATACAAGAAGGTGCTTGGATGTGAGCATCCCTTCACGCTTACCAGTGTTAGTAGCCTTGGCTGTGTGCTTGACAGCCAAGGAAAATATGAAGAGGCGGAAGCAATGTGTCGACGGGCGTTGGAAGCATGAGAGAAGGTGCTTGGACGCGAGCATCCTGACACGCTCATCTGTGTCAGTAATCTTGGCTTAATGCTCTCCAGCCAAGGGAAATATAACGAGGCGGAAACGATGCATCGACGGGCGCTGGAAGGGAGTGAGAAGGTGCTTGGACGCGAGCATCCTGACACGCTCACCAGTGTCAGTGACCTTGGCTGTATACTTAACAGCCAAGGGAAATACGAAGAGGCGGAAGCGATGCATAGACTGGCGTTGGAAGCACGAGAGCAGATGCATGGATGTGAACATCCCACCACGCTTACCAGTGTCAGTAATCTTGGCAATGTGCTCTTGAGGCAAGGAAAATGTGAAGAGGCGGAAGCGCTGCATCGACGGGCGCTAGGAGCACGGGAGAAGATTCTTAGACGTGAACATCCTGACACGCTTACCAGTGTTAACAACCTTGGCTTTGTGCTTGACAGACAAGGGATATATGAAGAGGCGGAAGCGATGCATCGCCAGGCGCTAGGAGCACGAGAGAAGATGCTTGGACGTGAACATCCCACCACGCTTACCAGTGTCAGTAATCTTGGCAATGTGCTCTTGAGGCAAGGAAAATATGAAGAGGCGGAAGCGATGCATCGACGGGCGTGGGAAGCGGGAGATAAGGACTTTTAACCTGGACATCCTAGAATAGCCGCTAGCCTCGATCGAAATGTGAAGAGGCTCCATAATTCTAAACCTATATTTGTAACGTTTCGTGTACAGGCGGGATACATGGATCTATAGTATCTAGGCGTAATCATTCTTCCTGCAACATTGTCTACGCGTGCTAGGAAACGGCCGACGAGATACCGCGGTAGTTGGCATCCGGATAGTCAGCAAATTTGTTATTCATTCGGAGTCGGCTACTGGTGGCTCCCCGACGTAGAAACTCTAAGTATACTGGACCGATAGGCCGAAAGCAATGAGCATCGACCTACGGCAACGCAAGATGGGTATGCTTATCTTTGGTCAGTCGAGCCAGTGACATCCATGCTGGTTACTCATGCCGCTAGGGTTGCGAAATAAAAGACTAGGACCTTAGCGCTCACTGAGCATTGACTAGTGATGATAAATACTCAGTAAGTGATCCCCTAAGCGGCCTCATTAAAACTCCTCTAAATAGGGAAAGTCCCGTTGATTCTAAAAAGTCAAGTCCGTATAGGTGCTTGTGTACGGAATTGTCTCGTCCAGCGGAGCTGGTCTGCGGAACATAACTTAAAATAGGCAATTGCTCTGTATGGAATAGCGTGTATGGCATTTAGGGTTCGAAAACAACCCGTTGTATATACAACATGAAATTCAGTTCTGAAGTCCTGTGTAGCAGATGTATTTAGGTGGTTGTTCATCGTAGTCGACACTCTTCCCACAGACTAAATGGGAGAAATCCCAGTTGATCAGACTGCAGGCTAGGCTCCGGGGCGGGGCTAGGAGAATATAAGGTGGCAGGTGTACGACCAAAGTACAGTATATTTCTGCATAGAGCCAGCTCGGGCGTCCTAACTCATACGAGGTCTAGGCTCTTACCATATTCAGGCAGTGCCCATCTTACCATCCACTCTGACTTGAGAACTTGCTTAGTCGTAGGACGATTTTCTGGTCTGAATGAGAGCATCGGCCGTAGCATGTCAAAAATAGCATCCCTCTCGTCTGCGTCAAAAGGTGGCATCCCGCTATCTCGTCTGGGTTGCTGTACGCTGTCCTCAAACCGATCCTCCCAGGATCGGTAGGGGTTCCGATTGATTGGCTTCCCATCCTCAGTGAACTTATGTCGACGCGCCTCCCATCTCTTCCACCATTCGGGCGGCAAGATACCCAGGGCATCGACATGCTCGCAGGTCATGTCGTCCTCGGTAGCGAGGAATCCTTCAAACAAAGACCGCTGAGCGAAGATAGACCATATAGTACATGCGAGGCTCCATATATCGGATTGAAAAGATAAAGGGCTTTCAGATTCAAACCAAGCCTCGGGAGGACGGATGACGAGTGGGGTGCGAGAAGTGTATTTCAGCTCTTTCGGGTACGAAAAAGCTTCGCCAAAGTCAGAAAGCAAGATTCTGGCTTCTGCAAGCGTAATTTTCTCACTTGCTTCTCCTAGCCATATGGGCGCAACGCCGTAGGATGGGACGCCAGGAGGAAGTGGATTACCATCCAGATGAATAACTGGCTCGAGTTCCGGTGCCCCATATTCTTCATATAATTGTTCGGGTGACAGCTGATCAAAGCTAGGCGGGACTTTGAGAAGAATGTTTCCCAGATGAAGGTCCCCGTGGACAATCCCCTGCGAATGTACATAATCCACAGCAAGAACCAGCTGGGCGGCCAATGCTCGGGCCACGTCAAGCTGGAATAAACGGACCCATGACCCGTCTTTCAGCGCAGATAGGCTAGCCCTCGCAGGTGCCGTGACATAGCAAGCATGCTCACCATTGGGACCGTGGACAGTGAACCTATCCAGAATTGAAGGAACCATTGCCTTGGCTAGATCGTTGTCTGCGGAGCGATGTCGGCAGGTGAGGGACGATACGATGTCCGCTTCCTTTGGGTTTGAGTCTGCGGTAGAAATTTTTACTGCAACATATTTATTGGATTGTCCATCACGGGCTAGCCACGTCGTCGAATAGGTGCCATATCCCAGCTTATGAACCACGCGATACCGACCATGAAAGTGGTCTCCAATTTGGACGGGATGATAGCCCCCTGGTCGATAGTTCTCAAGTCGTTCGACACCTTCCAGGGGTTCATATAAGCAGGGAGCGCTGGACTCGTCCTTGGTCGCCATTGAGCTGGATGGGGTGGTTGTCCACGCGAGGCGGCGTTGGTTGCGCAGAAATGGCGTTCGCAGCTTGCGGGGGACAGGAAAACTAAGTTTGTTATGTAAACCGTGCGGGCGCAACGATAGTCTGGTTAAAGACAACCACCTGGTCATGATCTATCATGCGGCGACGCCGGACAGAAGAAGTACGGTAAAGACATGGAAATATATCCGGTGCTGGGTTGGGTGAAGGGGTTCGATGAGTAACAAGTTACGCAAGGCGCCCCAACCAACTTGGGAAAAGACGTGGACGATGATTGGATGGAGCGGTGTGTGAGAAAGTCCGGCCCGGGACACAGCGCTTATGCATTGGTTGACGACCAAGCATTCAACATACTCAAGCGGCAGGTATCGGTCCGGGATTGGACGCACAGGCACATTCCTTGTCAACAGTAGCCGCCAGGAACCGACTTAGACCATGTGATGTGCATGACGCTCATTCTACTGCGGGGACTTAGTTTTATCTATCGGATCATTTCTAAGTTGTCTGGATCTTTACTCGATAGATTTACGCGCCCTTGGGATTGCGTGTTTTAGGAGAAAAGCTGACTATTTGACAGCAGGCTATAAAGGAGGCGCGATCCAAAATGAAGAACCGATCTCCAACCTACAGTTTATTTCTTATTCCTACAAAAAGTTCAGATAACAATCATCCCTCTCTTGAAAACCCCCATTGGCGATCTCATCCAAGCAGACATGTCTACGGTCAACATGGTGAAATATTACTTTTACAAGGGCATGGTCCCCAAAGACCAGGATCGACTGCGTCAGCTTGTGGCTTTGGCGTATCAGACAGCAAGAGACAGAAAGCTCTATCCAAAGGCGGTGCTTATTAGGTATGTACTCAGTCCGCATTCGACTAGCGTCTCTCGCACGGGCGTTCTTGTTTCCTCAGGTTCTACCGGGTGCTAAATGATGATCCTCGATGATTTGTAGATCCGAGATTCATGATACAACTAGCATCAATGGAGTACACTAAAAGGACCCTTTGGGTCCACATGTTACCCTTTGCTACAAAGACGAGGATCAGCTCCTCCGTGGGACTCATGTCGCAAGTCATGGCTATGTTCATGGAAAGGACAACCTTGGATTTGTACGCGCAACTCATGCAGGAGAAAAGGCAGATACAGCCAAGAGACTGCAAGGGAAGAAGACAGTATGGCCATCCGAGAATGAGCTTGAGGCTGTGCCAGAGATCGGCTACGGCCACCTGCCACGCAACTAGAGTCTTGAAAGAATTCATGCATTCGGAGTGTACATATTGTTGACTAAAGCTGTACAGTATTGCACTTCTGAGATGTACTGTAAAATCCAAAATATAAAGGAAATGCCGCCCAAGCGTCCTTGTGACGTATGCAGATGATACAATTAAATTCAGGAATTGCTCTTGGCCCGTAGATAGTAGCTTGGTTCCCTTTTACGTTGGATGCTTTATATTGGAGGGTAAATGAGGCTACATATGGCAGGATTTCCCTATATCTCATGGATATCTGATGAATTGTAAGGGGAGATTGGATATTATCACTCGATGAAACAGTAGAGACAAGTTTTGGGGTCCTTTGCTATCCGATGTTGGACAATTCAAGTGCGGCAACCGTCGACCTCTACACTAATTTAAAAGCATGGCGTTTCTTTATCCAGTTGGACAGAGAAAAAGTTTGCATATTCTTGATCGATCCTCCGTAAGGCAGAGCCAAAGCTCCGTTCTGCTTTTTGGAGGTTCCGGTAATGAGCGTCAACCTGCTCTATACCCACCTGGCAATCATCAATTGCAGTGCGGAGCATCGTGCTGCGCGGCATCAATAACCCCAGCATGCTTGACCTCCACCGCAGCGAGTTCCGTTTCTCATTGCCACTGAATCTCTGAAATTGTTCCAGACAGCTCCGCAGCTGTTGCACCGAATCATAGGTCAGCAGAGCGGCTTCCACTTCGGCTTAAAACAGGATGGCAGCGCGTCGGACTTTGCGGTAGTAGGCATTTTCGGCGCGAAGATAGGATGCCTCATATGCCATACGCGTGAGGGTATCCCGTTCGGTTGGCTCGTTGATAGTCTGCTTTTTGGCCCATTGTAGACGACAAGGCATCAAATCAACGGCAGAACTCTGGCCACCTTGCCGTGCCACTCGAACCTCCACCGACGTCGGCCGGTCTGGTCTCGTCCAATCGCCCCAGATCTCAGAATCATCACTCGTATATCCACTCGCAGATCTACGACGGCCTTTGTGCTCGCGCCATACTTGAAAGCGGCTACGGAATTTATCAGCGAGCATTGTGTGCGGTTATATGATAGATGCAGTAGATTTTTTGAACAGGCAGCTACGAGTCGTCGCAAGGAGCGGTCAGCCCTTTTTATCAGTCGAAAAGTCAATGTACCTAGAATATGTGATGCTAAATAATCTGCGGTACTTTCGACAGTATCAGTGCGCCACTCATGATTTCAAAGACCACCAAGTGCAAATCTTTTTCTGCATCTCTTCCACATGGCTGAGATGGCCTTTGGTCTGAGGCATGCATACCGAGTGTCGCCTGGTTTGATATGTAGTCCCGTCTGCTGCAAGACAAATAATTTCGTCATGAGTCCTGCATTACGCCCATAGATGCACCTACGGGGTATTCATCTATCGCGCAATGGATCGATGGCTTACAGGCGCTTAGTACGAACGCCAACCTGAGTTTTTAGCATCAATCTTGCAGTTCTATCTAAGCCTCGATCGATCGGCCCGTAGTCGCTGGGGCTCACGCCCGCAGCCGTATAGTCATATTCGACGCGACCAACTGACGGACTGCTTGAGTACAAGGGAAAGCACGTCTGTCGGTAAAGGGACAAACTCAGTTAAATAACAATATTGGCCTTAAATATAGTGGGGTATGCCTCTTGGCTGATGAATGTTGGCTACAAATGGAGTGTTCTTTCCAGATGCGACATAGTACAAATAGCGCCGAACATCAATATCATTTGAAATTCTTCTGTAAGAGAAAACCATTCTGCCAGCTACGTCACCTTTTAACTGTGTCCAATCTGGGCGCTGTGCTCCGCAGCGCAGACGGCGTAGGCAGTCCGGACTTTCTGCCGAGCTCTCAGCTTCATCACTCGAAGGCCTCGGCGCGTCCTAATCCGCCGTTCACAGACCTGGCATTCGTCTCGCAAAGCTATTCCATTCCCGGCGAGGCCGAAGGTGGGGGTGAATCCTTGCCGTTCCATAAACCAGAGCATAGGATTGGGGAAGCCACCTACCGGATATCGGTCTCCGTTGTCCAGTCGCACGGACAACTGCACCACCTCTTGCAACCGCTGCACTTTAAAGTTGATCGGTAGACAGTGGCGCCCACACTCTCGACAGATGGAGCTTTCATCCATATCGATGCCAAGGTAGCGGCCATTAAGAACGTACTGGTTTCGGGCCTGGGAGACTCGTCTAAACGCCGCGACGAACACTTCTCCGGAAATGCGATAACGGATCGCACCGACACAGTGAAACGAGCCACTGCGGGCATCCCCCTCAGGTGCCGAGGCCAATTCGAAGAACAGACTCTGCGCCAGAAGCCGTAATATACTTCGGCGTCCAGTTTCGCCGAGACGCTGTGCTCGGGCTTGCTGGACGAGGTCGTCTATCTGGTCGACAGCGTCCAACGGGGGCGCCGGGCCCGACAAGGAACTGTCTAGGCGACATAAGGCATCACCATGGGCACGACTCCCCTGCGAGGCAAATCGCAGCCAGGACAGAGCTCCGTCTGTCTCCGTCATGAGCGTATCATGCAGCGGCCAGAAGAAATGATGGCGTGGAACGAGACGCGGGGCAGGCCTCTGGGCGGACCGGCCCGCGTCTTTGCTACCCTCGCCTGTTCCTACTGAGAGCAAGACTCCCAGCGGCGGTGACCACGGCCACATATGCTTCAGCTCTTGGACACACAAGGCGGCGGGACAGTTGTGCATCAAGCCACCGTCCCAACAGTACCCGAGGGAAGGCAGGCGAATGGGTCGAAAGAACCTACGATGCGTCAGTGGTGCGGGTGGAGGGGGGGTCACCCTTCGGCACTCACATCGGCGCGGCGGATGATGCACGCGCACTCCAGGGACGGTCAGCGAGCGGCGCAAAAAGGGTAGGAGGCATGGCACGCACCACATCCATACCAAAGGCTCTTCATTCGAAACCACGCCCGACAAATGGTGGTATCCTATCGTACTGTCAGATAGTCTGAGGCCATGTCTCAAATGCTGGTTCTATAGGGTCGACAGAGGATCAGTGAAGGTAGGGTTTCTCAAAGCCATAGCTTACCGATATTCTCGGGCCGCTGACCCACCGGCTTATAGTTAGTTAGAATCGTCGGTCCTTTTTCCGAACTGGTGGTGGTAATGCCGAGTTTCGTCCCTGTCGCTCGAGGATCCTAGAGGCGCAGGCTACTCCCGTAGTGATCGCGGAACAAGGCATCGAGTCGGCGGCTGTCGTACAGGCCTCGGCCCGTAAGACACCGCAGCGTCCGGCGCCATTTGACTGGCAACGATGCACTCTGCTGTTCGCGGAAGAAACGTCGGAGGAGCTGCTGGACAGCATCGCTGCACTGCCGAAAGAATCGTCGCAGAACGAAAACGTCCAGGACCACGAGCGCGCCTGTCTGGCATCAGAATATTGTGTGACATAATCTAAACATCACCTACCGGCACTGGTCCCCCAGGCCACGTCGATTAGAGCGGCCAACGGACATTGCGGCCCCAGATGATCCTGCAAGTCGAGCAATATCTGCAACGCGACGACAATTCGGACGCCCCCGCCGTCGACTGTCAGCGCGCGCACCGCGGCCGTTAGAGGAAGAATGGCGATGGAACTCAGCCCGGCCCGCTGGCACAGCGGACATGCCTCGAAGTAGTATACCGACTCCGCCCGTGGTTTTGGCCGACCGTATCGCCGGACACAGGCATCACACAGCGCATGACCGCATGGCAAGGGATGCTGGGGACTGCTGAGGAGGCAGCCCAAGCAGGTATGATTACTATAAAGGGCTTCAAAGACGGACTGGCATTGGGCCACGTGCTCCGCGTAGACGTGGTGTAGCGGAATGTTCCGGCCCGCCGCAAGTGTATAGCTGCTCACGAAGAAAGATTCGATCGAACAAGACCGGGCACCGGCGGTGATTGGGTCGAAAACCTGTTGCAGGGCCTGAAGACACGGACTCCGGTACCGGTCCCGGAACATATCATGGGGATGGAAAGCTGAACGGATACATTAGCATTAACTCCTTGGAAAGCTGCTAGGCCCTCCGCATTTCCGTATTCCACCTACCGTGTGTATTCGGTGGGAAGGCCTCGAACAACAAGCTCGAGGCAATCGTCCGGTCTTGGGTTTCGGCAGACATCAGTGTCTTCGATTGACACAAGTAGTGGATTATATGAGAGGTCCACTCGCCCGGCCGCTGGTCCGGTCTTAACGCGGCGATTAAATTGAAGGGGCTGCATGGGTTTTGCGCCATATGCGTTACTGCTTTATGCAGGAGACCGGGCAAGTGCACACTCGAAAACTGGGTCTGAGTCTCTAGACGATCGCGATCCGCCCAGTTAACCGCTTTGAGAACCTCCTCTTTCAAGGTTCGGAAGCGAGCCTCGTCGGACAATGTATGACCGCGTGGAACACTCAGCACATAGACGCTGGCGAACAGCTCCGGGCCGCCGCATGGTAGAAACAACGTGGGCGTGATGGCGGGATCCTCTAACAGGGTCTCCGTGCTCGGCTCGTCCGTCTCGACGACGACGATGATCCGGGGACGCAACAATGGATACGTGGCATCGCGCCCCACGAGCGACCAGCTCTGTAACAGGGTGTGCACGCCCTTCAGTCCACCAACATCGTCAGCGAAAACACAGGTCACATGCGCAAACGGCAGCAGAAACCGGGCCAGCAACAGATCCAGCGTGTGGGGGTCGGGGGACTGTCCCTAGGGGAGTGGGACGTGCTCGGCCGATCCAAGAGGCTCTGAGCCAAGGGGCTGTGGGGTCGCATGAGGATCACCCTCTGCGAAGAGAATGGGGCGGCTGGATAACTGGGTCCGGTGGTCAACCTGCAAGTTGAACCCCGCGACCTTCCGCCTGGGGTTATCTGGGAAAAGTTGACGAAGGGCTCGATCCTTGCGCGCTCCGCCCAAGAAGCATGTTAATGCAGGATACGTATACTGGGGTTGACCAACTACAGGTGCCAATTGAGAAGGGCGCGATGCGTCGTAAAGCAGTGCAGGCACCCCGTCCTCTGAGATTAATTGAAACCACGGGACGCTTCGTACTGGCCGCATGGCAAACTTCAAGTCAACAAGGATACAATCAAAGCCTCGAACTATTATGACGGATTGCTTGCCTTATAACGAATGCTTCAATGCGGGCAAGCCAAGGAAGCTACCGCCATGTTGCATTTCAAAAGAGCGCTAATTACATTGTTAAATAGGCAACATAACCTGTTCTATGTCGATTGCATCGCCCGTGCAAGGGCAGCCAATCCAGAAGTTTATATGAAAGTATATTGAGGTAGCGCCTCGGCCGCTTCGTTCTGTAGATCCAGCTCATACATGTTTCTAGCAAGGTAAACCCTCCAGTAATGATGTTCCATAAGTGTAGCTGAATGTGTACTGTACATATGGAATACCCTATGTATATTCTTCTCAGGGGCACCCACGTAATCTTCTCACTGCACACATTCACGTCAAAATCCATGACATATGTGACCTCCCCACAGGCGGTCTAGGCTATAGCAGCGGTATGTGCGGTATGTGCGGTATTATAGAAGAGTCTCACCCGTCCTGTGCTCAGGAGAGAATGCCTGCCTTACTGCAGTAGTTCAACCTGCGTCTCGTTGCATGCGTCGGCAGCCGATTTGTTATCACTAAATGTTGACCGACGGTCCTCCATATAGTTCTCTAGATACGCGCAACGCACAAAACAGCCCGCAGCGTACCTCGGATGCATACTCTGCCTGATTTCGTTCCAAACTTTCCCGCAGCTTCGCATACGAACCAGGGCAGCATCCCATGCTGTCCATGGCCGATGCGATAGGGCAGCGGCGAGCGTGGAGGGGACCACAGTATTCGAGATATGTCCGTACAGCTGATCATCCGTGGTACGGTGTCTCTGGGTTCTGTATGGAATGACTATCGGTCGTGCTGAGGTTGGCATGCTGCATGGAGTAGCTGTTGAATGACGTATTAGATATGGAGAACAGAGGCGTGTAGTAGACCTGGCACCTCCAGCTGTCAGTGAAATGAGATTAGGACTAAAAAGAAATCCAGTATACAGAGGTACCTACTGTAGGACTTTAGATATAGATTAAAGGCTAGAAATTTCTCGCACGAAGGATTCCTATCGAAAGAGGTTGAAGCTTTGGCTATGGCTCCACGGGATTTGTGAAGCTGGAAGATATATATCATAGGTTATCGGATTTCCGTCTTGTGGCGCTTAGCCACCCATGGGCCTGCAGTGACGCCTTATTGCCAGGTATACCGTGCATTGTCTTTCCCAAGCCTGGCGCCTGACTAGCTCAATCAGTGGCTGAGACGTATCGATCTAAGGCTATGGTCCACTGAACTACAGACGCATATGGAGAACTGTGCCCCTGAACAGCGACATCCCCAAGTGCAGATGATATGGAACCTTTTAATGTGGAGAAAAAACGATTTCCCGAAATAGACTAGCGTATCACAGGTAATACTCCAACCTTCGAAGAGCCTGCCCCAATGGATGTGCATTAGCGCCGACCATCTAAGTTATGAAGAATAGATGGGTTGATCTGCACCATCACGGTGGTATTTGAGTATCGCGAGTCGCACATCATGCCGCGGCCACACTGCCCTGCCGTGCCCATTTCTCCTCCCCTTTAGCCACCATGGCAAACCCTCTCTCCGGCTCGCGCAACGTGCGTCGGCGCCGGCAGACCATTTTCCAAAAATGTTACGAACTGAGCCTGTTTGGCGTGGATGTTTGGATTGTTGTGTGCGCCGGCGGCCGCAACCATGTGTTTAAGTCATCCTCGGACCGCCAGTTATTTGACGCATTGGACAACCAAGTGGTATGCCTTGAAAGACGGGGACTGTACCGTACACTCTAGCTAACGGAAAGAAAGATGAGAGCCGCTCACCGACCGACTTGGAAAATGTCGCGGGACTACGACCAAGAGCGCGGACAAGGACGTCGCTTACGCTTAATCGACCGATTGCAGGTCGCTTATAACGTCGATTCGCCCTGCAGGGTGACTCCCGGGTAATCCGCGAAACCGATGTGGATACCTACATGGTGGCAGCATTGTGGGATATAGGAAAGTTGTTGTATGATAGCCAAGGTCTACCTATATTCGTCAAGGTCTTGTTTCCTATATTATGCCGGGCTAGGAGTGCGGATTTGCAACAGGGCCGACGTTCTGCCGTGTCTACCACACAACCAATTCTGGGCACACTTACCGTAATATATGTCCATATCGCTCTTTACTGTGGGCTTTTAGCACTGTACTTCAGGTTGTAGGGGTTGCTGGAAGACATATAGGCCAGGTCGACGCCGACCCTACGGTGCACCCCACAGTTGTATTAGATCCGCCCCATCGGCCCTTGTATAAAACCATGACAGGCGCGCTGTCGGTGAATGCGGCACTCAGGTTGGATTTGCACCCGGTAAGAATAGGACTCCTGGTCATGGGACGGCCGATGACCTTGCCAGACCTCTGGAGGAGATTATGGCCACAGTGGAAGGAGAGGCTCTCAAAGCCCCACCACACGGCGAAATTGAATCCTGCCGTCCAAAGCCAGTATATTGACACATTACTGGAGATGGAGCAGACTCCCCTCGCCTATAACCTGGCCGCATCGATCTGCACGTGGCTGGTCCTGGCGGGATTCCTTGTTTTCCCCGGCACCTTTACCACACTGCGGGAGTCATCGCTGCTTCAAAACGCAGCCGGGGGCGTGGTCTACCGCGCCGTGCAGCATATTCCGCTTCTGAGTGTTGCGATCATCTTCTGTGCTCTCGGGACGGCTGGATGCGGTGCCCTGTGGTGGGGGCGGAGGGCCAACTATATTTGGCCGACGGAGAAGATCTTTCTGTATGACACTCCCCTCTTCTGTCTGCCCTACAGTCCAGCTGACCAATTCAGGCCTGTCCTAATCCACTCGGTCACCGGGCTGCTAAACACGATCTTAAATGTGTACACGGCCCGCGGCGGGACCTGGTCGGTTATAGCGATCGTGACGGTGTCAGTGTCCGGGGCCTATGCCACGGTGGCGGCTCTTCTCTTTGCGATGTATCACTTCCTGCTGCTTCAGGTGAAAGCCGACCATCGGTCTATGGAAGACCACGCCAAGCAAGCTATGTGCATGCACCCCACGATCGGCGGGTCCATCCTGTGCGGAACCGCCCATGACAGCGGTATTTGCGAAGCCTGTCAACGATCGCCAAATATCACTGTGACCCGGCTCGAACATCGCACGCCTTAGGCTCGTTTGGGGATGCGACCCATGTTGGCCTGCACATATGTCAGGTTTAGCCGAAATATTCTTGTGTGGGGAGTCGAATCGGGATTAAAGACAGGGCAGTTGTTGTAACCTCATATCAACCCAGAAACTGAGCAAGGTAAGAAATGAATACATGCCAAAGAGGTTTTGTAAATGGCAGAAGAGGGAGCCTGTAGTATGGTCGCTGTATACCACAGTACTCAAGAAGCTGCGGCTTGTTATGTATAGCCCGATATGCACACGGTGAGTGCAAGGCACTAAGGGTCAAACAATGGTTTACAGACACCCCTAGCTGAACACCGGCAGCGGGAAAATAAAGATACCCTATATATATAAGCGCTTCATACATGATTAGGATATCCTCTTAGGAAGCACCAACAATCAGGCCCTTTGCTGTGTATGTGATGGCGGACTGCAATGGATCCACGGATCGGTTCAAGAACACGTAAATACTTAACCAGCCTTTAACCGGTGCATTTCAATGACTGCTTATTGTGGGCATCCGCAGATGATCAAGCATCTCTACGATGTCTTGGCCGCAGCAGCCGACCAGCTCAGCCTTGCCGTGGGCCAGCAGTTCAGATGGCCCCCTGGGCGGAGTACATATCTTCAATCACTTGCGCAATGGCGTTTATCTGTGGTCAGTGGGTGACACATCTGGCCAGCCAACAGTCCTCCCAGCCTACGAGGGGCGGTATTTCGAGTCCTGGAAGGCCCGAGAGAACGGCGGAATTTCCATCAAGCTGGCAACGGAAGACAGCCAAGCGAGTATCCTGCAATTCGAATATACTCTTTCGATCCCGACCGTTTACTGGGATGTCTCCTATATTGATATGGACGTTGGCTCAGAATTTGTCAAGCAAGGAATACGCGTGACGGCGGACGATCCTACCTGCCGCACCATAACATGTCCCGCCGGGAACTTCGATTGCGATTCGGTGTATCTTGAGCCGGATGATGATTTCGCGACCCGTGGATGCCCCATGCAGACCACATTAACCTTGACATTGGGGCTCTGAGCTGGTTATGTGGCCATGTGCATGGGAAGAACTTGTTGTAAAGTAACCGGCAAGGTTGGCGCTGGCGACTATATCGCCAAGGGCATGAGAAATGTTCAGGGTCCTGCAAACCATTACAGTGATTGACTGGGCTTTCCTTGTGTCTACAGTTGCGCGATTTTAGTGTAGGTTATTGTGATCCTCCGAATGCTGCAGTCCATTCCCTTGTAATATGCCTTGTAGCAGCCTCAGTACAGAATTGAGAGTCCCCTTAGATAGCCTGCTTTATGTTATGGACTGTGGGGATACAGGCTACCAAGAGTGAATTATCTTGTAACCATACTAGCTCCTATTGTAGGGTACGGCCAGACACTGCCAAGGGAGGGATAAACTGTAGATACATGTAGACTATCTTCTTCCAAAAAGGAAATCCGCTAAGTAGCATTCTCGAGGAATCGCTCCATGCCATCCCCTGGGTTCACGGCGAAAACAGTCTGGTTATTGCATAGATCGGGTTTGTCGAGTAGACCGGCGGAGAACTAGACCGGCTCCGCCGAGTGCACAACGAACTGGTAGGACGAAACACCGGCATTTGAGACAGTATTTTGACTGAGGCGGGGTGCATGGCACGGGCTGTAAAGGTCGGAATTGTAGAGGGCGTACGGGCCGTGGAAGCGAAAGAGAACGCTGTCGCCAGGCTTTGCGCTGATCGATTGAGGTTGGAAGAGAGACTGGGACGCCGCTTCGTTGGACGTTAGCGCCTCTTCCACGTCAACGATATACAGGCCGATGGTGATGTTGGAATCGGTGAAGACTGCGTCGGGAGCTATCGACGGTTCCACTGTCGGCTCGGAGTGGGGACGTAGGGGGTGTATCTGCGACATCGTCAGGGAGGGCAGTATAGAAGAACGCACATTTGAGGGGAGCATAGACTCAACTGTATGTGTGCTAGCTTCCGCGTTGGCCGAGGTGGCCGT